CTAAAGCGGCTTGGGCTGCAGCTTTCTCGTTGGAGCCCCCGAAGTTATGCTTCAAGAACCTCTTGAAGGCATCGTAGTCGTGTAGGAAAAGGGGTTGGTCCGCTTCATCCAACTGGAGATAAGACGAAACCGTTTTAAAAGCTCGTCCTCCAAGAAATCCGATAGCGAAATCGATCTTGGATCCTCCAGTGGGGTAGCGTCCAGGTAATTGTCGGAAGACCATGTTGAGTTTAACGATGAATTCGTCTAACTCCTTGGCGTCTCCCTTGAACGTGGGTGGATCAGCCGGTTTCAGTTCCTTGGTCCGTTTGGCAAGCAGATCCGCTTCGTTCTCCCGAAGGGGAACGTCCCTCATAGGAGTATAGGGATCCCGGGACCGAGCTACCGAAGGTCGGTGAAGTTCTCTAGGGTCGATAGTAGTTCCCGCTAGAGATGGAGGGTTGGATGGGTAGATGTTGAACTGCCTTCGAGGAAGGGGAGCCGGAATCTCTTCTCGTGTAGCGAGTTCGTCTCTTTGTTTCCTGATCGTCTGCATGAGTTCCAGGATTTGTTCTTCGAGACGACCAATACGTTCAGAGTCCGTTTCCCTAGGAGCCGGATTCGTTTCGATTGAGCCGGTCCTGGCTCGGGAGAACCGCTGTTCTTCTTCTGGGGGCAGGTCGTGGTTTTCGGATTAGACTGACATTGTCCTAACCAGGTGCGATAAAGAAGTTCCGATATGCTGTTACGGCGGAAGTCGCTTATCGAGATAGGTCCTAAGTCGTAAGGCGTAGGGTGCTTATAGGTGAATCGCAGGTAGTCGGGAGAATGTCGCAAGTCCGCTTAGATGAAGCGGGTTCGGGTGCGGGATACGAATCCAGAGATATATGGATAAGGAAGGTGATCACTTGGTGTGAGGTACCGGATTCGGTCTAAGGTAAATCGATGAAACGTAGATACTTAGCGACGTCCTTGAGTTTGTAACCTCTCCGCAACACGTCTTGAAGATGTTGTAACAAGTCAGATAGGCGTGTATTGAATGTGATATCGGAACTTGACCTATTACTATTACAGAGCGTCCTCTATCGAATTCGGTCAAGTTCCTCTAGCTATTTATACGGAGACGAGTACGGAGACGAGGCTGGCGAACACTGAAAAGACCCAAGAGAAAAGAATGGCGAGAGATGGCGAAACTGGAAGAACGAGATGGCGAACAGACGAATCCTGTCGAGAGCAACCGGATTCGGTAGAGGAGGCGAGTTTGAGTTCTCATTTGTCCCTAGGTACGTCGAGTAAGGTTGGCGAGGTCCTGAGTAGAGTTGTCGTGTACCTCGAGGTCCTTGTACCTGTGTGTGATGTGTACCGGGAACGTATTGTTGTTTCGGTGAATGGTAAGGCGAATGGTAGGGACGACCGAATCTGCTCCGAGGGAATCGGATTCGCCTCGTCGAGCCGGACTTAGGTGTATGCTGATGTCCGTAGATCTAGCCTGTGTGTCGGTAGTCGACTCACGTGATGATCCCGTAACAGACCCGTTCTTGTAGATCGATCAGTCGCCGTCGAAACAGTCGACTCGTGGGAACGAGGACACCCTGACGTATGCTGGGATGCTATTGGCATGACGTTCCCTATCTTTCACCGTCTCTGTACCGAATTGGAGACGTTCCGGCTCGTTACGTCGACTCGACACCTCCCTGCGAAGGTGAAAATCGGTGTAACACTATGGATGTTACGACATGGCGGCCACGTACGGGAGATGCGTTTGATCTTTCAGCTCAGCCTACGAACACTCAGCTAGTACGTCTGGTCGTAATACTTGGCCACGGAACGACAAACGTACCGACGTTCCGATCGATAGTACTATACATGAAGTCCTCGACGCGCTGTTCGACCCTACGTTCTACTATCGATACGTCAAACAGCCGACTCCCGCCACGATCGATCGAGAGCTCGAACAGTACCAAGACCCACGCTTCCGGCCTCTCACGGAACGGTGTCTAGGTGCTATTGACGGCACGCACATCAACGTCACCGTACCGACCATCGATCAGCCTCGGTATCGCGATCGGAAGGGGCAGATTTCGACGAACGTTCTTGGCTGTGTCGACTTCGCTGGCCGTTTCACCTTCGTTCTAGCCGGTTGGGAAGGTTCAGCACATGACGCCAAGGTATACAACGCTGCTATAGACGACAAGGACCTCGTAATACCGGAGGGATACTGGTATCTCGCCGACGCCGGCTACCCTAGTCGTTTGAACCTCGTAATACCGTTCCGCGGCGTACGATACCACTTACAAGAGTGGGCTCGAGCCGGCCTACGGTGAGTACAGGCCTTGTTCTTATAGACCAGCAGCCGAACCAGTATCCACGTCGTAGGCCGCAAACACCGCTCGAGCTATACAACCGACGTCATTCTAGCCTCCGTAACGTCGTCGAGAGGGTGTTTGGTGTCGTCAAGAAGCGATATCCGGTATGTTACGGTAGTTTCACCTAACATAGACCCTATAGAACTACAACGAACGTTCTCGCTGACGTCGAACACCTCCCTCTTGTTGAACTCCTCCATTTGTTCCGTATCGCTATAGGTCCTCGTTACCGGCACGTTTTACCCCATCGATACGCAGATTCAGATCATCTATGCGTGCTGCGTACTCCACAACTACGTGGCGTCGAACGGTGGCGACGACCTTATAGATGAGGCCTTAGACGAAGAAGGAGGGGAGGTTGTACGCCGACGTCGAGGGAGAGGGAACGATGACGATAGCGATGGCGAGGACGAACGGGAGAGGCTGACGACGAGGCAGGAGACCGTAGCGGCTGATCGACGACGTAGAGAGATGGCGGAGGTGATGTGGGCAGGCTATGTCGAAGAGGGAGAACGTCGACGTCGGTGATGTCAGTATTCGTTTACGTATATCGTAGTATTTCGATGAAAAACGTTCGATCTTCACCCACCGCGACGAGGTCACCTAATCGTCCGTTTCACCCAAATTCAACCTCTGTCTTTCCTTCGCTACCGTGCTAGTTATATGGAGTTCTAGGAATTTGTCGGGTAAGGCCTGAATCATGGTGACCTTCTCTCGGTGTTCGATAAGGTAATTCAGATATAAAAATGTATCTGTTTCACTTAGCGAAAGCCGCTCAGCCGCCTGTTGAGCCTTCTCCATCAACTGCTGGGCAGCTATCTGTGGGTTATGCCTAAGAATCTTGCCCAGGTCCTGATGTATAGCGCTCAGACTGCTTTCATCGCTCGAACGAGACGATTTATTCCCTCCTCGTCGAACGGGAGTAAGTCGAGAACTTGTAGTCGATGTAGACGGCGTTGGCGTAGACGGGAGCGGTGAGGCACTACAGGGGTGATAGTGTTGGTGTGGTACTATAAGAATCTCGAATTGTACTTACGTAGCACCGCCGGGACCCGTTTCATCATCAGATACGTCGATATCCTCGATGTCGACGTCGTTTTGTTGTTTTTTCTGCCGTTGGTTGGTGCTGCTTCTTTGAGGTCGTCTAACTCCTTTACCAGTCGCACGACGTCCCAGGCAAAGCTCTTGAAAGTCACGGAAGAGTTCCCACCTGAAGCCTCTAAGTTTATATAGCTCGGCGTCTCTCTTACTAGTCGCCTATACACGTTTGAACGTTCGTCGTAAACCACATCGTATTATCGACACGGAGGGACGAAGTTGTGCGGAAGCGGATTAAGGTTGACGAGAGATCTCAGCTCTGAAGGAGGGGCATATTCGTATGTCGACTTATCGACGTCGACATACATCTACTTACTCCTGCGATCTTTAATTTTTGCCATGCATCGTTGTCAGCCGTAGCACACTGGTTGTCGTCGTCCCAGCCGAAGCCTGAGATCTCCAATAGGTCGGCCAACGGTTCTAAACGGTGTTTTTTGAGCTAGAACATAGTGAATTCGAGCGTAAGTCTTGACGATTGATGGAATCGATCAAATACTTACAAAACGGAAACGTTCGCCCATCTTCTCCGCAGTCTTCGCTCCACCCCTCATATTCGGCCTCTTATTGCACTGTTCTGCCGCCCTTTGATATACGGACGACTTGAAACCGTTATCGGCCACCTCACCGGAACGTTTTGCCTCGAGAAGAACGTCCGTAAGAATCCGATCGTCCTCGTCGTCATAGGAGCAGTTTCGACTACCGGTACTCCTGGCCTTGCGACCTGATTGGCTAGCCAACGTGGGAGTAGGACTGATGGACCGTCTACCGGAGGTGAGGCTCGACATAGACGTATCTGCTCGTCTAGAACGATCGTCTTCAGTATATCGCGCTGACCCTCCCTGCGTCGACGCAGAACGTTCTCGACTAGGTCCCGGCGTCATCGACCACGACATCTCTCGCTGTAGCGGCCGTTCCGGTATTCTGAAACCTTGATCGTCGACCTGCGAGGACGGTGCTATCGAAGAAGGGGGGGCTGTCGACATCGAGGGTGTACGAGACATCGAGGGCGTTCGGTACGTCATCTGCGGCTCGAACGTTCCTGTATATGCCGTCGACGTCGCTGACGACATACTATAGCCAACATCGTGCGTTCTAGACACATCTGATTGGCTAGTAATAAACGGATAGCCGTAGTAAGTCGGCTGGGTGTTTTGTAGGGGGTTGTTCGACATTTTTACTGATGTTCTTGTATGTTCGCGGAACAGGTTGAAAGTACGAACATTCCCTGAACACCAGCCAGATTACTAGCAGCCGGTGGAAGACCGAACCTCTGTACCCGCCATCACGTAACATGTTCAAAATCCGATGCAAAATCTCTCGTTTTCGACCGGATTTTGGTCGTCGGATTTCGCACGTTTTTCAAGCCACAGGAACGACTAGTAATACGCTAGCGAGAATTGTGGCCGCAAAAACGACGACGTAGGCCCTTCGAATTTAAATATCAGGCTGAAAATCCGACGATTTTTAAGATACGGGTTTTTAGTAAACGCACCCCAAGGGAAGGTGCGGCGTGAAACGCGTGAGAAAGCGATAGAGTCGACTCGCGCGAGCTGCCTGATGCCGTAACGTCTACATTTTCCATCCACTGCCACTTCCCCCTTTGATCAAGAAGAACGAGGTCGACATTCAACATCACACTCTTATCTCTTCCACCCCCCCCCCCCTCTTCTTCTTCTCTACAAAACACTTCTAACACACAAAAAAAGCAACATCTTTCCCCTAAAAAACAAACCCTAGTTTCGTCAAGGAAAGAAAGAGAGCAGACCAGCCCCTGTCGCCCGTACACAAAAAACACTTTTAAAAAAAGACGACACAACACCCTTTTCCCCGAAAGCGGAAAGAAAAGAGATAGAAAGAGCAGAAATCAACCCCCCGCTTCTTCTTTTCACCACCCCCGCTCCCCACTTTTACAACTACACTTCCAAGTAACGAACTCACCTACCATAATGTCTGCCGAGACCGAGACCAAGCCCACCGTGCCCGAGTCCACCCCGGCTCCCGCTCAGGCTCAGGAAGAGTCCAAGCCCGCTGCCACTCAGGAATCCAGCGCCAATGCCAGCGCTGCTGCTGCTTCTGCTCCTAGCACTGCCGCTGCTACCACTACTACCGGGACCCCGGCCAGTGCGAGTCTTTACGTCGGCGAGTTGGACCCCAGCGTCACCGAGGCCATGTTGTTCGAGATCTTCCACATGATCGGACCCGTCGCCAGGTGAGCGTTGCGCGAGAAATATAAAAGGAGTGGGGATTAAGCTGACTTGGTTATCATTTCCTGTGCTCTCTCCTTGTTTTCGTCTTCGATGTCCCGTTCGCCCTCCTAGCATCCGAGTCTGCCGAGACGCCATCACCCGTCGTTCCCTCGGATACGCCTACGTCAACTACCTCAACGGTGCCGACGGCGAACGAGCCCTCGACAGCCTCAACTACAGCTTGATCAAGGGGCGTGCGTGCAGGATCATGTGGAGCCAGAGGGACCCGGCCTTGAGGAAGAGCTCGGCTGGCAACATTTTCATTAAGAACTTGGACGAGGAGATTGACAACAAGGTCAGTAGTCTCGCCGTGAAGCGTATGAGAATTCTTGTGAGAGACGCGAATCTGAATTCTGTGTTCTTGAACGACCAGGCCCTCCACGACACTTTCGCCGCCTTCGGCAACGTCCTCTCCTGCAAGGTCGCCGTCGACGAGAACGGTCGATCCAGGGGATACGGATTCGTCCACTACGAGACGGCCGAGGCCGCCGACGCTGCCATCAAGGCCGTCAACAACATGTTGCTCAACGACAAGAAGGTCTACGTCGGACACCATGTCAGCAAGAAGGAGAGGATGAGCAAGGTCGAGGAGATGAAGGCGCATTTCACCAACATTTACGTCAAGAACGTCGACGAGGGTGAGTCGAAAAAGTCGCAAAGACGCGGTTCGTGCGAGGTTTGTGGTACTGAATCCGAATGACCCTTCAGCCACCACCCAGGAGGAGTTCGACGGACTCTTCAAGCCTTTCGGTCCCGTCGTCTCGTGCGCTCTCCAGTTCGACGAGGCCTCGGGCAAGAACAAGGGATTCGGATTCGTCAACTATGAAAACCACGAAGACGCCAAAAAGGCCGTCGACGAGCTCAACGACTCTGACTTCAAGGGCAAGAAGCTCTTCGTCTCGAGGGCTCAGAAGAGGAGCGAGCGTGACGAGGAGTTGAGGAGGAACCACGAGGCCGCCAGAATGGAGCAGGAGAGCAAGAACCAGGGAGTCAACTTGTATGTCAAGAACATCAACGGTGAGTCTCAGCGTATCATTGCGTCAATTCCGCGTGAGATCCACACATCTGACATTTGGACGGCCGCTCGCAGACGACTGGGATGACGACCGTGTCCGAGCCGAGTTTGACGCTTTCGGCACCATCACCTCGTGCAAGGTCATGAGGGACGACAAGACCGGCACCTCGCGAGGATTCGGTTTCGTCTGCTTCAGCTCGCCCGACGAGGCTCAAAAGGCTATCGCCGAGATGAACGGCAAGATGATCGGTACCAAGCCCCTCTTTGTCACCATCGCTCAGCGAAAGGAAGCTCGTCGTGCCGCCCTCGAGTCCCAGATCGCCGCTAGGAACGCCTCGAGGATGCAGATGATGGCCGCCCAGGGTATGGGAGGTCCCGCCGGTTACATGGCTCAGCAGCCCATGTACTACCCCCCTCCTCCCGGTGCTTTCGCCGGTGGAGCCCGTGGTGGTCCCATGATGGGTTACCCTGCCGGTGGAATGATCGGAGGTCGACCCAACGCCAGGTTCGGTCCTTCCGGTCAGCCCATGGGCGGACCCGCCGGTGGGTACTACGGCATGCCCCCCGCTGGCGTTCCTTACGGTGGCGTCAACCCGGCTTACCGAGGTGGTCAACCCGGTGGACCTCGACCCGGTGCTGGTGGACCCCGAGGTGGACCTAACGGTGCGCCTGCCGGTCCCGCCGGTATGGGTCCTCAGGCCCGTGGACCCCAGGGTGCCGCTCGTCCTCAGCAGCAACAGCAGCAGGACCAGGCTCAGCCTCAGAAGCTCAACGCCGCTACTTTGGCTAGGGCCGCTCCTCAGGAGCAGAAGCAGATGTTGGGAGAGGCCATCTACCCCTTGATCTTTGCGTGAGTTTCGATGTCGCGTCTAGTTCGTTGTCTGCACCTCGTTGACATTCTAATCTCCTGCTCTGCCTCAAAGCACCCAACCCGAGCTCGCCGGAAAGATCACCGGTATGCTCCTTGAGATGGACAACTCGGAGCTCCTCCACTTGGTCGAGCAACCCTCGGCTTTGAAGTCCAAGGTCGACGAGGCCCTCGCCGTCTTGGCCCAGTGGTCTGGTGACGAGGCTGCCGAGGGCGGTGCCGCCCCTGCTACCGAGGCTGCCGCTCCCGCCGAGACTACCGCTTAATTGCGGTCAGTCTGGGGAACAGTAGAGGAGGATCGGTGACAACGCAAGCGAGATGGAAAGGAAGGGGTTTCGCATCGAGAAACGTGCATTGTTTGCACGCAGTCGGTCTCGGGGTCTCGTTTCATCCTTTTAGCTTTCGACTTGGGTTACTTGTTTTTTCCGCCTAGTCTCTTTTGTCATTTGCGGTTGTGTGTCTGTCGAATATACATCACGGCCAGGGCTGGTCTGTTTTTCTTCTTAAAATAAGTTCGGGTCTTTTCAATGATCAGCTAAAGGCACGCGTGGAGTCATGAATTCTCGGTCTTTGCGTGTGCCTGGGATATGTTCGATTGTGGTGTGCTAACAAGGATATATGGCAATACAAGTAAGAGCGTGAAGCTATCCCATCAGTTGCGAAACATCCGATGGAGGTCGGACGGATTGGGTGAACGTCAGTAGCCTAGATGGACAAATTCGGATCAGCGTCGTTGTCACCGTCGTGCATGTCTAGCAAGCATCGACTCACCTCTTGACGCTCTGAATGTACTTTCTCGACACCTCGTCGTTCAGCACATGCGCAACATTGTCGATTCCAATCTTTTGTCGGGCTGAACGTTCGTGAATACTGTGTGCGCAGTACGATGTCAGCAAGAGCCAGTCAGGAAACGCTCGTTCTAAAGACTCACCCGACCATGGTAACTCCAATGGGCCAAGCGGCATTTCCGATACTCAGACGCAAGTAGGCGTCGTTGGCCCGTTGATAAGATCGCATCTGGGCATAGTGGATGACTTCAGCGAGTAATCGCAAGACGTCCGGTTCGAGGTCCTAAGATCGATCGAGAAGAGAGCGATGAGCATTCGCGCGCAGTGGGCATTTGCTGGGCGTTTCGTATCTCACTCTCGCTCGCAAGGCCTTGAAGAGGGGTTTCAGGTATTGTGCTGTTTGGACCTGGGTGGCGGCTGCGTTTCGTCCTTGTACGGATCGTTTGACGACGTCTGCGAGAGATCTTACACTGCATTAGCGCAAGTTCGATGCTGATGACGGTTGAGGCATGGTTAAACACTACTTGCCTGGTCTGTCGTCCAGGGAATCTTCCCAATCTTGCAACCATCCCTGAGCAAAAAGAGACGTCTAGTTCAGTTCCATCGCCGAGGCGTCTGTTCCCAGAACCGACTTGCGACCCACCTTGAGCGCATAGTAGATCAAGGGATACACCTTCTTGGGTTCGGTCTTGACCAACTCCAGATCCAGGACTTCCGGTTCCTCCCTCAGCTTGCGCCTCGACACGCTCTCATCGCCCTCGCCGTCCTCGCCATCACCATCCCCTTCACGACCCTTTCCCTTTCCCTTGCCTCGATTATCAATTTCCCTATAATCCATCGCCTTTTGTGCCTCCTCGAGAGCCTTCTTAAACTCGTTCGTTCCTCCCTGTCCGCCCCGCTCGTCCAGCAGCTCGAGCGCTCGTAGACGTAGCCGTCGTTCTTTTTCCGTCTCTCCGAACAAGAGGATTGGTTGACCTTTGGCTCGAAGTCGTCGAATACATTCCGAGGCGGAGATGTTGAACGCTTCAGCTTTGGGTGCTTCGGGTGCGGGAGATTGGGAAGCCGTTGTCGATCGGTTTCGAATTGCGGCAAGACGAGCGTTCTGCATGGAGGTACCAATTCAGCCGTGGCGTCTTGGCACGACCCATCGAGTTCTGACGCCGGACACTTGCTCACCTTCTCCTTTTCCTTTGCTAATGCTTCCTCCCGCTTCTTCTGCTCCTCAGCCTCACGTTTCCTCTTCGCTTCTTCCTCTTTAGCTCGATCGATGTCTGCCTTTCTCATGTACTTTTGAGGTCGGGAGCTCCCCGAAGGCGGGTCGGCCAGGTCCTTGCGCTTGTTGCTGATTTCGGACAGAAGGATATCCATACTAGCTGCTCTAGTGAGTGATAGGTGGGTATGGGTATGGAGGTAGAGGTAGAATGAGTTTCGACTGATCATATGCTGAACAAGGTCAATAAAGTGGGTCAGGAAGAGGGCTGTGGCTGAAGGTCGAGGGGGGGGGGGGGCGACGCGCCTGGAACATGAGCGACGTGCGGCGCGGTACGGGCATAGGCGACAGCCGATGATGATATGGATGCATGGCATGATGATGATGAGCTGCTATCGTACTGCGCGTACTGTCAAGAGTTGCAAAGACGGTCAGCATTGCCGACCTCGTCCTTTGCTTACGACCGTTCCCGCGGCACCACCAATCCTGTAGATAGCTCTGATATTACGACAAGATGGCGGCCTTTTTCGGATTCGGAGGAACTCCGGTAGACGTCGAGATCAACCTGCACGGCGAGGAAGGACGCAAGCAGATCGAGCAAAAGGGAGAAAAGGACAAAAAGGAGTTGTGTGCAGTTTACCTGGATGGAGAGAGCGTATCTGGTCAGGTCAGTCCTCTTCAGCGATCCAGACGATGAAAATGATCAGACAAGCTAGAACGGCTACCTTCTTGTCCTGTTGGCGATTCCGCATTACAGGTCACGGTGAGAGTCAAGGATGGCAAGAAGCTGCAACACGATGGCATTCGGTTAGAACTCGTAGGGAGCATAGGTCAGTCAAAAGTCCTTGTTTGCATTTAACAACGAAGACTTGAAAACTGAGACTTGATACTGGTTATTGTCATGCGTGACGCCAGAAATGTACTATGACCGGTGAGTACGCTCCGCACAGCTGTACAATCTGTCATTCCCGTATACTCACCTAAAGCTGACCACGACTCTCTAGGGGCAACCACTACGAATTCCTCTCGCTGGCGCAAGAGCTGGCGGCTCCGAGCGAGATGCGTCAAGCTCAGACGTTTGACTTCAACTTCAAGAACGTTGAGAAGCAGTACGAGAGTTATTCGGGGATCAACGTCAAGCTGAGGTGAGTCCTGACCTTTCCTCGCAATCATGACGATGTTCGGCCTTTTCAAATGTTATTTGATGCTCGCTGTGCGCAGATACTTCCTGCGATGTACGATCCACCGACGGCTAGGGGACGTGATTCAGGAAAAAGACATCTGGGTGCACAGTTTCAGGATGCCGCCAGATTCGAACATGGCCATCAAGATGGAGGTCGGGATCGAAGACTGCCTGCATATCGAGTTCGAGTACAATAAAGCCAAGTAAGCCCTGCTCCTTTTGGTCTGCCTGTCACCTTCTAGCGCCTGACAGCCGATTGCTTTTGGCGGGACGATGCTGGTGCGTAACTTAGGTATCACCTGAAAGACGTGATCGTGGGCAAGATCTATTTCCTGCTAGTACGGATCAAGATCGAACATATGGAATTGTCCATCATTCGGAGAGAGACGACCGGATCGGCTCCTAATATGCAGAATGAGAGCGAGACGATCACAAAGTTTGAGATTATGGATGGAGCGCCTGCGCGGGGTGAGCATCTCAATCTGAGCCGCGAACAGTCCAGGTAGACGATTTCCCGCTCACTCGGTCTGTCCTGTGATGTAGGGGAGACTATACCGATCCGACTGTTCCTCGGCGGCTTCGACTTGACACCGACGTTCCGAGACGTCAACAAGAAGTTTTCCGTCCGATATTACCTCAATCTCGTCCTGATCGATTCCGAAAACAGGCGGTACTTCAAAGGTGAGTCCCGTACGTCTCACAATGATGTGGAACGGGGTCGCTGATGAAGTTTTGGCTTGATACTGTAGGTACCGAATTTACGATTTTCCGGTAAGCCTTCCTCTGCATGACGACATTACAGCGACCATCCTGACCCTGACTTTGTGCGTCGACCTTGTTTTGATCCGCGATATATCTCTCCAGCATTCCGTGAGTTTGTCGACTCATTGTACAGTCGGTTGATGACAAAGCAGGTCGCTGACATATCCTTTATGACTCTTTAGCGAGAACTGATTTGTATACCGCATAAATGCTGTCTTGAATTGGATGTAACGGTTGATACATGGGTATGTATAGTCTTTCCATTTTCGCACAAGCCCAGTAAAGAGGGCCCGAATCCTGAAGCCCCGGGATCTCATTGTCGCTCGTGAGTTCGAAGAAGACTAGATTTGACGTCCGCGCCCGAAGAATACGGTGGCGAATGTTTGAACCTCGACGAAACCGAGCAGGCGGGGCCTTCAGATAACGGAGACAAAGATGAATCTGATCAAGATCACATCCCCAAGTCCTGACTTCATCGCCCAACACACTGCAGTCTTTTCAGCCCATAAGCCGGTTAATTCTCGACGCAAACAACGAACGAAACAAGCTGATAACTGTTCGAGGAAAAAGTATTGCGTCCCGGCTTGACCGGGAAAAGGCCTTCAGTCGCGTCGATTAGCTTTACAGACTGAATACACCACACGGATGTCCGAGGCGATCTTCTGATAAGACACCGAAAATCATACTATACAACCAAACAAACTTCCGCTAATGCTGCCAATACCCGTACTATCAATATGGAACCTTGGACATCTCACCCGTCGCTAACAAGTCATCGTCAAACATCTCGGGATAGACATCGTCATCCTCGCTTTCGTGCTGGTACCGGTCGTCATGATCGTGATTTGAGCCGAGATCCACATCGGGCGATCGAGCCCGTTGATCGTGTTGCGCTTCCTTGTATTTCTGGAAACCCCGTTGGTCAAAGAATTCGTCTCCTAGATATTCACCCTTGTCCTCGAAGGAACCTGGCATGCTACTGGGCCGAGAATCATGTAGAAACTCGCCTCTATCTGAGATTGCGTCTTCGTCATAGCCATAATCGCTTCCATCATCCGCCGGGTGAGACAAGGGGGAGCTTGGGCGCGAGCTGGCCGAAGTAGCCTTGCGACCGTCGTCTGTGCTTCCTGCTATCGTCTGGCGTGAAGCGCGTCTGGCAATACCGGTGAGTCTTCCGAGCATGCTCAGTCTGCCCGATGTGTCGGAGGTGGCGCTCAAAGCCGGCGATACAGGCTGAGGTGGTGTCAAGTCTGGAATAGCGATATCTGGGATGGCTGGTCGCCAATAATTGAAATCGGTATATTCTGGGATGACCTCGCGATGCACAGGCGGGAACATCTGATCGACGAGATCGGTCTGCAAGTCAAAGTAACGCGTGAGCAAGTTGGAGAAACCTGGATTGAGGGATTTGCATGAATTTACCATATGGATATAGGACGACTTGTATCCCGCAAGTTCCAGCAGCTCCATCTTGACCTCTCCATAAGAGTCGATAGTAAATATACGGGAGCTCGGCACGTTTACACTCCGGTAGGACATGGCATCGGTGATACGATTGCCGAATCCAGCATAAAATGCGCTTCGAGACCCGCCAAATAACCTCTGGATATCACGGAGACATGCCATCTTGAACAACTCGGGTTTGCGCATGATGACCTCCCTACAAAGTAAGACCAGGCTTGATTAGCCCGAAATTCTCAGATCGACGGAGATAGACAGCCAACACTTACCGGTGCAAAGAGGTAAAGAGACGATCAGGGCTCATTATAACTGGACCTTCCGGAAGTTGATATTTCCCTTGACTAATGCTCTTAAGGTAGTCCCTAGTCGAGTCTGCCTGACCGATCGCTCTCGAAGTGAGATACATGATCTTGTATCCATTGTTGCAGACGTCGGTGTATAGCTTGGCAACACCCAGGTGTGTCCAATCTCGTCCAATTGCGGCGAATACATGGCCCAAGGCGTCCGATCTGATAACCAGCAGGTCAGTCGCAGACTTGCAGATCCATATCGAAGATTCATACGAACTTGGTGATAGTCCCGTCAATGTCCGAGATCACCACGTGATCACGCTCCTCCCACAGAAAGATCCTGGCGGAGCACTGAGCGACGCCCGAGTACGATGATGTTACCGAGAATATGACTCGATTGGCACCAGGTTTCAGTTTCAGCTCGCTCTAAACAAGGCTGTGTTAGTGCAAGGAATGTGAATCACGGTGCCTTCGCTTTCAGACTACTGACGAGCTGGCTCGACGTCAACCGTAAAGTCTTTGCGTAGTATAGCTTGTTCTCTGAAGGATCAGCCTGGTTTGCAGCGCAAGCCACGAGTCAGCCTTAATGCACTCAATGATATTCACACCGATCGGTCACTGACATCTGGCTTCAAGGCGGGACTAGCTTCAGCCTTTCGGTCTTTCACAACCTCAGGTGTCGCCGACCTGACGAGCGGAGTGACAGGCGTTGTAGCAGGCTCGAGAGGTATACCGGCACTTTGACCTCGTCTCCACCATCTCGACCATCCATATCCTTTCGAACCCTTGACATCGACGGACGTGGCGTCGACGCCGATCGAAGACAATGAAGGCAAGGTTTCAGACGCAGCTAAACCGGACGACCCAGGGGGTACCAGAGACCGCCGGTAGACCGCAAGTGCGGCTAGTATTGGTGAAGCATTCTGCCAGGTCAAGAACCTGCATCGTTCACGGTGAGGTCAGCAGACCTTCAGCGAGAATGCGATGAAGTCGCTCACTTCGAGTCATAACGGATCACTAAGTCGGGTTGGTCAACGATCTTGGGGTCCTCCACGAAACGCTTAAACGTGATCCGGTTGACCTCAAATACATCGGCAAGGATCTGGACAGCCGCGAGATCAGCAAATCGCTCGCCAAGCCAGGTAAGACCGTCGCTTACCTCATCCAGATTGTCCTCTACTTCGTCACCCGCCAACACGTCTCCGCCTAGACCAAGCTCGAATATATGGCTTTCACCCGCCATGTCCAGTATGAACTTGTAAGGATCTGCCTCATCGTTCTTGAGTACCCCACCGGGTGTCTGATCGGTCATCGGTGGTACTGGGGATGTCGCTGGCCGTACCAAGGGAGGTGCGCTCTGCTGTCTTTCTAGATGCTTCGATTGGGGCAAGAGAACCGATGGTCTGGTCGGCATCCCTTCTAGCCGATTGACATTAGGTGCTGATACGCTGCTCGACCCAGCTTTGTGCGTTGCTCTAAGACTAGGTCGATCGATGAGACCGGGAGATTCCGTCTCGACCAGAGAATTGATCCGGGCATGTCGAAGCGGATCCGAAACCTCTTCTGCCGGGGTCTTTGTCGGGAACCCACCCCATTCCCAAGTGTAATCCGACTGAGTGGTAATCCCGGATCCTACCTCTGGAGGTTCGGAAGCACCTCGACTGAACCCAGCTCTCTGTCCCGGTCGAGTGGAATTACCGGCCAGTTCCTTCACATCGTCCGCTTCCTCATCTTGCTCAGGCGCATCGCCAAAGCTAAGCCGACGCTTGATCTCCCAAACCACATCAGATTCCGGTCGTTCAGGTGCGCCATGTCCTAAACTGTCTTCTGCCGTGATCGCGCCCGCGCTTAGGAGCAGATCTTGCGCGAATTTGACTAATCCGTCACTACGTTCGACATCGAGCACTTCACCCAAACCCATATTATCCCGTAACCGTTTCTCACTGGCTTCCGGTGTGTCCTCTTTCGCTGTCGTATTGTCGAGGTTGAGCTCGTTTAACCTCTCAGCTGGGTCCGTTTCGACAAGGTTGCGAAGATGATGGTCAGAAACGTCGAGTTGGCGATGATATCCAGCCATGTCCAGCACCACATCTGGCAGCAAGCATATTGAAAGCTTTAGCTCGAGGGATCTTATGATCAGGAGTACGATCACGGACCTTCGTTGTACAGAACCTCGGGAGCTTCCCCTTCTCCATCCTTGAGCGCGGGTAATCGCGCGTCCGCTTTATCCTGCAACGTGGCCAGGGGATCTGAACCTGAACTCTTCCTGGAAGGTGAAGACGAGTTTTCCAAGCTCTTCAAACTACTGGTGGAGCCCTTCCGCTCGCGCTTCAAGCTGAGGTTGCCCAGTCCCACGCTCACGCTAGGCACGTGTGCTTTATGATCCCGGACGTAATCCTTCAACGTCTCGGCGCGATGGTAGTAGCTCTCGGATCGTGCTTCTGGACGGTTCCGGAGCGGATTCGGGGGAAGGGGACCCGGCTCTTCCTGCTTGATTTTGATGTCTCTCTTGCTAGTGTCTCCCTCACCAGGACTTGAGGCATCGCCACTTCCCGACAGGAAAGATGGCAGGAAAGACGATGCCGTATTCAATATCGATGATGGCGAGACGGACGATTGTGCTCCCTGTTTCTCCGCACTAGATTCCCTGATATGACCTTTGGCATTGTTCAAGATGGCTGCTTTGGCCGTAGGTAGCGACCCTCGCCTTTCCGAATTCCTCCTCGCTCTGGATACCGATGAAGCCGACTCGGGCTGCTCCGTTGGTGCTGTATGCTGTTTTGCATCGAGCTCGAAAGGCTCAGGTTCCCCATGCATGTTGGCCCGTCCGTCCTGTCCGAAAGGCTGTTGCGTAACATTGTCCCCAGGGTCTACCTTTGAATCGTCTGTTTCAGTGATTGGTGATGTAGGCGGCGATTCCTATGACGAAACGAACGGCATTCAGCCTGAGATCGTGACCTAGATCATTGCAGTCTCGAATCCCCAAACTTACTTGGGTGGCCGACATGACCGGACTAGTCTGCAATTCTTCCGGCACCTCGGCATCGGTCTCTACCACAAAGAAGGCTTCTCCAGCCTCTCCCACCTTCATCCAGACAGGAGCCCGATGTCCGTTTTCGCTCGGCAAGTTGTCGGGAAGCGTGAGTGTGACCTGTTCCCAGTGATATGGGATTCGCAGTATGAAAATATCGATCTAGAGGACGTTGAGGCAGCACCAGATTGCGTACCCGCTTCTCTCCGGCTCGGAGCACCTGCAGCTTGCCGAATCGGACATGGAAGGGCGAACAGCTGTATACATCTTCGCCGTCCTTCAAGAATCGAAAGAGATCGAGTCAGCACAGATGCTGGGAGAATCCGAAATGCTGCCCTATGAACTTGCCTCTCCTCTCCGCCGCACCACAATGACATCGATGGCACCGGACAAGGTAGCGGGATTGATTCCCGAGTCTGTATCGCAGGTATCGGTTAGCGACAGTAAATCGTATATTTTACACAGCTCGAGTCCGGTATTCACAGTACTGATATGCCTTGGACAGGTACTGCATCTTGTGGAATGGTGGCCACTAGCTAACGTGTATTTGCCTTGCCTAGCCACATGCGTAAACGAAAGGACTCGAAACAGGTAACAAGGCGGTCCTAGGTTCCGTTACGGGTTGGGCGCGAATGCAGGTTGACCGGGTAGATCTATGATGATGGGGTGCCCAAGAGACAAGATCGAAGAGTGTCAATAATCATATAGCCAACGACAGCTACGATGTCGAGATGGTACGATGCACGATGTCGCTCTCTACCGTTCCTCCGGCTGTAAAGTCCCCGAGCTTGTTAGCGTCGTCCTACATCATCAACCCAAGTGGAGGGCGACGCGCATCGTCTCCCAAGCGCGAGCAGCCGCATACGTAATAGAATGCAAGTCCGGAGCCGACGGCCGGGCGGTAGGTACGCAGCATGGATATCATCGCAACGATCGACGCATCTATGCATCTATACTACAAGCTACAACGTCGAGTGTCCAGACCCGTGAGCCCAATAGGAAATTGGCTACGAGTTCTCCCCTACTGGCTATTCGGTATTGCTGGCGTACTTTTTGTTCCGAGCGAATATGTGAGCGTGGGACAGTCCACGAACCGACTGGAGCCGAGGTCTGTGAATTCGATACGATACAGACATTAGAGGAGGGATATAGGGAACCGCAATACTGCAGAATTGATGTCTCACGGATTGACAAACTGCGCGGACGTATCGTTAGCACCCCAATCTTCCCGCAATAGCAAACCTGAACCAGACTCACCCAGGCACATTCGAATTCTTCCGGGTTCCACAGGCTCTTTACGATTTTGTGGATCTCTTCCCCGCCAGGGGTATACCAATCGTCATGTCCAGGTCGACCGGTCAGTCCCGAAAAGCCGTCTTCGAGAACCTTCGCCCATGCATCCTCGTTGTGGTCGAGCAATGCTTTGTGAAAGATCGGTTTCTACGACAAGATCGGACAGTCACATGAGCAGACGATTCTGTGTGGACGAGAATCGATCAAGGTAGCTTACTCTGGTCCAAAGAATGCTATGTCGCACGCCATACGGCACATTGTACGGCCAGTCGTTCGGTAACAGACACATCCCCTTTCCTCCTTTCAACAGATCCTCAGCATCGAGATCCTCGAACTTGACCCATTCTCCATCTTCTTTCTTCATGACCTTCCCGCTCGTGCCATCTGCACAGTTGTTCTCCCTCGGAGTGGCCGGACGTGTGGGAGCCGGGGTGTTGTACGTCTCCGTGAACTCTTTGGGCAGCCTGACGTCCAAGATGTATCTCTCGACCGTTCCGTGTATCTTCTTGAGCTCGATGTTCCACTTGTCATAGCGTTGTTGTAACTCTGGATTCCGTTTGAGCGCTCCTAGGTCACTGAGTTATTACTGTGTTTGATCAATTCTGGCAGTCCGCTAGCTTTGTACCTGCGCTGACGAGGGACTAACCATTCCAGTATGCTAGATCAACAGCGGTTCAGTTTGTCGATACACCAACCTAGTAGAGCGAAGTAGTACTCACAACGTACGCAACTGGTCCCATATGAACATGCGGGGGAACGAGTCCAGTTCCGCTTGCGAGGGAATCCCTGCGACAACGTTTGGCGGGAGACCGTACACTTTCGGGTGTGGCATGGTGGAGTGACGCTTTGGGTTTCGACCAGTCGAGGTGATAAAAATATGATTGAGGCTGGCTGGCAGACTGGGTGGATCAAAATGTAAGCTAAGCCGCGTACGTACGAGCTGCCTCTTTGTTAAAGATTTTACGGGTTGGCCTCAGCTCAAACCGATCGAAGATCAAAGATCACCGAGATCACTAGATCACTAGAGCTCAGAGCGCTCAGAGCTGTTGAGCTGGACCGTATATAACCAAAACAACGGGCCGAACAGCGCAATAAGGGCCGAGCGAGGTCGGGCTCATCCGAAGGAAACTATATGACGTAAGACGGACCTAAAGCAGGAAGACAAGATCACGTGATGGAACTCTAAACTGTAAAACAAGGAGGAAGGGCGCTGGCCGGTGGTCGCGTTTCGCACGTCGCACGTCGTCAGTATCAGTTTCTCAATTCCTCTCTAGTCTGTCTGTCCGGATCATGGGTGATCTGGTTATGTTAATATCGTCTAGTAAGCTAGTAAGCTGGTTAGTGCTCGATCTGGTCGGCATAAACGACGGAGGTGAAGATAAGGAGAGCAATGACATCTAGGCAGACCTGGAGCACAGCTCTATCATATCTTCAGGGATTGAAGCGTCCAAAAACTAAACCGATTTGCGAATGAACGGTATCAGAGCAACGCCAGTACTGACACCCCACGTATACTGACCGCCAGAAAATCTTCCAGTGCAACCATAGAGAGCGTGCCTAAGGGTGTCGAGGTCCTCATAGGCTGACCACCCCAGAGGACCCGGACGAATCGAGCGCTTCCGTCTTTCTTCCAAACCTCGAAGACGATCCTGTATCATCAATCATGGTTAGCCAGTGCAATCGGATGCAGTGACCTCTACCGCCACTCACTCGGCCCCCATCCCTGAAATCAGAAGCGTATAGCGAGAAGCCATAAGCATTCGTCTTAGTTTACCTGTCCAGTATGTGCTTACCGGGCCAAACCATCTGGTCAATCTGCAAGAAGCCTAGTAGAGCCGCCAACGAGCCATCATGAGCGATATTGTGCCTATATTTTACCGAGCTTCCCGCGGTTCTAGATTCGATATGATCCTTGACTTCCATCATCCAAGGTCCGGACCTTAATGTCGAGTATGCGGTCGAGTTTTTGGCATCACGGAAGAGGTAAGAGTATTCTGCAGCACGGTACCTCGGGTAAAGCTTGGTGCCTGGCATCTGGTCAATAGAACATGCGCTTACCGAATTGACCGAGCCGATATACGGTGTTGGCAAGTTCCTGATTGACACAGACACCGGTATCGCCTGAATTGCACGGCAGAGCCTTCGAACTGGCCACAGACGGATATCAGTACTGAGAAGGTACCCTTCGAGATCCGAGGGAGGCTCACTGGCATTGTTTAGCACTCAAGTTGTCATAATAGCTAGAAAGACAAGCTGTTCAGCCCTGAGAACGGATAGATGAGATATTCTCCGCTTACTGATCGAACGATCTACTTCCGTTTACCAGGTCAGCGATTCTTCGCTCCGACATGATGATCTCAACACTCACGTATGCCAACCGCCATTGTCGTGCCTAAGGATACCAGACACGGCGTCCAGCTCGTCAAAAACATCTGAAGCAGCCTGAAGATGTGCCGCCCATGGAGTACCCGGACCGGTATAGTTCGCTCTGAGCTGATCGGCAAGCTTGCAGGAGAAGGCCGGTTCTAGCGAATCGAATGCGGGGCTCTGCCGACGGGATCATCAGGCGAATCAGCAAGGTGGATGAATATAGGATTGTGTGGAAGCAGGACAGACCTGGATGTTCGCAACGAGGTCATTCAGATCGGGATACAGGCCTTTCGCGATCCCTCCAAGGACTTGCGAAGTGATTTCCTGGGTAGAGATCCGGGCGGCGCTCATTCAGCGTGACCGACCCTTGTTTCCGCTTAACATGACATCTGCACCTCACTCACGTTATTAGTGACTCTGAAGACCATCTCAGATTGATTGTGATGAGCGGGTAAAAAGCCGAGCCGGTCGTGGTAGACTTCTCGTAAATGCTCTCCATGAATTTGGGCGTCGACGATAGACTCCTGTCGAGGGCTGATGGATAAGGCGTAGCCCATACCAAGCGGTTATGAACGGAAACTTCAACTTACAGCCGTGACTTGAGGGAACTGACAGTTTGACCCCTTGAACCCTACCGGAGCAGCGGCTGCCCACGGATTGACCTCATCCCTGACCCCCTGCCAAGAGATCGGTACAACCTGGTTAGCCGGTCCCGAGGCGTTTCGAGCGTAGTGATATGGTCGATCTGAGGAACAGTCCCAAGTGATGTCTTCCTCCGGGAAGATGTTCCCACGGTAGGGGGTACGTTTGTGGTGCCTATGAACGACCTCTACGTATTCCAACGTGTAATCGGGGCTGGGAAAGGGGTATTCCGTGGCTGTGATTCTAGGAGGGTTATCAAACGGTATCTTGGATATCGCTACGATCTAGCAGCAAGCATACCTCGAACGTGAGGCATGTTGCACCAATTATAGATGCCATAGTCTTCGTCAAGGACCTCCGACGAGTTGAAGATACCAGGAGCTCCTGAACCTCGCAGGACGTCCTCGATCGAGCTAGATGCATGCGACTTCGGCGGATACCGGGAACTGAACACAGACATGTCTACCAGCTTCTCTCTAAAAGCCGTCGTTGAAGCGACGGGCGCAAGAGGGAAGACCATGCTTGATTCTTGTAGGGTAAATAGGGAGAGATTGCCTTGGCAGGGTTCCATGGCGATTTTCGATCTGTAACAGTTTCAGGACTGGCAGTTTTTGCACCACGTCTTCGGAGATATAGGGTAAAGGCACAGTGTATATATTGCATTGATTCAAGGCGTCTAGATTACGAATGCACTTGGTTCCTTTACGTCCAGGTCTTGAGGGGTGAGGTTGAAAGTGGTGATGACGCTAATTGAAGCAACCGCCCTGGACCGTACTAGATCTGCGTCCGAGCCGGATGTATCTGATTAAACTAGTCACGTGACTCTAAGGTGAACTCCCGTATCCGTGACACTTCCCCTCGAGATCGAGATCAATTCAGCCTTTACCTGCTCGTCAAAGTGTCGTCTGGCACCCCTGACCCATCTCGACTTCTCGCTCTCCAGACGCCTTGACGCAGCTAGTATCAGGCTATGAACCTCGTTTTCCCCCCTTCGCTGGGCGTCATCACTGAATCCCCCAACCCGACCCCGCAGGACGAACCCGACTCGCTCGAATCCTCCATCCACTCGCTTGGCCCGGCCCCGCCTAAAAGAGCAGAATCGGTCACAAGCATGGCTGCAGAAACTTTCGACGTTAACGGAGCGTACATTAGGGCATTGAACGATGAGCAGGTCGGTGATTAGGATATAGAAATCGGGAGAGCTTTCGGCTAATCTCATGTATCTTGGGTCGAGCTAGGTTCCACACCCGTTAGCTGCTATCTTGGCTCTTACCCAACTTATGGAAGTGTCTACCGGTGAGCCTAATCGCTCGTCTGGTTCTCTTTTTTCTTCTTAGTCTAACCTATTCACCTTCAACTTCGACTACTCGCAGCATCCACTCTAACTGGGCTCCTCACCGAGCTAGTCTCAGCCCGTCGGAAACTGGTAGACACCCAGCCATCCTTGGGCGTCCGAGCAGGTTGTCAGCTGTTCGAAAGGTTCGTCAGTAGTAGCGGCGCAGGCGAGGTGAGTTTAAATTTTGAGTCTAGATATGCTTGAAGAGATGAAAAGGTTCGCTGACGTGGAGACCGATCACTCCCTTTCGTTTCACTTGACCCATTTTGTGATACCCTAACGATCGCTCCGGCAGGATTTTCCCTCCCACAAACGATCCCTTATCGAACAAGGTCGGTCTTTCTGCGCTGTCACCGCACCCGAGTGTAGGCACAAGATCGCCGAGCTCGCGGTCGGGTTCTTGCGAGACGACTGTGTCGTGAGTCGTCGCTCTTTACTTACAGAACGGAGAGGACGTAGATGCTGATGTCACGCAACGATTTGGGAGGATAGATTTTGACGCACTCGTACTCGAGGACGGTGATCCAGGCGTTGTTGAAAGCGCACAAGCAGAACAAGCGGATCAAGGTCTATGTCGCCGAAGCCAGACCTCAGGGATTGGGGTGGGTTTCGCGAACTCGCGAGATCTTGCTAGCCTAATGTGATCTTCTGGCTGACCAATTCGAATGTCTCTACTTCAGCCTCAAGACGCACCAAATCCTGACCCAGGCAGGAATCCCTTGCACGGTGATCCTCGATTCGGCCATCGCCTACATCCTCGAACGGGTCGACATCGTACTGGTCGGTACCGAGGCCGTCGTCGAATCCGGCGGTCTCGTATCACGTATCGGGACCTCGCAGTGCGCCCACCTAGCCAGGGCCATGGGGAAACCATTTTACGCTCTAGCGGAGAGTTACAAATTCTTGAGGTATTACCCCTTGACGCAGTCGGATTTGCCTATGCCGAGACGGTGGGGAAGGCGGATACCACTGGAGTTTGATGAGCTTGACGAGGAAGAAGATGAGGAGGATGTCGATGATAGTGAGACGGCAGCTGGAGGGGGCACGGGTCGATCTCACACGGGAATGAATACGCGCTCGAGACTCTCCCGATCGAACACCACCGCCCCGGCTACTCCCCGCCGAGTTTCCCTCTCGGACAGCGTCTCTGGACCAGGAGGGACTGCCGCGGGTGCTCTGGCGAATACCGCGCCCGGGTACGATGTCCGCTGGGAGATGACGAGAGAGATGGAGGAGAAGAACCCGTTGGTCGACATTACAGGACCAGAGTTGGTCGATCTGGTCATCACGGATCTGGGGACGATCTCGGCTACGGCCATCTCTCAGTACTTGGTCGCCTTGTTCTCGTCATAGCCTCCACCTGCATGTGGTCGGAGCGGTTTATGTTGGTTGTATCATAGTGTATTTGGCGACGATCCGCCTAGATGGAGAGTGAAGGAGTTGACAAGTTTCACGTGAGAGCTCTGACTCCCCCTTGATGAACGTTGATCGTTTCAGCTTGTCGTCGCTGTCACGCGGAAGCTTTCCGTGATCCGTGGGCGTGATTGATCTTCCAAAGGGTGTCGACGAGAGGTAAACAAACAAAAGGGGAAACAGAGATCATCACCCTCATCATGACGTCGTGTGTCATTACGATGTTCTCTCTTCTCCAGCTTGTCATGGTCATATATCATACAGTAGTAGTGGTCGAAGTCAACTATAGTCGGACTTGCCTAAACCCTTTCTTGCACAACATCTCCCTGCCAGCCTGAATCATCTCCATCGGCCAGGTCCGAAACGATACAGAATGGTGAGCCATATTGTACACGCACCTTGCGTGTCTCACCGACTCATTGATCGATAAATCATCGAATTATATAGTATACAACTCCCAGACGTTCCCCAAAGGCATCCCCGACCTCTTCCCCCGCTTCAGCCTACTTCAACTCGCCCAATGATCCATCTGCATCCCCATCAGCTCAGCTCGGGCGCGGTCGAGCGGGGAACGCCGGGTCGGGGGTGTTGTTGACAGATTGGCCGAACGACGCGAAGGTGGATGGACTTCCCCCTCCCGCCTTTGGGGTCAAGACTAGGTCGATGAAGCTCGCCGAGAAGAGGATCGTCTCGGGATCCAACCTCTCGCCTAAGGAAAAGAAGGATTCGGTACGGCATCCAGAGTCAAAGGATGGCAGATACGACGACATCAACGAAGAAGATGACGAGGAGAATGATGAAGAAGAAGAAGTGGTCGACGGGTTGATCGAGAGGATGCAGAGGAACATGAGAATCGTCTCGTCTACCTCGACGATCATGGCGAGACCAAGGATGAGCGAGGTGGAAGCGGACGAAGTGGATGGAGCACTCGGACAGGTTCCTGAAGAGATTGGTGGAACGCAAGAGGAGAGGAGTCCTGATCAGGAGATTTCGAAGGAGGAACCGAGCGACCGCGAAGCTGCACCAGGCAGAAAGGTACATCCGATTTCGCATGAGTTGTTGAGCGACAAAAGCTGACATTGAGACTACTCCAGGCACTCAAATCGCTTCGCCAACCGGCTATTCAACCCCGGATGAACAAGTCCACCCTAGCTCGGCTCAACCCTACCACACCTGCCACTCGTCCAGAATCGCCCCGTGGAGACATGACCACCCCGTCTCGTGCGACATCCCGCAGACCGGCCTCTGTCGCCGTCTTCAGACCGAGTGACATACCTGCCAAAGGATCAGCGAGTTGGAATGTCGGCATGGAGACGCCTAGGAGGAAGGTACAGACGAGCGATGGGGTCGAAGGGGGGAACAAGAGGCTATCTACAGTGATCACTCCTGCAAGCCTCAGACCGCCTGCTATCGTGAGCTCTCTCCTCTTTTCCCTTGTACGTCATCTTGCTGTAGTTGACGATCCACTTCCGCTTATCATAGACGCCACGAGCTACCCGCGCCTCTGACCTGAGGGTGACGATGATTAAGGACCCTTCCTACTTTTCCCCCACGGTAGACGATCGGTCATCTTCGCGCCTATCTGGGCTGACGAAAGAAGAGATCAAGCAGAGGGAAGCCAAGATCTTCGAGGGAACGCCTGGGCATCGGAGGAATCTGAGCTTAAAGCACGAGCTCTGGAGCTTGCGACCGGCCGTAAGCGAAAAGATTCGGTGGGCTGACAGGTGAATGTGCGCTCGAGCTAATTTGATGATCTGTACTATGTTGCGACGTCCAGACGCCTCATCGGACCAACCGATCAGCAGACCTGCGTCGGTGCCCCACGCTAGCTACCCTGCCTCCGACGCCGTCACGCGAGTTCAAGGCTCGTCCTTTACCTGCGATGTATGGCGGTGGAGGTGGGAGTTTGAAGCGCGAGTCGGTTACGAAAGAGGCGAAAGGGGCAAGCCAGATGGATGGGGGATCGAGGTCGAAGGTCAAGGCTTGATGTACGATAAGACTGCTGATATCAAGGGGCGATACGCTATACAACGATACGATGAGGATATACGAGAAAGCCGTCTGAGACGTGCATGACGATTTGTAGTCTGGGTGAGAAGGCCATGTACATTGATTGTAGCCTTATGAATCAAATCGAGGTCTGGAGATCCCCATGAACACACCCTCAATAGCCTTGGGTCACGATTTACGAGTCCAAGAAGTGGCTGTGAAAGATGTCGACATGAATGATTGAAGGGTTCCGCCGGTCCGGGAAGGGCGGAGGGACCCCTAATCACGTGACGAATCGGGACATGGTCCCGGTTACCGGGAGTATTTATAGGCATAGACGGAAGCGAAGATCGATTCGCCGATCGTCATATCCTCCCGCTCCCGCTACCGCTGCGGGATCTGTGCTTCTGCGTGTGTGCGCAGTCGGATCTGTACTCTTGTGTGTGCAATGAGGGTGCATGAGGTGCAGCGCCAACGTCGGTCCATAGGTCCCCAGCTTGTCAGCAAACGATACAGTACAAGAACACTCCATATCGAACTCCTCTCGCAACTGGTGGTAGTGCGTTTCCGATGCAGAGCACTCAATCACAATCATGATACCTGGCGTCGACTCACCGTATCTCAATCCCGCCCTTCGCGGGATCCTCAACGGGATCGTCTTCTGCATCGCCCTGTTCATGCTCGAAAGATCGGCAGACGTGTTCGTCGATAGCACCTCGATCGTCGCAAAGAGACTAGGATTACCAACGATCTTGGTCGGTCTGTTGACTGCAGGAGCCGAATGGGAAGAGGTAAGCGCGTTTCCAAGGTAGAGGTTTTGCCGAGTGTAGAAAAGCTGACGACGATTTCCCTGCGAACAGCTTGCCGTAGTTGTCTCCTCCTTGAGCGAAGGCAACCCCTCTCTCGCCGTATCCAATGTGATCGGATCGATGACGGCCAATATCCTGGGCTCCTTTTCTATCGGGCTGTTATTCCGCCCAGCTGCTCTGAACAACAACGAAATGTTCTCCTCCCGGCTCTACGTCTCCCTGATGCTCTTCCTGAGTTTTATCTTGATCGTCGCCGGTCCTGGATGGGGATGGATCCTGCGAGGGCTTCAAGTGGGTATCCCAGTAAAACGGGCTAGGAGAGCTCAGTCAGCGGGGAAATGGGCTGGGATCGTCCTCCTCTGCTTGTTCGGAGTCTACGTAGCAGGAATCGCTTGGGGGATCTACCGGGGTACCGTAACCCCGCCCGAAGGATCCGACAGTGATTCTTCCGATACCGATAGCGACTCCGAGATGGAAGACGAGGATCTTTTGGATCCTGAATCCCTCAACACTCAGAGACCTCTTCCTGCAGCTCAAGCTAGTCTGACGCCCGATGTCCGGACGCCAACCGAGAGATCGCCGTTGATACGCACCGTATCGCTTCCTCCTCCCTCGGCAATCACGCAACGAAGGGGTCCGACCTCGACGACCCATCATGTCGTCAGGTTGATCGGATCGACGGCGATCCTTTCACTTTCGGGTTACTTGCTGTCAAACACGACTTCTACGCTCGCCGTCTTGCTCGGCTTGTCACAGTCGACGCTGGGTCTGACTCTCTTGTCCATCGCGACGACCTTGCCGGAAAAGCTCGTGGCCTACAAGAGTGGCAGGAAGAGCCAGACCGGGGTCTTGATCGCGAACACGGTTGGCAGCAACGTATTTCTCGGCACCTTGGTGCTCGGGATCGTTTGGACCGTCTCGGGCGAGTTGCCTTTCACTTCTGGTAACGCCTCGGGAAGGATTAGAGGGATCAAGGGACTAAGGTGGATCTGGGTGGATGTCATCGTGGTCGTCGCTAGTTCGCTTCTCATGTGGACCGTCGTCTGGTTTGGGCTGTTCAAGAGGAGCATCGGTGTTGCCATGTTATTGTTGTATACGACCTACATTGTAACAATCTTCTTGAGATGACCAGTACGAATGTCGACGATTTCTGTATAAAGTCTTTCTCACTCTTCGTCGTCTTCCTCGCTATCCTCGCTATCATCCCCATCTTCTTCATCGTCCTCCTCCTCACTCTCGACGTCCATCTCGTCTTCGTCGTCACTACCTTGCCAATCTTCACCTTCGATGTTGGTGGCACGGAGTGTCACATACCCGTCCCGCTTGTCCAAGTTAAGCGAGTAAAAGTCATCGAGCGTATATTCCCGGCGGGACGACTCCCAGGAGCCTCCGTAGCTGTATCGACCGGGCCTGTCAGCGACAAAGTTGTTTCATTGAAACAATACCATCACGCTTACAGGTAGAACGTGTTCTTCAGCACGGCAATCATGGCGTTGTATCGGACCAGCGGCGGAACCAAGGCATTACTCTGGCCGCTCTGATTCTGCGATTCGACATCCATACCGTTCTCGCCAGCAGGCTGTATAGGTAACGAGACGTTCTTCAGCACGACATATGACTTGGAACATGAAGCCGGGTCGAACTGACCTTTTCCTCTGCATCGCTGTCCTCGTCGCTGTCGTCTTCCTCGTCACCAGCGGCCGGGGTAGCTGCGGGTGCGTCCATATCGACGTCCTGTCCATCCCCACCGCTTTGTGCTGCAGCAAGCGCCTTGGCTTCACGAGCCAATCGCTTCGCCTTGGCACCGCCTCCGCCCATCTTCTTCTTCTTTGCTTGAAGCGTGACCATCGACCATTTATTATTCGCGGGGTTGTAAGAGAAGCTGATGTTCGTGATATCGTAAATACTTGCTGACCGGGACGCAAATGTTTAAACGGCATACTTACAGGTCGTTGTAAAATACCGACTTCATGTCCTCCTTTTCTTCCTCGTCGTGCACTCCTCCGAATAGGACTCCCATGCCCTTGGTGGCCCAGTGAGTCATTGAACAGCCGGAACGGCTGGAAGGGGCCAAGCCACCCTTCTTGCGTTTTTCCCAGACGAGTTTTGTGAGGTCCGCATCCATTCTGATATTAGGTTGAAGCGATGGTAAGCATCCATGCTGAGTATCTAAATATGATACGCTTACTTAAGGGTCCACATATCGTCTAGTGCGAGCCCAACGAAGTTCTTGCCACCGGTATACTCCTTCTTGTACCCGCCTGTGGTAGGATTGCTCGTTTTTAGCCATGCTTCTGAGCCCAGGTCCGGAAAGCAGATTTACCGTATACGATGACGCCTTCTGAACATGGGATCATCGAGAACCCTGAGCGAGGACTGTAGAGATAGAAAGAAACCCTGAACATCGGCCACCTTCTGAATGAATGAGGCGAGAAGGACTTACCCGGGCGCTCGTTTGGCATCCTTCGTCTCCACCTGCTTCCACTTGTACAACTCCGTGTCGAACAACCACAGGTCCGACAGGTACGTTGCTGATATCCGCACAGGCTATCAACGAGACGACCACTGTTAGATGTACGTATCTGCTCACTTTTGATACCGGTATCTTGGAACCCTCCAAACAATACAATATACTGCTTCCAGACAGCCATTCTGTGTCCAGACCTCGCCGAGGGTCCTTTGCTAACCTCTACTTTCGCCCATGAATGGTCTTTAACGCTGAAACACCACAAGTCCCGATAATGCAAGAAGTTGGACTGATTCGAGGACGAGTATTCGCCGCCAAAAAGCCAGAGCTGTCCACCTTCCTTGGCAAGAGGTACAACTGCGTGTGCTGATCGCGGCGGTGGAGCGGTAGGACAGGTGTATAGGCGCCACTCATTCTTGTCAGGAGAGTAACGGAAGGTGTCGTTGCTAAGTCGTTCAGATTGCTCAGCCGGGTTTCTACGCTATTTCTGCGAGCCTCTCGCTTACTAGAAGTGAGCCTTCTGACCATCAAAGTACTCTGTTTGGTGGTTATCAGCCGGGCAGTCCTAAATAGATATTCACATCGACAGCCTTACCGCCTCCAATGAGCCATAGATGATCCCCATAAGCCGTTAAGGTTGCGCTTGCCCTCCTGCTTGGGGCTCCAGCCTGTATTTCATCCTTGACAGCGTGTGCCTTCGAACCATAAATTGCACATTTCAGCTTGACAGAGCCAGAGATAATATCGTTCAGTCAGTCGGACGAACCTTCTGCCAATCCTCTTGGAACTAGTAGTATTTGCGAATTCGCCATCAGCTCGCCGTCTGACGTCCTCCAGCTCAGCAATCAGTTACTCACCTGCGCCAGGATCTCCTCAAGATTCTCTTCTTTTCCCTTTCCCTTTCCTGCTAGTTTTCTCTCGGCTTTGGCGCTCTAGCAATGAGTTCGTAAAAGGTAAGGTGGGCAGTCTGAGAACCTCTTCGGAACACCCCGAGCGTTACCTTCGTTGCCTGCTTCTCTTTCTTTGCAAGCTTATTGGCGGCTTTTGAATCGCTGGACTTCTTCCCCATGGTGCCTTCTCTACTGATCGAGACTCGCTGTCTTGTTGATGATGAACGAGGAGGTTGTTCGGCACTATACATATTTGCCTTGTTGTATGTTCGGAGTGACGAATTCTTGATTCTTACGGTAATCGTATCAATCGTTGTCAATAACGAATATGCGCTTTGGCAAGGCGAATTGCCCGTGGTCCCGCTTGTCTTTTACATTTGATTGAGATTTCGAACAAGACGCTGCGAGACCGAGCAGCAAGGCGACAATTACATTCAGACACCATACGGATATTCTGTTTAACTCAGATTTAATCCGTGCGAGAATATCCTAAGGATCAATGAGAAGGGAAAAAAAAACGATTCAACTCATCAGTTCTGATTTCAGTCCGGGAATTATCAATGGCAGTCAAGGACGAGGCATGAAATCGAGAAGAGGAGGATGAGATGACTGAGCATTCACATTCGCTAGCAGTACATCTTACACACCGGCGCTACCTTCCGTTTGGACTGACTTTCAGTAGTCCGTATATACGCTCAAGACTTTGAGGAGTTCAGCGTCGTTCTGCGTGCGTTCCAACGTAAAGACCGAAGGATCTCCCTTGACATTACCTCTCCGACTGTATGCCCATTCAATGGCATTGGAGACTCGCTCGCCAGGGCGCGGCTTCCGTAAAACTTTGACTGTAACCAGGCGCAAGCCTTGAATAATGTCGACCAAGGTGGAGCTGAATTTCCTGATTTCGTCGTCATCGGGTGGCGTGAGGGCTGTCCAGTCTGGTCTAGTGGGTGAAGTACTAAACTTGCAATGAACGGACGACCTTTCGAATCTCGACAATGTAAAGCCCGTCTTGATAGTCACTTCGACGGCTCGGATGGGAACAGTTAATTCGCGGAGCCAATATGCTGAGTAGGGCTGTGAAATGTATAGACTTTTCAGTAGAGCGATGAGGACACCGGGTTCTGGTTACTCACAAGGGCATGATCGGCTTTGAACCTGACATTGTGGTAAAGCTCAACTTCGAGCATAGTCAATTCCGAACCGACTGACCGATCCCTGGCAACCGCATTATGGCCATACATCGGAATCAGTGGGCTGGCAGGAGAGTAGCCCGATGAATATGGATTCCAGAGACCGGCCGCCCATTCCTGACGAATCACCCCGACTGAGTATTTCCACGCAGAGTACATGTGGACTTTTACGCTGGTCAAGCCGAGACAGGTTACCCGCCTTGTGAATGCCAGCGATTCCATAGCCAGATGAGTCAAATTCTTGAATGATAGGTTCAGATCGACCCAGTCGCATCTCGTTAATCCGGTCACACGTAATGCTTGTACTGCATCATTTCTGTAAGGGCGTATATTGTCTGTATTCCGAAAATTCATTACAGTCAAGTCTTTTAAGTTCGGCAAGTCCGTGATAAAGTTGGAATCCCGGGAGGCGAAATACATGTCCGTTAGATAACTGCATGTTCCGAAACAGAAGATCGGTGAATGAGCATCGTAAGGTCTGATCCCGTACTGTCTGCCTGCACTTGTTGGAGAGGTCGAGAGCCCTCCGTAAAGGCGAGAGGCGAGAGGGATACGTCGCGTTACCTGATCGCGTCGGGGAAGAACATAAAGAAAATGAACTGACGGGCCTTCTGAGACCGAAGACCTGAGCGCGCGAGTCGAATATCATTCTCCATCGATCCATCAAAGACTTTGGGATCGGATTGCATGCCCTTACCCTCATCCAACCTTTTGAGCTCTTGATGATATGACACGCCCTTCGGCTGTTGCTCTCTGTTGCTGAATCGAATCGATCGAACGGTTGCGGACCATGCGGTTGATCGATCGCTGTTCGCTTCTAACTCTGTGGACTCTACAACACAGTGTCCAGAGCAAAGCTCGAATCCGGAAAGCGTACTGACTGCTGATTTCCTGACGTACTATCTCATTCAAGACATACCAATCGTCATATGAGATCTTGTCACCTCGGGTAACCAGAAGCCAGAAGATTTAGTTGAAACGCTTGAAAAAGATGCCGCTTGAATAAGATGCCGTGACTCTTCTCGGCATGGATATCGTTGTCCGTAGACTCGACGCTCGCCATACGCTTTAGGGGACCTCACAGGCCTCACAAGGATGAAGGCATCGCTCAGATCCAAGGATACTTTACCGTGCATTCAACAGGGGAACATCCGTTTAGTCATCAGCTACCTAAATCCCAAAATACCCAGCTGCGTATAGACGTATCGAAAGTTCGACATGGCCAACTATCAGCCGGACGGAGGCAACATCGTTGTGCGGTCGTTGACGGACGATACAACCGAGTTCCAGTTGTCGGGAGTCGAGATGGCGTAGGTGGACATGTCCCGCTCTTGACAGTCGTAACCGGCTTTCGAAGAGGAAGAGAGACTCAAGAGCGCATCTTGTCTGGTCACACTAGCTATGCGAACAGTCTGCGGAGAGCGATGATGGCGGATGTGCCGACAGTTTGTGAGTCGACCGACATGGATGAAGTTTCTTCTAGGGAAAGGATATAAATGGAGCTGACCGGGTTATGTGCTGTTCTAGGCATCGATCAGGTCTCATTTCGACAAAATACGAGTCCTCTTCCGGACGAGTTTATCGCTCATCGATTAGGTATGATCCCATTGATCAGTACGGGGATCAAGACGAACATGAGGGAGACCAGGGTAAGCCTTGCAGCAACTACCTCGTCGGACAATCCGGTACTCAAATGATGCGCCCAACATTCACAGGACTGTTCCTGCGATGAAGGATGTGCTTACTGCATGGTGGAGCTGCATCTTCGGGTGAAATGCACACGGGACGAGCATCTGCCCGTGACCACAGCTCAGTTGGATGTGGTCCCAGTGACCGTGAGTGATTAGCAATTCGGCTGGATGTCTTCACGTTGCTGACACAAAGTGTATGATGAATGCAGATAGCCGATCCGAATGATGACGAAGGTGGTCCGGAGATGCTGAAAATGCGACCGAGAGATTTCGGACAGCCGGTAGGAAAAGGTAGGCCATTCCGTCTACCCCATTAATTTGCCTTTCAGCTCACGTCGCCCTCCGTGTGATGTCTATCCAGTCGCTCTTCCCGAGAGCGGAACGAACGCCCTTCCGATCGTGATCACCAAACTTGGAAAGGGCCAAGAGATTGATATCATTTGCAAGGCGTATAAGGTGCGTTCTACCGTTCATTGGTTCTCGGTGGGATGCCTGAACTGACAGTTGACTTGCGGTGATCCCCATCGATAGGGTCTGTCGAAACACCACGGAAAATGGTCACCGCTTTCAGCAGTAGGTTACGAGTACGATCCTCATAACAAGCTGCGCCATACCAGTTACTGGTTCGAAGTCGACCGTAGGTTTCTTCCGCCAGTCTCTCTTCAAAGAGGCAGCTTCCTGACTACAGGAATGATCTTCCGCCGCGATCGAACAGAAAAGGCAGAATGGCCACCGATGAAGAGTGCTGCGTACGAGGCAGAGCCAGAACCTGATGAGCCGTTCGACTACAATGCCAAACCTGGCACATTCTACATTGAAGCGGAGGGGACTGGCAGCATGCCCGTCAAAGAGGTCGTCCGATTGGTCAGTGCATATTCGCGGATTTGCATGATTGGTCTCCATTCTAACGCAACAGGATGAATGGGTTTGTACTGCAGGGCTTCGAAGCACTAGAGGACAAGCTTGGACCCATGATCACTGAGCTGTACAAGGCGGTGGCCAAGGAGGAAGGACGAGAGATTGAAGACGAGGACGTGGGGATGAACGGGGCTGGCATGAACGGGGACGCCGCGCCGTTGGTACAGTCATACGGAGCTGGTATGAACGGATCGTATGGGTATGGCGGTGGGAACGCAGACCCCTACGGAAATGGAGCGGGAGGATCTTATATGAACGGCGGTGGGATGCCTTATCGATAGATTCAAGATTGCGGTCTCAAATCCCGGATAATTCGGGTCAAGTTGTATCGAGTATCGTCTATGTGAGACGAAATGTCATTCGGGTGACCATCACATACATGCCTAGCGAGTCACAGGCGTGGTTCTTCCTGTTCGCACGCCTGTGTCATGTATATTCGCATCTATCGGCAAACCCGTCTCGGTCGATACAATATCTAGCCCTAGCTAAAACATCCTGGCTAGACATCATGGCTCTACAAGATGAACTTGTAAGGGTTGAGGATTCCCTTGGGGTCAAACATCTGCTTGACCCGTCGCATCAGGTCGATGCTGGTCTGGTCCTTCGAGTAGCCGATGTAAGGGGCCTTCATCACACCTGCAAAGAGAAAGATTTATTAGCTTGATGTGTAGTCAATTGACCGTTTCGGACAAAACTTACCCAATCCGTGTTCCGCCGAGATCGACCCCCGCTCGGCGGCAACAATCTCGTAGACATAAGGCTCAATGACCTTTTCGATCTCGGCGTCATACTTGTCGGCGCAGATGTTAATGTGCAAGTTCCCATCCCCGATATGACCGTACCCGACGATCTCCCTGATGCGGCCTCCACCTTCCTCCTTGAACAGACCGGATTCTGACAATCTCGCCCGCATCTTCTCGACCAGCGAGTACATCTTGGGGACGGGCACGCTGAGATCGTACTTGTACACCGAGCCGGACTTGCCAGCGGATTCGGGAATAAGTTCTCGGAGCTTCCAAAGCGAGTGGTATTGCGTCGTGTCCTGAGCGAGCACACCATCGAGAATCAAGTCGTTCTCCATCAAGTTTTCTAGCAATCCTTGGAGTTTCTAAAGATTGAGGAAGCAATGCAGGACATAGGTAGACGGTATTAGCAAAGCAGGCCTTATCGACTAGTCTCCAATTATCAACCTGTAACTCACCTCCTCGTCATGTTCCTGCTTGCTGCCGCCCGTCTCAACCAAGACGTAGAACTCGCCCTCGGTCTCAAAGACCTTTCGGTCAGCCTCCCCTCCTTCCTTCTGATGACGCCTGACGAGGTCATACGCCTGCTTGTCAAAGAATTCGAAGGCCGAGAGGATCTCGCCCAAGTGGGACTTGGTCTCTGTGTAGACCTTTTGAACGGCTTCGTAAGATGGAAGGGAGAAGACGGCGACGTTCATGGCCTGCAAAGAGGGGAGATTGCAAGGAAACAGGACGTCAGCTGAATGCTGATGAGTCAGACTGGATAGATACCGTGCCACTCACGCTCGGTCGCTTGGGGGTCAAGATGGTGATACCGGTGATGATTCCGATAGTGCCCTCGGACCCGATGAACAGCTGCTTCATGTCGAATCCCGTATTATCCTTTCTCAAGCCGCCTCCCAGACCGTCCCAGATGGTTCCGTCCGGCAACACGACCTCCAGACCGAGTACGCTCCCGTGTAGGGATCCGTACCTCAAAAGCCTGAGTCCACCGGCGTTGGTAGCTACGTTCCCTCCGATCTGGCAGGAACCCTTGGCACCGAGATCGAGAGGGAAGATGTGGCCGTGAGACGCAAGCTCGTTGTCGACCGTCTCGAGGATCGCACCGGCGTCGACGGTAAGAGTACCGGAGACAGTGTCGAAAGATCGGATGGAGTTGAGGTTGGAGAGATTAAGGATTAGTTCGTCGTGGATTGGTGTGGACCCGCCTAGATATTCACGGCGTCGAGGGTCAGTTCTAGTCGTTCCACAATTGTCAAGCTGAAGGCTGCTCACCGACAAGTCCGGTATTACCACCCTGGGGTACGACAGCGATCCCTTTGTCCCAACAATACTTCATGACCTTGCTGACCTCTTCCACCGTCTTGGGCTTGACGACGACCTGACCCTTTCCATGGTACTTGTTCATCCAGTCGTCATTGAACGGTCTCAGATCGTCCTCGCTCGCTGACCCGTCCAAAGTCGACATGAGCGAAGTCGGAGCAGACAAGAGCGCTCGGAGGTCGGTAATATTGGATTCCGTGAGCTGTGCGAAGGCTGAAGAGCGAGGTGGGAGGGCCGAGGCGAATCGGATCTGGGTGCTATGGCGAGTGGAGAGGATAGGGGCGGGAGTCGTTCGGGTCGATCGGATCGCCCGACGAGCGAGGGCAAGAGAGGTTCGTTGCATCTTTTAAGTCTTAGTTTTGAGCGGATGGAACTACAGCTTGCGATTCCTGCTAAGGTTATCAGATTCGATGGTCGAGAGGTGTTCAAGTAGCTGTTCGATGTCTCAACTTTTGCCCCTAGGCTAGGCTGGGCTGGGGAGGTTCCCCTCGCCCCGAAGCGCGCGAAAGAGTAGCAGCCGTTCGAGCCTGAGAGCTGAGAGAGGGCATATGCCATCAACAACCATCATCATCTCATGCATCTCACCTGGCATATATCGAATAGGTCCCCAAGCACACAACGCATCATACTACGGCTCTGACAAACCACATTCTGAAGTCTACATCATGTCGGGGACTGGAATCGGAATCGCAAAGTCAGTCCCCGGAACCGTCGTATCGTTATTCTTGCACTCATCAAGAACGAAATGTCTTTGTGCTATTTGTTGTCATTCCGTGGACGAGCAGCTTGCCCAACCAGGTCAGTAGCATCTCGCTCAGACAGGTAAATCTTGGAGCTACAGGCTGATAGTCTTGACGCTGTGGCATATAGAGGCACAAAATCGTTGCCAAGCAAGGTGCTCATTTCACCTTGATGGTGGTCGGTACGTCTTTCGCGACTTTCCTAACAATTGATGAGCAGTCTGTTGACGCTGTTGTTCGCTATCTTCTCCACCACAACTTCATTCCTGATCAATACGGCTTCTCGCTCTCCTATTCTACCTACTGAATGCCACCTATCAGGCGAATCCGGCCTAGGGAAATCCACTCTCATCAACACCCTCTTTGCGACCGAACTCGTCACGCCCAAAAACTACCGACACCGATTCGCCAAGCAGCTCGACAAGACGACCGAAGTCGAGATCATCAAGGCCGAGTTGCAAGAGCGGGATTTCAGCGTCAAGTTGACCGTCATCGATACTCCTGGATTCGGAGACTATGTGAACAACCGGGAGAGGTCAGTCTAGGACTTTCGTCTCAGGACGATGATGTGTTTTGCTGATATATGCATCCGTTTTGTCTACTTGTTTTTGTGCCTGGTAGCTGGTCATCCATCGTAGACTTTTTGGACGATCAACATGAAAACTATATGCGTCAAGAGCAGCAACCCCAGCGCAAGGAAAAGGTTGATATGAGGGTGCACGCCTGTCTTTACTTTATTCGACCTGGCGGACACGGGTGAGTCTGAGCTAGAGTCGTCCGCAGCGAAGGATACATCTCAATACTTATACTCTCGTGTCACGACTCAACTCGCATAAACAGCCTCAAACCCCTCGACATCGAGACCATGAAACGTCTCGGCACCCGTGTCAACCTGATCCCCGTCATCGCCAAGGCGGATACCATGTCCCCCACCGACCTGGAAGAGATGAAGGATCGCGTCAGGACGACCTTGGTCGCGCAGGGGATCAAGGTGTACGTGCCCCCCGTCGAGGTGGACGACCAGGCTTCGGCGGATCATTCCAGGACTTTGATCGTAAGTCGCCGGTCTGTGCAGGGGAAATGGTACAGAGTGGTGGAATGTGGGTTTTGACGATGATGGGTTCATGGAATTATAGGAAGCTATGCCATTCTCAATCATCGGAAGTACGGAGGATGTCAAGACCAGAGATGGAAGGGTCGTCAAGGGTCGAGAATATCTTTGGGGAGTGGCCGAAGGTATGTAGCCGCGCTGGTGGGGTCGACAAGGACCCCTAAGGATAACCTACTCACATCTTCTTGTGCACCGTGTAGTCGACAATGAGGATCACTGCGATTTCCGAAAACTCCGTTCTTTGCTCCTCCGCGTGCACATGCTCGACCTGGTCACCACCACCGAAGAGACGCACTACGAGTTGTACCGTCAAGCCCAGATGGAGACGCGCAAGTTTGGCGAGCCCAAGGTCAAGAAGCTCGACAACCCCAAGTTCAAGGAAGAGGAAGAGTTGTTGCGAAAGAGGTTTACGGAGCAGGTCAAGATGGAGGAAGCTAGATTTAGACAATGGGAGCAGCATGTGAGTTGAACGAGGGGTATCGCGCTTATACATAACAAAGCTGATTCTGGGTGGAATGTTGCGCTACAGCTCATTGCCGAGCGGGACAGGCTCAACAAGGATCTCGAGAACGCTCATTCGGCTATCAAGTCTCTGGAGGTCAGTCTGGGCTCCCTCGGTCCCATCTCGGTTGGAAGCTGATCCTCTCCTCTACCTTGATGTTCGCTATCGTATAACAGGCCGAGGTGGATCACTTAACCGCTTACCACCGTAACGCCAGCAGTATGGGAAGGCGAGGCTAAATCGGCTGTTCCCGGATCTGCCTTATACCCTCGCTTTCTGGTTTTCGGCTTACTCATCTTACGACGTCTCTTTCTATCTTTTTCTGGTTCACGGTCTCTCTTCCCGGTCGGGGGAGTCCTCTCGCTCCCTCGCTTCTGGTGCTGTTTCTTTAATGCCATAACGACCTTTCTTCTCGGCTCTGTGCGCTCTCCGTCTCTTGTCGATCATCTTGCAAGTCTGCCTGTGAAGCGCAGGCTTATATACAAATGATATTGGACAACTACATCTAGACAGGATTGTTTCGATTGATGTGGTCGACGCGGCCTCTGCTAGGCGATTTTGTTACTGTAGTTATCCAAACGATGTCCGTTCTGGGTCACGGTCGGATTTAGCCTAGCGACATCACAAGAACCTCCACTTTCGGTCCGATTATGACAGGAGAGTGCGACTTGATCTATGGCGGTGATAATAATGCACACCATATTAAAATTCTGTAACTTTCGATCAGCGTCAAGAGGTGTTTACACCTTGCCCGTGGCCTGAGGAGAGCATTCTCTCGATGTCTTGGCGCACAAATCTGATCGTGTTGTTCTTCTGTTTCTTTAGGCAGACCATGAAACCAGGGGAACCGGGTCGGAGCGGGTTTCCCCGCCACACCTCAAAGTATTGTTGATTCCCAAGGAAGATCGAAAGGTATCGCCAATCTCCTTTTCGTGCAAGAAGACCAACTGTCGCCTATGTTCTGATAACTAGGACCTCCTTGATTCTCGTACGACCACCTCGTGTGATTCAAAGCAGCGAAATCAGATTGATCGATCATATCTGGAATAGGATACATCTACACAGTACGTTTGCGCTAGAATGAAACGTCTCGCTTGTCGAGCCGATTCAATACTCAGATGACACCGGATGACATACTACAAGAACACGAGTAGCTACCAAACGCGCTTGACTAGCTGACTAGACTGATCTGCTGGAAGATTGGCAGATGCTCAACGCCTATGCAGATCGTTATGTAGCCACCACAGACGCTCGTTCCAAGCATCGGTTACGGGACGATTGTAGACGACTTGAACTCGGGCTTGTCATAGCCGATCTCACAGCACATACCCATGTCTACCGAAATGCATCATAAGGAATTAGGGCTCCACAAATGTCTAATCGACTTAGAAACAGCAATTTCCGAATTATACTCACAGCTAACCTCTGAACACCATTTGTTAATGATAACAACTTCGTTGATCTTTTCGCTCGAGTCGTGTCTCACAACATTTTCAAACGGTCGTTCGTACATCGCACAGTTTTTGTTCGCCTCACTGAAATGTACTGCCATACAGACTGGAAAGATTATCGCTCAAATGTGGAAGAACGCTTCCAGGATGCACGATAAACTTACCTTTGCCAGTACTCGTACTGTGACGTTCTTCCCAGCATGCATTCGTGCAGTCAATTAGGGTTTGCGCTCCAACTTGATCATACTGATAGGCGGCCCGATCGATCAGTAACAGTGAAACAAAAGTGTTGTCGCCACAAGCAAGGCCAGAACGCTCACAAGTTCGTCAGCCCCCTCCCAAACAGCCTTGTGATATTTGAAAGCAGCAAAAGTCCCATTGCTTTCGTTCTTGTGCGGCACCTTTAGGCTTTTTGCCATGTGCCACTCTGCCACTCCTGTTGTCCGTAATTTGCCGTAAATGACGCGTCGGACGCGACCGAGCGAGAGCGAGAGCGAGAAAGATCATCATATGCATCCTGGTCCTTGCTGCCCATATCATCCTCGACGTCCCACGGTCTCGTAAGCTATTCATGCCTTGCACACCACCTTTGGTCTCTATCGTATCTAAACTGTAGTCCGGAAACGCCAATCCTGATAGGAGGGAGCTCGAAGGACCATGTCGTGGTCGCCCTCGCCTCCCCCTTCCGCACGAAAAGCGGCCAAGCAAGCAGGACCATCGGCGGCGATCGAACGCAACGAGTCCGAGACTGGTGCAGCCGCCCCAGCTCGGCCCGCTGGACCTACCAGGGATCTCTCGGACGTACATATCGATTTGTTCAGTACCGGAGTCGGAAAGACTCGGTATGGGTCCGAAGAGCAAGCTCGTAGCGAAGAGGATGTGCAGGGCAGGGTATCGATGTACGTGCGCATCGTCGACGAGATGCTGTCGACGGTATTGCAGAGCGACTCGTATCTCTTCACGTCACCAGAGCTATACATCTTGCAATACTTCAAGGATCTCGAATATGGACCCAAATACCTCTTGTCCCGGTTGCTCTTGCGCAAAACGAACAAGATCTTTAGCGTCAAGGAGCTTATCGCACGCTACTCGACCGAACTCGGCGAATCCTACATCCCTGGCTATATGGACGTCTTGATCGAAATCTTGCAAGTACCCGGGCTTCTTACGCCGAATGATGTCTTGGCATGTGAGCCGGTATCGTCGGCTCCACCAGAGCTGGTCTCGAAAGACGTGGGGGACCCGACTAGCTATCAACAGCCTGTGACACGGACGCCATCTCCTGCAAAGCGAAAAGATAGCCAATTGACGGTCGCACCGGAGCCTATCGAACTCTCCTCCGACTCGGATGACGATTGCCAAAGCCTGTCCCTCCGGACTGGACCTTCATCACGCCTGACCGGAACCTCTGGGTCGGCTGCCAAAGCGTCCAGACCCAAACCCAGTAAGACTACACCTGCCAAGGTGCATCCCATGTTTGCGAGGTCAGACACACCTGTACGAAAACGATCGATGGCACCGGAGTTCTTACCTTCGACTCGGTCCCGATTGGGATCAACTCCCAGAAGAGGGGAAACGCCTGTGATACGGGATCGAGCGGTTACACCAGACAACGTCGAGGTGATCGAGATCATGTCATCTCCACCGCCTATCGCTTCTACCTCCAAATTACCCGATCTCAAAAGTTTTCTGAAACCGACGAGACGGGATTCTGGAACTGAAAAGGTCAAGGGCAAACGACCTGCCTCGACACCCACACCTGCACCCCTATCCCGAGCCCAATCGAATCTAGGGCCGGATGGGAAGCCTACCGCAGCTACAGAAGACGATCTGGAATCGTTCTATACCTATAAGAGGCTGTCAAATCTCACTTCAACTATCAACGCCTTTGCCAGAGGCATCGACGAGATGTCAGTAGAAGAAATGATCGCTCAGCTAAACATGGCAGAGCTGGTCAAGATCGCCAAGGAGCTCAAGCTCTGGAAGAGCAAGTACAATAGAAGCGAGATGATCTCGGTCTTGCTAGCTTCAGCTAACAAGCAAAGCCGACTACCCTTTGCGATTGTGTCCGAAAAGAAGAAGGCCGGAGCAGGCGGTCCGACAAGCAGTCAACAGACCACCTTGTTATTCTCTGCCAGTCCATCTGCATCGCAAAAGACACCCATAAGGAGGAACAGTAATCATGCAGGCAGGACACTTTTATATGACAAAATCGTCGATGCATACGGTGGCAGGGCTGTCCAGATAGCCTTGCCCTTCCGGTCGCTGATTCACCGATTGAACCTGGTCTACTATCGATCCACCATCACGCCATCTACTGGTATCGCCAAATCGCTCATGTTGCCAGAAATCCTTACGTCTTCTTCCAAGAGGACGTATCCAGACGTTATGGCCACGCGCAGCAGGGTGTGGCCAAGTCGAGAAGCTCTTTTAGAATACGAGTCTGCATTGGAAATGGAAGCAATGGTTGACGAAGCTTTAGGAGAGCAGAACCACTCCACCGGTAATTGGGTTGGCCAAAGCGGTTATGGATTTGGGATCAAGGGTGGAAGGCTCGAAGGAGCCAGGCGGGTCAAGAGGGCTTGGTTGAACGTACACCAGACATGGTTGACTGCCGTTGGTGCTGCTCAGTCCGAAGAAGGACGAAGTCAATCAGGCTCTAGGCATGTGCTTGATCGTTTCGAACTCGGTGGGTTCATCCTGTCTCGACCAAACGAATTCCTTTCGAGGCCTTACCGTCGCTCTATCTCCAGGCCATATCTTGACCAGAGTTGTCTCGAAGGGTTCTACAGCCCTGGGCATCCTGCACGAGTACGACCAAGAATGTGAAACCTTGCGAGCCTTGCTGGCACAGAGAGTCTGGAGGCGAGGAAAACGTGGCGCATGGTACGATCGGCTTGCTCTTGTCCTGATGAATCATTATGGGGGTGACGAGGAGAAAAAGCGAGAAGCGGTGGAAGTTTGTCTCGATGGACTGGAAGACGCTGATACTCATCTCAGTGAGTCTTGCTGCGGTGACCAAGTAGGACTTCGCTGATACCGGTCGTCCTAAAAGTCTATCGACCACGACTCTCGCGACGGCTGAAGCGACTAGAGAAACAGCTTGAATTGTCCAAGGAAGAGCGTCACATTTGTGAAGCTGATCTGGGACAACCGGAGAAGAGATTCCTAAAAGCGCACCGGATCAGAACACCGGCTCGAGAGGCCTCCAGTATCCGATCGTTTTTCGCCAGCAAACGCGACGAAGCTGGAAATGCAAGCGGGGATGAGCAGGATCATGGAGCAGATACAAGGATAGCTCGCGATGAAGCCAGAAGCTCCAAGACGACATGGCTTGGACGAGAGGGGGGTACAAGTGTGGAAGGTTGGGTTCTCGAGTGGTGGGCACAAGAAGGCTGGCAAGGGTATGTTGATGGCTAAAAGGCGTTTTGAATCACGAGATAATAATTCATCTCATCGCTCAGCTTCCATGCAGAAGCATCTATCCTTACAACTCTCTTCACACTGCTTTTCTGGCCTTTGCTATATCTACCGCTGCCGGGTGCTTTTGAGACGCCATACCAATTGGCCCCGCTCGATCTCGGCTCTGACTCGTTCTATACCTCACGAGCTGAAGCAATCGAAACTCGGCTGTCAGAGATGCAGAAAACATCGAAGTGTCTCCAGATGCTGGCCGAAACAGATGACCGAGAACGAACGAAAGGCACTCTCGCGGTAGGTGTCAGCTGGGAGTTTGGGAAGAAGGAGCTTGAAGAAATCGTTCAATGCTTGGGAGGTAAAGCGTTGAGCGTACTCTGTCGGATGTTCTGTGAAGAATATGGCCACAGAGCTAGTGGTGTTCCAGACCTCATGTGAGTCGAATCGTAGTCTCCCAAGGTAACGCAACATACTGATATGTCGGAATTCGCGCATATAGCGTTTGGAATTTGGCGGAGAAGCGGGCGCGCTTTGTCGAGGTCAAGTCACCGAACGATTCCCTCTCGGAAACTCAAAAGGTTTGGATCAACGTCCTCCAAACGGCTGGAGTCGAGGTAGAGGTCTGCCATGTGGTTGAAGCTTCTACCACTGAGAAGGGATCCCTGAAGGGTATCAATAAACGTACAATTGAGGACGGGGGATCAGGCTTGCCCTCGAAACGTCGCAAGACCCCGAAGTCGCACGACTATGGTGAACTGGACGGCACAGATGTTGACGAGGAGGATGACGGAGGTATGGAGATAGAAGAGTGGAGATATGAAAGCGGCGACGAGGCTGCCAGTAAGGCAGGCAAGACCGATGGGGTCCTCTTGACTCGGGCACAAGCGCAAGCTCTGGATAACGGACCTGAAGACCTCAGCTGGAGCGGATCAGACTTCGAAGCTGAGCAATCGAACAAGGAGAACAGGCTGGGGACTAGTTTTCGCAAAGGAACTCCCTTGGTCCAGCCGCAAGGGAGTTCCAAGAAGAAGAGAGTTGGTCCGACCAAGAGTGGTAACTCGGCCAACATAGGTTCCAGTGCTCGCACGGAGTCGGGCTCTGCAATCCTATGTCGATAATGGACTTAATCACGACGTTGTCTTGACGATCTTTAACGACACTTATGATATGGCCATAATAATTGGATGATTGGTGACCAACTATCGGGGTATCTATTGCCATTTTATCGGTATCGTAACCTATTAACGCGCAGTCATGCTCTACAAAAAGGGCTCGATGTTGATCTCTACGCTAGAGCATGGGTTGAGAATGGAGTAGTTTTGAAGCACGGTAGGATGCAGAATCCCGAGCGACCCGATCAAAAGATCTCGCGAACTGGAGCCCTCCGCTGATTCACTGCCAGGTAAGACACTCTTTAAGGCCTTGGCGACCGTGTCAAGCGGGGACGAAGTGGATTGGGTTCCTTCCAGAGCTTTGACTGCACTGGTGTCCTGTTTGGCCTGATCTTCCTTGGCAGAAGCTGATCTTCGGTAGTAGATATTAGCAGCTCGGCCAGGGAAGTACATGGGATCTGCGCAGCCAATGCAGCGGGGCGGGTCAGCAGGGCGTAGGCATAGCCGCCAATGGTCTTTGAGTCTACTTACCATCCGAAGGCTGCAGATAGTAACCCTCTTCTGCACTAGCGAACTTGCTCTGTTCCAGCGCACCGATGAAAGGCACCTCGAGGATCTGCATGATCCGGTCGAGCAGCCCGTGGACGACCTCAAACCCTCCCTTCTTGTCCGTATACAGCGCAGCGGCGTGCCTGTAGTTGCGTGCTTTACGTTCTTCTCGGCTGTCCTGCACCGCGATGTCCGAAGCCTCGAAGATTTTGAGCGGCAAAGCCAATGACTTGTTCTCACGCAAGGTCTTGAGCAGACCGGGAAGAAGAGATGTTCGAACAATTTGGAATTCGGCAGTGGCGGGGTTGGTGAGCTTAATGGCGGTGCCCTCATCCTTGTGGTTGAGCCAAGCAAAGTTCTCGTCATGAGAGCACTACGATGGGATTTTCCTAAGTTGCTGTCAAGTTCCATAAACAGCTACGTACTCACCAGAATGAGCGGCAGAACCTCGACCCATCCGGCCATCGCGCATTCTTTTCGAACGACATCAGCTAATTTGTTGATCGCGAAAGGTTTTGCTACCGTGCTTGTCTTGGGAAGACCGGTAGGCAGGTTGTTGAATCCATAGGCTACACCCACATCCTCCATGATATCGCACTCGTGCAAGATATCCGGTCGGGTGCAAGGTACGTACACGTCCAGCGTCTCGGTTGGGCTGGCAGACGAAGGTGCCGCAGCGAGCGACATCTTGTTCAGCAGACCGGCCATCTCTTCGGGAGAGAGGTTCAAGCCGAGAGCAGCGTTGATATAAGAGACAGAGGCGTTGGTGGCTCGTGGGGTCAAGTTCGGTGAGACCCGCGAAGTGCCGTTGGCGTAGGTGATCTTGACCGGCTCAACTCTAACAAGACCGAAGAGAATCAGTCGGGGACAATCTCAAGTCTTGCGATCTGATTGCTACTGACTCGAAGGGCGTCTGGCAGTACTCTGAGAACATAGCCACAATGATATTGACGACGATATCTCTATTAACAATCAACATGAATCAGTGCCGTGTAGGCCCGAAGCTGCTGAAGACCGTGCTATTGCTCACAGCTTGGTCTGATCTGTTGCGGTGACGTCGATGAAGATGTTTGTGGTGTTGAGGGTGATTTTAGAGTCTGAATGTCCGGAGAAGAGGAAAGTCAGGCAACTGAGAGAAACGTATTGAAGCACAGCAACGAACGATTGGAGTTGATGATGGGAGGCATGCTCAGCACTTTGTCCTCGCTGTCGTAGATGATAGGGTAGACGGGCGAGTCTCGGATGATAGGCAGGTATTTTCCGAGATGACGATCGGTCTGTAACGAAAATGCATACAGTTGGCACAATCAGCTCATTTGTGATCCACATACAACAAGACTAGCTGGACTCACTTCATAGAGGGTCATCAGTTCTTCGGCGGTGTACTCTTTCTCCTTGTTCAGCGGAGCAAACTTGATATCCCGAGGGGCCTTGGCCATGTACCTGACAGAGTGCCCTCAACAACGATCAATTTCAAGTCAGTCTGAGATAACGCCAGCGAGACTCGCCTGAAGGGACCCTTGATTGTGTCCAAGTCGTGGGTACCGATGGCGACCAACTTTCGTCCTCGGCACAGGTTTTGGTGAAGTTTGTCTTGCAAATCGATGAAAGAGTCGTATGCTGCCTGGCTCATCGGCTTGGCAAGTCGGAGAACGGCAGAAGCGAAGAAGGGCCGGATCGAAGACACCTGCACGAGATGAAGCGAGTAGGATATTAGCGACCGATGCTCCAACAACAGTTGTTATCCCTCCGCTACGGCTACTCACGCTCTCCTCAACGGTACATTCGATCATGTTGGCAGGGTTGCTGAGCTTGAAGGCAGGTGGGTTTTCCTTGCCCAGGAACTGCCTCAAGCCACGAGCCAGACCTTCCAGGCATAACAGGTCGTATCGGTTGGCAGGCAGCTCGATCTTCAGCTCTGGCTCTCCAGCCTCAGCGGCCTCCTTGCCTCCCTTCTTTCTTGCGGCCATGACCTCCTCGGTCGTATCCTCGTCGAGCTCGATACCAAAGTCGAAGCATAGGGCATCGAACTCTTCAGTAGCTGTATTTCGCAATCGCAAGCGGTGTCGGTTTAGGTTTCGCTATTCCGACATTTTGTATAGTGTAACGAGCTTACTGTAGCTTCGCTCGAGCTTCTCGTACAAAGCGGCCTTGTTGACGGTGATGGTGGGCTGTAGAAGTTGTGAAGTCGAACTTTTAGTCGAGCGTTCCGAGCAACGACTAAAAGTTCAAGACTGACCATTTTTGCTGCCTTTTTTCGCTTAACTAGTTCCAGTCGTCCCAACTGTCTGTCTGAGGATAGTCACTGTATTGTTGCGTTGTTGTCGTGCCGTCAACATGGACGATGCACCATGAATAGACTCGTTCACATGAGGACAACCTCTACCGGTGCAACCGTTGCGTAACTCGCGCTTAAACCGAGTCAGAGACGCGCTTCTATGCATGGTCCAGGAAGCGGGCAAAGACAAGGACAGGGGCAAGCTGAAATATATCTCGTATGATCAGTGTGTCAGAAAGCTTAGTTTGGATGCGAGCATACTGAATTGCTCTTGAGCTCCCAAACAATCAGCATTACCCCGCTATCTCATGGTGCTTTCGAAAAATACAGGCTGCTCTTGACTCTGAGCGAATACAACGCTTATACCCGGTCTATCTCTTATCATCTCATCTTATGTCCAACTCATCTAATCACTTGATCTCGAACCTCACCTCCCCCGCTTGACCGGGTCCGACTTCTTGTTCCTCCTTTTCCTCGTCGGCCGGATCATCATCGTCTGTCCCCGTCAAACTCGGCGGGATGACTTGCATCTGCACGCTAGGTGCCCCGTTCAACACCCTCAATTGTTCCTTGATCTGCCGCATGATCGCTTCGAGATCTTTCCTCGTGTTCATGTTCGGTATCCCAGGTGAAGTGAGCTGAGGCAAGAGGCTGAAACCGTCTTTCTCGAAATAGGCGTCATATGGGGTAGAAGGCAGTTGCGTGGGGACCTCGACCCCGGCGAGAATACTCGTCTCGTATGTCCAACAGCGGGAGACGGACGTCTGTCGATACCCACCTCCGCCCAGGACGAGCAGAGGCAGGTTGAACGATTTGATAAAGCTCACACATTCGCCATGAGCTTCGATAGACAGGTTGAAGCTCCCCAACCTGTCCCGGGCGAGACTGTCGGCCCCGCACTGCAGGACGATCGCGCTCGGTCGGAAGCACGTGATGACCGGGTCCATGACGTCCCTGAACAGCCGGATGTACGAGTCGTCGTCGATCCCGTCTTGAAGGGGCACGTTGAGGGAGAAATATTTGCCCTCGTTCAGACCCGTCTCGACGACGGCTCCGGTTCCGGGAAAGAAGCTGTTGCCGTACTTGTGGAACGAGACGGTCAAGACCCGGTTGGACCGGTAGAATGCTTCCTGGACGCCGTCCCCGTGATGAATATCAATGTCGATGTAGAGTACTCGGGGATGTACCCTGCAGCGCGATACCTCTGGTCAGCCTGTACACCCCTTTCTTTGCAGCCACGATGACAGTTTCCATAAACCCACCTGAGTAGCTCCAAGATCGCCAGCACGATATCGTTCACATAACAAAAACCGCTCGCCTCGGTCTTTTTCGCATGATGTAACCCTCCACTCCAATTGAGCGCGATATCCGCGCTCCCTATAGCCAACTTCCTTGCCGCAGCCAAGCTCGCCCCGGCGTATTGCTGGCAGAATTGAAACAGGCCGGTGAACGCTGGACAGTCGTCATCCCCTATCCGATGGGTGTTGATATACGTAGGATCGTCTGTACCCAGATTGAGGGATCGATTGTGCGCCATGTCCGCGCCGAGCGAAGAGGGAGTTACCCTGAACGAACTATCCAGGTCAGCTGTCTCGCTTGTCGCATACAAGTTGCCTTTGTCTAGCTCCGGTACCCCCACTCACCGTGAGAGATAGTCCACGTAATCCGAACTGTGAAAGCGCTCGATTTCCTCTTCTGTCGCCTTTCTCGGCGCATGTACCTGCATATAATTGTGCAGGCCGTACCCGAGCACGAGCTCGTTGGTCAGGGTAAGCCTGTAGGCTTTCATCGGATGGTAGCTCTGTGATGCAATGTCGTACAAACATGAAGAGGAGTCAGGTCGGTCCAATCGGAGGATAGAGAAGAGAGTGGATGGGGTGGGACATACCCCGAAATGATATAACCCGACATCCTTTGGGTGAAAGTACGCTACCGTCCGCCCGTTATGTTCCTGGCCCCCATTGCACGGTACAGTTCAAGATGACCCACCCATGGATAAGCCCTACGCTCGTCCTTCTAAGGACCACTTCGGATCAAGGCGACAGCATGAGACGACTTACGATCTGTCTCCCATCTTCAGGTTCGTGCAACCTTCCTGATCGGCGATCGTAGAAGAACGGAGCGTCGGCAAAGGTAGGCGGGGAGAGTTGACGCATCGTCGATCTTGAGGAGCAGGGTAGGCAAGAATGCTAGCGTGATCTCACCATCGTGAGATTCGATGGGTTACGGTGTATGTCGAGGTGATTGATGTTCAAGATGCAAGATGTTATGTGATTGCAGAATTCTGAGTTTCTGAAAGATGAGTGAGACCCGAATGGATATGGTCTTTCGAATCGCTTTCGGTGGTGACCGACCGCCTGAGCCCGGGATTGTATGGATCACGTGAAAAGTAAATCAAAGTCTGCGGAGATCAGCTTCCGAGGTCGAGGAAAAAGCCACCGATCATGATCACCTGGACGTCGAGATCGAGGTCGCACTCGCACTCGAAACCGGAAAGATCATGATCGTATAGGCCAGAAGTCCGAGCGAACAGCTCAGAGATCGTCAATATCGAGGAGAGTACGGAACGACGCTCTCGAGCTGGCGTTTCAGAGGGCTCTTCCCAAGGAGAGGCATTAGCTGTACTCAGGTACTCATAGTACTAACCGGGTCGAGGCGCCTTCTGCTCTGTGACGCAAGTGGCTCGGCCGCAGCGCAGATCGCGATTTGATGTGCGACGTGACTCTACTCGCTCTGCGCCGACCTGGCACAAGCTGGATCAGCGGCCTGCCAGGTTGCAGATGGTGTATAGGAGGTATCCGACTCGCCGACTGCATTTCAACCTCTATACAAGAGGGCAGGAGGCTGAAGTGATACGTACGAAGACAAGTCCCGTGCATGTCTGGCGTTGAAGCACGCGCCCCGGCCATGGCGTTTCTAGGTCCATTTCCGCCGAGGGCAAGCCGTAGGTGCAGGAGACCTCGTCGTCTGTCCTCTTCGACCTCTGGCCTCTTCAAGTTATACACAGCTGCTACAGTGAGCGTGAGCAAATGATCAATCGACCATATGCCTAGCATGCCTAGACATAGACAGATCGACCACGTCCTCCTTTGAGCGCTGAGCCTAAACTGCTCGGTCCCATCCGAAGCTCACGTAATTCTGATCAGAGAGCGAGATTTGGACTGGCCGGGCTGGAATCATCAACAAACGCTACGGGCTAGTAGCTAAGTAGCTAGTAGCCAGCGGTCAGGCAGCAATCAGGGCATAGCGCATAGCAGAGCCAACACAATCTCCTACCTCTGCTTGTGAACAGCGAGGCCGAAGGATCAAGACGAGGGCCATAACGACACGGTATACATTCCATCGACTGCGGTGGAAGCGCTAGTACCCGGGTATCTCGTTCGACGAGATCGAACCGATACTCTGATCAAGTTTTCCCGAATACAACCCTGGCCATCCATCCGAACCGGAGCAAGCGGGCTCTCGAGAGTGGCCAAGAGGAACAATGTCGAACCGGCTCCCTGTTTACAACCGTCGGCACCTCGACCCAGCGCACTACTCCCCGCTCGATCCGAGCTTCATCTCGCCGACTCAGGTGCCCCCACCACAGGAAGAGCAGGATGGATTCCCCTTACCTTCCTTCTTGCCCACTTTGAACCTGCCTCAAGATCATCAAGAACACGGACAGTCCGGTGCAGGAAGGGGAACAGGAATGGGACCGTCAGCAAACGGGAACGGAGGGATCAGTCCCGGTTCAGTGGAACTGGAGAGCGGGAGGACGACCCCGACGATGGCCCGGAGGGGATTGGGGGATCGACGAACCAACTCATTCGAGACCATGTCCAAGGGACTACCACTGGATTTCCTCGCCGCTTACCCGTTCCCAGCATTCGTCATGTTGCTGCCTATTCCCCTCGGTGAAGGTGGGGAACAAGAACGTACGGGTTCCGGAACGAACTCGTTGGCGGATATACAGTTTACGAGGAACGCATGGTTGGGCTCGGCTTCGTCCTTGATCTCCGAAACGTCTTCGAACACGCTGCTTCCTGCCGCTGTTCCTTCTTCGTCAGCCGCCTCTACTCCCACACAGGCACCGCTGCCTCGAGATAACAAGAGCCGGTTCGAACCCATATGGAGCAACTCGCGGTACAAGTCGTTGGCGAACGGGCGAGATTTTCTGGACCTGTTGGATACTAAGCAGATGGTCAGATTTGCCGATTGGACCAGCGGCGTGATGGAGTTCGAGAGGAGGGAGAGAGCCAGGTCGGGACGATCTAGGCGAAAATCAAGGTTGAGCTCGAGATCCAGGTCAAGGTCGAATGAAGACGAGGGTCTGTCAGGAAAGAAGGGTGTCGAGGACCTCGAAACAAAGAGACAGGATTCCGGATCAAAGCTGAGGGAAGCGTTTGAGCGTTACGACGTTACGGGTAAAACTACCCAAGCCAAGCACGTCCTTGGTGCGACACCGGCGGATCTAGATGCAGGAATCGACGAGCTCTCAAAGTTGGATCCTGGGTCTGACGAGGAGGATGCGGTCGACGACGAGGGAAACGACGAGGATGATTTACCGGGAGAGATCGACTTGCTGGACGGGATCCGGGAACACGTCGAACGGGATCGGGAGGCTAGTTCGATAACAAGATCGGACGACTCGGATCCCATCGAGGATGTCAAGGGTGATATAGCGTTGGATATCGTCCTTCGGGAGCCGTCCTCTGATGGTCAGATTCGACACATCGGATTCACCCTCACAAAGAGTCTCATGCCCACGAATCCCAGAAGCGAAATAGCCTCGCTCGTCGTCATTCAGGCGATACCTTTGTCTGGCTCGGTAGTTGTCGACGGCGAGATCGTTTCTTCCAGTGCCCTGCAGAAGCCCATGGCTACGAGATATGACAACACGAGCAGCACTACCACATTGCAGAATGCACATCGGTCATCGTTTCCCTTCTTCGCCCTGAACGACGACGATGATGGAGGAGATACGCCTCATGCTTCAGGTGTCAAGTGGAAACGAACGCAGTCGAGAGCGGCATCGAAAAATTGGAACGACCGTGATGTGGACGAGACGCCCGGTCCGGAACACGAGTACCTGCAGAGCGAGGTCTCGGGGCTGTTTCCTCCTGCCGAGCCCGTCATCTTGGGTATGCCCGATCTCGACCAGTTGACGTCCGGACCGAGGAAACCGTTTACGGACGCGACGAGCGTCGAGTACCTGTTGCAGAACACAGACTGGAGCAAAACCAGCTTGGGACCTCGGGAACAGTGGTCACAGAGTCTTCGCACAATGTTGAGTTTGGTGCAAGCCTTGCCTCTCCAGGCGACATTATGGTGGGGACCGGACCTTGTCCTCATCTACAACGAACATTATGCCAACATGTTGCAAGGTAAACACCCCAGTCTGTTCGGAATGGCCGGAGCGAAAGGTTACGCAGAGGTCTGGTCGGCTTTGGGCCCTGTGGCAAAGACAGTCATGTCGGGGGTGCCAGCTTCGAAGGACGATGACCTGTTCCTCTTCGAAACCAACGATCCTGAGACGCCGCTAGTGGAGTACTATCACAGCTGTGAGTCACACATTCGTGGAGAGTGCTTCCATTGACTGACGTTCCGCTCGCGATCTCTCTGCCTGTAAGGGTATTGGATTCCGATATTTGATACCGACTTCCGAAAGGGGACCGATAAGCACGATCCACGCAAGTTCCTGGGGCTTTACAACTTCACAAGGAATACGACGAAGAAGGTGATAGCGGAGCGAAGGTTACGAGCCATGCGCGAAGTCTCGGACAATCTGCAGGCGGCGAGAAACACAGAAGAGTATAATTCAGCCATTCTTTCTGCTCTTGGGGCGGAAGAAATCTCGAAAGATGTGCCTTTCGCCATGCTCTACCACGTCAGCCGCGATGGGGAAGAAGCCGAGATGTCCAAGGCGACCAGCATTACGGATGACGATCGATCAACCCAGAGCTCGAGGCAGGCGCAATGGAAATTGAAGCTAAAGCTAGGTGGATCTCTGGGCGTACCCAAAGGTCATCGGGCGGCGGCGGACGAAGTCCTGGTCAGCATAAAGAAGCCTGCTCACAAATTTGGCGGCCTTGATCCCGCGCGGACCAGCTCACCTACGCTTTCGATGATATCCAATCTGTCGGCCGGCGCCGAGGATGAGGAAGCCAAGTCGACCAAGGCTGAACATTGGCCCTTCAAGGAAGCGCTCCAGGGACGCAAGGCCGTGGTAGTAGAGGACGTATCAGAGCTGATCGAGGGATTCGAAGTGCGTAGCTGGGACGGTTTACCCCGGAAGGCCATCCTTTTGCCGATTTGCAACGATTCGAACGCAGAAATACCGAGCGGAGTCTTGATTCTTGGCCTGAATCTACGAAGGCCTCTTGACCAGAGCTATATTGAATGGCATCATCAACTCCGGCTCTCAGCTTACAGCGGGCTGTTACAAGTCAGATCCGTCGAAGCGGAGCTCCAGCGCGTCGAAGAGATGCGAATGATTGATGAGATCAAGAACTCCTGGATCAGCAACGTATCGCACGAGCTCAGATTACCGTTAACGTGAGTCGTGCGCGCTTTCCAAGGATGCGTCAATTTGTCGAATTCTTACGGATGCCATCATCACGCAGTCTGATCAGCGGTCCTGTGGAAGACTTGTTGACCGAGTGTCAGGGCAACACGCGCATCAAGAACCTCTTGACAATCACGAAACGGAACGTTGGTCGTCTTCGACGCCTGGTAGATCAGCTCATGGACTTTTCCAGAATCGAAGGAGGCCGTTATGCTATAGCATGTCGACCGATGCCTATCGGCAGCTTCACGAGGGATTTAGCCAACCTTTTCCGGGCTGCGATCGAGAGAAGCAAACTTCATTACATTGTCGATTGTGAAGAGGATAAATCCCGAACGTGTTGGATCGATCCCGGTCAGTACGGGGCGCTTGACTATCGAAAAAAATGTTACGTGGCTGAACATATCCTGCCCACCTCCTCAGATATGTACGAAAAGATTGCAATGAACCTCATCGGAAACGCGTTCAAGTACTGCCACAAAGGAGGTGTCACCGTGAGATTGCGGTACGAGGATCAGCATGTCGTCCTTCAAATATCGGATACCGGGGTCGGTATCCCCCGCAACCAAATGCATCGCATCGGTGAACGGTTCTTCAGGGTCAAAACGCATAGTCGCTCGCACGAGGGCACAGGGATAGGTCTCTCGTTGACAAAAGAATTGATCCGGCTGCTCGGAGGAAGTCTGGAACTAGAATCTTGGGTGGCGGAAGAACAGCCGGATGGCAGACATGGGTCACAATTCACGGTCAAGTTGCCTCTCGGGTTCTCACATCTGCCTGCATCGGCGATCGAAGAGGCTGTTACTCAAGAAGGCATCAACCGCAATCGGACGTTCGCCGAAGGAATGGTCGACGAGGCGCTTCAATGGAACCGAGATAGCGAATCGTCGCACGAGAACAGCAGCGATTCCGGCGCATCTACTCGTCAAACGCAGTCCGATCGTTCCGGTGCATCGCTCGACCCAAATACGCTTGTGAGTGTTCCGATCCCTTGTCTCTAGCCTGCTCGTACTGATCGAAGCAACACGACATTGTGCTGCTATAGTTCTTTGACAAAAACGATATCATCTTGGTCGTCGACGATTCAAAGGACCTTAGGGCATATTTGACCTCTTTATTGAAGCCATACGTCGGCCAGGTCGTAGAAGCCAGTGATGGAGAGATCGGTCTGGCCAAAGCTAGGCAGTACAGGCCTAGCTTGATCATTTCGGACATAAACATGCCAAATCTGGACGGGTTCGGGCTTTTACAGGGCATTAAGAACGATCCTTCCGAATTGCGGTGGACTCCGGTCATCTTGCTGACAGCTAGGGCAGGGGAAGGCGAGAGGGTTGAAGGCTTGTTGACTGGCGCGGAAGTAAGTGGTGCTAGTCTTTGCACAAGTGCCCACCACGCTTACATAGTCGCGGACGCTTCCAGGACTATATGACTAAACCATTCCAGTCGCGCGAACTGATTGCTCGGGTGTCCCTTCAAGTGCAACTCGGTAAGAGGCGCAGACTGTTAGAGGAAGCCTTTAGTACGCGTCTGGAAGAAGTAGAAAAAAGAAGGGAAGCGGCGGAACTCGAGAGGAAGCGACAGGAGCTGCTTATCGATGTCACTAGCCACGAGCTTCGAAACCCCACAAGCGCCATCATCCAATGCAGCCAAATGATAGGGGAGGACATTGCCGCGTTACGAGAGAGCGTTCAGCAAGCAATGGCAAGCGGGCAAGCGATCGCCGCAACCGAAGAGCTCGTGAAACAGCTGATTGCAACCGAAGAATTATGTCAAAATATCAACCAGTGCGGACAATCCCAGTCGCGTAGGTCGCCTTGACAGCGTCGATTCAGATGTCCAACTCACTTGTATCGATCCTCTCAGGTATCGCCGATGATGTCCTCGCTCTGGCCCGCATTAACCTCGACATGCTTCAATTCACCTACCAGTCGACCAACATCCGAACGCGGGCCAGAGAAGTTGTGACACCATTCGCCCTCGAAGCAAAGGCAAAGGGAATCGAGCTAGTTCTCGATTTGAACGATAGATCCTTGGATCTCGTCCCACACGTCATGACCGACCCCTATAGGCTGGGACAAACACTTATCAACTTGGTCTCCAACGGATTGAGGTACTCTGGAGATGGACCCATTAAACGAGTGTTGATCAATTTCGCCATGCGACCGGAACCTCCATCGTAAGCCCATGCTGACTTCATATTGTTCCGATCCCATCGTTGACGGACCTTGTCGTTCATAGAGACGGGACGTGCAAGCCCCCTGCTGTCGATTTCCCCGCCGAGATAGAAGAAGGTACACAACTATATCTTTACGTTAGCGTCACAGGTAAGTCGGGATTTCTTAACCTTGAGCCCGATGGAAGACTGACCTCTGCATCGATATTAAGATTCCGGACCTGGATTAGCCCAGGAGGACGTTCAGATATTGTTCAGACGGTTCTCGCAGGCTACAAATTATACGAACAAGGCCTTTGGTGGTGCGTCGCGATGATCAGCACTGGTTAAAAGGAGTGTTATTGATTTGGGCTGTGATTGCAGGCTCCGGTTTGGGCCTGTGGATTAGCAAAAGGATAACTGAGCAGATGGGCGGCCGGATCGAGGTGGACTCAGAATTTGGCAAGGGCTGCACATTCCGTTTCTTTGTTCGTGCCACGGCGTGCGAGCGGCCTCTGTCCCAACCGAAACCGGCGGAGGAGCAACAGGTCGACCGCGCCGTCACGCCCAAGTTTACGACGAAGGCCAAAGACCTGTCGCGGGCCACTCAACCTGGTTGTCGAGTCCTTGTCGTCGAAGGTGAGAAAATCGCAAGAGCTCGTGCCGAACTTTCTATGCTGACCCTTGCTTCGTGACGTGCCACTGTAGACAACAAGATCAATCAGACCATTCTCGTCAAGCAACTCAAGAAGCGTGGTGTCGTAGTCGAAGCCGTCGATCACGGTTTGGCAGCAGTGAACCGCCTGAGACAAGTTTGCAGCACATCCATCATGCCGGCTAGTGACAAGGACAAGCCCTTTGATGTGGTCCTTTGTGACCTCGAGATGCCGGTCATGGACGGTCTAACCGCGATCAAGCTGATTCGCTCGGAAGAAGCGGCTGGTCTCCTGAGACGATCTTTCGTCATTGCTTTGACAGGCAATGCTAGACAACAACAGGTAGGTCCATGCTCGGACAGGACGCAAGCCCAGCGAAATGACTGACGAAGCGTTTCGTCTTCGCGCAACTCAAGATTGACGACGCCTTGTTATGCGGCATGGACTCGGGTGAGTGTTTTATCAGCTCCGATCCTCTTGACATTACATACGTTGACGATTTTGCCTCTCGCAGTCTTGATCAAGCCCTACAAGATAGATGAGGTGATGACCAGGATTAACGATCGGGTAGCACAAGCTCGATCAGAAGGTCGATGAGGATCACGTAGACGACGAAGGGAGAGGTTTGGTACCTCTTGTACTTGTAACGTATGCATCGAGCCACTGATGGTTCACAATTGTATCTTGGGTTTATGTGACTGAGCATGCTGAGCACTAGTATGGCGATCGAAGTGCCTTGAACACTGGATGTTATGAAGGCGTATACGACAGCGCAGAACAACACGCGCAACACGGGCACCAAGGCTGACAGAGCAAGAAAACATGGGTTGTGACGCCGGAAAATAAGTTTCGAGGATCCGGGACGCGCGCGTCTCCTCTTAGCTGGCGGTATTATTGTTGAACTTCAAGAGGACGATTCCATTCTTTCTGTCGGACCATCTTCAACCGAGCCTCGGTCGAGGCCCCTGGTGAGGCCTGAAACTGTATTGCCGAGGCTTGACACGAGCTCAACCCGTTCTCAAGATCCTGCGGTCAATGTCTCTAAGGCTTCCAAGCTTTTACACGATATTGGACCGACGCGAAAAGTGGCTACATGGCTTGTTTCCAACGCATTCAGGCATCAGTCGGCTACTATTCATGCGATCTCAAAACACGGGTTCACATGGAATTGATCGGCCCGCCATACACCAAACTAGTCCCGCTGTCAGACCGGGTGCAGGAACTTTTTTTTTGTGGCATTCGTTGGCGAATAGAAATAAAACAACGCAGTGGACTTATAAGGTTGTGGACCCCTTTCCTCCAACGCATCAAGCGCGCCGCAGTTGTCTCACTGGCAGATTGCCCCTCGCACTGCGTGGTCGTCTGCGAGACCGCGCGCCCAACTTCCGCCTGTGTGAGCATAGTGTTCTTTCGCACTGACGCCAACACTATAAGAGCTTCCAGCGGGCATCATTGACGGTCGGCTGATCACCCGGTCTGGCTCAAACGTACGGTGATGCTGTTACTGCAGAGTCGCAAATCGTCACGACATTGCCATCTCCTCCTTGCATACCTGAGACCTGGGTCTTCCATACTCAGGCGACGTTATATACATTATTGCTGCGGGGGGAGGGGCAGGTAGGTATGCTACTCCGGCTGTCTCCAGGTATGTTGACATCGTGGTCGAGGGTGCAAAGATCTCTGCGACGATATCCACAGACGTGTTCATGTATGTATATCAGCGCCGTCGCGGATCGGTCCGACGATAGAGACTTCAATGACGGTGATGCGATGGTTCTATGGGAGCTGAATGCTTCCAAACGAGCATTATCTGTTGTTGATAGCTATATCTTACACCGATCTCTTCTGGTCCTGGGACGTACGACATACTGTAATTCAGCCTGATACGATAGCATGCATCACTGAAATCGTGGAAAGACGGATTCGGGCGCGTCTGTATCGAGACGCAAGTGTCAGCGAAAGCAAGTCGCCTTTGTTCGGGCTCTTTCGAGTCACACCCTGTGCAAGAGCTCCTCCCAAGATTGGCTGATTTATGGTGAAGATGATGTTGCCTTACTCTGGTCCGCGCGGAAACGAACGATCTGAAACGCAAACATGAGCGAAGAACCTGCGAGCTTACCCGTGAGATATCCGTTTGCGCGTTGATCACTACTGAGCACCTGTAGAACTCTTCGCTCAAGAAACAGGAAGAAGCCTATCTATGAGGGTCCTATGCAACACATTTTGTCTTGCGCTAGCGGACAACCGAACAGTAAGGGTTTGATAAACGGATGATCCAAGTGTTCAGATTTACTGGGATCGCGTGGTTTAGGTTTCGGCCGAACTATCGGCCGCTGTAGCATCACAGTCTCATGCGATGATCCATGGGACGTAGATCGTTTCTCTTCCAGATATTTGTTGTTCATACGCTCGGACCCATATGGTTCTTGGCGGTGTTTTAGGGTGGAGAAGCTAGAAGTTGAACTTTCCCGAGGGCCGGCGAGACGCGTCCTCCCACCCAGCCCAGCAGCAGCAGCCCGAACGCGCTCTCCCGACCTCGACTTTCCCAAACGAGCAACGGTCTGGGGCTGTCTGTACCCAGGTACTTGGCAGTATGTGTACCCAACTCTCGTTATCGTAATACCCGTGTACAACCAGACCAGACCCAGCCTAACCTCGTCAGCCAATACGAACCACCTCCCCGCCATGTCAGAACGAAGCACCTCTGTCCGACGTAGCGTCGCGCCCGTCTCCTCTTCTTCCAAAAAGGCAACCACCCCGGCCGCTGCCGATGGGGAGAACGCTGTTGCTGCTGCTGCTGCTCCTGCCACCACCGCTGTCCCCGAGACCATCGCCGAGGGAAACGACGAGGACGATGCGATGCAGGTAGATGATGCTGCCGCCACCAACGGACAAGCTGCAGACGAGCCCACCCCGGCCGAGAACACTAACGACAATAACGGCTCGGCTTCGGTCGCTGGGGAACAGGACGAGCTGGACGAGAACCCGAACGGGGTGACCAACAACGGTGATGGGAATGACGCTGACGCCGAGATCGAGATCACTGGGGACAACGGCAAGGGAGCTGCCGCTACTTCAGCATCGAACGGAGATGGGGCCGAGGAAGACGAGGACGAGGACGAGTCGAGCGGGTTGGATGAGGGAGAGTACGAGATCGAGGCCATCTTGGATAGCAAGAGGTTGACGGGCAAGGTGAGCTTGGGATCTCTCCGGCTTGGAAGATCCGGGGTCCAGATGGATTCTGCTTCTCGGAACTCTGCGGCGGCAGACTATCCATCTCGACAAGAGGACACGTTTGCGATTCGGTCGGACGAGAAGCGAGAATGCCGATAGCCCGGATCAGGCTCAAAGACGATGTGTGCGAAGCTTCTGACTGACTTTCCCCTCTTCTCGTGTCATACCACTCGTTCCACTCTCGATCACGTCTTTCCCTATCATCCGGCTTGAAACGCAACTCTACGGCTCTTAGGGCAAATTCGGGTTCGAGTGTAAGCCTGAACGCGTCCTTGGTACTGGTCAGGAATCGTAGAGGTGAAGGCTGATCTTCTACTCTGTGACCACACTTACAGATTTGGTATCTTGGGTCGGATATGGACCCGAGTTCAACGAATGGGTCACGGAGGACAACTTGTCAGTTCGACCGTGCCTTCTCTCCTATTTACAGCAGAAGCCGATCTGAAATCGTCTACTTTCGTCGTTCCCCCACAGCGGTTCTAGCGAGATGATCGACAACTACTGGACCAAGATGGGTGGTAAACCCGTCAAAGGCCAATCCAAACGTGGCGCTCAAACAACTACCGGCTCTAAACGTCGTCGGGCCGAAGACTCGCCCTCGAACAGCGGCGCTGGGCCCTCTAAACGCGGGAGGAGGAGCGCAGTACCCGCCATCACGGATCAAGAGGAGGACCCCGAGGCGGACGATCTGTCCGCGTTTGCCAGGGACCACAAGGATTCCATGGCTCCCTACGCGGATCACAAGAGCTGGGAGGATCAGATCAAGTCGATCGAGACGATCGAGAGGGGCGCCAACGACAAGCTGGTCGTCTACATGGTCATGTGAGTCGAGGTGCAGGCGAGATCTCAACGACGTGGGGGTCCACCACGGGTGAGGCTAGTCGTTGATCGCGTTTTGGCATTGCGTGTTTGTAGGAAGGGAGGCGAAAAGACCGCTCAAGACGCAGAGACATGCAACGTCCGATGTCCCCAGCGAGTGAGTGCGAGGTGGTCCGCCCCTCACGGACAACGGCTGACATCCCCCTCGACTGATAAAAAATAGATGCTCAAGTTTTACGAGCGACATCTCAAGTGGAGACAGACCAAATAAACTGGGACCGACGTGCTCAAGAACTTTCCCCGTGACAACCTTCGACTGCTCACCTTTTTCCTCAATTCCTCCTCGTTTCTGGCACTCGAAAAAAGGCCAAGCCAGAGCGTTACGGCCATATTCATATGCTATATATCCCGTCGATCCTCCTCTTAGAGTCGACGTGGACGGCAACATTATTCCGGGGCTCAGCTCGTGTTTCCGCGTTTTGTCCTTGTTTCTTGTTCTTTATCATTTCGAGCTTGTTCTTGTTGGATGTGAATATATTGAATAGCGCAAATCATCTTTTCGCAAGCTCGTTAGATGGTAAAGAATCGCGTGGCGTTCGCGTTGGGTCTGCAAGAAGGCGAGTATTGCCGCCAGGAGTCCTTCTAGCCGAGCTTTGGCGGGAACTTTACCGAATCCCAAGGGGTCATGTCCGCCAAACATTATAATTATGGCTCACGTCCATGTCCAATTCCCATACAACCTCTATGATTCGTTCTACAACTTGTGGTCAGATTGGGCATGGCTCGACCCTCAAAAGTTGACCTCTCTGAGGGCCTCTCAATCTATTGCCGTACCGAATGACGACCCGATCCCGAACGATCGGCGGGATTCACCGTGCAAGAGCGAGGCGAGTTCTTCATCTACCGCTTTCCGAGCGATGGATTCCATCTCCCTGGCAAACATGTTCAAGATTTTCTGAAAGGCCGGAAAGCGTCCAAGTGGTAACGTGAGCTCAAGGTAAGGGAAAATCAATAACGTTCGACGAACCTTGAGTTTCAGATCTAGCTTCATGATCTGTTCCCCTGTTCCCGTCACCCACCCTGCCCTTCCGCCTATCGACATGGACATTGACGATCCACCTGCACCTCCATGCAAGCTGGTCCCGCCCGAACCCATCTGGCTGCTCATCCCGCTGACCGTCCGGTTCTTGTTCATGGTTGAAGCAAACGTCGACGCCCTCGGACTGGAATTCCCGCTAGGACCGGGTGATCTCGCTGCTGAACGTACGTCCGAAAGGTTCGGGGTTGTCGCATGAGGGCCGAGGAGAGAGCCGATCTTGGTATATAATTGACGGATGACTTCGCAGAGCGAGATGACCGTCTGGAAATAATCCGGCGCGAAGGGCTGTGTTTGGGTCGACGACGTCCGAGGAACTGTTTAGTGAGGCGTTTGATCGAGAAGTGATGTCAACCAGGACGAATGAAGACATACCAGGTTGACGAAAACCAACGCCGTCTCGCCCGTCTCCTGTACCGCGCCAAAATCACTCGCAGACCCCGCTCTCCTGCTCGTCTTTTGTCCCCTGAATAGGTTCTTCTGTTTCCGGCCAACATCGTCATTGAGAATATATCATGTCAGTTTGGATGATTGTCTCGCTATGAAAGTGGATTGGACTGGACTGACCATCCCCTTCCCACCTCCACCTTCCGCCCATGCTTCCCATTCGTCCAAGATCTTGTTCCCCGTCCGTAACAAGTCTATGGCCGGGCTGATCTCGAACAACGGAGATAAGGATAGTCCGAGGATGAAGAGCTGTTTGCACCTGTAAAACCAGCAGACACCCGGATATAAAACCTTAGTTCGCGAGATTGACTAGGTCGGGCTGAACGCGGCCTGACCTTTGTTGAGATTTCAATTGACCGAGCGTGGTATCCAGGTGAGACTCGATGTCCGCTCTTGTCACTTGAATTGTATGGAACCAGAGTTCATTGCTAGTATCAATAAACGAACATATCAGAAATGCACTCTATATATTCGGCTTGATAGATCCAGAAGAGGGAAGTGACACAGAGCAGGATGGCATGGGATGAAGTGAAGACTGACCCGTCGTGAGCTCTCCGGAGGTACCACCATGATGCCGTCCGTTTGTCCTGATACCCGCGGCACAACCAGAGGTCATGTTGCTTCGTATCAGCCTGGTCCGAATACCCTCCGTCGTACTTCTCAAGCTACCCTGTACTCACCACTAAAGCCGCCAAGCTATCCGGCCCCGAGATCACGATCCCTTGACCCCCACCCGACCCTGACCCACTGGCCGAATCCCTTTTTCCCCTAACGCCTACACCCCCAGATTCTTTGTTCGGCGATGGATTGGGTGCATCATACAACGAATGCGTATCTGACTGGGAGTCCGTCGGGAAGGGGGAAGGCAGGGTCTCTCGATCTCGGTAGCTGTAGCTCGTCGGTGGGGTTCCTCGTGAGAATGTATTTAGGAATTGGCTCTGCTACAAGGTATGAGGATGATATAAGCTGAGGAGCACCAGAGAGCGACGTGCAACCTGATGTGGGACTCACTGACGACGTCTGCAAAGCGAATCAAGGAAGCAATCGAATTGTGGTCAGGTCGGCGGAATGCGAGCTCGCTGTGGATTGACTTGCGGCTTGAAGGCTTTACCTTTCGCCGTACTATAGGTCTACCGGTCATCTTGTTACCCTCATGTCGTGTGTAATCCAGGAATCTAGTGTGTAGTCGATCTCGAGTCTGGACTAGCCTGTCGACAAGTACCTATGGATGTACCAACACCACTACCTTACTTACTTACTTACTTAATTACTTACTTACTCTTGTGAGGTTAACCCTCCGCGAGTAGTCTCGGCTCAAAAGTGTGTGATTCATCATATTCGACCACCCTTGACCTCACTCTTCAGACAATCTCTAGCTATACCTTGTCGTGCTCCCGACCGCACAAGCTCTCGGCTCGTGACTCTACACTCGAACATGGACGTATCAAGTCTGAAAGTCACAGGTGAGTCGCATTCCTTATCGAATCTCGCCAACATAGTCTCGGCAAAAGATCTAACATGACCCTCGTCGGACATGCGTTGGTAGAACTCAAGGACGAGCTGAACAAGCGAGGTTTGTCGACTGCAGGATTGAAGCAGGAGGTAAGTAGACAACTATCAATGTCTAGATATTCTATCGCCAGTGGCACTCATATATCATGAATGTTCTCTGATCGCAGCTGGCAAATCGATTACAAGACGCCATAAACGATGAAATCCAACCAGACTCCGAACCAGCTCAAGCAGCACCTGCCGAATCTGAACCTATCGGAGACCCATCCAACTCTGCCAAGGGAGATCCTCGCAAGCAAAATACCCCTCCTGCAGTAAAGGAGGCGGAGGAGGACGATTCGGTTCCGATAGGCGACGCCGAGATGAAGGAACAGGTTTTAGGGGATACGGATGGGGATCTTGGGGATGCTATGAAAGAGGCTGAGCACGAGGGTAAACAAGAGAGGAAGGCGGAAGAAGCTCAAGATGTTGATGAGCAAAAAGACGAGGAAGGCATCACGGAACAGACGAACGTGGTGAACAGAGAGACACAATTACGAGGCGTCAAGGAGGTCGAGGCTGGGAACAAGCGAAAGCGGGACGATGGGGATGACAGCATGGAAGTCGAGGAGAATGCCAAGAAGGCACGGACGGGCGATACTGAGACGCAAGTGAATAGTCGGACGGAAGATGGTAAGTCGACGACGTCATGGGTACACCGCACCTTTCGTTGGTGATACTGATCCTCAGAGCTCTTCTTCGCCTCCTTGTTATTCTCAGAAGCTACAAGCGCACCCGAATCTGCTCCTGAACCTGCTTCCGAACCTGCACCTGTACCGGTTCGAGATCCGTTTGAAGACATTCCCAACCCCCTCCCTCACACCCAACACCCACCGACAAAAGCTATCTACATTGACAACCTTCGACGACCGCTCGATATGCCCGGCTTGAAGGATCTGTTGGAAGAAAACGGCGAACTGGACGATTCCGAGATTTCAGGTGGGGTTTGGGTCAGCGGGGTGAAGAGTCACGTTTATGCGGTAGTAAGTCGATCGGTTTGAGAGAAGACAAGGTCATGGAAACTCATCTGTCACTGTCTGCGATCTGATAGTTCAAGACGGTAGATGACGCAACGAAAGCCGGACTCACACTGCATCACCTCGATTTCCAGCCGATTGCCAAGACCAGGTTACACGTCGAGTTCGTCCCCTCGACCCTCGTATCCAGCCTGATTTCGCAGGAAGAAGCTGCCTGGAAAGATGGTCGAAAACAGATGAGCCTGGTCATCCAGACGGTTCCCCTGGGACAAGGGTATGATGGATCTAGCAGAAAGGTTACCGTGGTCCAAGCAAAGACTGGAGGGAATGTGCCGGGTAGGAGGGTACCCGGGTTGGCCCACGCTCCACCGCCACCGACGCCATTCAGAGCGAGACCGGGAGTCGCAGGGATCGGAGGGGCCGCAGTCGTGCCGGGCCGAACGACAGGAGCTGTTAATTCGATCCCTATCGGACAGGCTGCCAATACTGTGGTGAGCAAGGGAATGACATCAGCAGGACCAGCGAGGCAGGTGGCCGCGCCTGTCAAGCCGGAAAGGGAGACGAGGGGTTTCCTGAGGACGAGGACCCGCCCGGTGTTGTTCTACCGCGAGGCGCCCCGAAAATGATGACTAGGATCTATGGATGTTCTACGTAGGTTGTTTTGGGGGAAGCAGGTTTAAGCGAAACATGTATCAAATCGTAACGAAGAGCAAAACAAAGGCTCAAAGCATGTCATATCGTCCGAGCGGTATGAAAGAACTATCACAAGCACAATCTAGGCGCCGAGTCCAGCCTTCTTGGCCTTCTTCTTCTTCTTCGGCTTGGCTTTGGACGTGGTTTGGTCAGAGGTTTCGTTCGCAAATGCCGTTCTCGAAGTATCCACCTCGATCGTCTCGGTCCTGGTCTGCATGTCCTCGACGTTGTCTTCAACTTTGGTACGCTTGGGCTCGGCCTCCTCTTCCTGGACATCCATTTGCCTTGCGCGCTTTTTGCCTCTGCCAACCACTTCGGTAGGCTGATACTCGGGTACATCTCGGACAAAGCACGAGACAAAGAAACCGTTCGTACGATCTTCTCCAGGCACGCAGCAGATGACGGCTTCCGCGATGTCTATGTATATAATGACCGACGCTCAGCTCAATCATCAAGGCTTTCTACTGTACGACCTCAAGGTGATCTTGACTCACCTTTGTCGCCACCTGTAACTTCTGATCTGCCTCTTCGCTCCCAAGCCGGCAGAACTTGGCTCCTCGGAGCGATCTTCCACCCAAAGTCGCGGGCCTCGGGACTTTCCAGCGCTTTCATGACGACTTCTTCGTCTTCCTCGGTGTGGATAGAACAGGTGGAGTAGACAATCCGCTTGGCGTTAGGGACTACCGAAAGCGATCTAGGTTGAGCGTGAAATGCAAATATTCAAGGGAACCGGGATGAGGCGCTTACATTTCATGGCATGACGGATCATGACGAGTTGAAAGGCCGCCAACTTTTCCAGTCGTTCCGCTTTGACATCATCGTCCTCGGGTTCGGCTGCGACGGAAATTTGGCGAATCAGCGGTTAATGATTTCTGGTCGAACCAGGCGTTATACAAATCACTCACCTCCTTCAAGCAGGTAGTCTAACCGGTTAACAATCCCAGATCCGGAACAACTGGGATCGAGCAGACTATGACACGACCCCTCGTCAGCCTCGCGCAGCACCCAAAGCCCCTGTCTACAGATGCCGCAAAGAACTCACATCCTGGTAACGTTCTCGTAATCCTTGGGTTTACTCTCCATGAAATCGGCTCGTTGCGCCTTGACGTTGTTACATCCAGCTCGTTCCAGCATCTTTTCCAATGTCTTGAAACGGACGTGCGAGCGTTCGAAAGCGTGGACTTCACCCTTGTTATGCATGAGAGCCGAGATGTAAGTGGTCTTGTTCCCCGGTGCAGCGCTGCGAGCCATACGGAAGAACGTTCAGATATGATTGCTGAAAGTGCAGAGTTGAGGAAGATGCCGAACTCACGTGCCATCAATGACTTGACCCTCACCGTCCTTCCAGTCGTGCATCAACACCTTGGCTGGGAAACAACTCGCCTTGTCCTGCAAGATGATCCCCCCATTGGCGTAATCCAGGTTCTTGTCAAACTTGGTCGACGCAGGCAGAGCGAAGAGGTCGGGCGAAAGGTGTGGGTCCTGGAAGAATGATCGGGCTGGGACGGGATATGTTGGGGTGGAGAGCAAGGTCCAGGGCGGGTTCGCCTTTGTCATGTTCGAGATGAACTTGGTAATGGAAAGGATGTTGGTATTGCATCGGACGTAACGAGGGATCTGAGCTGCGAATTGCACGGAGAGAGATTCAGCGTTGGACTTCATGTCCAAGGAACGATACACTGTGACTCACTAGCTACATCTCCACCCGACCGCTCCAGCTCTTCCTTGCTACTCAGCCCCCGCTTGATCTGCAGCTTGACCAGCTCAGCCTTTAGTCTTGTTCCATGTCGCAGGATAGCGGCCTTGGGCGGCCATTTATCGCTAGCCTGGACCTTGCCCTCCTTGGAGAAGAGCAAGTCTTGCAATAGGACAAGTACGAGGTTCTGAGAAGTAGGTGCCCCCGAGGGTACTTTGGCGGGAAAGACCTTCTTCTCCAGGTTAAGCAGTTTGACCGAGGAGAGAAGGTCGAGGATGGTCGGTTTGTCTGTCTAGTGAGAGGGGCGGCGAAAAACGGGTCAACGAAGCACAAAGCGACTGCCTCGAGCTATTGACGCACACTTCAAGCTCTCTATGACCACTGTGACGATATCCGGATCAATCAGCTTCCAATGTCTATCAAATCGAGGTCATACACTCGACCCACTCACGAGCCAATACCCGTTTACTCTCGTTGCCTTGAGCGACTCCCGCGGCCGCTACGGAGCCCTTGACGGATCCCTGTTTCGCGTCCAGGTGATCGAGCGCCAGAGCTGCTTGCTTGTAAAAGTTCATGGTGGGTGATAGTTCCAAGCGAGGAGGTCGCTGTATTCTTTTGTGAGGAGGAAACGGCGTCGACCTAGATGCATGTTTATCGTGGTTGGATCTTGAACTTTTGATTTCTCGCATCCATCCGGAAGTAAAAGTGATTATTTCGGAAGCAAATGACGATGTTTCCGTGATCACGATCCCCGCGGCTCGCTCGCAACGTTCAAACTTCGTTCCATTTCAGATCTGCTCCATCGTTCGTCTTGATCTCCTCCAGCTTTACCATCGTTGATCACAGGGAAAAGTTCAAATTTGATAGCACAGTGCTGCCGTCTCAAATGGAGCCTCAGATCTCGGTCCAGTCGACCGACCTCGCCCTTCCTGCCACGCTTCCCGCTCCGGATTCCCAGCACACAACCTCGGTCGCCGAATCAAGGTCGGCCTCCAGCAGGACATCTGCCATCTTGGATTTCGCCAGCAATGCCATCGAGTCTGCCGCTCTCAGGGACGGTTTGAAGCTGATTGTTCTCGGCGGAGCATTGGAGGCGGCTAGGAGAGGATGCGGTCTTGTCGCGCAGCAGATACTTGAGCGTGAGCGATCCTGTCATTCCGCATGTGCCGTTGATACGTCGGATCCTGAATCCGTTTCCTCCTACCCCAGAATTTACCATTCACGCTTTGTTCGTTGATACCGACATCTCTTACGACTGGCTCCTAGCCTGGCTATCTACGAAATCGAACCAATCCTCGGCCCGGAGGTTTCAAGTTTCCATCCACGGTACCGACCCTAACGCCACGTGGGCGAACGCAGAAGCCGGGACGGGTGGGGATGGGTTCGCGTTCCTTCCGAGTCCCGATGGAGTGAGATGGAGCACTTTTGAAGGAAGGCTGATCCGCTTCGTACGGGTCGTCGACAAGAGGGGGTTGAGCGATCCGAGGGAGAGCCTGGAAGTCACGTACGTATAGCCACGCTCCGCGAACAGAGACCTAGGCTGAATCGGGGGCCATGACAGCGTATTTGCCAAATCGCAAGAGATCATCAAGAGACTCGTCGAACAAGCTCGGCTCGTTCATCAAGCTCGCGATCAGGGCAAAGTTGTAGTGTACACCCCGTCCCGTCAATCATGGCAACGTTCCGCCGCTCGGCCACCTCGAAAGCTCGAATCGATCGTTTTGCCTCGGGGAGTCAAGGAGGGGGTCGTCAAGGACGTCATCGAGTTCTTCCAAGCAGCCGAATGGTACGCCGACCGAGGCATTCCCCATCGCCGAGGATACCTCTTGCACGGAGTACCTGGTTCTGGTGAGACCTCCTGCAAAGTCTGCCCGTCGACCTGCCATCGAACCGATGCTCATTCGTCTCACTCATGCTCTGAATCAGGAAAGACATCGCTTATAACAGCAGTGGCGGGACGTCTCGGCTTGGACTTGTTCGTGATCAACCTCGCTCAGAAAGGGTGGGTTTCTACGAGAATGATCGTAGATCGGTTAGGCCTCGTATTCTGATTCATGTTGGTGCAATTCCGTTGTAGATTAGATGATCAAACTCTCCAGACGTTAGCTGGGGCTGTTACAGAGCGCGGTCTCTTGCTGTTCGAAGACATGTGAGCGAGTGTTACGTCGGAACGAAGTCAAAGATCACCTTCATACTGACGGTCGCCCCCATTTTGCTGGTGTTGCAGAGACTGTGCCTTTCCGAGCAGAGAAGACTTGCTCGACGCCGAAGAGAACCCTAGGAAGAAGAAGTTGGGCAAGCCGGCACAAGCCGCTTCAGGAGTCACCTTGTCCGGTCTACGTTAGTATACTCCGGAAGATCAGTGACACCCGTGCCGAGCTAATTCCAGAGTTGAACTCGCAGTCAATTGCATGGACGGCGTACTCACTCAGGAAGGATGCGTGCTGTTCGCAACGACGTGAGTCGCCAACCTTGGTTGCTGTAGCAGCCGAGTATACCCCTGACAACTCTTCTCACACGGTAGGAACCATGTCGAAGCATTAGATCCAGCATTGAAGAGGCCGGGTAGAATGGATGTATGGATCGAGTTCAAGAACGCAACCAAAGAGCAGGCGAGTCTCGAGAACTTCTTCGGAGCATGCGTAAAATCCAGCTGACCAAGTTCGACTTGGATATTTGAACGTATTGCAGGCCGAAGATCTTTTTCTGCATTTCTATCCATCGACAGAAGAGACTCGAACAGAGATCCGTGACTGGGCTCATCGATACTCTCAAGGCATCCCCGAAAACAAGTACCCTGTCGCTGCGCTCCAAGGTCACTTGATGCAACACAAGGGCTTGCCAAAGAGGGCGGTGGAAAGTCTTGATGAATGGCTTTCAACGAACGGAGGAAGGGTTACGGCAGTATGATCCAGATCGGATCCACAGTTCAGGATGAATGCGCCCGGATGTGCAAAATTTCCAGGATCACGATATCAACGACGAAGATCAATTACGCAAGATACGAAACAAGACTTTGAAAGACTAGATAGACATGCTTTGACGGCAACGATAATCTATTATCAAGATCCTGATTGCACAGATTCATCTTCTCGAGGCAAGATATACAGACATACACGCAATCGGCGGGAGCGAAGGCAGACCTACATCTGAGAATGAACGGGAATGAGGTCATGACTTTGTTGGAGGTCTCGGTCCTACTCCAATCGGCTGTGTATCGGCGCACAAGTGAGCAAAGAAGCGCCATGAAACGAAAATAACAACAAGATGCCAGCGATCTTCACCGATCGGACGCGAAATCTCGGTGAAACGCTCGTACAAGGTCAGGACGGAATCCTGCTGCCGGAAGGGAGGAAATGAATCTGTCCAACACAGCACTTGGGCGGCGGCAATGCAGTGAAACGGCCGTAAAATCACGCTATTCTCATTTAGAGGGAGCAAATCCTCGCCTCCGCATGGCAGATCACCTCGGTATTTTGACGCCGCGACAGACAAGAATAAACCGATGACATCGCGACTCGATGCCGACCGCAACCGATATGCTCGACATCGAATCAGCATCTTTCCGCCACGACGCCTTTCCGTGCAGTTTACAGTGTTCCAGTGCGGTACCTGAGGCTGATCGATCCAAAATCGATCGAGACCATGATATTGGTCCGCGTCCGCGTCAGCACGATTGTTGGACGAGTCAGACGAATATATACGGGCTGAAGATGTTCGACTGGTGCCACCGGACAGCTTCGATAGTCGCCACTCGACTTCACTTCAAGCAAGCCAAAATTATTAGTCATGCATACAGTAGTTCTCTTCTCGCTACTCCTATCGGTTGTACAGGCTACCATCACAGGCCAGAAGCAATGCAGTGACGTAAGTGATGTGACGCCTCCCGGTTTTAGCGCGAGCGAAATCGAGCTCACAACCTGGGTGATCGCCTTGTGAAGTCGATGTGCGTGACTGGCCTGCACGATGATACGACCAACACGGACACCTGTAAGTCTCCAGAGGTAGATCCTTGAAAACCTTGACAATATGGAAACGTTTCGCTCATGGTCTCTCCCCGGTTGGTTATCCGCTTCGCATAGATACGATAACCGGTCCTGAATCGGCGAGTATACCGGCGTCAAAGTTCGGATGGGCGTCGATGTGGGTCGAAGTGGATGAACGGCTCGAATAGAGACACGTGCTGAATCTCAACATTCATCCCAACTTAGTGGTTTCGGATCAAAAATGGGTGAGCCTATCCGCTGATGAGCCGAGTTAGAACGCTCGGATGGGCGCTGATATCATCGACCTGATGCAGCCGGTAGCCCCATGCTCATCGTCTGGCCGAACAGCGACGGTTCTATTACGCTGAGTCAGAGGATGGCTTCTGGGAACGTACAGCCCAAAGGTAGACCTCGCGGGATTCTTCTACGGTGACGTGCCAATGCTGAAAACCTCGTTATCAATCCGTTATGGCATAGCACAAACCCTGGCACGAAGCGCCTCTTTGGTGAACGACACCTCGTTTGCAAACTCTTCCGATACAAGTATCTCGTTCACCATGCCTTCGGATTCGTCTCAAGTCGCTTCAGGATCCACGTTCGACCTGTTGTGGGCATATTCAGGAACCAATCCTGGTTCTTCGGCCGACGATGCCGACATCAAGAAACACTCTGGAGCCGGGGTGTGGAAGGATTTCAACCTTCTCGCAGAATACCCTGCAACGTCGAGTTCTAGCTCCAGCGCCAGTTCCGGATCGTCCGGTGGTGGCAAGGGCAGCTTGTCATCCAACCATGTCCTGCTCGCCCACATCATCACTGGCGCCCTCGCGACGATGCTATTCCTCCCTCTTGGTATTCTCACCCCTCGATACGCTAGGGGGATGACGACCAAGCGATGGTGGTTCCCGGCTCATTCTGCCAACAACGGGATCATCGCTTTCGGATTGATTGTCGCTGCTTTTGCGATTGGAAATACGCAGTTTGGGGATTCTGGTGGGGTTTCGCCTCATCCGGTACGTCTCTGTCCCGCGCATCGTCGTAACCATACTATCTCGGCGCGATCACTAACCTGACCTTTGTCATCTGCTCTGCTTCGCCTTCATCCCCGTAGAATCTCGCCCTTGCTCTGCTCATTCTCATGTGCGTTCAAATCGTCCTCGGCATCGTGGCTCATTGGGTCAAGTTCAACATCCCTAAACTCCACACGGCTTCCGGAAGAGGTCCAGCACATTTCTTGCACGTTGGGGTCGGGCTGGCAACTGTCATCGTCGGATGGGTGACGGTGTGGTATGGTGAGTTCGATTTCGTTGTCTTTCGGTGTCTTGGCCAGGGAGCGCGTGCTGATTCGACCCGCTTGCAGGGATGGGCGATCAATGGACCAAAAACGTTCCTTATCCCCCAGTGGGCACGGGCTACAAAGCCGGGTGGGCCGTCATCGTCGGCGTGGTCATCCTCGCCTACCTGTTCGGGGTGATCTTCTTCCTGCCAAAACAAAAGGCGATGGAAAAAGCCAAGCGGGAGGAAGGAAAACAGGAGCAAGACGGGACAACGGAGATGAGGCAGACGAGTCCCGTATCGAGCCAGCAAGGTCTAGTGTAGATTAAAGATAGAAACAGGCGGACGCGTGCAAGATGAGTTGGCGGAGACCGCCGGCGGCAGAGAGACAGGATCTTCAAGGTTGTGAGATTGCACGTAAAGTGGTAAATAGAATCATAAACAACTAGCCGGAGCGTTCAGGAACATGTAGCCAACGATACAGCAATAATATTTGTAGAACGATTCGAGCAGAATGTACATCTTGATGCAAATGTGAATCGGAGACCTCACTCGATGCGCCTTGACCTAGGTCGTCGATCGATCAGCCTCCGAAAAAGCTTCCGGAAGGAGAAACGTCATCACGCGCCCAGCCGATAATCACGTGACCATCGGATATGACCGCAGGGTGATTCGACCTCGCTCTCTGACCTTCCGAACCGGGCGGACACCCTCCCTATATCCAGAGACCTTTACCTTCTTCGACCAACCTCATTCACCTCACAACCACCCCCTCTTCTCACACATCTCGTTCGTTCTTGCATACATCCAAGCTCAAAGCTCATAATTCACAAACCTCAAAGCTCTTTCTTACATATAATAACAATCTGCGAAAATGGTCAACTCTACCTCTATCTCTGCCTTTACCTCTACCTCTACCCCTTCTCGCGTCCGATCAGCATTCGGAAGGCTCAAGTCGGCTATAACCCCAAGGAAACCTCGAGCTGGACTCGAGCGTCGTGTCGTCGAAATCGCCTGTGCTCTCTCTAATTGCAGCTCTTCTGCTTGCGCCCACCCGGTCTACACCCTCCCCGCACTAGACTCGGACCCCTTCTTCTACTCTGGTATGCTATCGGACGAGTGAGTTCAACCGGGAGTGCTCCATCTTCGTCCTCCACATCTTCGTCCTCCGCTTCGTCCGGGTTCATCGCTGAACTGAACCGATCCGAACTGGCCCACCTAGGATGCCCATCTTCGATGTCACCACCTCGCTGGACGAGGAGGAGGACATTTCCATTTGCATCCCCCATAGCGACGCCGAGAGGGACTCTCTGGTAGACGTCACCTTCTCGGAGCTGTTGGATGAGGACATTTCCATTTGCATCCCCCGTAGCGACGCCGATAGGGACTCTCTGTTAGACGTCACCTTCTCGGAGCTCATGGATGACGATCTGGACCAGGACGACTGGATGACCGAGTGAGTGTTCTCGTCCCAATTCTGTTTTTTCCGCCCTGGCTTCGATACTGTTCATATCGCACATTTGGGCTGACACGATACCGCCTTTGCCTTCGACCTTCACCTCCCTTACCTTTGCCGTCTCACTCAGGAGCGACTCTGTCATTCCTGCTTGTGGGCTCGACGAGGAGATGCTCACAAGCGTCGTACTCGACTTTGCGGAGTTCGATCTTAGCATCGAGTTCCCGGACGTGATCAAGAAGGAGGTCGCTGTCCCCCTGGTTGCCGCTACGACCTTGACCGCCTCCTCTTCTCCCGTTTCCTCTCCTCAAGCGCTGGTCGCTCCCACCAAGGCCAAGGTCAGCCTCGCTACTCGAGCCAAAGTATCCGCCGGCGCTTCCGTTGCGTTGGCTACTCGACCTGTCGTACCGAAGATCAATCCGCCCAAAACCAAGGTCAGCCTCGCAACTCGGGTGTCGCTGGCACCGCCTACCTCTCGACCTCGAGCCAAGGCCGGTGCTCTGGCCGCTCCCGCCATCCCCACTACCGGTGCAAGCAAATCTCGAGCGGTGGTCACTCCCGCTGCCCCTCGACTCACCGCGCCTAAAGTCAGCCTCGCTGCTCGGGTCTCGTTGGCACCCCCCACCACTCGACCTCGATCGGCTCTGGCACCTGCGATCGCCCCGGCTCAATCTCGGGTCCGACCTGCATCTCAACCCCAAAAACCCAAGGTCTCGCTGGCGAACCGGGTTTCTTTGGCTCCTCGTGGCCGCGGCGCCGATCGGGTCCTCCCCAAGAACAGGATCATCTTTGGCTAAGCGTTGATCGCTTTGGCCTCATGATCATTTCCGTTCGTGCCGCCGGCCGACTCTCGGTCCAGCTCTCTCATATGCGAGTTTCAACATCGTCGCTGGTCGACTTCGGACTTTCAATTTCGCTCTCGGATTGGCATCAAGCTTGGTCTCTCGGTTCCTTTCTCTCTCGGGTTCGCTTCAAGATCGGTCGCTGGCGATCAAGGTCTCTTTTCAAGGTCGGCATACGGAATACGATACACAACAATAAGGTCTCGGGTCGGATCTCGGTTCTGGACTCATATTTTGGGCGTTGGCTTTTTGGGCGTCGGCTAAATATCTCGGGCTTTGGCTTTATGAATCTTGGGCGTTGGCTTGAACTTCGGGCGTTGGCTTTTACTACCTGGGCGATGGCAGGGAAACCTCTCGAGCGCCGGCTCCCTCGAGACAAGTACAGCGATCCTCAAAAGCTCCTCACCGCAGATCCACCTTCCTCCCTTTTCTCTTCCTCTTCTCCCTTCTTTCCCTCTTACCTCTACCCGTTCGGTTCCTTCTCATCTTCAAGCTCGTCGCCGGACTCCATACCAGTGCAAACGACGACGGGAAACACTTTCGCTCGCGGTACCGCTTGCTGTTCAGTCAAGTAATGGGCTGCACCGAGTCTTCCTGTCGTCGGGTTGGATAGGGCGAGGACGAAGGTGAGAGGGAGCTGAATTGGTGGAGGTAGGTGGGGGGGGATCGGAGCCGGGGAGGGGAAATGCGGCGGGGGGTGTGATCATCTATTGCGGCGCGAGGTAGAGGATCCCGTACGAGATTTCCCTCCCCTCCCTTTTGGGAGGGGTTTCAGAAACCCCTTTTCACTTTCGATTTGGTAACCTGCTCTCTAAAAGGCGACTGTTCTACCGAGTATCCTCTTCCTCCTCATCCTGCTTCTTCTTTTCATTAAAAGGCGATCAATCCAGGGTTTCATATCCGAACGTTCAAGAAGGTGAGCACTTCGCGTGGCTAGGTGTTTGCCACGCGACGACTGTTCGCTCACCTGTGTCGCATTCTTGGTCGCTTTCGATTTCAGTATTCCCGCCTGCAAGCCGGCCTTCGGGTTCCGTAGGTCTTCTGTATGATCTACCATGTATCGATACCATCGTGTTTGTCTTTTTCACCGAAATCGACCCGAAATGAAATGCATTAGTAGTATTCGAAAATATCGATCGAGATTATTAGCTTGTTAGCATTTATTATCGTTTCTTGCTCTTGATTAGTATCGCTTCTTAATCTTGATTAGTAGCGATTAGTAGTGATTAGTAATCCCCCCCCCTCCCACTGCCTCTCTCGATGATGACGCGCGTGCGGCCGAGACCGATCAACCCGGGGCGGTAGCTGGCACGTACAGCGATGGATGGACAGTTCAGCGTAACTCGCAACTCGACATCAATCCAGTCCCTACCTCGTTCAAGCCCGGCCAACTAGGACAGGCTGACGACTACGATATGACATCACACAACAGCCCCTTCATCTCTCTCCCGAGAAAGACGACGGGAGAGACGGACTTTGCGACCCCCATCCGCCAGACTATCGGTCAGGTCTATGGGGAACGTCCTGATGGATATGCCGAGGACATTGGCTCGTTGACGAGATGTAGGGGAGATGCGGTCAAGGGAGCCGGGAGTGATGTGACGGGTGAGTTCGAGATCCCGCTCTCGTGTACAACCTGATGGGCCTTGTTTGAAAGCTAAAGGTATCGGTGGCATACAGCTCGAGATCTCTTGTTCAAGTACTTTGGCCAACTAGAACTCTTGGAACTGCGATTCGCCGAGACCAAGATCTCGTTCACCTGGTACGTTTTCAGGAATTCGGTTCTTCGATGCAGCGGTATGCTGATATCATTGCGATTTATTTCCGACAGGAACGATGCTTATACACACAAGCCGACTACTCAGACCTCGCTGGCTTTCGAAAAGGCTTCCATCCTACATCTCCTATCCTCCGTCCTCTCACACCTCGGGGCCACCTCGCCTCGAACCTCCCCCGAAGGCGTCAAACGAGCCTATGCAGCTCTACGACAAGCCGCAGGCTTGCTCAACTTTATCAATGAAAACTTCTTGCACGCCCCTTCGACCGATCTCAGCCGAGAGGTCGTCTCCCTCTCTGCCAAGCTGATGATCGCTCAAGCGGGCGAGACGTTCTTGGAGAAATGTATAGGGGAGAAGAAGCCCTCTGCGCTGGTCTGTAAGATGTGTCAGTCGGTCGCGCAGAGCTATGCGGGGTTGCAGGAAGATGCCAAGGAGTTTCAAGGCAAGGGAATCCTGGATCGGAACTGGGTCAACGTGTTTGCCATCAAGGCCAAATATTTCGCTTCCCTCGCCCAGTGGTACCGCGCTGGGATCGATACCGGCAAGGGAGACCATGGTCCCGGTCTGGTCCGCTACGGGATGGCCCAGACGCTGGCCAATGAAGCACACAAGCTAGCCAAAGAGTTCAACTACAGCTACACCCCTAGTTCGTCGACTGCAGCCTTGACGGGGAACGTTTCTTGGGGAGAAGAACCACCCGTGGCGCATTCGACGTTGCCTTCTGACGCAGCTTCGGCTCTTTTGGAGATTACGAAAGCCCACCTGGCCGTAACCACCGAGGCCAAGACGACCGCGGACAAGGACAATGACCTCGTCTACCACGCCCTCGCGCCTTCGGAATCCAGCTTGCCGGCCATCGAGCCGTTGCCCAGTACAGGTCTTGCAGCACCGATCACCATTCAGGAGATTTACGCTCAACCGGCCGTCTCGGGCTTGATCGGGCCGGATATCTTTCGACGACTCGTTCCCCTAGAGGTGCATGAAAAGGCCAGCGTGTATTCCGAGGAAAAGGCCAAGTTGGTTCGAGCTGAACAGGAGCGGTGCGACATCGGGGAGAGCGAGACCAGGGCAGGGTTGGACGATCTGAGGGTCAGAGAGAGGATCCACCGTTATGTGGGTATCCTCGATGGTCCGAACAACGCACAGGGCGGGCAGGGTTCAGGGCTGCCAAGAGAGGTCGCCGGCTGGGCAGAGGAGATTAGCAACCGGGAACGACGGGATGGTCCGATCGAGGACGTCTTTAGGAGGAACGATCAGCGTCGCGACAAGGCGCAGGAAGAGCTCGACGCGATGGCACGAGAAATGGACGAGGAAAGCAGGGAATGCGAACGGATGCGAGCCAAACATGGGCATCTCTGGACCATGTCCCCGTCTTCCTCGCATAACAGGCAATACAAGGAACAGGTCAAATCTCACCTCGATTCCCTGAAATCTGCGGACAACTCTGACCGCACCATCGCCGATACCTGGAGTTCAATCCAATGGAGCGTCGACGTCCTACGTGGACCGCGGCATAACTTGGAAAACATGTACACCGATGCGGCAGCTGGGAAAGACGCCAGTGCGAGGTTAAACTTGCTCGATGTCGATGTGGCTGAAGAAGAGCTGGATGATCGGGAGAGGGAGGATTTGCAGGGAATCATCGGAGAGCTTCAGGAACGGGTTGATCGAATGGACAAGGTCCGAAGGGAGAGGGACGAGGTTTTGAAGGATCTCAAGGAAAAGGTAAGTGTATGCCAACAGGCTTAGAACCGGCTGATTCACTCCCCAATCATGCATGCAGATCCAGACCGACGACGTCTCCCACCTTTTGCTCCTGAACCGCCGTAGCCAAGGCGTCGAGCCGACCCTCTTTGCCGCCGAGCTCGAAAAGTTTTCGCCCTATCAACATCGCATCTCGGCCGCCTTGGCATCTCAGTCTGGGCTGCTTGACGAGATGGCCGCTTTGATCAAGCAAGCCGAGAACGGGCGGGGCGTGAGAGATGCGCAAAGGAAAATGGGTGGTGCGGCACAGAGGCGAGACGACCTAGACAGGAGGTTCCGGGCGGCTTATGAGGGGTACATGGACGCTAGGTCGAATCTCGAGTATGTGCACCTCGACGCCCTGTCGATCGTAGTCGAAAGCTGACCTCGGACCGTCACATCCACAGCAAGGGCAGTCACTTCTATGACAACCTGACGACCCTGATTGACAGCCTCCGCCGGAATGTCCGGGGTTTCATCTCCAGTCGCACGCAAGAACGCAATCAAGCGATTGGAACCATTGAGTCCAGGCAGTCGGGAGGCTTGTCGCCTTCTCGGGCTAGCGACGGTCTCGAATCTGCACTCAGCAACATGTCTCTCTCGTCGCGACCACCTGCACCGCCTGCACAGTCGCCGTACGCTAGCCAAGCGTACAGTTCGCCGACGAGCATGCGTCAGCAAGCTCCGCCTCCACCACCGCCTCCCGCCAGCAACCCGTACGACTTCGGTAGCTTCGGCAACCTGCCTTCGGCATTCTCTGCGGATGCTAGGCAATCTTCCATGTCACCGCCTTTGCCTCCACCTCCCCCAAAGATGACTGGGGGTTCTAGCCCGTACAACTCGTACTCCAGCCAGCCTCCGGCGCAGCAGTATGCGTCGTACTCGCAGACCCCCTCTTCTGCCTACCCATCTTACCCGAGCAACACTGGAGCATACCCACCGCCACCGCCCAAGCCATCATATCCGTCCAGTTCGGCCGGAAACTATGGGCCTCCTCCCCCCACCACCTACTCGACTTCGACGCCGTCGTATCCGTCGTATCCAGCTCCTCCGGCTCCAGGCCCACCTCAACAGCAGCCATCGTACCCTTCGTACTCTGCGCCGGGCGCTCCGCCCCGACCTGGTTCCCAAGCGCCTTACGGACAGCAGTCCTACGGACAAGGCGTGTCTTTCCCCTCTCCCCCTACCCATCCTCCTGGTGGATACCCCTCGAGGCAATATTGATGCGCCCGGCTAGCTGCCTTTAGTAATGTGACATTGCGGGTTGTGTAAAAGAACAATTAATATCCGTTTGAAGTTTCGATGCTCATTTTCCTGTGTTCGAGCGGGGATCATCTTTGTATTTCCCGAGCTCGGTACCCCAAACGACCCTTTTTTGAATCAGCAGCTACGGCAGTGGAGTTGACCTCCTCATCGTCATTGTCGGAAGCTGATTTTGCTTCCGGAAACTCGATCCCCCATCGAGATCGTCGAGCGTTATAAAAGTCGATGTCGCAACCCCGGTCGACAAGGAATCACATAAATATACAGTCGGCTCTGCCCTCCACCCTCAATCTCACATTTTTCCTCACCAGTCACTACCACCATGTCGTTCGCCCCAGCCTTCTACTCCCAACTTCGATCCTCGGGACCCATCGAATGTATCACTCCCGGCACGATCCAGGCCAACAAGGGTTACTCGCCCGACCTGGCTTCGCAGATCGCCGATGGTCTCTTTCACCCTGCCATCGAGGTCGGCCTACATCTCTTGAACGGAGACTTGTATTCGGCGCATTTCTTGGCTAGGAAGATGCAGAACGATCAGTATGGGTGAGCGTTCTGTGCTTTTCCATCGGATCGCGATGACGGCGAGCCCGGCTGATCTTTCGAAATGACGTATCATGATCGATATTTAGGATGTGGCTGCACGGCATACTTCATCGATACGAGGGCGACTTGACCAACGCCAAAGCGTGGTACAAAGGCTTGGACGAGAAGATGATCGCCGAATGTCCCGTCTACCAATCTGGTAGCAACAAGAGGGACTTGGACCCGGCTCATCACGAGGCGTTCATGTTGATCGACCAGGTCGGGCTCGTCGGTCGAGGGTTCGGAGCGTCCAAGTTGAGGGCGCAATATGGGGACAAGGCGATCGGGTTTCCGGAGAGCGCACCCACGGAGCAAGAGATCGAGGACGAGAGGACGAGGTTGCAAAAGGATGGCAAGGCTGAGGTGGACGGCAAATGCTGGAAAGAGCTGGTATGGCTCGTAGGCAAGCTGGTGGAGATGTACGGATGGGACCGAAACGTCGAGGGAACCCAGGGCTATACCGAGAGTACCGAGCAGCAAAAGGAAGTCAGCCGAAAGATGGTCGGCGGCGGGGAAGGGATCCGCAAGTTTTGAACTACCACGCTCTTGTATCCATGCCCATCCTTATAATGGACCAAGCGTCTCACCCTCATGAAGCAATCTGGTAACACGATGTCTGGCGGGCAATCTCGATCGACCATCTGATCATGTTTACAATCGAGACGGTCTGGACAAGCTACAAGTTGGGAGGGTAGGGGGAAGTAGAGGCTCGTCGTCAACCTGACACGCTCAAAAATAACCGCATGTTCCGAAAAACAGCAGGTGATGCGCTTAGTATCCGTGAGCGGCAAGCTTGTCGGCGGCACCGAAGTTGACCGACGAAGCAGCCTTTTCTCGGAGCTTGAGGGAGGCGACCTGCAAAAAGGTAGTCATCGTACATGTCAGCCATTCGATTCATCGGAGAACCGGAGATGGCACGCCCATGACTGACCTTGCGCTCGTGGTAAGCCTGGCCCTTGGCCTTCCTCTTCTCCTCCAACTTGTCGACGACGTCCTTGTAACCCCAACCGACCTCGTGAGACAACCTCTTCAAGGTGCAGTACTTCCTGCCGGGCTTGAGTCGGAGGACACGGAGAGCGGCGGGAACAACCATCTTCTTGACCTTGTCCTGAGCGGGGGGGACACCCTCGAACAAAGCGAGACGGGTCAAAGCGGCGGCACCTCGCGAAGACTTGTGGGGAACCATTCCTCGGATGGCCTTGTAGAGGATCCTAGAGGGAGCTCGGAAGTGGAAGGGACCGGACTTCTTGGGGTTGCTGTCGACGTCAACAGAGAAACGAGAAGCGCGTCAGTCGGGATCGAGATCTCGCTTGCAGAAACGAAACGAGACATACACCAAATGCTTCTCTACGAGCGGTAGAAGCAAGACGGGATGAGGCAGTTAGTATGACAGCCGACGACTCTTCCCAAGCTGAACATCCTCAAGACTGACTGTGCAAGTAGGAGTGGTATCGGAGCTATCATGATGCGCCCCGAATCAGTTATCGAGCCTCTCTTGGCAAGCAACCTGCTTCACCGTCTGAACTCACCTTGTTCCTGAAGAACGAACCCGAGACGTTGATCTCCTCGCATCGAACGACGGTGACCTTTTGACCGCTCAAGATCTATTCTCCCACACAAACAACAAACAAAAAAACGCAAAACCAAGACATACGCCAACACCAGGACGCAAAGTCACATCCCCGACGTTACGCAACAAAGGCGAACGAACGGAAAGACGGATTGAGCGATTGGGTTTTATATGGGTAGATGGATAGATTGCGGCAATCAGCCCTCCGTTTCCGGTTAGAGCATGCTAAGGATTGATAGGGGTTTTCTCGGTTTGGGTAATTGGTCTTTCTTTCGGATTCGGGGGTGGACCCGTACCGTTTCGGGGGGTGGCCCGCTAGAACTAGGGTGTGTGCGCCCATTCGCACATGCGGCATTCGAGTAAAACCCGACGGAGACGCGAGTGTCGAGAGAAAAGTTTTCGCTCGAAGCTACTAGCTCTCTCTCTCTCCAGCTCCGTGCTCGTCTACGCGCATCGACGGGGGGAAGGAACGAGAGATAATTGCGGTGGTTGTCTAGATAGGCAGGATGGCCAGGAAGGCGATCAGGATCCCGGCGACTTTCCTCGAAAGGAAATAGCCTGACCCCATATCGCAATCCGCACCATCGCTCGCGAACCTTCCGAACCTGATCCGACCCGTACCGTCTCGGCCTATTGTTCGTCTGTTTTCGAGTAACCCATGGTAATTGGTTTCTCCCCCTGGACAAAAAGCCTACGCTCCGAGGATGGCGAGAGCTACAGGGCGTCCATGGTGCATCACCACCGGCGACGATCCCCTTTGCTCTTGCTCTTTCCGTATCTGGCAGCGTGGAACATCCTTCTTGTCCTCCCTCGTCCTCGATCATCATGCCCTCGTAATATGTGTTCCCTCGGTTCATCTTTATCTTGCGCTGTATCCCGTTTGTAACGGTGACGGCTCCCCCTTATTACGAGGTGCTTGATTCAGATGAAAGGATCATGCGATCCGAGCTCCCCTGCTACCCGAACCATCTGTCGGGCCATCCACCCCCGCTCATATCGCGTGTTGCCAATTGTCCCTCGCCTCGAATCCCCACTATCGTAAATCCCTTTCCCGTTCTTGTGTACACACCTGCTTCGCAACGATCGAAGCGAGACGACCGAGGAGGTGACCTTTTCCGTCAATGACGATGGGGGCAGCAGAGAAGGTGGACATCTGTGATTATGTCGAGGGTCGTTTTAGGAGATGCGTAGTCGATATGAGCGGGGTGAGAGGGGTTTCGTGTCGAGCCGTGGGTTGAGCAGAGCCGAGTCGAAAGATTGATTAAAGGAATTTTGTCGAGACAAGATAAGATACCGTGAAAACCGTCAGCGCCCCGCTCTTGCGGTCGTTTTCGCCGGACCGAACAGTTCCCTCGCAGACTGACCTTGACTCTTGATGGATGATGTTGCCGGATCGAGAAGGGTATCTAGACACAAAGGCTGGGCGGGGGTTGACGAACGGATATGATCCTGATCTCAAGTCGACCTTGATCGAGACCATCCAGCGCAGATTCACTGACCCACCCAAGGTCCCGCGCGCGTAAGCAAGAAGGAAAGAAACGCGCGTCAAGTAAAAGCGCGCGAAGTATCTGCGCTTAGCGTCTCACTCGTTCACACCTCGCCCTCGCCCCCGAGCTTGGACTCGACGCGCTTCGGCGATAATCCCCGAACGTGTTTCAAGAAGAAATACAGGTGAAACGGTAGACGATCCTGCGAGATATACAACCGGGGTTCAGGTGAACATGCAGTGTGCTATCTATTGTACACGTGTTCTGTGCGGAATGATTATATGTATGGGTGTTGAAGGTTCATGTCTATTCCGTGGAACTTATCGAGAGCGAGTCGACCTAATTCTCATATGCATCCTCCTCGTCTACCTCTTCCGGACTCGGTGGCAGCCTGACAAACAACAAGACAACCGTGGCGACCAGCGCCGTCGCCCCATTCGCGAGGAAGATCAAGTTCGGCCTCTTGGCCTCGCTGAACAAGGTGAACAGGCCGCCAAAGACGCTCTGACAGATGACGGTCGCCAAGAGTTCGATGAGCGCAAGACCTGATAGAGCTTCGGGCTTTTCCGAGGTGGTGACCATCTCCATGACGACTCCTTTGGCAGCCGGGGCAGTAGCACTCGCGAGTGGCAAGATTCCACCGGCTGTAACGATTTACACAGCGTCGGCTCAGCTCGGGCGTAACGCGGATTCGCGAAATATCTCTTCGCCTGATACTCACCGATATACATCTGCCATCCCTTGTTCGAGAGCGACAATGCCGCCGTCAATACGGCATCGAATAGACAACTCCACCTGAGGAAGACCAGGTCGAAAGCGCTCTGATGGTCCGACTCTTTGCCGTACCCCGAATGATGATGATCCACCTCGGATTCGTCCGATGACGAGCTCGCCGTTGATGGGTCGCTTGAGATGGATATACCACTATCGTTGTCGCCGTAGTTCGGGTATCGGCCTCGACGCGTGTTCGATAGGTCGTTCGAGGTTCCGTAAGAGGAGACGCCCCGTTTGAGAGGGGCTCGACGGCCGGTTGTCTTTTCCTCCTTGTGCGCGTACCATTTCCGGCCATACTCGATGATGTGAGGAAAGGCGAACGTGAGGAACATGGCTCGAACCAGGGCGAATGTGGACATCAAGTAGCCGTTCTGTTGGGGTCATACAGATATGCAGGTTAGCGTGCCGGACACCACCTTCCGGTCGAATGGACTCGCCTGGGTCGGACGGAATCCGTAGATATTGGTACTGAACAGTTGCAGCATGAGAGGCTGGATTCGCGAAGCAATATTATCGTCGATGGAGGGTCAGCTTGTGTAGTTAGCGTCGAACGGATTGCGTACCCATTGTAACTCACCACGTAGGCAGTGGCCAACACGCTCACAAACGTTCCGATAGCGAGCAACGTCACCCCATGATAACTCTTCCCATCCCAATCCTCCAACCGTCTCGTCTTGAACACCTTTAACGGCCTAAAGAACCCCTTGATCTGCTCCTCGACCGTCTTCTTGATACTCTGCTTGGATCGCTTCTTGTTCTTCTTCCTCTTCTCGCCGTCCTGCTTGCTAACGTCACCTTCGGTGTACTTGGGAGCGACGTAAGGGAGGACGAGGTAGGTCTGGATGGTGCACAGGAAACACAGGGCGAGGGCGACAAAGAAGGGGGCGGTCGCGTGAACGCTGTCATTGAGCATTCCGCCTATGGTAAAGGCGAGCGCAGTCCCGGCCATGGCGACACCCTGTAGCTGACTGTGGATATCTGAGTCAGCTCTCAGCGCTGTGTGTCACTGCTGCTCTTTCGCATGGACTCACCCGAAGCTCCCTGTCCTCGCATGCGGCTCGACGACAGCCCCCACGTAGTTGTTGGCGCTGAGCAGGTACCCGGGTCCACCTCCGAATACAGTAAAAACCTGTGTGATTTGAAAGAACAGTATTCCCGCCCTGCCTCCTTTCCAGATACCCAAGACTTGGCCGGCATTCCGGAATAGGGGCCAGAGGGATTGCTGTATGAGAGTCGCCCTGACTCCATAGTTTCGTTGTAGCCATCCGGTCGTCAATAGATTGAGCACTCCACCGATGGTCGTCAAGATGACCACTGCAAGGAGTACAAAATTTCATCAATTTGTGATACCGAAGTCCCTGCGGTAAATGTTGAACGAACTGAAGCTGACGGCCTTGGCGGTCTGCACGTCAATGGCCGGTATGGCACATTGATCCCCGTTTCCCTGATACGGCTTGTGATGCTGGTAGTACTCCTGGCAGGTCAATACCCGGTACGCATAGAGCATCGGCGTGTTGGTAAGTCCAAAGGTGAAGGACAGGCAAAAGACGATCAAGAGCATCCTCCTAAGCGGAGTAAAGAACGACTTTTGCATGACCTTGGTCTGGGTATCTTGACGGAGGAGCAACGGCTGCTGCTCCCCATTGTTGCCGTCCTGGGGCGGCATGTTGGCCTATTGCAGCTTCTTCCTATGTGGCTACTCGTGACCTTTGACCCGGTATAGGTGCTCGAGTTATGGTTTGTTGGATACATGGACATAACTTGGGGCTGTAGATGATCGATCGGGGGTGGGGTTCGGCATCGTCCGCGTCGAAGAATGCTGCTGCTGCTGGCGTCATGCATCCATCCATCGCGCTTAGGATGACGAACTGAACATCTAGCTTGCATTCCGTTGTCATCAGGCAAGTCCGCCCCACCTTCGACGCAAAGAAGAAGCATCTGTTGTTTCCAGGTAGTACATCGTTACATGGGTTCGTACATCCTTCTAGTCCGTCTCTCTTTCTATATATCTATATTATGCCGGTGCGTCCATCGACGCCCTCGCTTCAAATCGTCATCCTCCTCGAGTGGGGGGGAAGATACAGTCTATGGCTCGTGAAGATCCTTTAAAGATCGGTTTTGGAAGAGGAGAAGTCCCTCGCCTCGTGCGACGTCTAGGCCCACTTGGCGAGCAAGGCCATGAGACCGCTTCCAAGGCAGATGCAGACAAACGCGAACGTCATCCGCTTGTTCGAGGCCTTCATCATTCGAGGGTTGAGGAGGATCTCGTGACCCAAAAGCTGCGTGGACAGGTTCAAAAAGGGGATGCTCGTTAGCGGGTTCACTCATTGTAGGACATGTTTGAGCGCGATGTCGATTTGACTCACCTCGACAAGCCCGGTGTAGAGGAGGATCCCTGCACTGAACGCATCGAGAGTGCCTGACGCTCCGGCCATAGCAGCACCGTTAGTATTCAGCGACTCCCTCACACCAAGACCGATGGCCACACCGAGGGGGCTACGAGAAAAGAAGCAGTATAAGGTTAGCGTCGGCCGCCATGGTTTCAGGAGAAATGAAAGAACGCGAATACTCACGTCATCAATGCGTAGAGGATACCGGCGGCATACGGCGCAAGACGCATCTTGTGAGGCAGACGAAGTTGAGACAGACGAGATCCCAGACCGAGACCCTCGAACATTTCTGAGATCACGTCAAGGCTCTGATCAGCTCGCGCTCAGGGTATATCGCAGATCAGAGCGGTAGGCCCACCAAAACGTACGGTGGAAGATGATGACGATGAACAGGGTGACGAACTCGTCACTCAGGGCCAACGTCAGACCGATGACAATGGAATGGAGGATGACACCAAACTCCAAAACGGCGACCGCGATCAGCTGGGCGACCCCCTCCGAGGTGGAAATGTCGTAGTCCGTCCTGGCAGCATCCGCATCGAGACTGTCAGAGGAGGCGAAACCAGCTTCGGCCATCTTGGCTTTACTACCCGCCCCGACGTTGACACCGGCAACGCCCTCCTCGGAAGAGCCGATAGGGGAGATTGACTCGTCCAGGGCGTTCCCGTTGTTGAGGTTTTCGTGAGCGTGGGAATGACCGTGTTCAGCCTCAGCGTCGGCGTGAGTGTTGTAAGTCATCCCGAGCTTTTCCATCCTCTTGTTCCCGATCCTGTAGGCGGCGACTTCGGCAAAGAAGATGGCGTAGACGGACATCATGGCGATGGCCGGAGCCCAGTCCTGATGGACGAGATGAAGAGCTGAGGTGAGTGATGAAACGAGGTAGAACTCGGGCGGTACGGCTTACGTATTCGGTCCATCCTCCGCTCAGACATTCCGATCCAAGCGCTTCGAAGGCGGGTGTTAACAAGCTAAAACGATCACCCAAATCGTTTCGACGTTCAGTAAACCTCGCCTGGTTTCATGTCCATACTAGTTAGGATGTGCGGGACACTCTGACTCACTGCATAAACGCCGTAGCGATGATGACACCGCTACCGAAAAACTTGCAAAAGTCAAAGACGAGCGGGTGGGCAAAGACTGATTTCGTGCGTCGCAAGAGCACGGGGGCGAGGGTGCCGATGATCGAAGTCACCTGTGGGAGATGGGCGAGCGGGCCAAAGTCAGCCGCTATCACACACGCAACGAACACATGTGTGTTCACATTGGGCCAAGAGAACTTGGCATATCTCTCTTGTGCTTCGGGCTTCATGCGAATCGGGGGCTACACTCACGAGGATGATAAAGATCGATGCGATACGCAGTCCGTGCCTCGAGTCGTCATACGAGGCGGCACAAGGGTCTTCCTGAACATCAGGAGTGTTCTCAGCGGGAGCGTCCATAGTGGTTTCAAGGTTCGTAAGGATTCGGAGAGGCGCTGTGTGCAGATCTGGCTGTTCGAGGTTGTTTTTTCCCAGGTCGACGAGGAGGAGTTTGCGTTCAACGGTTCGCTGATATCGCTGTACACTGTCCGGTATATATATTCCTTCTTCCAGATGAACGTTGCTCTTTGACGAGATTATCTCGATGTCATTCCGTTCTGAGAATAGAATATCGACGAGGATATCGAGGGATGCCACCACCCCATACCTCAGGCCACTGTCCACAGCACCTACGATCCTCTTTCAATATGACCTGGAAGTCCTCACTGAGATCACGTGACTCGAGACCCACTCGTCAAAGGAAAACTCTCCGCTACCTGGCCATCGGATGCATAAACTACATCCGACCCTGTCTACCCTTTTCCCGTGCCGCGTGCCCGACCTAACCACGCGAGATCAAAGAAAGATGTGGCGTCGGATCGAACCGAACACTCCGAACCGATCACGTTTCGTATTCACGCAGCGCCCAATCGATTCGTCGATATGGGAGAGTGCATGAGTGACGATCTATTTCCGAGCTTCGTTACGGCTCCGTAGTCGTCTTCGTATGACATGAATACACCGAAGTGGCAAGAAGCCTATGCAGCCAGACCGCCATCCCCAGTGCCGGCCAGCATTGCCAGCCGATGATGGCGAAGTCGTTCATGATATCTCCACAGCAGTGACTGCTCACTGTCCTCTGTCCCGGTCACTCACACTGATCCGCTCTGGCGGGCGAGATCAGGTCCAAATACGTCCAGTACCCGCCTAATACCGCTCGAACGAACATCTTTGCCGCCTTCGAGCTTCCGGGCAACTGTTCTGCACGCAGACCCAACCTGGCTGTATCGCAGAGAAGGTGTTGAGACGGAGTTTCTCGAGCAGAGTTCGCGGCTTCTCGACTTTACCTCTTCTGGCTACTCCATCTGGTAGTGTTCCAGTCGACTACTGGTCCCTCGTTTAACTCTGGTACTGCGATTATCAGGTCCGATGGCCGTGACGACATGTCTCACCAGCACCTACGCATTGCCGCTACAAAATGACCCATGCGCATACCGACATCAGGTAACTGGATTAGCGGCATCATTGAAGGCGCTCGCCTTGTTTGTTATCATCTGGCCAGGTCGTCTTATATTCCGCGGTTGAGAATCAACCTCATCAGACAGATGCAAGATACTGCCATACCCTAAACTTAGATACTTCCGGGCACCCCATTTACCTCAACCCCCGTAAATATGGAGGTCACTTTGCAACTGATCCGACTATTTCGTATCAGTGTCGTATTTACCGGTTCGTTACCTGCAGGCAGTCCAGCACCGACTTGTTTCATTTGATGTATCTGCCCGATATCTATGTAAGGCACTTTACTCATATACCTTGTCCATTATGGGTTCCGTCATCCTGTAACAACTGAAGATCATCTCATATGATATAGTCAATCGCACAAAGGTCGTGTAACCGTAGACTCCAACAGTGTAATTGCCAGAGGACTCTCTATAGTTCACATGGATCCCGTAAGTCATCTGTTATAGTTGTATTCAGACGTTCCGATGTAAAGTTACTTGTAAAGTTAGTGAGCTGCATCACTGACTGCATCATACGACTGCAGTACTAGTAGAAAGAGCCTCAAGTTGAATAACTGAACATAGCACATTATAACATGACTGCCAAGAGGCTGCGCCATCACCCGCTCTCATCCAATCAATAACGCTTCTGGCCTCGGACACCGACGATCCAAAATATACCTACTGGAGGTGAATGAGACGATGGAGAAGGAGGATAACGGGCGATAGCGACAAAAAACTGCACGGTCGCCGCGTTTATGGTTTACATATGTCGTATCTGCGAAATGCGAGACGGAAGCCTCCCCTCGATTGCTGACCAATCCTCTAGCTCATTGCCCGATTTAAAGCCTAAGAAGGAATTGAGAGGATGATTGATTCAAGGTGGGACCATGGGTCTTGTAGAAACCCTCGATGTCTAAATGCTCCGATACGACCTGGAATCGTTTGGGAAGCGGATGTCGTCTAGGATCTCGAGCAACGCCCTCATGGTAAAATGAGCCTCATGGTCTGTCAGCTCAAAACAGCGAGCGACGATGCTCGTCGACCTGAACGTTCTTGCGAGGTGTTGCAGGTAGCACAAAGCTGCTCCGCTTAATATCAAGGTTCCAGCCTGTGAAGGAAGGGACTTACAAGCGGGCTGTTCATCGATACAATCGTTTGTGTATATAGTGCAACGTGAATCGGCCGAGGAAATGTATAAATCCGGATGAGCGATCGTACTGTAACTTCAGTTCCACCAGCATGCTATCAAAGTTGAGATCTACTCGTGTGCTTGATGAATCCTGGGACAAGTCCGCATCGTCCCGCCAGGTATGCAAATGCTATGCTGGTAGTAATGAGCTCTCGCACAACAGCGAGAACCACCTCATATAGTGCCAGGTTGTTCCCTGACTTTAGACTTGTGGCTTGAGTAAGGTTGTATTGACAACCGCCACCTCTACCGACGAAGGCCACGGAGCTTCCCCCTGCTCCAGCCAACATGAGCCGGGCGATCGTGACGAGTGAGACGATAATACCAAGGAGGTTCAAGCTCAGCGGGGCCGATTCGGCCTTGAGCGAGCGAGAGCAGACAGGTAGCGCTGTCCGTCATAGCTGGATAATAGAATTTGGTACGTCGACGCAAGCACTGGTGATGAAACTGGCAGACGTAGCACGCTCTGATGACAAAGATGAAACACTCCTAGAGGCGATCGAGCATGGAGTGCATATGACGTTTACATCCGCGCGGGGAACATGAGGACGGCGACCTCCACTTTCGCTCGACCACAGAAGTTGGAACTAACTACTAGAGAGAAATCAAAGTCGCTGCTGCTAACCTCGGGCACCTGGTGCGACTACTCACCCTGCTCGGTCATCTATACACACTCTTGTGGAACCATGGACGAACCGCTATCGAAAACATATAGACCGTACTTTACGCCCAAGGAGATCTCAGCCTTGTCGGCGAGGCAGCGAGGGAAACAGTCGACCGCGAGGGACGAGAAGCATCGTCAGATTGCGTGTGGGTTCATCGAGGCTGTCGGTTCACGGGCCGGATTGTGAGTACAATCGTGTCTCCGGACATCCTCCACCAGCTGATGAGATGGTACGTCCAATCGTAGTCCACGAAGAACGATCGCAACGGCTCAGTCGCTGTACCACCGATTTCACCTCTTCTTTCCCCTCAAAGACTTCAACTATGTTGTTAGTGCATCGCAAAATACGCTCTCCAGTTCTAACACTGATCATAGAGCATCTTCCCATCCCTCAGGAAGTCTCCTTGACCACCATTTACGTCTCTTCGAAGCTCCACGACACGCTAAAGAAACCTCGCGACATCATCATCTCCTCCTACGCCATCCGGTACCCCGACCTGCTCAAAGGGAGGTCCCAAATCGACATTTCCTCGGTCGACATCAAGCAGCTGGAGCACGATCGAAAGAAAGTTCTGGCCATCGAGAGGTTGGTGCTGGAGACGATATGTTTCAACTTTCTGGATGCTGGTGCGGGGGCTGGGAGTGGAAAGGCCGATGTCTTTGGGTTGGTGATGAAGTTGGGAAGGAAGATGAGGTGTGAGTCTAGTCGTCAGTGCGTCACGTCATTCAGCTCGTCTGAAAACAGGAGATTTTTTCGGCTTCTCCGTCTAGTCTCGAAACGGTATATACAGCACGCCTGGCGGCTGGCAATCGATACGTTCGTAAACATACTCTCTTTTTTCCTTTGCATACGTTAATCCTAAAACCATTTTTGAATACGTTGATCTAGATTCCGAACTCTTGCCCCGCTTCAACAACCTCCGCATATCGTCGCCCTCGCATCGCTCTATACAGCTTCTCTATTGCTCATCAGCCCGGTCGAAGCGGACCGTCTCAAGAGACAAAACATCACCAACCTGGAAGCGGATGAAGCTATGCGCGCCCTTTTGAACGAGACGACAAGAGGAAGGATGATATTTGAGGATAATGCTGAGTGGGAACAGGATTTGCAGGCGAACCTGGCCGATGTGGACGGTAAGCCACTCAGAAATAGTGATTGCAGAGGTAAGGACGCTGAAATATGCCGTTCTTTTTGCGCATCAGAGGTCGTTCACGACATCTTGGACATGTATATCGTCATCCTGAGTTCACTAGCCCTAGGTGGAGACGCGGCATCTACACCCCTCGCATCACCGCATTCTCCATCCGACCCAGCGTCATCTATGGCTTCGGCACAATCCTCAAATTCGACTCAGAATCGATACCTCCTCCCATCCTTCTCCCTGCCATCTTACTGGACATCGAGCACCCTGACTCAGCTCAAGATCCAGCTGCATCAGTCTCGCGCGGACGGGATCGGCGGACGACCAAAAGTCAACTTGCAGACCCCGATCGAGACTACCTTTGGGATCGGGATCAGTGATGGTGCTCGGGCGGGTGGGGAGAAGGACGCTTGGCTCAGCTTGATCGAGGGGCTTGGCAAGAATGAGGGAACAGTTCGGTTCGTGTTTGGATAAGTGAAGCGGATCAAGCCAAAGAGGCGATTCCCTTGTAACGCGTTGAATGAGTCGAGGACTCCCTTTGTCGCTCACCCCCGGCTCGGGAGTTGTATCACCCTTGCTGTTTCAGATCAGCGACCACAACTGAGTCGAGCGATATTGTGCTCTCAAATTGTCCAATCTTGACAAGCCGATCAATAAGGCCATGTACGCCAAATTTCTATCTAATTACCAGCTCGTGCCAAGATCCTTGCGAACAGACTCCCCCTCTTGCCAAACCACAACTTCGTTGAAATGCACGGTCTCACAACAACCTCCCGGGTCATGGTGCTCTGCGCACTCCTCCCGGTCTTATTACGCTCCCACCTCGTCAACGGGCAGGGTATGCCAGTCCCAGCCAACGCAGATGTCGCCGCCCAGGATACTGGAGAAACGGCTGATACGGCCGCGAATGAACCAGCGACTTCCCTTCCAGATCCTCTCGAAGCCACCGATACCGCTACAGATGCTCCCGAGGAAGGTACGACGTCGACGGTAGGCGGCTCTGCCCCTACGGCTACCGCTTCCGCTTTAGGGAACGCATCTGGAGCTGGACAACCACCCACCCCGAATTACGAGAGTTTGATGGAGCCTTATTACCTGTTCCGACAACGATTCTTGGGTACCGACGTAAGTCTCCCTAGTCCCTTAATAGCACACGTATATAATCTTTCCTGACTGTACAATTCTGATCCCTATGCCGCCTTCAGTGCCCCAATCACAAGTCCGACCCAGCCTTCTACGCGTGTTGCCACCCTCTCCCTCAAGGCGCCACGGCCGATCCGAGCTGCTTCTACTGGCCACAAGATGACGACCCATGTGAAGAAGGGGACAAGGACTGTTATTGCGATGAAGACGAAGGGGATGTAGCGTAGTGAAGACGATCGTAGTAATGCCGTGGTCCAACCTCATTGCAATCTTTTGATCTCGACTTCGCCGAGGTTACCATCTTGTGTTTGATCTGCGTTCGCTTTTATCTTGTACAAGACTTTCATTCGTTTCATGATTTCATGCTATGACACTTGTTGTCCATCTAAGCCTTCAAATACTTGGCGTGGAACTCGACGTGCTCGGCCGCGAATGTGCTGATAAAGAAGTATCTACTCGTCCGGATGGGTTTGATATCAGCCTTCGCCCTGCCATATGCGCCTTTCATAACAAGAAATCCGAGACTTACGAATGATCGTACCCTTCTCTCCTACCAACTTCGACCTCTCCCTGCCTCCCAGCGTCTCTGACGGCCTTCTCAAAATTCTCCGGCAACAACTGCCCGTCCTGGTAAAACTTGTCGCCGGTCCCATAGTCGACCTTGATGGCGACCTGTTCGTCTTTAGGGTAGGAAGCGATGAGGTGGGTGCTATCGTGCTTGGGCCCTTCGGAAGATGGGTCGGAGAGGTAGCCTTTGAAGGCTTTCTGGCCCCATTGACATTCGGTGGGGTTGCTACATGTTTACAAGGAGCGGGGGTGATGAAGGGGTGAGAAGCGCATTGCAAGCCGGCGATAGCGAGGGGGCTTACCAGATGGGAGCGAATCCCGAGGCAGACTTGTACTGTCCTGGGTACTTTAGGTAGAGAGAAAGAGCTCCGTGGCCTGCAACAAGTGGGACGGGTTTCTGTTAGCTATGATGACGTAGGCTGGGTCGACAGGCAGGGTCTGAAAGGTTCACCTCCCATGGAATGTCCAAAGATTGACGTCCTCTCAGGGTCCTGTTGAGCACATGAAATGGCACACGGTTAAGCCAGATATCGAGAGCGACCGTTTCAGGTGGAACGCGCGACGCACTACCGACAACTCTGACTGTACGATCCCCCTCAACTCTTCGACCACGAACTTTTCCATGTTGTAATGCCCGCTCCACTTTTCACTGCTCGCGTTCAAGTAAAACCCAGCGCCCGTCCCAAAATCCCAATCGGCATCCTCTCCCTCGATCTTGGCGCCTCGGGGGGAAGTGTCGGGGAAGACGATGGCGATCCCGTGTTGAGCGGCGGGGGCGAGGAGGTGAGACTTTTGGGGACCGGTGTCTTCCGTACACGTCAGGCCGGCCAGGCTGGGCAGATCAACAGTGATACTCAGCTCAACTTAGAGATATCTCGAATATGATCCATGGACTCACTAGTATAGCACGGGAACCTTGCTCTTCTCACCCTCGGCGGGCATAAAGACGTTGAATTTTGTCTCGAGACCTCCGAGCGATTTGGAGGCGAACGAGTACTTGGTCAAGGTACCGCCAAAGGCCTTGTTCTGCGATTCTTGTTTGAGGGACATTACGAACGTGATCTGGAAACGATTCTGCTATGGGTTGAATCTGGACGAGTCTATGGTGATACTAGCACTTGCTACTCTTGCTGCTAATTGGCATATTCTACTTGAGTATCCCTCGATCATGATGACGTGTTGCACCTCGCCAATTTACTTCCGAAACCAAAATAGAAGCGCATATTTGCTTCCGGAAGACGCGCGCTTGTCACTCGTCACTCTCCCAAAAGGTAAACAAACCCGCAATCGAGGTTGATTGAAGTCAAAGTTGGTTTGCTGCCAGACCTCGTCATTCTCAACCAGACTCTGACGACTCGATCCTCATAGACAAGATGGACGACGAAGACGATTTCGGAGGCGAGTCTCAGAAAGACGAGCCACTCTCCATCGACCGATCTGACCATTCTGTTGACTTTATCTTCACAGGCTACGGCTCTGACGAACTCAGCGTGCGGGTGACCAGAAAACCGATCGCTAGCACGAGCATCGCTCCAGCTAAACGGAAACCCTCTACAGCGAAAACATCGTCGGCATCATCTTCAACGACGGCGAAAGCGGTTAAAGCGGGAGCTCGAGGCGGGGCCGCTCGCGGTCGAGGGAAAGCTGCTGGGACGCGAGGGAGAGGTCGACCCAAGGCCGTTCAAGAGACTCGCGATGATGAGAGAGAAGAAGATGACGAACAGGAAGTCATCGATATCGAGGCGGACGTGGGTTTGGAAGACGACAAAGACGAGGAAGACGAGAAGGATGACGAGGATGTGGATATGGATGATCCGGAACCGGAGCCGGTACGAGCAGGCCGACCGAAACGAGGAGAAACAGCCAAAGAGACCGCGAACGGTAGTAAACCGCCTTCCAAGGCCGTCGCTCCCGAGTCCAAGGTGTCCAGGGGAAAGTCGACTGCTACATCAGGAACGGAAGACAAACCGACGAGCCGGGAACAGGACCTGGAACGAGAGTTGACAAAGGCGAGCCCTGTCCCCCTCCCTGCATCGCGCATCTATAGCTGATCGGATTCCGTATCGATCCTCGTAGATAAAATCACAACTGACACGTCGGACGGAAGAACGGGATTCACTAGACAAGCAGTTCAAGGAGCTCTCGGCGAAAAAGGGAGGAGAGATGGAGAAGCTCTATGACAAGCTGAAAGAGAAGAGCGACGATCAGGCTCGAGGTGGGTCCGAGAGAGTTGTTTGAGGTTTCGTATAATCACATTCTGGGAGGGTGCTGATGGAGGTGGAGATCAATCTCGTTTTTTTCTCATTCTCGGTGGACAGCCCAGGACAAGATCATCGAGACCCTAGAGCAACTCAACAAGAAGCTCAACTCGCAAGTCGTCGTTCTCGAACAATCCTTGGGCGAGAACAAGAAGAATTCCATCTCTCACGAGGACCGACTGCGAGAGGAGAAGAGCCGGGCGGAAAAGCTCGAGAAGGAGAAGAAGGAGTTGCAAGCAGCCCTGGACAAGGCGAAGGCGGTACCCCCTGCGGCGCCGTTGCCGCCGGATTTGAAGAAGCTGGAGGAGGAGGTCAAACAGTGGAAGGCCCAGGTCAATGTATACAAAGGGAAAGTCGAGGAGAAGCAGACGGAGAGTGAGTTGGTCCCTGCAGATCATCAGAGGAGACATCGAGCTCGAGTCTGTTGCTGATCCTGTGAATTCTAACCGCGTGCGCGTTCCTAGTCAACACGTTGACGCAAGACCTGGAACAAGAGATCAAGATCTCCAAAGCCGCTCTGGCCGAATCGCAACGTCAAGCGGCCGCCATGTCCAAGATGACCAAGTCGCCCGGGGTATCAACGTCTGCCAAGGACGTGGCGGCCGATCGGGAACAGAACGAACAGATCATCAAGCTTTACGAGGACATGACGAACTTGATGGTGCCGAAAGTCAATATTGTCAGAGGTGGGAATGGGGAAGAAGTGACGTTCGTCTGTGTACAGACGGTCGACGGGAGGAGTGAGTCCGGGCCTGAGTTTGACTTTCAGAACATGACTGACGAACGGTTTTTATCTCGCTCATCTGAAGGCATGAGTTTCAAGCTCAAGATCTACAAAAAGGCTTCAACTGACCCTGCCCAACCGGGTTCGTGGATCTATACCAAAGTCATGCGCTACATCCCGCTCGATCTAGAGTTACAGGATCAGGCGTTTGTAAACGCGCTTGGTGTTTTTAAAGACTCGCTCGAAATGCCCATGGACCAGGCGATGGCTTTCTGGACAAATCTTCGGGATTCGATGACGCAGGACGAAGAGGAATGAGCAAGAAGAAGCCGGAGGGTGGAGACCGTTGTATTTGCGTTCTACTTCTCTCCCTCGATGCCCGTCCTTTCTTTCCAGTCTTCTTGTAAAGTTAGCATTATAATAAGCTACCGGGGCGGATCAGAATTCTGTAGATCTTGTATAGTCAATCAATAGACATCCGTTGGTTGAGTCGGCGGACCAGTTGATGTGTGAGGCGATTCCGTCTTTATGTGTTGAAGCATTATCTACGCGCTTCGCGGCGCTTGCGTTGGGCAACACCCGTTCAGCCCGAATCTCGATAACGCGCACAGTCCAGGACGCACCGCCAGTCTAGCTTGTCTGTTCCTTCCGCTATACGTTCATACAACAGCGCAGCTCGACCATTCATCTCACCTTGTATCCGTTCATCCCTCGACACTAACCATCGCACCAGGTATTTACGCACAAGTCGGGATCTAGGCGCAACCTGCTCGAAGCGCATAACCACAATCGACGTTACATTCCGCTGGCGAAATGAGGTTCTTTCAGGTCGCCATCACCGGTTTGTTAGTCGCCTTCGTCACCTCGGCTGCCCCCACAAGTTTCAGACCCACGGTGCGTGACGCATGCATTGGAGGACATCGTTGAGTGTCATACCTGATCCTGTCGCCCGACACTCAGAAATATGTGAACCAGATCGACAAATATTCCACAGTCGTGCGGAGCTCGGATCCCAGCCTCGACGGCCCTTCGGAACCGAATGATCCTCAATACTTCGCCCCGTTTGATGGGATTGACGAAACGGAGGAGATGGAAGATCCTCCCGTCTATGAAACGGTATGTCGATGGGAAAACACCAAGATGGAGATACGCTAATCGCGATGACCGTTGCGCTTTACTCGTTAGAACGGCTTAATCCCCCTGGAGGGCTATACCCTCAAGGAGAAGAGGAACTCCCTTTTCACCATCGCCAAACCGATAGTTGCCTTGGCTGGGTCTAGCCTCGCTCTCGAAGAGCAGTACCACTATCAAGGGAAACCCATCCTTCACGAGGTGTTGGACCGGAACATGAGGGCCGAGGGAAACTCTATGTCTCAGTCCAGGGCACGGGAATGCTCGGTTCGTAATCAGATATACCAATAAATTCGCAGGTACCAACCTGATATACCGCTGCGCCTTCCAGACTAACGAGTCGATTGACACGCTCTCCGAGCCAGCTCACGAGAAATCCACTTGGCTGAGCACTGGCCAATGCAAGAAAGTTGTCCACGGGAAAATGGGCTGACTCGAAACGGTCACCGACAGGCCCACCTCGGCGCTTAGATTTACTTTTACCATTCTTACGGCACAATCCTAAATTCTACCGGGAGATTCGCCTTCTATAGCTTGTTCCTTGCTGATAAGAGCACCATCCGAGTGACTCGCATAATGTAATGTCAAATGGGCAGTTGTGTCGTAGTTGTATGTCATGGAGTGTTCGGGTATACAATCATGCTGAACTGGACTGCGCTTCAACGATGGAGGGGTCCTTGGCCAAGTATCCATGCTTGGCCGGGTTAGAATAGTATACTGAAGGCAACGAAATGAGACTTAGGCAATGACTGGAGCTGAGAGGGATATTACGACTCACAGATATCCGTCTTTCTGACTGGCTTGGCCTCTTTGACCTCTCGACCGACGAACTTCTCCGGATGAGCCGCCTGTCGCAACGCCAAAGGATTATGGTAGACTGCTGTTACTTCTCCACCTGCGTCCTTGATTGCCTTTGCGGCCGACTTGGAGTATCGCGAAAGGCGAAGGTTCAGAGGTGGTAGCGGCAATGCGGGGTCGACCTGTGGAGGTGATCCGTGATCAATGTCTATATCTATAATTGGCCTAGCAAAACAGTGAACGCCTGACTCACTTCTCCCAACAGCTTGACACCGCTCCAGCCCTTGATCCCGTGAACCAAGTTGCTCCTAAAGATCAACCCCACATCGATCGCTTGTGATGCATCAAGTCGGCCCGAAGCCACCCAAGCCTGCAGAGCTGACAAATTGACCGGTGCGTACTTTTTCGAAGTACTGTCAAGAGCAGGAACGGTCAAGCTCAGCTTACATGAGCATCGCTGCCCACACGGTGACAGTGCTCACAAGTTGTTGAAGCCTCGCTTGGGGAATAATCGAGTGATAGGAGTCTGACCTCCTTCGAAGCCGGCCTTTGGCTTTCCATTACCCGCTCTAGCCTTCTGACCCTTGTGTCCCCGTCCTGAAGTTCCACCTTTCGTGGATGACCATCCTCGTCCTAATCGAACGTGCTGTAGATCCAGTTTCCGCTCAGCTCCAGGCTCAAGAACCTCTCACAGACTTCGAATATCCTACTGACAGTCTTTGTGGCACCCTTGTTGTTCGCGAGCTCTCCCAACGTCAGATAAGGCCCGTGATTGTTGACATCGGCACTGGTGCTCGCCCATCGGCTACTCGATGGTCCGCTCGGGATCGGACGGAACCCGGATCGGGCGGAAGTTGGTCTAGCCAGAGGCAAGGCCAGCCTAAGAGACGATGTAAAGGTCCTGAGTGACGATGCCATATTGACTATTTATCGAGAGTTCGATTCAAGATCGCAATTCTGACCGCAATTCGATTCAGATGTTGTCGTTCAAACCATCTTTCTGATCATCCATCACCTCGATTGACGCGCTTAGTCGGGTCCGCGCGCTTCTACCCGGTCACTCGGCCAATGACGTCGACCTAAGCACAGATAATGCCATCCTATATCTACCACATTCGAGTTCACGTTAATTCAATCGTATGCTAATTACAGCCAAGTTCATGATCGAGTCCCCCCATTACGACAGATATACGGGCGCACCGGTCGTGGTTTCGGCACTATAGTCGATTTCCGCTCCCCGGCCAAGGCACTCCTTTTCAAAGTCGATGCTGCCGATGATCTCCTGGATCGACGAGACAAAGGTCGCCATGGGACACTTGCCATCGTCGTTCTCGGGACAACCTCGAATTCCGGTGAGAGGAACCGCAGCGTCATTGAGAATGACCCTGATGTATTCGTCCGACTTTCGCGATCTTTCAGCCTCGTCTATGTCATACGCTTCGGACGGGCACGACAGGATTTGGAACTGCATGTTGGTTGCGAAAGGGGAGATCCTATTCAAAAGAGACGATAACATAAGCGACCCGATTGCGAACAGACTCAGTCGTGAGAACACGCACTTGGAGGAAATGTAGGAGCGGTGCTTCGGTATGTGATCGGTGGGCGGAGTCCCGCTAGCCGCGAAACCGGTGAAGTTCAACACGGTAACAACATCGTGGAACACGGTGTCGTGCGTGAAGTCGACGTAGCTATGTTTGCAAGATTCAGCCTGGAGCGCATTCGTGACTGCGCAGCAATTCGGGATGCACTCACATGGGGTCGTTCAAGGGGAAGTGTATATCATCGTGCCAAGTGCTGTTTGTGGTGGAGTTGAACTCGGTCAAGCGGGCTAGCCAAAGCTCAACTTCAGCATCGGTCTGAAGGTTAAGGCATCACCATGTCATGATCCACTTACTGTGAGTCAAACGTGAGATCAACTCCTGGGCGTACCCCAATCCCTCCGCCCGAGCCACAGGGGAACCGAAACCGCTCGTATGCCACCACCAAATGTCATTCCTGCATAGATAGACATCTAGTCACCGACGTCGTTCGGTCCAGTATATCAGCGGACTTACCTATATTGGAAGCCTTTCCACTCGTCCTCGGTGAATAGGCCACAGAAAGCAGAATACCCCACGGATACTGTTTCATAGGCGCACATTTCCATCATGTCTTTAACATCGCGGGTGGTCAAGGAGTAATCTCCAATCAAAGGTTGCAGCCTCTTAATGGCCTTTGCAAGGAAGACGTTCTCCCATGCTTGAGTCTTGGCTCCTGCGATAGCACCCAATTTGCCATTGTCATTCGGGCACTGATGCAGGAGATCAGCGTGTGTTCTGCCCGAGATCGCTCTGTGAGACTAACCATGGCGTAAGGCGAGAGGGTGCAGTTGTAGTTGGGGCTCTCGATCATGACAGCGAGATTGTACTGATCCTCTACAGGAATCCCAAAGAAGCCTGACGTGGGGGTTGATTGTTGGCCTTAGGTTCCTTACGAATGCAGCCGTTGATGGCTTACCTGCAGCAAAGTTCTGCGCCGACTTGAGCATACGACTATACACGACAAAATGCGCTCGTCAATTACTGGTTTTGTCGTTATGGCAGACTGCCCAATACATACTCTTGGCTCTCCGTCCTAAATACCGGCAGACGGTCCTCGAACTGTTCCAGGAGGAATCCATATTTGACTCGAGCGGAAACTCCCAGGTTGACTGGAACGATAGTTGCGTGACATCAGCACGAACCTCATCTCTCAAGTATGAAAGAAACACTACTCACATAGCTGTTGTCGACCGAACGGCGTTAAAATCTCGCCTCCTAGCTTGTAAGACCAATCATTGAGGAAAGCCAAATCGCCCGAGGCAGTCCAGTTAGAGTTCTTGAGCCTGATAGCAAACCCCATGGGACCTAGAAACAGACGAGATCAGTAACGGTCGAGCGAGGTAGCAAGATAAGAGAAGTCATCTTACCTTCAACTGTGTCGGTTGTAGGATACCTATCAAGACACACCATGACGGAAGGTCGATCAGCTAAAGTGCTGGCTAGGATAAAGCTGACAGACGTACCTTGCGCCGTGTCTTTGTAGCCAATGCAAACCTTTAATCTCGCAACCTTTAGGTTCCAAGCTGTCCGTCTTCGGCAACCCATGGCTGTCTACCGAATACCAAGGGGACAAATGTCCCCAGGATTGCATAATGTTGAAAGGGTGCTTCTTTCCACCAACGCTCGGGGCAACCAAAGGTGGTTGAGCGGTCTGTACAGGAGGCGCAGGTGCGGTGAGGAGCAATCCGGCTCTGAAGGGAGATATCATAGTCAATTCGGCTGGTCGAGCACTTGATTCAAGCTTGACCTACTCCTTGCCCGTGATTGTAGGGCCAGCAAATCCGATACTGCACGCAGCATATGCAATCAGTAAGCGAGAGCGGTTGCGAATATGGTCATGACTGACTCTGTAGGGAAAGAGCCCGAATCGGCGTGGGGCCTGTTGGAGATCCATCCATCTCCGTAGTACGAGTTTGAGAAGAAGATCGCGAAAGCCCCAAGCAGTGCCGGACCCATCAATGCGACAAAGAGTATTGTCCAAAATCGACCGTTACCTGATCGTTTCCTCTTGGGGTTCAATATTCTCTCAACATCGTGTCCAGCGTTTCTACTTTGCCCATGAGGAGAAGGCAATCTTGATGGCCTTTCTTCATATTGGGGAGGCAGAAGGGGCTCGTCGATTGACGAGCGAGACCCGCGCCTTCCCTGCTTTTCTTCCTCGGCAAGATCCATGACAATTATCTTTGACGACGAGACTACTGACTAGCTGACTAGCGAAAATGGTGCTGGCACAGCGATACAGCGATAAAGGATGAAAGGGTTATATGATCCGAGTGATTGATGCAGCGACGGTCTCAAGCGATGGAAGATACGGCGGTTTGCTTCCGAGAACCCTTGATAACATATCACGATCCCCGATTCAGCTAATCAGGCGGTGCGCAACGCCTCGCTATGCAAAGTGAGTGACTGGCCTCATAACGATGAAATACCGTGATGTTACTACTATACAGAGGGACGGCCTTGTATATCAAGGGACGAAGAAACCTTGAGTTGCAGGGTAATTGCCGCGATATGAGGGTGCGCGATTAAGACCAGGGTTCAAGTTTGATGACCGGTAGTGTTGCGAAGGTATCGTATCTCCGAACGCGTGATCGTCCACAGCTTTGAGCATGTCCTTGAGCTTGCTCATACCAGCGGCTCCTACACCCATCGAGTATCGGCTGGCCTTCAAGAGTCCGCTGGTCGTAGCTGTTACCACGTCCTGATCCGACTTGTCAGCAAAGGCTTCCTCCTCGCCAAACTGTTTTGCGAACGTGGACCAGTCCGATCGCTGTTGTAGATATGGCCTTAGCAGACGAGCATCGATCCGTCCGAGATGTCCCTCGGTCAAATACGATTTCAGAACATCCGGCTGCACGATAAAGCTGTTTCCGAGTTGTCGCAGCATATCGAATCGGTCGTTGAGTAGCGGGATGCCAAACGTTTTGATCGAGTCTTGGTAGGCTGCAAGATCTCTGATGCCGCAATGCACGGTCAGTTCTCGGTCGGTATCGTGTTTCAGGCATATCGACCCACTTTGTCAGCATCAGACCGCCAGTGGGGTTCACAGGGAATCGCTTGTAGTGGTCCAGCAATAGGCTAAACCCGAAGGTTCAATCAGTCTACGCTTATTTGCCTCAATCCTGCGAGAACATACCCATGGAACTCAACACCGAGCTCTGTGAAGAAAGCCTCTGCATTCTTTCCTGCGAATGCCTTATGGCCTGCTTCGTTCAGACGCTCTAGATAGCTGCAACAGAGCGTACATGGCTCTGTCGTTGTCCGTGCGAATGACATTTCCTCGTCTTTTGGCTTGAAATCACTGTTCTTCTGCCTTTTCAGCAGAACGGACAACCACGACACAGATGCTGCCATGCCAAGAGGAACACCGAGATGAGCTCCGCCCAGAAGGGACGGTTCTTTGCGCAGCCGACTCACCATCCAAGAACCGAAGCACAAGGGTGTTGACTTTGCCTTCAACTCTCGTGACCGTATTTGCGTTCCACCGCAAGGCGTCCCGGCGTACAGCGGGAGAAGAACTAACGAGCGGAACCAAGACCGTCGAGTAGTACGTCTGCCAAAGATGGAGAGCCAAGTCCACCTGACGGATCTGACCCAGAATTGACAGGTCCGGTTCGGATCGATCCTGGCCATCGAGCTTTGACGACGCGCTTTCCAAGGCTAATTCCAGGTAATCGCCACCGATGTCGTCGGCAAGCAACTTTGCCAATTTGGAAGCGTTTTGAGCACTGCAAGGATAGGATCTTTGGTTAGATGGCCTGATAATAGGATTAGGACCTTGGACTGACGTTTCGCCTCCCACGCTCAACTCGACAACTCTGCCGACGGCCTCAGCATGTATTCGCAAGAATTTCTCGATAATTTCGAGTTTGACCACCCCGTCAGCCTGATTCAAGCCTTCTGTCCCGTTCTGATGCGGTTGCTGTCCAGCAGCGTTTCTAGCAGTCACGGGAGATGAAGCTCCCGATTGTGCAGGCGTAGTCGATCTGGTGATGTCCTTTGAGCCGGTCACTCCAGTCAGAGCATTACCTCCATATCGATGCAACCAAGCGGCTGCAGCAGACGTTGCGGAAGAGGTGGCTGATGGCGCAGCGGGAACGACTCCGCTACTGCCAGTATTCGTTGAGAGCTTGTCTACGACCCGGTCAAGAAGGTTGCCTGGTTTCGATTTAATTTGGGTTTCCTATAAATTTCGATCTAGGTATAGGTGGGGCCTCGCCAAATTACAGACAATAACAGAGACTTACGTGGAATCTCTGGTACTTGTGCGCGAGATCCTTGTAGGCGATCGCCATCCATTTGCCCTCTAGCTCGAGGTAACGCCCTCCTTCGATGTACTGACTGAACATCTCTTCCATGGCAGTGTCCAGCATGGAAGCAAGCGTCACTGTCGTACTGACACCCGTGCGACGATCCGTCGTCACAGAGACGGTGGTGTTGGCTTCCCCTCCGAAGCCGGAAAAGTCGTACTGTTTGAGATCCTCGATTAAGACCGAGCATTGGCTATGTGTCAATCTCAGCATTCGGAGGAGTGCTAGAGTACCCTGGACCGCAGCCCGCGCGAATAACGTCTCGAGATGTTGTTGGATCTATGAGGATGAGATGTGCATCAGACATGGTTGGTATCGGACGGCACATCTGTTGAAGAGCTTACCACTTGTGCAAAGACTCGCTGCAAAAATACCCTCATTACATCCTCCTTCATCGGGAAGACCGCCTGGATAATCTGGGCTTCCTGGTCCACAGTCGACCGGATCTCTTTCGACAGTGCTGTTAGTCCCGGTTCAGCGGTAGGCGCTGGCTTGTTCGAATCGTTCAGTGCCGTCCATCTGTATAGAAGGTGAAAACTAAGTACCAAGTATCATCTCAATCCGAATGCCGGCAGTTCTGACTTACATATCCTCGATCGGGGCAGCGTCCGCTCGAGGGGTTCCATCCGGATTGAGACCCGAGGCCTCTTCCAAAACCTTGTCTTTGGAAATGAAAAAGTCGTGCTGGTTGACGTACATCTGTATACATGACGTGCAATTATTGAAGTCTTGTAATATCTTGGCGCAATGCTGATAGAGCCAACCTCAGCCGCCAAAACATTTGATAGGATTGCTCACTTTCTCAGACTTACCGCCATCATTCGTACGTCCCCCTTCCTATAACTTCGATCGAACAGCCTCAAACACTCCTTTTCGAACCGTTCCGCATACTTTTCTACTTCGTCTCGTATTCGGATAGCCTTGTCCACGTCAGCCCTCAGCTTGACCAGCCTTCCCTTATCGTCATCGCTGTCCCGAGCATTATCCTGGGCATTTGAAGCTGCAGCCGAAGCGTTCTCGACGACATCTTTCGCGAGCGTGCTCAAGCGGCGGAGGATGATTGCGAGTCGTGCTCGACCTTCCCGTGACGTCCTGGTGGCAAACAATGCATCCAAGGGGGTTTGCGATGGTTCTGCTGGCGAGGGATTGCCCTCGGCATTGAGATGATTCAAGGCGGGTGCTGGAGGTTGTGATAGCGAGAGGTAATATGAGAGGATCAACGAGGCAGACTGCGCAACGGAACGCAAGTTGTGCAAAGATTCCATTTGCTCTCCTGAACGAGTGACGAGAAGGGTGAGTTCCAGATGCGCTAATCTTTACACTGGGTCTGAATGATTTTACCTATCCTGACGGCCGTTCGACCGACCCCAGTGATTTTGGTTTCTAGAGCCGTGAAGGAGCTCCCAATTGTCTGCATGGTAAGATGATTTCTAAATAACGAAGAATGAGGATGTACGGTTTCGTCGCGACACACCTCGAAACCACCATCAATCTCTCTTAGCCGCCCTTCACAGGATCGTTCAGCCTCCCGGACCTCCCCCTCGAGCTCCTTCGTCTTTCTTGAGACCGACTTTTGTAGGGAGAGTAGATGGTCGAGAGCGGGTGAGAAGGAAGAGATGAAGGGAAGAGGATCAAGGGCTTTTCGGAGGCAACCAGTGCACCTCAGCTTAGTTCGATCTCGACGCCAACTAGGGTTCAGCTCGACCCACCACCGGTATTCGCCTTGGAAGAGGTGATCAATTTCTCACTCAGATCCCCTATGAAGTTTTCTACGTTAAAGTTGCGCTGAGGCATCCGTCGCGTCAGCCTTTTCTCGGCTACCAGACTATAGGTCGAATAGCTGTGTTCACCTCGAAGGAGCTCAACTGAAGGACCTTGGCCACCTTTTCCTTCCCATCTTTTCCAGTTCCAACGGTCTCTTGTGCAGGGAGTTCAGGTTCCTGGACCTTGACCGTTCTGGCTGTCCTTCCCGGATCCCTCTCCCGCCTGATCGGCTTCAAGGGTGCTTGAGTGGAAGGATTTGACGTTCCGGACATGTTCAAAAGGCCAGTTGATCTCTTCGGGACTGAGATTTACCGTGAAGGCATCTCTGCGAGACCAAAACTCGGTGGCAAGTGGCACGGTCCTGACCCTGGTTTCAAGGTGTTGTGGGACGTATGGGTATGCAAAGTAGCCGGGTAAATTCATAGCTGCATAGCATTTTCATAGACAATCATGGTTACCAGCTTACCAGCTAATTGCTAGGGAGTCCGGCGTCCACACCTCGCGGAAGCAAATCGTCTCCTCGGTCGAGGCCGTGAACCTTATGACGTTTTCTAATTTCTGATCTCATCGATATCATACCTTAGCAATTCGGCAATTAGCCATCAACCTGCCGATCAACGGATCCACAGCGGGCAAGTCATCGTCTATACTCAGCGTTCGAGAAGTCTCATCCTATGGGTCGGTGCATTCAGCTCCTCGCTTCCGGTTCCAACGGTTCCGGGCAGCTCGGAATAGGGCACGTCGAGGATGTCTCGACATATACCTACTGCCGATTCTCGCACTGTGATCCAGATGATACCGGCCTGACTCGATTGTCCAGATTACCTGGGGTTATCTTGGCGGTATCTTCAGGCGCAGGCCATTCCCTCCTCCTTGCGAGAGAAGATGAGGCGTCGGGTGGACGTAACGACATGGGGATAACAATCTGGACGACCGGTACCAATCAGTACAACCAGCTCGGTCCAGCTTATGAAGGAGATTCAACCGACCCATCACACACTTTATGGAAGAGATTAGACTACACTTCGTACATTGAGACGGCAGGCCTGCCACTCGGGGAGACGAATCGTTATACGCCAAAAGAAATCTCATGCTCCTGGTCAACGAGCATCGTCTGCTTCGAACACTCGACCCAAAACACGGATGGAATTTGGTCAAAGGAGTCTGACAAGACCATTTCCTTTGGCACAAATGATTTCGGAGAACTCGGTTGCGGTGCCGTACGAGGTGCCAGCAGCAGTTCGGAGCAGGAACATGACCTCGTCCGGGTTGTCCAGCTACCTCAGACACGTCGAACAGGCGAGAGGCTGTCCGTCCGCAAGATCAAGGCGTCACACAGGAACATTGTCTGTCTATGCGACTGGATCTTGGATGCAGACGGAGGGATGGGTGTTGTCGATACTGTAGTGTATGGCTGGGGAGCGGGTCGGCATGGTCAGCTCGACGTGCGGACTGCCGTCGTTGCCGGTATGAACATGCCTGGTGTACCGATGGGCCACGCAAGTATCACAGCTGCTAGGACTACGATCAAGGGAGTCCCTGCAGGGAAAGAGCATGCAGCTGCAAAGGCGGGCTCAAGCAGGTCGATTGTGACATGCGCAAGCGCTCCACGAGCTGCTGCTGGGCCCAAGATGCGAAAGAGCGGATATCCGTCGTCATACCCGGAACCTATCGAGATCGGCGTCACTTCAGCCGTTGCAAACAGAATCAACTTGGGTGGGCCATTGACGGTAGAGGACCTGGCTGTAGGAGCTGGTCACATTCTATTCTGTCTCGGCACGAGTTCAGGGGGCGAGACCATAGTCGTCGGTCTGGGCAGCAACGCAAAGCATCAGCTCGACTTGAACTTTGCTTCTAATAGATCAGGGTCGTCTCAGTGGGGCGATATCGGTTGTACTTGGAATGGATCTTTCATGAGCGAGAAAGGGCCGGGTGGAGAAATATGGTCGACGGGAACCAACACACATGGCCAATTAGGTCAGGGTCGTCTTGCGGACGATGACCAAGATGTAGCGCCGGGTCTGAGAAGAGTTGCAGCAATGTCAAGCGACCAAGCACCTCTGACGGTTCACGGAATCGTCTGCGGCAGCGAGCATGTCCTCACCCTCATCCAAACCGGGGACGGCAGCGACAAAATATGGACGTGGGGATGGAACGAGCATGGTAATCTCGGCTTGAGCGATGACGACGTGCAAGATCGATGGACACCGGTTGAAATTCTACTCGAACCATCGCAAAGGCCCATAGGCGCTTGGGCCGGATGTGGGACAACTTGGTTGCTCGTTGAAACGACGATCGATGATTGAGACCACGGCTTTTCCAATGGAAATCGATCGAAAGCTCGACGGCCAACCTGGTTGCAAGTGCATCGAAGTTTCTAGATATCGCAACGTGTGGGTAGCCAATGTCTAGACTCAGTCAAGATTCCGTTTCTATATTCTACCACTCTGGATGGATCCGGGAAGGGCGGGAAAAGGGACCACCCTCTCCAGGAACAAAGACTTGCACGCGGCGGCCGGAAAGGTAGTTTCGCTGACGAACGCGTACGTCTTGGCATGTTTTCTTCCGCCCAAAAGTCTGCCTCCTTCTCGCCATCCGCTCACCGAGGGCTTCGATGCGTTGCGCACTGTTTCGAACCTCGTGCCTCGCCCAACCCTTTCCTTGTCCAGTATTTGTGGTCCGGGGAAGGCCCTTCATGCGTAGACGAATCGGGTCGATTGAGATCGGGCGACCAATGATACCCTCCGGAAAACAAATCGTTTGTGGATCCCGCTATTTCGATCGCATGAAAGCGCGATACCATACCGATGACCGAAGCACCGTTCAACGTGGCCGGCTGCGGTAGAGACAGGTCGTACCTGAACGAGCTAGTTGTTAGCGTAGCCTCGTGGCCGATGTCACTGTGTTAGAAAGCCTTCACGCGCCAATAGCGCAGATCGATCTCGAGCTACACCTCGTGCACGAAAGAAAAGTCGTGAAAACAGGACGATCCTCGATATTTTGGAGGTCAAAGTTCATTCGATCTCGCTAGCAATAGGTCCGCCGTGAACTGCGATAAAATGGAACGGTATGACGGTGCATGGACCATGACGAGCCGAAGCGGTCGTGACGTTGCGTCATACGAGAACCTCCGGTACTTCCGAAGGGAGAAGGAAGGCTTCGAGACATATTCAGGTTCAGGGGGGAACCCGCCTTTCCTGCGCGCAGGCAGACCCAGAGCGTCTTCCCGGTACACCGTCCCGGACCTCGGTTTTGTTTTGGGTCGTCTACCCCGAATACGAATCATAACCGAATCCTCTGTATGATTCTGATTCACTTCTGACCGAGCTACCGAGGGATTTGGGACAACGCAACACGTATTCGGGTCGATCGCTTCGGGTCATCGAGCGAAGTGATGATTAACCGGAGGCTGGGCGTCATCCCGGACCTCTTTTGTCTGTAACAAGATGTCATTACGGGGTCTAGACATGTGTGTCCCTGGTCATCTGTTTCGGGGATCCAATCCGTCTGCTTTGCGTGATCATGCAAAGAGGTGTGACTCGCTGGGTTGTTGGATGGGCCTGATCATTGCGATTAGCAGGGTCCGCCGCCGCCCTTCTTGACAGATTACCTCCGGCCGCATAGGAGTCGTCGTCGTCGTCGTCTGTCGTCGAGGTCTTTGCATCCCTCAGGGCCGAAACGCTCTTCATCTCCCTCTCCCCCCCTCCCCTCTGGTCATTGATCATTGACCCGGCGTTGGAGATCTTGTTGTTCTCATCAGCTCATCAGCTCATCAGCTCAGCAGTAATAGTAGTAGCGGTAGTACCAACCCGTTTGTCATTTGTTTCTTCATCCGTTGGGCTTTGCTAGTGTGATATCAGCGACCGGGCACTAGTCGCTAGTCGAGCTAGCGAACGAGCTCTCGAGAGATCCACCTCGTCCCGACACACGCACACACAAACACACACACACAATCTCTCATTTCACTTCTTTCACCAACGATCCGGGGACGGGGAACCTCGATAACACCTTCCCATCAGGCCCATCATCATCCTTGACGTCTCAACATCGACATAGAGCCTTGCGATCCGGCGTTAGGACTTTTCAACGTCGCTGACCATCGTCACCCGATCATCCGATCATCGTCCCATCTCATCATACACATAGAGCATATACATCCACGCACAAGCAGAACGAGGTCGAGGCAGACATTGTCACTCTGCGACCCATTAGGTTGGAAGTGAATTCCGAGATCACAGTTGGAGCATGATCGACGCCTATCATTCGCAGGCCATGTCACAGCCATACTCGTCCAGCAACACGTTGAACCCGCAACAATGGAACCCATCCGTTCAACGCTACAGGGAGCCAAACGATCACATGCTTGGTCACGCTGGTGGTGACCATTCGCCTTCACCCCATGTCATCTCTCCCGAACTCTCGCCTCATCTGCATCACTCGGACTATTCCCCAAGTCCTCCTGGTCAGGACCGTCTTCAACCCGTCAATGGCTCTGGCCCGGGCCCGACGACCTGGGAGAATATGCAGCAAAGGCAGCAACAAGAACAGCAGACACGGAACATGGAAATGCAACGTTACGGGAATAACGTTTCGCCTAGCGAGATGCTCGAGAACGTAATGATAGGCGGAGGAGACGGGTCAGGGCCTAACTCCGGTGAAGGCCGCCGTGGTGATCAGTCCTTGTCTGGTCATCATCATCCCATGCAACCTCAGTATCATCAGATGTTGCCATCAAACCGGCGGTTGCCAGATGATTCGAGCGCCAATTCGATCAAACACAAACCACCAGCGGATGAGATGTACCGGGGAGAGCAGAGGGACTTTGACGGCTACCAGATACATCGCGGTGGAACGATCATGAACGAAGACGGGAGGGGTTTGAAGCAGTACCGGGAGACGAGAACGAGATACCAGGATGGTCGGCTAGGTATATTGCCTCCAGGTAAGCTCGCCTCGACCAAACGACCATTGGTAAGAATCTCAGCGGCACAGGTACTGATTATCAATCCACCTGGCCGTCTTATCATCCAAAGATCAACCTCGAGATTACTCGGCCATCAAGCTTGTCGGCGATGGGTCTTTCGGGACGGTGTGGCTGTGCGACTGGAAGTCTGAAATCCCGTCCACGACCGTCTTGTCCGCCATGCAATGTGGTGCGGGAGCTAGACCAGAATGGACCGGGAAGCGTTTGGTGGCGGTAAAGAGGATGAAGCGGGTGTGGGAGGGTGGTTGGGAACAGGCGTCGAAGATAGGAGAGCTCGTGGTAAGTCGCCTCGGGTACAGCTACGTTGTCCTCGCCACTGATGAATCCATGTTGCATCGCTTTGACAGTCACTTCGAGAGATCCCGCATCACCCAGCCATCATCCCCCTGTATGATGCCTTTCTTCAACCTGATACGAAAGAGCTCTACTTTGTATTTGAATGCATGGAGGGGAACCTTTACCAGTTGACAAAGTCTCGGAAAGGGAGAAATCTAGCGGCCGGTCTGATCGCCAGCATCTTTCGACAAGTCGCCGAAGGTCTGCATCACATCCATCAAAACGGCTACTTTCATCGAGACTTGAAACCAGAAAACCTCCTGGTCACGACGACGGGATTGCAGACCTACCTGCCCGTGGTCGATCCAGAAAATTCTCGCGCCGACCTGGCCCTTTTGAATGTCGGTAAACAACCGCCCGAACGACCATCACCCAAGCTGGAGAAGGACGTAACGGTCATCGTCAAACTGGCAGATTTCGGTCTCGCGAAAGCCCTGGATGCGAAACCACCTTTTACGGAATACGTTTCGACACGTTGGTACCGAGCACCCGAAGTCCTGCTTCGATCGAAGGAATATTCCGCTCCCGTTGATATGTGGGCGCTGGGAACAATTTTGGCTGAGCTGCTCAACCTCAAGGCGCTTTTCCCCGGCCAGAGCGAGATCGATCAATGCTGGCGAATCAATTCGATCTTGGGTGATCCTAGCCCGGATTATGGGCACGACGAACGAGGTATGCGAGTGGGAGGCGGTGAATGGGTTCGAGGGTTGAAGCTGGCGAAGAATGTAGGGTACGGATTCCCAAAGGTGAGCGAGCGCATATGGTATTTGCGCTTCATACGGCTGTCGCTGACGTTCCGCATGATTCATCAAAAATCAGAATCCTCCTGTCGTTTTTGCATCATTGTTTTCGCCAGCTGTACCGACCACTATGATCGACTGCATCAGACAGTTACTGCGGTACAATCCCAAACACCGACTCACGTCCGGAGAATGTCTTAATCATCCATACTTCAAGCTGGTGACTCCCCATCTGCAAGCCAATGTGGATCTCCCGCAGATTCCCTTCTCCAGGGGACAACCAGGGCGAGCCGAATTGGATGAAATTTTCCAGAATATGGAGCAACAGAGACAGCAGCGTATACATGACGTGTCTAGAACGTCTTCTATCCCGCCTCGCAATGAACCTCCTTCACACTCACACTCGCCTGTTCACGAACCTCCGAATTTCAACGTGCGGGATTCGGGCAGGGTACTGCCGCCACTCGCCGGCTCGCCTCATAATAATCGGTCGTACCATGTGTCGCCCGAAAGGCCTCGGCGATACGATAGCCCAACCCTTCACACGAGCTCAGCATCGACATCGCAGACCTTGTTGCCAAACTTGTCTTCATACAACAACGGTGCCTCGGCTTTGGTGGAATCGTTGCGCGAGTTGGATCTCCCAACGGCCGACTTGTCCACCTATGGTCATCGTTCGCTGTCGCCTGGACACGCCCCCGAATGGAAGCAACGGCCTGCTCCCGTCCCTCACCCGTCTGGCGATAGACAAGGACATGGGGACCGCCGTTCATCCGATCTTGTGGGCTTACAGGCGATGTCATTGGCCGCGGGAGGTACCGCTTCGCAGTCTTCGTTTCACCACAGCACCTCTGGACTCGTGTCGTACACGCAAGATTCACTGCCCCAGCCGCAATACCAACGTAATTATCTTCCGCCTCACATGTCGACTCCGACTGCTTTGGCGTCTGGCCTCTCGCCTCGAGGCTCTTTCGATAGTTTGCGCGATCATAACTCGACCGATTCTCTCCCCCGGCCGCACGAGGACCATGACGTGGTCATGCAGGATGCTTTTGACGAACATCCTGTCCATATCAGACCCGCGATGGAGACCGATACTCATCCCTACAGGTCGCAACCCGGTCAGGATCAGCCTCGCTCCCAGGCGTTCGCCAACACTACTTCTCGTCTGACCAACTTGGCAGCTACGGGCAAGAAGAAGAAGTGGGGCCTGAGTGCGGTCTTTTCGAGCTTGAACGATTCGAAAGCGGAGCTTCCGGTACCGCCTCCGGGTAATATCGTCTCTTCCGGCTTCAGCTCAGCTGCATTGAAGCGCACGCAGTCCGGGATCACCGCAGCAGAACGAGCAGTGATGTCCCAAGCGGACCTGGTTAGCGGGGCTGATCCCAAAAAGGTCAAGAAGGAGATGGAGAAGCAAGCCAAGGAGCAGGAGAAGCAACTGCAGGTCGCTCGTCGAAAGGCGATGGAAGATGCGCAAAAAGAGCGGGCTCGCGCGGTCATGGCGAAGCGAAGTCAGCTCGTTGAGAATAGGTCGAACAACAAGTCTGAAATCGAATGGACCACTCTCAGCACGATCGACTCTGCCAGTATGAAGACGAGCAATACTAGCCAGACGAGCATTCCTATGCCTGACGGGTCGAAGAGCCAGAGCGCTCAAGATCTCATCCCGAAGCGCGAGCCGTATATGGGAGCGAGCAAGACCGCGGGATCCAGATCTCAACCGTCCATCAGGAGCCAGCTCGAATCGATGTCTCAGTCTCACATCGATAGACGCCAGATGGAGATGTCCGGACCTGATGCTTATCGGTTCAAGGCGAGAAAGATGGATTTCGGCGACGATCATACCGGGTACAGGAACGCGAGCGTTCTCAGCGTCGGTACGATTGATAGCGAGTGAGTTCCCTTGATGTCTGAGCAGAGTTCGAGTTTACTCGCGCAGCTGTACTGATGATGAGACGCTTCCGACAGCCCCGGTCCAACCAGATCGCCCAGGATCTACCAATCAAACGACCCGCGAGCCGCCTCGGCTCAGTCGTTTGCACGCTCCACATCTTCGTTTGCACAGTCCAACACTTCGGTCGACCGTCAATTGGCTTCAGACTTCCGCATGCATGCTACCGTGCAACCTTCAGGACTGAATCAGTCTTATACCTCACTTCCCGGCGCTGGCTCGGGGAATCCGTTCGGGAGCGGCAGCAATAGTAGCCTGAGTCTGGGACGATACGCCAGCTCGGTTTCCGTCAGCGGGCCTACGACACCGTATAGTCATCCTTACGGCCATGCCGTCGCCGCCGGACACGGGATCGGTAGAAAACAGGTGATTCATCACACCCACCAGCAGCTACCATCAATCCACGATATATCCAAGGACTGGGATGATGGTCAGGATGTTCACATGGACGGGGCAAACCCGACGTACAGAGTGGTTAGTCGGGCGAATCACCCGTCTACAAAGTTTCGAGATTCCGAGCTGACGTTTTTTTTTGCGCTCGCTCGTAGGAACCTCCGGGCGGTCGAGACGGTTATACAACGCTCCCGCCATTCGCCCACATCGCCTCTCTGGCCGACAGTCAGCCCAAGGGTCCTTGATCGACAGGCTATCCCGCCGCGCTCCAGCTCGCATTCTCGCATCAATACACCCCATATATCCTTACTCTGCAACATCGAACAGTCAAATCAGGCACCTTACATTGGCACGAGGGATTTGTCAATAAACGTTAGACCATCCCTTCCTCGTCTCACTCTACCGACTACAGTTTCGGAAGATGGGTAGACTTTATCCAACATCATCATCGCCCCTCCCCCCCTCTCGCTCAGACTGATCGGCCATGTTTCTCTCTCTTCTTGTCATGTGCGAATCATTTTGCGTTGTAAGCTTTCGACGTTGTAATGTACGTCGATACCATGTTGCATGTAGCGAGCCATCGACTGCCTGTTTCGGTCGTCGGTTGTTCGGGGGAGGAGGAGATGTGTCGCGTGCGTGCGTGGGTGGAGGAGATCGAGAGCGAGAGCGAGAGCGATGACGCAACGCGCGACAGATGACGCTCACTCCCTCACCCTGGCCTCTCTCTCTCTCTCGTCGTGATCACCATCGAACGGTCGATTTTGATCGTCACAACCTGACGATTGCAGTCTTGATCACCAGCAAAAGATCGATATAGGCCATAGGTCAAGCTAGTACTTTTCAGCCATGTCGATGAAACGACAGAAGAGCGGCGGTGTCAAGCCGGCGGCACCCATCGCTACGCAACAACCGAAATTCTATGTGAGTCGGCACGTCGTTCAAAGGTCGTGTCTTCTTTCATCACAGCTCGAACTAATCGTGCGTCCTCCTTTCATCAGAATGGACCGACTATCCCCAAACCGAGCGGAAATATCGCTCACACCACTGCGGTGACCGCTAAAGGGCCCCCACCGCCTCCCGTGGATCTGCAAAGCCTCAAAAAGGCCAACGAAAGGGTAAGCTATCAGACCTGCTTTGTACATTCTGTTCAGCGTCGTCTGACACCTCTTTACATGTTGCAGAACACTAAGCGGGCACGAAACTCGAGACCGTCCCACGCCCTTCTCAACACGTTCATCCTCTCCTTGTTGGCCATCTCCTTCGTCTCGCTTTCCTTCTGCCCATCACCGGAACAGATCGACAAGAGCGTCGCCAGGTCTTACTTTAACCTGAACAACCTCAACCCATTCACCTCTTCCGACCCTGGTGTCCCGGCATGGGAGCGTCACATCTGTCAGCCTACAACAGCTTACCGTCGGCATATCCTCGAGCCCTACGTCGTACCGCACGTACAGCGCAGGGTCGCTCATATCCAGGCTCACCCTATTGTCAAGGAACACATTGCCCCGGCTTACCACCAGGTCGAAGTCAAGACCAGGAACCAGAGGAAGGCTGTCTACTACAGGACTCAACGCGTTTATAACCGTGCCGTCCGACCTTACGTTCCCCATTTCCACGCTGCAACCAAGAGGCTCACCAATCGGGCGGAACTCGCAGGCAATCAAGCCTGGCAGCAGATCTTGGCCCTGCTCGCTCAGGCGCAGGCACTCGTCTCGCCTTATCTAGAACACCCCCACGTTATTCGAGCGCGCAAGACTGCCAACGATCTCTATAACCATCCTACCGTAGCGACCGCTGGCAAGCACGCCAATCTCGTTTACAAGCGTTCGGTCCCTCACTTCGAAAAGCTCGGCGTTTATGGTGGACAGAAGAGCTCGCAGAGTTACGCTTGGGCTAGGAAAACTGGTATTCCCCAGGTCGCCAAGGGTGCGGTCAACGCCTTGGATGTGGCCGAGAACAATCTCAAGCAGATTGTACTGTGAGTCTCAAGGCAACTAGACTCTGCGCAATCAAGCAGTACTTTTCTCTAACCCGAATTTCGACGCAACAGGTACTTGACCCAGCTGTTCAACACGCACGTACACCCAGTTCTTCACCCGCATTACCGTACCCATGTCGAGCCTCATGTGAACGCGCTGTCGAAGAACGCCTATGCCCCGGTTGTACGAAAGCACGCCAACCGTGTCGCTCCGATCCTCGGGTCTTTGATCTTGACCCCTTCGCTCAATGATATCCGAAGTGGGCTCAAGGGGCTATACCACGATGTCAAGGACAACGTCGAGAGCGTCACCGCGAGCGCAAAGGATACCACTCAGTCCATCAAGAGCAACGTCGCTGGGGCCGCTTCTTCCCTTTCCGCTCAGGTATCGGCTTCTAGCACCGTCGCTCAGGCGGTTGGGGAGAAGGCCACCAAGAGTGCCAAGGCTTCCGCCTCCAGTATCAACTCGAAGGCCAGGAAGACGGCGGGTCGGGCTACCGCTCAGGCGGCAGCTTCGGCAGTCAGTGCTAGCAAGAATGTAGAAGATGCTGTCCGAGCTGGAACCGCTACCGCCAAGGCTTCCGTCGAGGCTGTCGTTAGCAACGCTCAGGCTACCGCTTCCCAGGCTTCTCTCGCAGGACAATCGGTCGTTTCGGGTGCTTCGGCTTCTGGACAGTCTGTTGCATCCGCTGCTTCCGCAAGTGTACGATCCGTTGCCTCGGAGGCGTCCGCCTCTGGGCACTCTGCTGCATCGATTGTCTCAGCTTCTGCCCGGTCCGCTGCCTCCGACGCCTCTGCTTCGGCCCAGTCTGGCGCATCCGCCGCTTCTGCATCTGCACAGGCCGCCACTGCTTCGGTGAAGTCTGCTGCTGTCGCCGCCTCGGCTTCCGGAGAATCTGCCGCCTCAGTCGTTTCCGCTTCTGGTCAATCCGCTGCTTCGGCGATTTCTGGTACTGGACGTTCCGTCGCCTCGGTCGTTGCTGCTTCGGCCACCTCGGCGGGTAGCGCCGTCTCTCAGGCTGCGACCGACGCCGCCTCGTATGCCAAAGAGCAGGTCGCCCGTGGAGCTCAAGCCGTAGAGCAAGCTGCTTATGCGGCCGAAGCAAGTGCTGCTAGCATCGCCAGCGCGGCGTCTGCTTCTGTTGTCAGCGCAACCGACAACGTCGGCAGTGCGGCCAGCTCCATGTCTCGAACCGGCGAGAGCTTGGTCTCGCAGGCTTCTGATACTTTGGCATCGGCCGGCAGCACCGCCTCGGCATCTGTCGAATCAGCCACCAAGCAAGTGCAACCTTCGGTCTCGAGCGCTTCCGCCGAAGCAGTTCGAGCAGCTAGCTCTGCCTCTGCCGCAGCCCAAGCGTCCGCCTCATCAGTGTCGTCCGCGGGTGCGTCTTATGTCGCCGGTGTCGGTGAACAGGTCAGGGGAGCAGCGTCGACCGTTTCCGCTTCAGCAGGACAAGCAAGCGCGCAGGTCTCGACCGCCGTTGTCGATGCTTCCCGTCAAGCTCGCGGATCCGCCAGCTCTGCTTCATCTTTGGGATCCTCAGCGCTCGATCAAGCTGCCAGTCAGACGGCGAGCGTTGCCGAAGCCATCAAGGCGACCGCTAGCTCCGCTTCACGAGGAGCTCAATCCTCCGTGGCCAGCGGGACCGAGTCGGCAAATTCGCTGAGCGCCTCGAGCCAGCCGACACCGCCTGTGATCGTGCAAGCCATACCTGTCGAGGTGGTCGTCCAGGAGCAGATCATACAGAGAAGTTCCGAGGATTCGGAGCGCACTATCGCTGATGGCGCTAGGCTTGAAAAGGAGAATGAAGGAGATGTTGCCTTTGAGATTGTCGAGAGTTACTAGATAGATAGAGATAGAGATTGTCAAGTAAACAATGAAAGACCTATACACGGTGTGCCAGGTGGTATTATGCATATACATCCTCACAAGCAGGACAGCCGAAACGATAGTGATGCCTTTCATACAAATTGTGCTTTACAACGGGGCTCTATAAAATTGCAACTAGTATGCTTCGACTGCGGTGCGAACGTCGAAAGATCCGCTCCCAGCGGCCACAGGAGTTCCCATCACGATACTTCCACTTGGACTTCGCAAGTCATCAAAGTCTCCGTGCAATGTGGCGTCGGACAAGAATGCACCGGTAGTCTCGAATGATGCCTTGAGCAGAGGCGAGCTCTTGCTAGCGATACCCGTACGGTTGAATGGCTTATACCCGCCCTCGTGAGTCTGTAGAAAAGAGAACAGATCCGGTCGGCTTGATGATCAGGTGTGCATCGTGATTAGCAGCAGATGCTTACCATGTAATCGGCAAGTACCGTCAAGTGACGATAGTCAACTGCAATTCCGTACACGCCGAAAACTCCAGATCTAGACGGGAACGGGTTCGCCAAGTTCAGTGGGATGTCGGACCCACTCGCAGACTACTGGAATCAACTTACACTTCTCGGATGATCGCGGCACGAGCAGCTTCCACGCCGTAGGTTTCCAGCACAGCGTAGATGTCGTTAGTATCGATCTTGTTGACATCGATCATGTCAGACGCAATACGCCACATCGCCGGCAAGTTGCTTCCTTCCGTAATGAGTTGACGCTATGGTCGGCAGTAATCACATTAGTATAGCTTCGGTCTTCTCTGAAATGTGAACACGTACAGTGAACTCTCCCTTGTCATTGAAGATCTTCATGCACCTGCCGATCGCCTGAACTTCGTGGATGACTGCTTTTCGACAACATCGCTCGATGACATCAATGAGCAAGAGTTTTTGCGAGTTACCGGTAAACTATGAGCGCAATGCAGGTTGAGTTGGAGTAGCCTGCGCGTCTCGGAACGGCGCGACTTACCTCTAGGTCGAATTGACAAGATCGACCGTTCACCAAGTCAAAGCTAAAGGAGGTGGCGTATTTCGAAGCCAGCTTGAAGTATTCGCCGACATCTTCGATACGCTGCTCATCCTTTGCCTTCTCGATAGCGTCCCCGACCTTGGTGTCACCATCGTCCTCGTCATCGCTGTCTTCTTCCATCCGGGCAGCGAGAATATCCTCTTCGTCCCGCTCGTCCGTATCTTCCTCCTCGTCCGATTCATAAGTGGCGATCTGCTCGGCTTGCGCCTTACGCTTCATCTCGTACGCATCACCGTCGTCGTCCAATTCCTCGTCTCGTCCGACCCGTTCGTCATCTTCGTTGACTTGATCGGCATTTTCTCGCACGGCTCGACCCTTGCCGACACTGTTGATGTCGTTGGCCAAAGCCTTGGCAGCGGCCTTGAACTCCTTGGTGATCTCCTTTTGTAGATGGACGGCAAAGGAAGACGGCAAGCTCTCCATGATCTGCTTGGGCGTAACATGGTACTCCTCGAGGTATTCGGCCTTGTCGTAGAACTCGAGCAACACCGTGTATGTCCGACGACGATCGATCTGTTCGATGGTCTTGGCCGACAAACGTTCGGTAACCGTGACACGCTCCACAACTTCCGACAAGTTCAGTCGACTAGTCTTCTTCATGAACTTGTCAATGGCGTCGTCGCTGATGGCTTCGCTTATCGGTAATTTCATTGTGGGCGTCTTGGGCTTTTTGGCCGCCGTCATGACGATCTCTCGAAGCCGAGGGATACCCAATGTAACGTTGGCAGCACCGTGACCAGCCAGATGGAAAGTGTTCAAAGTCATCTGCGTGGATGGTTCACCAACACTGACATGTGTCGCAATTGTTGCAACGTCAGCGATGCAGACCGGATATCGAGGAATGCATGTGGAACGAAAACTGACCCTTGTGATGCTAACATCCCGACGGCTTCTCCCGCATCAATCAACGACTTGACATATCTCACCCGCGACAAGATCTTGAACGTGCTTGGAGCGACCAGCTGATCGTGCCGAAGACCTTGAGGAATGTCGGACTCTAGCGTTTTCTTGGTACCGAGCAATTTGCCGGGGTTCTTCTCGACGAACTTGTCCAATTCAGCGGCAAACTTCTCGGACATGCTTCCCAGGTATCGACTAGGAGAATACCTCGACATTGGCGGTTCGTACTTGTTGGGCCGCTTCAACGACTTCTTCATGAGCGAGACGGCCGTGTTCTGATCCATCTTGTCCTCAATGTCCGCGGCGGAGAATCGGTTCGTGAAACTCTTCATATTGCGCAAACAGAAGTCAAACTCATAAAGATGTTTCTGACGAGTGACGTCCAGAGCATCCTCTCCATAGAAGAATTGCAAGACAGATTGGTCGGCATCACGGACCGTGTGGTCGTAATGCACCCTGATCCCCTCAAGATGCTTGATCAGACATCTCTGCAGATATCCGGAACGACTTGTCTTGACAGCGGTGTCGATTAGACCTTCACGTCCTGCCATGCAGTGGAAGTAGTACTCCTGGGGTCGTACACCAGTCAAGAAACGGTTGGCGACGTATCCTCCGGCTCGCGCCGACGTGTCGAACGGCTTGAACGAGGGCAAAGTCTTTCCCGAAACCATTGTCGGCACACGTCGACCTTCCAGAGCCTGTTGCCCCAGTAGTGTCGAGATCTGCGTAGCGTTGACCTTTGAACCCTTGGCTCCGGAGATGGTCATGGTCTGCATGTTGTTGTCGGGGAACGGTTTGACCAAATGCCCGGGCACTACCACGTTATTGATCTTGGAGGTGGTCTTATTGAAAGCGGCCTGCATTGCGCCGTCTAATCCTGCCATCATGTCATCGTCTCGCAAGATTTCTTCCAGACGGATGGCCAAGTTCCGAGCCGTGTCAGGGTCCTTGGGATTACCATCCTTGGGCAAGCCGACGTATTCCATGGCTGCACGGGCTCCATCTCCTTTCGCATCCTCGAGGATCTGGGCTCGGATCTTTTCACCCTCTTTCGTAAGAATAAGATCGTCCATTCTGCAGGTGAAAGCGATATGCTGCAAGTATTTTGTCAACAGCCGTGACAGAATGCTGAGCAATCGTCCAGCGCTCTCTGGTCCATAGACTTCGTGGACCGAGTGGACCAGACCATACGCAGAGGCCCCGTATTGAGACTTGTCCAAGACACCACGAACAAGGTAACCGTCGAGAAAGACCGCTTGTTCCTCGGACATGTTGGGATCCGACCCGTCGTCTCGTTGCCATAAACTGTTCTGAATCTTGTTCTTGGAAGTCAAGTTCAAACCTTCAAGGTTGGGAGGCGTGATGTTAAGCATGATAGTAGAAATGATCTGTTTACCCGTCCACATGGGTCTCGGCTTCCAGATCGCTGGCGGCAGCGTATGTACACGACCCTGCCCAGTGTAGTTGTCCTCCGGTCGAAGAGCTCCATAGATGATTTGGTAGTACTCCTCTCTTGTGAAGAAAGTAGCCTTGTTGCACATGTGCACACCAGCGACGACGTGATCTTGGATCAGACCACGAAGAGGACTACCCGAGGTGGGTCCAAGGTATTGGTTGTCGGTGTTGGCAATCATCCGAGCTTCCGCCTGAGCCACTTCATTTTGGGGGAAATGGATGTTCATCTCGTCTCCGTCGAAATCGGCGTTGTACGAGTTGCAGTTGGCGTAGTGCATTCGGATGGTCTTTTCCCCCTTGAGAATTTTGGCGCGATGAGCCATCATTGAAGGCTTGTGTAAAGTTGGTTGACGATTGAGGATCAGGATGTCACCATCTTGCAGGTGTCGCAAGACCTTTTTATTGATGGCCGGTGTTCGAGTGGTAAGACCGTCCGGGTTCGATGCAGCAGATCCCTCTTGAGGGGTCAAAAGCTGATTGGCGATCGCCGTTCGCTCTTCAATGGTCTTCCTCTCCAGGGAGATCTGCTGACCGTCCTCGTTTTGTACCATCATTGCACCAGGGTATGCCTTCGGTCCGTTGATAACCAGTTGACGCATAATGTGAACATTGTGAGGCGTAACCGGCTCGGGGAAAGTCAACTTGCGCGCAAAGACAGGAGGTACACCGATCTCGTTGGTCTCGATGTTGATATCGGGCGAGATGACGGAACGAGCAGCAAAGTTGACTCGTTTACCCTACAATACGGCGAAATGTGTTAGTGTCATGTACACCCGCTCGATCGACCTGTCCAATGCGAGTTACCATCATGTGCTTCCTGAACAAACCCTCCTTTTTCTCTAAGATCTGCTTGACACCAGCAGGGGGCAGCATCCCACCCTTCATGATTGTCGGGTTCTTCGAGCTGTCCAAGAAGCTGTTGACATCGTGCTGGATTTGAAAGATACCCTCCAAGAGCTGAGTCCATGTTCGCAGTGCGGCCTCTTTCGCAGTCTTCTCGAGCGCTTCCTCCACGTCAGGCATGGCTTGCTGTAGCTCGGCCAGCCGTGTTCGATTGCTGACGATCAATTGACCAGTGGTCAAGATCTTGGCCAACAGACTGTTTTGAGGGTTCTCGAATAGCGAGTCGCCCATCTTGGAGGCAGGTCGGAATCGGGTGGGAGGAACGGGTACCACATCCATAAAGAAGATGTCGGCGCTGGCTGATGGGGCATTAAAGGCAGATCCAGCATTGGTCTCCGATTGCCACACGTTAGGTCCGTGTCGGCCGTACAGCAAAGAACAGACTACGGGTTGGTTACGGAAGACCAGCCGCAGGTGCGCTCGCACTTCTTCGGCCATGACGATCCGCTCGTCTCGACCCCGCGAACTCTTGACAGCTCCGTTGACACCTCGAGCAACGCCGTTGACCTTGTCCTCCATCAGTATCTCGCCTTCATCAGCGGATGACGTCGCATCGACATCCATCCCATCAGCTTCGTCTTCCGACACGTCGCTTCCACCGTGACCAGAATCGCTGTCCCCATCGGCCGCTCCGTTCTCCTTCTTGACCCGAGACGACTGTTTCGACATGGCGAGAACGTTTGGTCGTTTTCTACCCAACGCCATGTTCTGATCCTGGTGCTTTTTGGAAAGACCGTACTCGATGATCTTGACGGTTCCCTCTTTTCGGTAAGTAAAGGCGGCGCTGAAAGTTCTCCATCGAGTCAGCTGCCGGACGTCTTGCGATATCCGGAGTACACCAGTACCACTCACGCATTGCAGTGGGAACACTTCATGTAAGCCTTCCTGCCGAATTCGTGCAAAAGATCCCTCCTCTCGGCGTAAACGAGCCCGTCCTTGTAGTTATCCCGGCCGGAAGGCTGTGTCCTCTGCAGGTTAGGCTTCCTATCAGACGTCCCGACATCGGCAACCCCTTCGTCTGCCATCATGGACTCGTCGATAAACTTCTTGACCGCCTTGTCTATCCGTGCCGAGAATTGTTCGACAGTCTCAACGGGAACGGCATCTTCACCATCTTCTGCATCCTCACGAGCTCCCCCGGTCGATCGCGTCTTCGGGGTCATGTTGGCCACGATCTGAGATTCGGCTAGCAGACCGTGGTCGAGGAGTTGTAGACGAGCGACGTACTTTTTGAGCTATACCATGGTACGATGGTGGTGTCAGTGTCCTGAAATGATTCGCTCAGAACTCTGTACCTCTATACTTACAACGAGCTCGGGCATCTTGAACTGATGACAGAACATGCAGACGCTACGCAAGAGACCGAACGCTTGGTTCATGAAGAGCGGGTGGAACACTGGTACCGGCAATTCGATGTGACCGAAATGTCCGGGACATTGGTAAGACGAGAGGTGACAGGTGGCGCATCTGGGAACACACGACGACAGGCGAAAAGACCGTCAGCGATAGGTCGTTTTAGGTCGTTTGGTCTCTCGATAACAGCTAGACGAGGCTGTACTGACACATCGGCTCGGTCGGCTGGTCCGAGAGCAGGATCGTACAACCCCCCAGTGGTCGGCATGTTCAAGTTGTCCAGCAGGATCGGATTTGTGATCTGCTTGACAGATATATCCTTGATATCTCGGCTCGACAAGAAAGAAAAGGAGATGGCCTTGGCCTGGGTGGGGAGCGAGTGTGCAATATCCATCTTGTACAGCCTTGAGTCGGTCTATCGTCGTCAGATGTTGGTCGGCCCAGGCCACTTTTTGCCCCGCTCGTACAGTCGGTGTCGATGACCCGCCAGATGGCCTATGGGGAATTCTATAGCTTGGGCTTTCCCCTTTTCGAAAGTGAGCTTGCCAGTGATGTCGCAAGTCTAGTGTTTCGTGTACCAAGCTGGTGAGTATTCGGGCGTGTGCATGTAAATTTCAGATTCGAGACGGTCGCTCGTACTCTGGGAAGCCTCGGGCAGGGGTCAAACATTTACGCGATCACGTGAAAAAAGAAATCACACGAGCAGTTTCCCTTACAAACCCTTCTTGAATCGTTTCGGTCGATTCAGCTCACAGCAAGTTACAAGCAGGACATCGGGAGTCAGGGATCTCGTCGCATGGATCCAGCAGACGAAGACGATAGAGTTGCGAGAAACGTATGAGAAATCTGTCGCGTACAAGGGGGGGGGTACAATAGTGTTCCTTGACGTCTGTCGTAGGCGTTACATTCGGTCAGTTTCCCGCCCATCCTCTCATCCTTGTCATTTCGACGCTCTGCTTTCTTCAACCCCTGCCAGTAATCCGTCCTGGAGCCTACTTCTTGCCCTTCTTCTGAACCAAGGTGAACCCGTCGTCGTCCACCACGGGCTCCTGTTTCTCCTTGGGCTGAGCCGGAGCCGCCATCTCGATGTCCTCGTCGTCCGAAGATCCCTCACTATCGGGCAGAGGGTTCCCATCCTCATCCAACTCCTCGTCGTCGTCCCCGTTGCCCTGAGCCTGGACCTTTTTGCTCCCCGTCGTCCTGACCAACTCTTCCAACTCGTCCACCATCGCCTGGTCACCCTTGACCACCTTTTTCCAAAGCTTGACGACATCCCCGGCCACTTCGTCGGCAGAGCCATCGTCTAGATCCACCTCGAACTCGTCGCTGACCATGCCTTCGAGCATCTCGGCGAGATCGTCTTGATCGACGAGCTCGGCGAGCTGTTCCTCGGTCATCTTGGGCTCGTTCGCCTTGGGTAGACAGCTCTCAAAGTAGTCGACGACCTCGCTAATCATCCAGGTCCTCTTCTCTTTCGAATCGGGTCCGCCCCATTCTTCGCTCACAGCGAGACGCAATGCAGGCCAGAGGGTGAAGAGGGCGATCGTTCCACGCGCAAACAGGGCGATGTCGGGAGTGGCAGGTGATGATGAAGCCATGATGTGTTGAAGGTATCAGAGATTGGGCAATTGTATGGCTTGATAGTTGATGAATTCCACGGGGAGAAATGTGTGTGTGATGTGAGTTGCTTTAACGAGGAGGCGAAATGAAAAGAATAGCGAGCTGCAAACTGAACGTCAGCTAAAAAGTTGAGCAGCGCTACGGTTTCCGAGGCTCTGCTGCTGCGTCATGTCACTTGCAAAGACCTCACGTGACCCGTATTACGTGCGTGAGCGTTTCAGGCATAGGAGGTCATGGCATAATTCTTATCGTATACAACGCTGGATATTATGCTTGGTCTAAGAGATATAGGCTCGAGAGTAGAGCACGCCGTCGGTTACCTTGTACAACTGTCGGAATGTATGATTCGGGGAACGAGGGGGGAGAGGGTTTATGCGACGCGACGATGTCGATCTAAGACGCAACCCGTTGAGGGGGTGGTGCATGTTGTCCGGCGACGACTCGACCTTTCTTCATCGGGACCTTTTGGTGTATCGGCTCGACGAAGTTTTCCGGAGAGAATTCAAACTCCTGTTCCGGAAACGACACAAACGTGCTGCTCGGTAACCGAAAGTCACCGAAGGAGGGCAACCTTTCCGTTGGCGAGATCCAACCGCCATCGTCCAGCCCGCCAGCCTCGGACACCCGACGACTCTGCATCGATTCGAAAGTCCCGTCGATCGACTGCATGTAATTAGGGGTCCTGATGCTGGGCTGGTAATTATCGTTCCGGTTATCAAGGGGAAGTCCGGCAGCAGAGAATGGGGTGCTATAGTCGAAACTTCGACCTGACCAGTTCCCTGAATTCGGGAAGCCACCATTCACAGGGCTCAGCGGCGTAGCCTGGGCAAGGGGCGGACCCTGATGCACCGACGAGTAGGCCGGTGGCCTGTTCATATGAGGCTGTTGTTGTTGTTGCTGCAAGGAAGAGACGGGCACCTCGATAGTAATGTACCCCGGACGCGAGGAAGGATACTGGTTCGGCTGCTGGTAATATCCTCCAGGTTGTTGATAAGCTGCATCGGAATGCTGATGGTGCATCTCGGGCTGTAGTGAGTGGTACGGATTGTTGTGCCATTCCGACGCGATTTGACTGGCGACGGACCCAGAAAAGTTTCGCGGCGAGATGTACGTCGTCGAATCCTCGATGGGTACTGTCGCAATTCGAGAGCATAAGGTCGATGTTCGCGGACGACAGGCAAGCTTGCACGTCGACTCACCACTTAGATCTGCCCATTGGTTTACCAAATCGGTTGGATCTGACGCCCAGTTGACCGTCTGCCGTCCATCAGTGTTCTCGACGTTGTCTTCCTCGAGAAGTCCCCACATCTCCGCCAATTCATTCTCCGTGACTCCGGGGATCTCGACGGGGGGTAATGGCTCCTGCTGCAAGGAACTCGGGCCCGGCTGTCCATATTGACCGGGGAAGTAGTCCGAACGCGATGAGTTGAGAGACTGGTAGGTGGGACCGGCCGAGATATCGGGGAAAGGAGCCGGCTCGAAGATGTAGGGAACGATGGATTGCGAATCGATCGCCAGTCCAGCTTCCGCAGGCGGTACTGAGGGAAACGACTGCGACTGCCAGAACCCCTGAGGAGTCGGAGCCGATCCAAATTCGGACAATTGGGCTGTAGAAAGCCCGGACGCGTCGGGCATATCGTGCAAGCGCGATTCGGGCTCAATTGGACCTCCCGAAGGTGGTGGCGCGACATACGAGTTGGCTATGGGATCAAATTTCACGGAAGGGATTGTAGAGATCACATGGTGAACAATTTGATCCGCAGCAGGAAATAGATAAGAGCATGCATGAGAGGCTTTTTCTGGTCAGCGAAGCTGCAGTGAAACACGGAGGCATACCCAGAGCCGGTTACTCACGGAGTTCTGGGATGATTCCCCAAAAGACCTGGTGCCCGTCCATGAACTCCTTGTTTGACTCGCCGCCATCATCTCTGGCCTTGCCCGCACGAGAAGCAGACGCAGGCGTCTTGCGAGGCTTCCTAGCGCTCTTCTTGGGCGAACGCGGGGTAACCAAATGACGCTGGGTTGATGAACCTTCTTGGAGGTCGCACTGCTCTTCTTTGGCCAAGGTCTGGATAGTAGGTGCGGATTGTCGAGGAGGTCTCACTCGAGGCTTCCTCGGTCCTAGCGAAGCGACAATGCTATCAGTCTCGAGATGGAGACCTGGCCATCGATCCGACTCACTCATCGCCTTGTCCAGGGCCTTTTCCTTGCGCGCCAGTGCCTTCTCCCTGTCTTTCTTCTCCTTGAGTTTGATCTTGTCCTCCTTCTTCATGGGCTGGTACTTGTAGTTCGGGAAATCACGTTGATGCTGTCGAACGATAGAGATAGAACGGCCGTGTCAGCCAATTGCCCAGCATCCAAGCCGAGAACGCGATCCCTCACCTCCATCTTCTTGATCTCTGCTAAGCGATCATACTTGGCCTTGACGTCTTTCGGCTCCTTTTTCCACTGCTCTGCGATTATTCTACTGATCTCCGCCTGAGGAGGGCCTTTAGAAGGCTTGACTGGTGATTTTTCGCCCTTTTTGCCCTTTTTGGCTTTGATCGTATCCTCGGTAGAACCGGTCGGACGAGAAGCCGCAAAGCTGGCGAGCGAGCCGATCTTGTTGTACTCTCTGATCCGATCGGACCGATATAGAATCCAGGCGTTGGGCGGTCGCCTAGTCTTTTCCGGGGCGGCCACAGGAGGCGTGGTCTCCCGTGTATCTGGAGGCGCCTCGTCGTCCTCGTCCACATCCCGTTCAGGCGAGTCGTCGTATCGATCTTGAAACGCGCGGTCTGGCGAGTTAGAGGTGAAGGACGACGGCCCCGAGATTATTGGGGATGTCAAGGTGGTCGACGGTTCTGTATAGGAGAAAGGTTGTCCGAGATTTTCCGGCGTGGGATACGTGCTAGCGTGTGCTGGCATCAATTGAGGAAAGGCGTGCCCGGTTTGGGGGTCAAAGTTCATCGTCGGTGCGCTTGCCGACGGCATGGGGAAACCAAAGTTTTGGTAGTCCTCATGTTGGAAGGTCTGGCGGTACGAGTTGGCACTGTCAGGCAGTGTCGAGTCGACACCGGTAGGACTGGTCGACTTGGACCTGAGGGCTGGATGATTGTTAGGCCGCAAGCTCGACCCGACGTAAGGGAAGGGCGACGGCCGGGATTGCCTGGAAGAGGTTGAAGGGGATTGTGGCATTCTGCTGTAACAAGATGGCTGCGTGGATCGACAAGGCGAAATGCGAGTATCAGACTATGGTCTCTCTTCTCTCGCTCTCCCGAGAATATAGTCTGGACAATGCGAAAAGGTATGCTTACGAAGTTGTCGATTGTCGATGTAGGCGGAGAATTTCACGTCGTTCCGGTTCGCTCGATGACGATACGATGGTGGTTGGTTGACCTCGATCTCGACAACAAAGAGAGCAAAGGGGTGTCGTAAGTGGATCAGGAGGGAAGGCCGTTTCGCTATCTCGCTACCTCAAATCTCTTTGTTCGTCTTTTGTGTTTTGACGTCTTGATCAAAACAACGGCCAACGGACAAGGTGCAAGGAGATGTCGATGGTGTGTGTTGTTCGAGTTGCGAGTGTTTGATGAGAGCAGATTTTGATGGGATTCGATCAAAGTCCGCGGGCGGGGGAGGGTTGATGACCTTTGTATCGAAGAACCTTTCCGTCCTTCTCACGCTTGCGAATGACCGCTCGACCCGAAAAAAGGTGGGAGGGGGGGGTGGATCGTTTTTGATGATCACGATCCCTGCTCGTCGTCGTCGTCGTCGTCGTGCCCGGCGCAATTGGGGCCAGAACGTCTCACAAGTTTCAGACGCGAATCAAATCTGATTTGAGCCCGTCGTCCTTTGGTCGTATTGTCACTCGATCACTCGTAAAGGACCCCTCCTTTGGATGTTTCGTCCACAAATGTGATGATGCGGGTGATCCAAAGATGAGCTGATGCTGATGCGGTGATCCCCTTTATTTCCCTGCCTCTTCTTCCGATCGACCGACCCTGTCGAGGCTAATATCCCAAGGCAAGAGGAATGCTTGGACCGGAAAACTCTCGATACGGCGGCCCGGGGACTAAACAACGTTCTGGCAGAAAACCCACTGGGCGAGGTTCCGCGACAAGCTGTTCTTGGTGAAGGGGTGAGAGGGAGGTAAGGCGATTCAGGTATATACCGATCGCGATGTTTAGCGAGTAGGCCGACCGTAATGGACGTCGTAGACAAACGAAGGGAATCTCGATCGAGCTTTCGCGATGTTATCTGATGGAAATCACCGGGATCGACGTGTTTCCACTTGGGCAGTACCCTGCAAGCCTATAAGCGAGCCCTGTGACCCTACTGCGATATCTGGCAACCGAGGACCATCGACTGATCGACAGACCTCCCGGATGAAGACGACGACGAGCCACCGATTGCACGATCTGCACAGACTCTCTGATGAAACTTATCTCATGCCCGAGGTAGCGGGGAGAACGTACACGGACGCACGACGGCTCTAGACGGTGAGTTGTCGGTCCTCGGGAAGAGCAAGCGAGTCAGACCAGATAGAGCGACAGGTACATTAGATCATGCGTGGCCTCTCGGCTCCCCCGTCCCTTTTTTGACATCCCGCAGCTCCCTTCTGGTCTTCCAGACGGTTCGAGTGCATATCGCCATGTCTTCGCTTCGCCTAATCGGCCCAATTGTGAAAGTTTGTCGACAACGCGACAACGTGATTTCTTCTGCGCCAAGCTTTGAGACCCAGGTGGATAGCGCGACAAAGGTCGCCGTCCGTGGGCCGAGAACAACATCTCGATTGGAATCGCGAGACGGTCCTCTCTGCCTCGGGCCGGAAAGCCACGGTCTGGTGGATCGCTGACCATGTGCCTCCCTTTCTTCTGAGACGGTTCGGTCATGTCTCGCCCAAGACGCGTGGACGCGTAGAACCGATGTGAATCATTCAAGAACAAGCCAAATGCGTGCTAACGGAACGCCGAAGAAAGCGTACAAATCTCGCTTCGGCGCTGGTCACCAGCTCACCAGCCATGCAGCCACCAATATCAAAAGCAAATGCCGAAACTGGCTAATCTGACAAGGAATTTACGGTTCAAATCGAACGTGCAGGGGAGTTCTGAACTGCGATCGATGTGTATCCACCCGATCTCAGCCGCGGGTTTGGCCCACGGATTTGTATGTTCGCGCGCTCAAGTGGCATTCCAGAATACAACTTCTGGCGAAGTGGGCAGCGCCGCTTCGACCTTGGTCGGCTCCCATCCCGCCTTGGCATCCTCGCCGTGCTGCTCGATGTGCTTTTGCGCTTCTTCCTGCGACACCACGGAAACCTCAATGAACTTCATGTGAGCCTTGATGTAAGGGAGCATCGACTTGATGGCGTCAAACTCTGAAAAGGGCAAGGCGCGCTCGAAGACGACAGGTCCGCTCTGCTGGAGGGATCTCTGTCGAACGCGGAAGTGACCGGGATCGGGATATTGCCACGGCGGTCAGTTAATCCGAAACCGCTCACGCGCACGAGACTAGGGGACTCCCCAACCGGCTTGCTCCGGTGGATCGAGCACTCACCTTTGTGGTCTGCAAGAACGGCATGGCCTTCTTATCCTTGAGCAATCCGGCCTGCTCGAGAGCCGCTCGAAGATTCTTGTCATCGATTGCTCGACCCTCCGATTGGCTCGCCTGGTATTCTGCCTTCAGAGCGTCCATGACCTTGCTCTGCCATGCCGGATAAGACGTGGCCACGATGATTCTAGCACTACGAGGCTTGCTGGGGTCAAACGCGACGGTCTTGCCCTTGCTCTTCTTCTTGGCCATGGTCGCCTCAGCCGATCGCATCGATCCGATGACACCACGCATGTACTCGAGTTGCTTCAGCACGGCTTCGTTCTCGGCGCCGTCCACCTCGGGCCAGAGCGCTTCCTGCACTGAACCACGCTCCTGACAGATGTCTCGCCACATGAACTCGGCGAAGTGGGGAATGATGGGTTGGGTGAGCAGAGCCAAGGTCTTGATCCACTCGAAGATCAGATCGCCATGCATCCCCGATCCACCGTTCTCAGGAGCCGTGACCTCGCGGTACCAGTTTCGCGCGGTCTCAAATTCGTAGAATCCGGTTCGAAGCGCTTCCTTGTAGAAGGTACTATAAAGAAGGCGCGCCGATGTTTTCAGCGAGGTGGATCTTTTCGTGTCTGCGTCTCAGATTTGACTCACGCGGTGTACGCGTTTTTAGTTTGGAGCGTGAGAGCCTGCATCTCGAGCTTGAAGGCCTCGTCGTGTGTATTGAAATCCCCGGAACGCATCTTGCCTTGCTCGCGAGCCTGCTTCATTTCCTGTAAAATAGCAGATTCGATCAATGGGTGCTCGAGCTTAGTGGTCGTAGACATTGTGCTAACCGAAGCCCATTCCATGGATGTATGAAGTCGCAGGATAGCGGCGTTTGCAAGCAATTCCTCGAAGCTGTGCGGGAAACCGTGTTAGTAGCTTCACGGATTCGGTGCTTCATGTTGTCGACCCACTTGGCATCTCCAATCTCGTCTCCCGAATCGGCCAAAGTCAGCCTCGTGGCATCGGCACCGAACTTTTTCACGGCCTCGCTCAGGGTCAAGAAGTTACCAGTACTCTTGCTCATCTTCTTCCCGTTCAACATCAAATGACCGTTGGCACGCATGGAAAGCGGCCACTTGTCCTCGGGGAAGATGGCAGAATGGACGTAGATGCAGAATGTCAAATGATTGGGAATCAAGTCCTTTCCTGATGACCGGATGTCCATGGGGTAAAAGTACTCCAAGTTGTACCTGAGCTGAGCGGCCTTCTCACGGTCGATGGCCGCATCTTCGGGCAGCTCCTTCCCTTGCATGATGTATCGCCAAACGTCGTCGGTCATGTCTTCTGGCTTGATACCAAGAGGTCCAGTCTCGTTTCCGAAGATGTTGCCACCTGTAGATCAGGCGACGCTGGGGTCAGTCAAGCGCGATGTTACGGTCACGTCGGCGCATCTTCGCTTACCCTGCAGGAACTGGGACACGGTGTAGTAAGCCATGTAAACGGTTGAGTCGCTCAACGATTCAACCAAGAACTGAGGGTCCCAAGGAAGTTTTGAACCAAGACCGTAAGATCGAGCACAGGCCCATTGGTTGAGCCAATCGAGAACTCCCTGGAAACCGTTCCTCGTCTCCTGGAAGTAAGTGTTCATACGATCGAGCAAGCTGCGCCGGGAGAGATCGATGGTTAGTCTGGCGGGGGGCTCGTCAGTCATTCAAACGTCGACTTGCAGTTGAGCCCGAGCCTTCCAGTCCTCTACACCATAGTCCAGGTACCACTGGTCACACAAAGCGACGACACATTCATCCGCGCTTCGACTCATGACCTGGTTCTCGGGCTCCGCATAGGCAAATGCCAGCTTGGCATCGATCATTTGTTGTCGAACCTTGGGCTTGGCATCGTGGACAGCCTCTCCCTTGAAGTCTCCGACCAACATCTTCCCGTGATTGAAGCCCTCCTTGTAGGCGACGTCCTTGGCTTCAGCCAACAGGACCTTGTCCTTTTGCGAGTTGATCTTCATCTTTTGGACGAGAGACTCTGCGATCAAGTTACCGTGGTTAGGTGTCTCGATGACAGGGATGATATCGGCAGCGACCCATTCCGGCTTGATCTTGTAGTACTCAGGCTTCTTTCGAAGATCAGCGAGGGTTGCGTAGTCGTCTGGCGAGTCCGAGGGCACACACGAAACGACAGCGGTACCCTGAGCGGAGCGACAATGGCGAGGTTCAGTGACTATCCACCTTGTTTCCCCTAATGATGACACTCACCTTGGTAGCGAGGACACCTTCCATGGGAAGAACATAGACCTCCTTGTGGAAGCCAAAGGGAGGGGAGACCTTGGTCCCGACGAGGTCCTGACCCGTCACATCGGCAAGCTTGACGGTCTTGCCCCTCTCCTCAAAGATGCCCTGGAAAGCCATGTTTCGAGCAGCTCGATCAGAGATAACGTAAGCCTCGTTCTCGGAGGCCTGGTAGACACCGTAAGTGATGCCGGTTCCGACGAAACAGTTGGTCTGGCCGTACATGGTCTCCGGTCGAAGGGTTCCAGCGACAAGAGAGACCTTCTTGCCCTTTACGGCGTCCTTGACATTCTGGGGCACGGTTTCGTTCCACTCCAAGACCTCCATCTTAATAGCGGTGTACTCCTGAGGTCCGACTCCCTCACCAGACGAACGGTCATGGTCCATGCAAGGCTGGTCATCCTTGGGCGAGTAGATGGTATACCTCTCGCCAAACTTGATTCGACCCTGAGCATAAAGCTCGTTCATCTGCCACCGAACGAAAGAATCGTAGTAGGGGTTCACGTCGGCTGGTAGAGAAGAACGCCCTTGATGAGTGATTGAACCATTTCTCGTCCACGAATCCGTAACAGCCATACTTGTGACAAACGATCGCCTCCAGTCGATACGAGCTCCCAAGGCGTTGCAGTCATTCTAAAAGCTCGCCCGGGTACAGTTCAGTATCTAGTGAATTTCCCACGAGCAGCCCGGCTAAAGCTCACCTTGGCGATGGGAGGGAAGTACTTCATCCACTGCTCGGGTTCGGCAAACTTTTTGATCTCCTCTCGTGGTATTCCAATCAATTCCATGATCTGGAACTGGTATTGCAAGCCGGTACTCTTGGCGGCCAGTTTACCCTTCTTTCCCTTGGAAGGGTCGCTCGACACCGGTTTAGCGGGAGCGGCGACGTCGGCCTGGCCTTGAGGAGCGGTGGGCTCGGGGATAGCCTCGTCAACGTCCTCCGGGTCCTTGTAACCTGAGAAGTCTTCGCCGAACAACTCCATCTCTCGGATCAGCTTGTCCACCGACGACTGTCCATAATCGATCAACGCAGAGTCAGCTAGACCGACAGTGTACACACCTGTCGACACGATCTGCCGACTGACCTTGATGGGCATACCGGTCAAGTGGAATCCCATAGGGAACAGGGCCTTCTTGCCCAACATTCGCTCGAAACCACAAGCAAATTCGATCTTGCTGATGGTGAACGCGTGACCCAAATGCAGAGATCCGTTCATATAGGGATAAGGGAACGTTCCCATCCACTTGGCCTGCTGAGCTCGGATCTCGGATGGCGTGGGTGCCTTGCCCGAGACCGACTCGAGGTAGGTGCTAGCCGGAGTAGGAGCATCGATCTCGAAGAGGTTCTTCTCAGCCCATCCGGCTTGAGCCTTGCGTTCGAGCTCGACGAGGTAGTCTCGCTTGGCAGTCTATGTATCGAGCGAGATGAAACCGTCCATCAGCTCGAGCATCCCTCAAACGCTTCGACGAACATCTCGCGACGGTTGACTGACTTTTTTCAGATCCAAAGTGTCGCCGGACTGAGCAGCAGCGGCGGCACTAGCCATCTTGGAGGTGTCTTGCTTTGTACTGGCGAAATGGGTTTGCAGAGGTAGTGAAGAGGCTAGACGCACGAAAGAGGTGCGCTTCGTATATAGAACTTGTCGTAAAGGATTGAACAGCGGTTTCGTCAAAGCGATCCGCAGCGGTATTTTGGGAGCTGGTGTCTATCTATATCCTTGGGTGTCCAGGCAGGTTCGAGTCATAAAGCTATAGCTAGCTAGCCAGGATCGACATGCAGCATGGGATATGATCATCTCCTTTCATCCCCACCTATTCCTCGCTGAACCCTCCCTGTTGCCCGAATTATCCGTTTGACTCGCGTTGACTCTCGCTTTTCACGTGATCAGAGGCGCACGCCAAGGTTCGGGTTTCAGGCCGGTGCGATCGTACATCGAGCTCGGATGATCGTGGGGTACAAGGAGTCGCCGAGTATATATCGTTATCATCTACAGCTCCATATCATCGTCATCATCTCCACCTTCAGCTGATCGAACAAAATCGAGAATGCCTTGTCAGCACTCGCAACGTTATTTTCGATACAAGACACGCAATGCACACTCACCTCCGACCGAGTTCAAAAAGCTCATAAAGTCCAGCTCCTTCTGCGTCTCGGCGTCCATGGTCACGGGCACAACGGACCCCTTGATCTTCTGTCCCTTGGCCCCCGTCTCGGTCTTTTTCTTCTTCTTGACCTCGACCCGCTTGGGTTGGGTGACGTTCATCGAACCAAACATCGCCGCCGCGTCAAACATGTCCTCGTCCGCCGCTCGCTCCTGCTTTTCGGCCTCCCGGCTCCGTTTGGCCTGTTTCTTGGCCTTTTGTTTGAGCGCCTTGCGGTCGAGCGGGTTGAGGTTCGGGTTGTTGGGCAACAAGGCCCTTTCTGCCGGAGTGAAGAGTGCTAGAGGATTTATCCGGGGTAATGTAGATCCCGAGGAAGTCGCGCTGGGCGCATAAGTCGATGTTGAAGGTACGTGAGTGAAAGCCGGGATAGTGGCGGATGGTCCTGCTGCCATTCGGTCCAAAAGGCTGCATCCACGTATTGTCGATCAGCGATAATGAAGCAAGGTATCAGTCGGCTTGCGACTCACTCTTCATCGACCGGCATCTCTGGCGGTACGTCGTCGATTCCCACATCGTCAACATCATCCAGCTCGTCATCGACCGGTTGCCCGACCAGACCCGGAGCCTCATCCACCCACTCATCCTCGTCAAACTCGCCACCTCCGAACGAAGCAAACAAGCCATCCAGATCAAATGCCTGTCCAAGCCCGGTCAAGATGGCATCTCCATCCTGTTGGCCGTTCTCGACTTGCATCTCTCCCTCGACAGCAGGGATGCCCAGCTCTGTCTCTTTGGTGAGATTGGCCGAGGGGTGGATCTTGGGCGGTTCAGTGTGGTAGGGGATCTTGCCGGCGTTCCAATCTCGTAAGATTGCCGTGGCAGCGGCGATGAGGTCGGGGATACCTCCCTGTCATACCTGAGATGTCAGACGGGTCATAGTAGCTAACCAAAACGTTCCAACTCACCTTCCCCAGCCTTCCTCGGGTCAAAGCAACCCTGACCAAGAACTCGGTGACATTCTTGTACTCTGGCACCTCGTAAAGCTCCATCATCTTGCTCACTTCCACCCTCCTTAAGATTTCCTCGACAGCGGCCATAGGATCCTCCACCTCTTCCACCTTGACACAGTTCCTCAACAAGACCGCCCCCTTTCGTTTTCCCTTTTCCGACTCATCCAGCGCCAGACCCATCCGGTCGAAATCGTCCAGCACGACACCGGGACAATCGAGCACCTTGACCCCCTTGTCGAGGACGACTTCTTGCATGACCCTCGTCTTACCCGGCATGGCGGCCACCGGACAAGCTCGGGAACGTTTGAGCGAGTTGATGAGGGAGGATTTACCGACGTTGGGGTAACCGATGAAACCGACCGTCAAGGTCTGATGAGGGTGGGTCGATGCATATTTCTTGAGGAGTTGTAACAGGGCCGGTGCTCCGAGGGAGGCCGAGGTGGTAGGAATAGGATCGGACGAATTCTTGTGTGCAGAAGTCGACGAGGTCGCGCCCAAAGGGGTCTTGGATGATGTGGCATTCGTAGACAGGTGGATGGCGGCTTGCGAGAGGTTTTGCCGCTGAGATTGTGTGGACGACTTGAACGGCATGACCGGGAAGGAATGGCGGAGGTGTTTCAACCATGCTTCAAGGTTTTCTCTTGGTACCAGGTCTATACAGTTGAACCGCCACTCGTCTCAATGGTGTTCGTTGGGCTCAGTCAGTACCCCCGAAACTCACCAATCTTGTTGACCACGCCCATCAACCTTTTCCCCTCGGATTCCTTCTTCCTGACCTCCTCCTCTACCCATCTCGATCTGGTACCCTCTGGATCCCTCGCATCGAGCACCTGGACGATTACATCGCTCCGATCGATGACCTTTTTCAACTCTCTCGTGAAAGCTCTTGTGGACGAGTCTCGCAACGCGGACAAGTGTTCCGTCGAGGCGAGCGTCGAGAAGGGATCCGCCGGGCCAGCGATTTCGGGGAGATCATCGATGAGAGGTTTTGTGGATGTCGAGGTAGCTAGGAGATGACGCATAGTCTGTTCGTTCCTAGCGGCTCCCTGCAAACCCCTTGTCTCAGCTGCAGAATCATGAGCCAGCCGGCCAGCGTCCAAACTCACCCTCGCGGCTTTGGCAGACTTGGCATCGACAGTGCGTTGCAGTCCTTTCAGCTTGGGCACCCCGAGCTCCTTCTGAGTCTTCTTTTTCGGCTGAGGTACATCTATCCGCTTGTTCTTGGACTTGTTCTGAGATTGTTTGTCTGTGTGAGCGGGCTAATGTGAGCTTTGTACGGCACGTCATCGGTACAGGGAGCACAACTGACTGGCTTTCGGCATCTTTGAATTGTTTTCAAGGTTGTTTCCCCAATGGTGATCGATCGAGGTGTAGCTCGAATAGGTAGAGGTGAGTGTCGGTCGTGGGTCACTCGGATGGATTATCGTCGTTCGCAACTTCTGAAATCGCCTCCACCTGCCTCCTCCCCTCCCTCGGCATAAATTTGCTTCCGTGTGACTTCCCCCTCCCTGAATCACGTGACATTACATTTTATCGGTCATCTCAGCATCGAGTACCAAGGTTGACAAGTTCGAAAGTTCAGACTCGTAAGCAAGAATTCGCTTTGGAATCGCCTGATCCTCCTCGACCTCTCACTAGACTCGCCTTGATATAGACAACGATGGCAAAGAAATCTCAGACTCCTGCCGCCGTAGCGAAATCCGCTGGCAAACCCGCCAAAAAGGTCGAAGTCAAGGCCAAGAAGCCGGCCGTGGCCACACCCACCAAGACTGCCGTTGCTCCCGTCGTGACTGAAGAAGAAGGGGAAGAAAACTCGGACGACTTTGAGGATGTCGAGTCCGATGATGAGGACGAGGATAGCGACGAGGACGACGAGTACGATGGTGTGACTGAGGAAGGGATGGAAAGGCTCATGAAGCTGCTCGGAAAGGACGGGTTGAACGAATTCGACATGGACGTTCTGTCGAGCGTGGCTGGAGGCGAGGAGGAGGACGATGACGATGAAGCTGACGAGGAGGAGCTCGAGTACGGGAGTGGGGATGGTAGTCAGCTCGGTGGTGACGACGATGACGAAGATGAGGAGGACGAGGAGGATGAGGACATGGATGAGGCCGAGGAAGACGTTCCTGCCGCTCTCAAGACCGTACGCTTCAGCATCGCACCATGGCCCGCTCTTACTCTGCACACTCGACTGACTAGTATGTCCTTCCGTTTTCTTGCAGAAGACGACCGCTCAGATCGAGGAACAGACCGCCGATGATCTCGCTCTCGACGAGGTCGAGTCAAATTACAGCGTCGACGAGGATGCCGTCCCCGCCCGCAAGGTTGTCGTCAACAACAGGGTATGTCCGGCAGTCTCACATCGAGATGATAGCTTGATATCGAGAACCAAAGACTAATATATTGTGGTTGTCCTGGGCAACAGGCTGCCTTGACACAATACGCCGACGAGATGAACATCACCAAGGTTATGCCATGGGGAGAACACTTGACCCTGACCACGAGGGAGACTTTGGAGGATGTCGACCCGAACGACGACTTGAAGCGAGAAGTCGCCTTGTGAGTCTCGTCAACGGCACAAGCTGGGTGACAGGCCGTAACAATCGCTCATGTGACAACACTTCTGCCTCGCAGTTACAAGCAAGCCCTCTCGATCGTCGATCGAGCTCGCAAGCTCTGTAAACAAGCCGACATCCCCTTTACCCGCCCCAGCGACTACTACGCCGAGATGGTCAAGTCCGACGTCCACATGGAACGTGTCCGAACCCGCCTCGTCGACGAAGCCACGGGGATCAAAAAGTCAGAAGCTGCCAAGAAACAACGTGATCTCAAAAAGTACGGGAAACAGATCCAGCACGAAAAGCTCAAGCAGAGGGTACAAGATAGGAAGGGAATGGATGAGAGGATCAGGGGAATCAAGAGGAAGAGAAAGGATGGTGTCGAGGTGGGCGACGAGGGCGAGTCGAGCGCGTTCGATGTTAGGGTGGAGGATGCGATCGAAGGGCGCGGCGGACGGGATGGCGGGCGGGGAGGTCGAGGTGGCAAGGCGGACGGCAAGTCCAAGGTGAGTCGATTCGTTCCAGGTGTTTCGGGCAAAGCGCTTTGCCGATCCAAGGACTGACCTAAACTTGCGTCTCCTCGTGCTAGATGCCCCGACACGCAAGAGATGCCAAGTTCGGAATGGGAGGTGGCGGTCGACGATCGAAACAGAACACCCGGGAGAGCACCAACGATTTCGGCGGGTCGACGAACAAGGGCGGCAAGCCCGGCAAGCCTGGGCCCAAGAGCGGAGCCAAGAGTAGACCGGGCAAGTCGAGGAGGAACAAGGGGAGGAACTGATTGGACCATTAGGTCGATGTCGGGGTCGGGCGTCCTTGACTGTATATTGTACTGTTTTAACGTTTTCTTTGCCCTGTCTGTCCGATTATAGTCATTCCCGCCTGCTTCAGACTGCTGGACTGGACTGAGACGTGTTCTAAAGATATAGCACAGTGGCAAGTCCCATACTGAGGCAATTCCCTCCAGATGAAGCGTTCATTGACGTTCTGACTCGTGATACAAAAGACCATTGATACGAGTACAGGGTTTACTAAAGGTATTGAAATGACAGGGTATGAAAGTCGGTATCGGTTACAAACCATCATGACGAAAGGCTGCCCAGCACCTTCATAGCCAAGACCTTGAGGATCTATAGTTCCAGAAACATTGCATACGACTCAGATCCCGATCCTTGCAATGTCGGAGCCTCGTCGTGTCGACTCACCTCGGCTTTAGCCCCAGGATCCAATGTGACAAACACCTCGGCCACGCTCTTTCCCTTGGCATCCCTCACAGCACCCAATCTGTTTCCGAGTGCGGCACCCGCTACAGCTCCTGGTACATTGGCGACGATGAAGCCGAGGCTACAAGGACAGAAAAGAGGAAATGACGGACAGTGAGCTTGGTTTAGCAGAAGATGCCCGAACTACAGATATGCCCACCCTGCACCGGCCCCACCTCCGATCCAACTGTAGAACGGTCTTACGTGTGCAACCTCTGGTGCGAGCCTACAGAACAGAACAGAACTAATCAGTCTACTAGAAGACCTCACTATGATCTGCTGACAGCAGACCCACATGTCCTCGAAAACATCCCCAAACATCTTGTTCGGATCCGGCCTCCCATCCGCTTGAGTGTCTTTGCCCCCTCCCATCCCGAACATTCCAGCAAACGTGTTGAAGAACCCGCCGGATGACTTTCCCTGCTTCTTTTCGTCCTCGTAATCTTCCTCGTCTTCCTCATCATCCTCTTCCTCTTGCGCCTGTTGAGGCTTACGTGAGGATTTCCGGGCGTTGTTCATGTTGTTCATAAACTCTGCAAAGTCGAAGTCGGGGAATCCACCGGGAGGTCCTTGAGATTGTTGTTGATATCCTCCCGCCCCTGCTCCAGATGATGATCCGGCACCGCTACCGAACCCTCCTGTTCTGGATGATGAAGCACCACCTCCGAATCCGCCCCTCTGTCGTGCGAGGTTGTCATAATCCCTCCGACGTGCCGGATCGGACAAGACGTAATAGGCATCCGCTACCGCTTGAAACTTCTCGGTCGCACGTTTCTTCTCCGCTGGAGTGTGACCTTTGGGCAGTCGGTCTGGGTGGGTCTTCAAAGCTGTAAGACGAGGAAGGGACGAAAGAGTTTAGCGAAGCCTGTTTTGGAAGTGACGTGGAAGGTATGGCGACTTGCATTCTTTCTTGTAAGCTTGACGAATCTGATCGCTAGTAGCTTTGTCATTTACACCCTGAATATGGTGTGAGGTCAATGAGAGAAGATACGACTGTCAAGAGCGAGGCTCACGAGGATGCTGTAGTACTATGTGAACGAATCGAGACGGCTTGCGATCAGCGAAATGTAGAGAAGAGGCGTACGAGCGGCGAGTTCTCGACAACGCTTACCTGAGGGAATGACATCCTTGGATCTGTGGGTGTATGACTAGTCTGATAGACGCAGACCTTGATGGTAGATACTTGGCTAGTGGCTAGTGACACTGCGGGAGACCAGCCAATATAGACTCGATCATATACGGCACATTCAAGTTATATGGACCGTGAATACTATCAATATGAGATTGGCGTTTCATATTAGGTGTATATGAGGTGTATATTTTTGCCAAAATTTCATATTAGTCTCATACAGGGTGTACGTATATGAGATTAGTCCCGTCAGCCTCATACACGGCTCATATCGTCTTCCAAGTAATATGGACCGTGTATTGACCGTATATGACCCCCCGTCTATACGCTTCACCGACATCGTCACCATTACGTACAGCTCAGGAGTCTTAGAGGCCAGAACGTCAGAACCGAGGTCCAGTGAACAAACGACTAAGTCCCAAAGCCGACCCAGTCTAGAGTCGCAACGATGTCAGCGAGCCAGAAACTTAACGATGAACTGTAGTACCGTACCTCCGTCCTAGACCCTGGACCCCAACTTCTGCCTCCAACGGACCAGCGACCAGCACGGACGGCGGCAGGCTGTGTGACGGGATTGGCACGCATGCCTAGGTGCAAGAGAGGGGCTAGATGGGAGTTCAAGAAGTCGCTGGAGCAGGATGAGTGCTGCACCGAGAAGGCGCAACCCCCGTCCTCAAGTGAGTCTGGATCCCTGTCGCATCACGTCTCTGCCAGAACTGACCTCGGACCGCATGATGCTATCAGCGATCATGCTTCTGCCCCAAGTGCAGCAAGGGTGGTCGGGGATACCAGTCCGTAACGGATACCACTTTCTTTCGACACAACCCGCCAGGTAGACCTCCATATCCACCCCGTTTGGTCGGGATTGCTGCAACGCCTCCCGTACTCCTCCCTTCGTCTCCACTCGCACCTCGGAGACCTCTCAGTCAGCAGCCGGAGGCTCCGCCAATACCAGAGTCGCCAGCCGAAGAATGGCAAGACGATTACAGCTCGGTGGGAGGATGGTCGCCTGTAGCGATGGATGTGGAACCATCTGGACAGCACGATCTTGACGATGAAATGGAGCTAGGTGATGCAGAGCCTCTGTCGGACGAGGACGAGGACCTGGACTATCGGCGTGGATTTTCGGACGACGAAGATGAGCACGATCCGTACAACGAAGAGGGTGCTGCCCAGGACAATCCTGCTCTGCCTGATGACGAGGTTCCCGCGATGGAAGACGACTACATGGATGCCGCTGGTGTAGACGTGGAAGAACCGATCGGCGGGACGCCTGTCATCGTGCTGAAGAACATCAACAAGCACCACGACCTGGACGCTCCGATACGCCATCTCTACACGCTTATGACCTTCGGCAAAGCCAAAGGGCTCAGTAACGCGACTTCCAACACATTCCTCGAGCAAATGACGGTGGGGTTGGGGCTGGCCAGTGGAGAAGCTCCTGCGGACGATAAGACTGGGAACATTCGGACGGCGATGTCTCGTCTCGGAGTTCTACCTGACGACTACATGCGCCAGTGCATCGTATGTCCAAATCTGGCCTGTTGGAAACTTACTCCAGTCCGTCAGCTCTACCTACTCGACACTCCCATTTGCGGGTCTCCGATCCCCGACACCCGCCAGATCTGTCAAGAGCCGATCTACCTCGTAGAAGGAGGACGAGTGCGAAAGCCCGTGAAGGTCATGCCGTTCTGCAATCTTTCAACGTGGCTCGCCATGTTCATGCAAGACGATGAAGTTCGCACCCAGCTCAACTCCTGGCGGCAGACTCCTGACGAGTGCCCACACGACCATCAATCCGCGGCGGACAGCCCGCCTTTGTCGCGAGACCATCCTTATTACGATGAAGATACTCCGCTTCAAGGATTATCAGACGGTTCAGCGTGGCGATCGGGCTGGGCGAATGCAAGAAGGCGGGTATACCAAGACAATTCGGTCAAAGACGAGCTGGACCCGGGGCTATTCGAGCCTGGCGAGACAGCCAGCCGACACAGCCATCTCACGTTCGGACTCAAGATTGTCATCAACCTCGACTGGTAAGTAACCGGACCTGAGCGATATACCCTGGTCAAGCTGACCTGTAGACCGCCCAATTGTTACAGGTTCGCTGTGAAAGGGGTCATGGGCTCTTCTGTCGGCGTGTTATACGCTGCGATTGGCAATCTGCCCCGGGACATGTGCTTCAAACGACGCTATACTGCGCTCTTAGCTGTGATCCCGGGTCCTAAGGAGCCGTCGCGTACCTGCCTCAGTCGCATCTTGGAGCCGGTGATCGACGATATACAGCTATGCGAGAGAGGGTTTCGGGTCGAGGTCGGATCTCACGACGTAGCGACCTCACGACAAGTCTATGTCCAGGCTAGGGTCCTCTTGAACGCGTCCGACTTGCCCGCGACTCGGAAGCTGGCTGGGACCGTAGGACACAGCCACAAACGTCGTCCCTGTCATCACTGTGGGATCTCCAAAGAGATGATCAATGATCCTGCCGCCTATCACCCTCGCGAGCTGGTCGACAACGATGCCCAGGCACAACTCAGGGCCACATTCGAGTACGAAGTGGCAGATGATGAACGCCGTGCCGTGATCGAAGATAGGCACGGCGTGAGGTTCTCCCCAATCGCTCGGCTCGTCGGTTTCGAACATTCTGCAACAAACCCCCCGGACCCCCTGCACAACTCGTTTCTGGGCATCTCGAAGCGATTCGTGAACCTCTTATTCGAGATGGGGCTGTTCGAGGACGATGACGAGTCCATCGTCGCATTTAGAGGCGTTTTCGAGACAAGTAATTATCCTGGACATCTAGGTCGCTTGCCCAACCGGATTACGAAACAGTTCGCCACTGTGAAGGGCAAGAAGGCAGCCGGAGGAGGACTGAAAGCTGACCAGTGGAAGCGAGTGATCCAACTCTTACCGGTTGCGCTTTACGCAGCTTGGCGAGAAGCGGATAGCGACCAAATATCGAGCCAGCCGTTGGAAGATGAAGACGGGGAGATACCCCCGGCCGACAGAGCAGATGCCGCGCCTACACGACAATCTTGGTTCAACGCCGCTATATCCCTTTGTGCCGGGATCCGAATACTACACGCACATGAGCTGAGTCTGAACGCTGCGTACGCTGCAATCGATGACATCGCGGACTCGGCCCGCGCCATCCTCGCCCTAGGTGGACGTCTTACCATTAATTGGCATCTCGCCATGCATTACCCGAAATTCGTGATGATGTACGGCCCGCTTTCAGGCTTTGGCACATATCCGTTCGAGCGAAACAACGGTGCGCTGGCCAATATCAACCACAATGGACAGGAACGAGACGTCCCCTCTACATGCTTGAGAGGTTGGTTACTGGAATCGGGGATAGCCAGGATAGTAAACACGCCGGCGCCTGATGCGACAGAAGCGGAGAAGGAGGCCTTGAGGGCTCTCATGGCCGACAAATCGGCCGTCCAAGGGACGTTGATGTTGGACGAAGCTCGCGGGAACGCAGCGAATAAGAAGATACGCCTCCCCACGCCCTTCGAGAACGGTCATGTTGTGGATCTAGGTCGATATCTCGCATACCAGCCACTGCTACGCTACGTTCAGGAACATCACCCGGAATATCGTCTGGTCGACGCAGCTTATATGCTGGGAGAGGACCCCTGCCTGCCAGCACGTTCAACTTCATACCGCGTCTACACACACGCCATTTACACGGGGTTCAAGTCAGTTCGCTTTGTCTTCAGTGTTACCGGGCGAGGCTTCTGACTCAGCATGTCTCGAGCACTATAGGTTCTGTTCTTTACTATATACCCGGACTAGGAGGGATCAGTTTGCTTTAGTATCTCCGGCTGTAGGAAACCCCGACGGTCCCCGCGAGCTCTGCAGACTGAGGCTGTTCCTGAGCGTCAAGCTTCGGGTTCCACACCTGGATCGACCCTTGCAACTTACGCTAGGGCTCGTTGAGTTTCTGGAGCCTGCGGCTGGGCAATATCCATGGCAATATCGGTTCGTAGCAGCCATACTGCGGTGCAATCCGTATTCCCCGACGCTGAAGCACTGATCCACCCTGCGTGATCACAGGTCAATTGACCTCGGTCTGAGGATATATCGCAAGCGATACCAGGCACCGGTATTCATTCCTTTGGAGAACATGAAAGCGTCGACGATCGTTACAGAGATAGAGACTCGTTCGGACGGGATCTGCCTGGTCTCCACTTCGTGCGAGAAAGATGGCGAAGAGCCGGAATACTGGCTCAATAGCGATGAGTTACCGGGTCAGAACCAGGATGACGGCGATGAAGATGAGGGCTTCTAATCTTTACTGGTGAGGCACACGTGATGTATGTCGGACATGGTGCTCAGGCGGTCACCGACGTTAGGTACAAAGGACCGCGCAGGCCGAAAGCTAACAAATGAGCTCTTTCGATACAGATGTGACGGTGTACATAGGACATTTTGATGTAGACGATGTGAGTCTATCGCTGTCGGCTCGCTCTGACGCATGCAGAAGAACGGGTGAGCTGACCTGCCCTCTCTCATCACGATAGGCTATTGATGACCCACAATCGCCGGGTTTGTCAGTGTCACAAATCAGGAAAACATGATCGATTCGGTTGGGAAGGTTGCAGGTAACGTCTCGCCGCCCAGCTGGGTCTCGTCGTCGGGTTGAGTCTTGTCGTTGTCTTGAGTTCCGAGACCTCCCACCCCAAAGGCACCCCAATCGACCCCGGGGAACATCGTGTCGAAGTCCAGTTCTTGGGGCCCAGAAACCACATCAGTGCCTAGGTAAGTGTCGTCTTGTGTCTCGTTCGGACGCTGGCTGTTCAAGTTTGGGAAGTAGTCGTTGTTGATGCTGACTTGGTCGTCTTGTAGATCCCATCGAACGGATCGGTTGTTGGTGGGTAGCTGGGAGTCCTGATCGTATGGGTTTCTCGAGTCCGAGGGCTGACGGGATGGACCGGCTCGAGGAGTCACGGACAGCCCAGGGACATCCGCCCTGCCAGGGTATTGAGAAGAGGGGGCACGGGGGAATTCGATATCGTCCTCCGAGTGAGCACCGGACTCGTTGCCTTCTTCAACATGAGGCAGACCAGGCGGAATGCCAACCTTGCGTCGCTTTGCTGGATTTTCTGGATTGGATGGATGCCCACGCTCGTGCTCGGAGTCGCTGATGGCTTGGTCACGAGGGGTAGATGCGGACGTGGAGGGAACGGTTGACTGTGAGCGAGCCCTGTCTCCACCTGCCTGCGTGTTCTTCTTCCCGCCCGGTTTGCTGATTGACCATGCGTGCGTCTTATACCACATCGAAGTCTTGACCTGTTCCGGATCGGTAGGGACGTCGCAGGGTACGATCGGCAAATCGGGGTGATCATCCAGCCATTCGTCCGTAAACATCCATCGCTGGGGCGCCTCCCAAAGGAATTCGTAGTCGGCGGGAAGGTATGGCATAGCGTCGGGAGGTGTGAAGTTAGGCGCCTCGCTGAGTGGATGAATCGCGGTCCCGGAGATCTTGCTTCCACCGCTGTTCTTGCAGTTGTATATCTTGAAGAAGGCGGTCAGGAACTGGACCAGGCAATAAGCAGCGAGTGAGTTCATCGTCATCGGGGCATAGGAGTCGAATCGGAAGACTGACCTCTTGCGAGTAGACTGTATCTTGCATCGGCCAGTGCCAAAGCTTCTTCCCCTCTCCATCTGGGGTACTCGATACTGGAGGAATCAACGCGTAGATGGTCTCCATGCAAGCCCATTCCTCCCCTTGAAACTCGGGTATCAAGGCTCGCTTCGCCTTGACCCACTTTTGCATCTGGAGGTGATCGAGCCGTAAGTACCCACACGGATCGCGGCCATAGCGCTCGGGGCTTACCACTGTCAACTTCGATCGCACTCCGGTCTTGCTGTAACCCGCACTACTCCTCTCCGGCTTTCCTACACGTTCCAAACTCTTGAGCTGGGCTTTTTTCTCGCTGAGGGTTCGCAGCACTTCGGGGGGTCCTTGTGAGTCTCGGTCCTCCAACGCCTTGATCTCCTCTTCTAAAGCTGCCCTCTGCTCGACATCAACCGATGGTGCACGCCGCTTGAGCTTCTTTCGCTTCCAAGCTTGTTGGAGGAGTTTGAAGCGGGCAGATATGGCGGACGAGTAGATGTTCTTGTTGTCTTTGAAGGCGGGTAGCGTCTCGCGGACCATGTCGGCAGTGATTGGCAGTGAGTCGAGATGGTATTCGAGGATGGTCTGCAGTTTCGAGGTCTGGATCTCGTTTCGTTCAGAGCTCAAAGGCTGATCGAAATCCCATCGCATAGCTTCGTGACCATCATCCGCCCCAGACGCCGTTTTCAATCTCGGCCACGGCTCCGTATCCGTTGGGTATCCGACCGGAGGAGTACATCCGTACGCCACCACGACTGCCAACGTGACAACCTTGCGAACGTCCTTCGACAGATCACTTTCCTCTTCCCGGTCATCCATCCCGCCCCGCCGCACCTGGGCCTCCAATTCCGTCAACCGTAAGTTCTGGCGCTCCAGCTGCTGCATGGCGTCTTGCAATAACCCGTTCTGCTTTTGTATAGTAGCCTCTTTCGCCGCTCCCGATTGCGTGAGTCTCCTGATCTCTTGCTCCATGTTGGCGACCTGAGTGACCAGCTTGTTTTGCGTGGTCTGTAGACTCGTGAACAACTGTCCGAATTGTCGCTGCATTTGGCCTGCAGGCTGGACACGGGTCGGAGGTCGGGGAGTGACAGAATCATCTTGTTGGCGTTGAGAGGTCGAGGAAGAAGTTGCTTGGTGAGTTGGTCTGACGGCAGGCTGCTTGTAGGGAACGGTGAAATTGTGGTTGGTACTGAGTGTCTTCCTCCCGTTGGTCCCTACAAATCCTTCGGCTACTTGAAACCCCGTACGTGCCATTCCGCTACCCGTTCCGAAAACCTCATCCGTACCCGATGTTGACCCCTCTCGGCCTGACGTTGATCCCTCTCGACTACTCCGATCCGACCTATACCCTTCGCCATCGCTTCGGTCACCGTATCTGAGGGTCTCGACGGTCCGAGGAGCTGCCGGAAAGGACTGTGATTGTACGGGTGTGGTTTCTTGGCTCGACCTAGATAGAGGAGTTCGATGAGGGTGAGGTTGGGGGGTATGTCGAAAGGGTGAGTCCAGTCCTCCTCTGTTCGCTCTGGGTGTGATTGAGGTTCCGATCGGAGCACGGGGAGTTGGGGTACCGTTCAGGTCCCCTCTAGCGGGGGCCGGCATCACGGTCGTTTGTTCGGGCTTGTCGATCGTTTGTTGATGATGTCGCTGTTCTACAGGGACGACGAGTCGGGGAGCCTGCCAAGCTCTGGGCCAGGAAGATATCAAAGGTGAGCACAAAGTGTAGTATTGGGAGATGCGGCGAGGACTGGAGGAGAGGCGACCAGGATGGAGTTGTTCGACGTTTTCCGGGCGGTCCTACATCTTATATCTAATCGTCTAGCTCTAGGAGTCCGGCTTGTATTCCGGCAGCAGATCGGAGGCAGATTGCGATGATTACGGTATTATGTACGGATCCGGTATCGATGTAGCTCAAGGTGTATGAGAATATATGAATCGAAAACACGTCGAGAATGTTGTTCATATGAGCTGTGTTTACACCGTGTATGAGGGGTCGTATGAACCGTGAATGAGCCGCGTCATATGCTTAGGTAATATGAGCTATCACATATTGGGTATAAATGCCGACAATAAGGCGTGTATATGACGTGTCATTTTAGGTAGTAAATTAGGTCCATATTAGGCTCATTTTCGGTGTTTTGTCCGTGAATGAGACGACCTATTGTCGGTTGGATCCCGGAGTGCTAGTGATCTAGTGATGTTGTATGTCTAGCTCGAAGTCTTTGGCCATGCCGCACACGATTTCAAGCGGTTCAAGGGTCTACTCTCTCTGATTCTCCGATTTCCCCCCTCTGACGTCATTTCCCAGTCTTCGGAAGTATATTTACAACAACCTTGATGATAATGCGAAGCTAATTATGATGATGATGCCGAACCCGTAACTTGCGATCAATCGGATATCGACCTCTGGCCTCTGATCATGGTCAACAAGCTGCAAAGACTACGGATAGCTGTCGTTCAACATCGTTCGAGTTGAAAACCGGACACCTGAATATCGCCCCGGCCCCTTACCGATTGCTGCACCTATCGACCTTTCAGACATGCCCGTCCTGCTCAAGTTCCTCCTCCCGAAACCGGGAACCACCTACCCCCCGACCGAGCCTGCCTTGGTCAACAGCTCCACCCCGAACAAGATCGAGAACGAGCATTTCGAAGGAGAAATCTCGATGTGGATCAAAGATTACAACGGCCTCAAGAACGGAGGGGAAGAGGATCTGTATTTCGGCCAGCCGGGGCGGGAGGGGAGTACTTATGCGTTGGTTGTGAAAGGCAAGTCTCGGCTTTCCGCCCTCATGAATATAGCTTTTTCTGATCTCGAATCGGTGATATCAGGCAAACATCTGGGACCGATATCTGCAAACGATCTGCTATTCGGAAACGTCTTTGAGAAGCCCATCCGAAGTAGCTTGCCATGGGGTACTTCTATCGCGATGAAGTTTATCAAGTGAGTCGAGTCCAGCGTCGGAAAGGTTCGGCTTCACAGTAACGTATTGAGAAGTTTGATATAGCTGGGTAGATCCGACCGTTGAGATGGACCCATACTCGGACAAACCTTGGGCTCTGTGAGTTCAGCTACCTTGCGGCAATGCACGACCTTGGCGCTTATTCGGTGCCTGTCAGATCACCTCTGCTAGCATCGATGAACTACCTCTCCGTTAAGCCTGCCAGTGAACCAGTGGACTCCAAAAAGACCATTACCGAAGACTCTCACTCGGGAATCGATACCATGTGGAAGAACTCAGCTGAGGGCAAGCAGGATAGCCAGTCGGAAGAGCCACAGGAATGGGAGACGGGGACCGCGGCGGGGATCAGCGCGAGAAGACGATGGTTGACGAAGAAGGAAAATCGGGAAGAGTTGATTGTCGATAAAGACTGGCAGTTCGGTTGCGAATTCGGGAACGGTCTGATCGGTGAGTCTTCGACGCGATATTCTGGGCGCACATCCTGCTTGAGCTGATTTGAGTCCCGCCTTATCTCACCAGACTTCAAAACCCTGCACGTCGTCCTGCCCCATCCTTTCCCACTCAGAATTCCCCTGCTCAAATATTGGGACGGACAGCCGGCGATCTACATCTGTAAATCCAGGGACGGGAAAAAGATCTTTTGGTCGATGGCTATCCAGATCGAGGCGGTGGATGATACGGATTACGTATCTGCCAAGGAGGACGTCGTCGCAGAGAACGACGAGGTCAAGGGGGCCGTGGAGGAGTCTGAAGAGAAAGGAAGGCCAGAAGTGGGAGGGGGGCTCGGGAAGAAACCGGAGGAGCTGAACGATGATGTGGATTAGATGCAAGACGCCAACCTGGTGGAGTGATTGTAGACTGGTGCACGGAAATACCCCTTGATACACGCAGGCGATTCACCGAGACTGTATAGACTTGCATGACTGTATCTCTTCGAACCATAGACGATGGATTTCATTTTGCCTACCATTCTTAAGAGACAGTCTGTTCCCGCCTTCTTGGGGCATCGTTTCAGTTTCGATAAGGCGCTTGCAGACCACGCGGCATCCTGAAACGTCACACAAGATGCCGTATTGACATGTAGACGACGGCGGGAAGCTTAGCCAGGCGATCCACTCCTCATCCCGCGAGTTTCATCACCATACGGAACGAATAAAGGGGTCCTAGGGGTATGAGTCTATCAGTCGAGCTCGCGGGTCGTCACCAGTATATCGAGTCATGTCCAGTCGCTTTTGATCACTATAGGTCGAATTTTCCCGCAGAGACCATTATATCCTGCTGTTACGAGGACATCTGCTTGTTTTGAGCTATCTGACTTATCGCCGTGCTCGATGCTGCCCTCTCCTTCCACCGCTCCGTCGGATTCTACCCTGCGGGAAGAGGGATTGGGATCAACCGGCAAGAAGCGTCGACCCAGCGGATCCAGTCTCGAAGACATGACCTCGAAACTTTTAAAGATCGACCTGTCGGATCAATGCCAATCTGAAAACTCGTCCCAATCATCAATCAGATCCGTGACACACGACGATTCGTTCACCTTCTCAACTCAAAGGGACCCTGAACAGCGACCTGCTTCGACCCAGGATCAAGGGCAGTCAATTCGTTGCATCGATCACAACCAGGTCTTCGAAGGGCAGGAGGCGGCAGTGCTTTGCAGAAAACTCTACACCGCCGCTGCGACGCATCTGAAATTGACGGTAAGCGAAAAGGGAGCAAGTGGATTTACCTTTAGCTGATACAGAATCTTCCATCCCTATACTGTAGGAACCCAAAAACCTTCTTTTAGTTTGTAAACGGTTCGAGCAGGTATTCCATATCGATGGTCAGGAATTACGTCAAGGCAGATCAGTCGCTCTGCGATTGAAACATGCAATATCATCCTTTACCGCCGAGGAAATCACTACGATAGATCAAATTTGGAACATGAAAGGCAATTCCTCGCTGAAGCTAAGTCTAGGGCAAGATCCGAACGTGCCAGACTATTGTGTCATCCGTCCAAAATTATCTTACGATGGACAGGACCACCAGGAAGGCTTTGTGTTCAAGTCCGTAACGCCTTGGTTAGCCGCCCCTCCAATCTTTGCTCACAATTTGGCCCGCATAGATATCGCTTAAAACCTCGATCCACATGAGGGGCACAAGGTTCGCCTGTGGATATGATTAGTATGCCGGTTCCAGGGAGATTGGTCAGAAATTGAGACGCCAATCAACACTGCTGGGTACTTTTGATATTTCCCTCTCTTAAGCAGCACAGTATGCCACATTGTAATATAGATGCAGCATGAAAGGCTTCTGCAATCCTGCAAAGATCTTCCGAGATCCCATATGTTGATGAGCAATTCTACCCTAGCTCTGACCAAGTTTTCTTTGTCGTCCGGTAGCAGTCCCTTTTCGAAAGATCGCAACAAAGAACTCCTCTTCCAAACAATGACATCTCTCCGAGTCCTGAGCTTGCTTACTAGAGGGAAGTATCTCATGATCAGCTTCTGTTCCGTGAGAAGCCCATGACTGGCGTTATGTTACGGGGCCAGTCGACAAACGAACAGTTCAAAGTAGGTGTGCTACTCCGCTGAGCGCGCCACAAGCTCGAGGTATGACTGGGCAGGTCAAATCATATGCGGTGGCGTGCTTGTCGTGGGTCTGACCATCAAGATCGACTGTAAAGATGATTTGACTATCATCTGCGCCAAGCATGCCATCTCTCAGTGTTCTGGTACTTTCCCGGATCGTTCGACTTCAACGGTCTACCGGCTTGTAGGAAGACGGAAACGCGGTTGAAGTCGATGCGTCGCAGAGTCATGGATGAAGGTCGACGCGGACACCATCTTCGAGGGCACCATCGCAGCCTGGAACGTTACTTTCGATCTGCCAGAGAACGATCATGGCGTAAAATGTTGTTGCAGATTCACTCACTCGCGCTTGGGTGAAAATGGGTGGCGATGAGTCCGACGTAGACTGAAGGAAGGGGATGTCAGGACTTACTGAGACGACCTGCTCCTCTCATCGGGGGCGCTTGAGAGGGGACTGCTGCAAGCGACGAAGGTTCATATCTGCATATCAAAACTTGCTAGCTCTTGTCTGGCCGTGGAGAGACCTAGATATCAAAAGATCGGCCTCGTTCGGTCATGATCGCTCTCGGTTGAATCAGAAACGCGGAACGGAAGCAAAATTGAACCGGGTCGAATGCGAATGGAATCCCGGACGTCCCCGGACCGGGTGTATTGACCATGTCTCTCTCTGTTCGGCAATCCCGTCGATAACCAACCAAGGATCCAAGGACGGCCGTGATGTTTCTCGTGCTTCCGTTCGAGATATACAACGACCCATCGACCTTGAGTTCAGCATAGACTCAGATCGTCATACCTGACTCCCCTCCTTTCATATCTCGCAATAATTCCATATCCCCTCGTTCTCGACCTCGCACGACACCAGTCCGATTACAGGTGAGCGCTCGGTCTCCACCTCTCCCTTCCCCCATAATCCAACCGATGCGCTAGGGTATCGAACCGACCTCTCGCACGACGACGACGACACCTCCCCCGCTGTGGCTCCTCGTTTTCAAGCGTTGACATTCCTGTCCTGACGTCAAACCGCACTCTCTCGATCCTATATAGCTCACCCTACTTTACATTCGCTCTCCACCGGTAAGCCGCGCCTCAAACCTGCTATCAAATACCGCTTCCATAATCGATTTCCCAAACGAACCCTCTACGAACCGTTTCACACCTCTAGCATCCACGGAACAAGCTTTTGAAAAATGTCCGGACAAGACCAGAAGATGCCCTCGGCCGATTTGATCACCCTCACCAGGTGAGCAATCTTGCCCCGAAACAGGAAACCGTCAATTTAGCTCTGAGCGCTGACTGTCCCTACTCTCTCTTATTGCGGTGGGTTGGCAGGCATGTGCTGGACCAGCAGTACACCTTGGGCGACAACGCTAGTGGTGATCTGACCCTGTTGTTGACCGCCATCCAGGTGAGCTCAAGTTGCAAATCGCAAGGAGATTGCTCCTCGGAGACAGTTTGACTGATTCCCTATTCGCGATGGGCTGTTTTCAGGTCACCAGCAAGTACATTGCCAGCAACGTCCGAAAAGCCCGATTGATCAACTTGTAGGTTACCTTGACTATGCTCGTCAACCCATACTGCCAGCTAACCCGAATCTCATTGAGGTGTACAGGGTCGGTCTGGCCGGTGCCGAGAACGTACAGGGAGAGGAGCAGAAGAAGCTGGATATCCTGAGTGACGAGATCATGGTCAACGCCCTGCGAGCGAGTGGAAAGTGTTCCGTCTTGGTGACCGAAGAGCGGGTGAGTTGAGGATCTCTCGACTTTCGATTGATCTGATCTGAAAAACCAAGAAATATCCCTATCTCGCGAATTGTACTAACTGTGTCATCGACCTCTTGTGATTTGTTGTTCGCAGGAAGACGCTATCATTGTCGGATCCAACCCTTCGCACGCTCACCTGGTCGGCAACTACTGTGTTACTTTCGATCCTCTTGACGGAAGCAGTAACATCGACGCCGGAGTCAACGTTGGTACGATCTTTGGGATCTACAAGGTCAAGGAGGGCTCCAAGGGTACGCTCGAGGACGTCTTGAGGCCTGGAAGGGAGATGGTCGCTGCTGGATACACCATGTACGGCTCCTCCTGTAACGTGAGTCTTGCCATTCATCCTAGTGCTGTATTTCAAAAATCGACAGGAGCCCAACGCTAAACGACTTTCAACTCTTCACATTACAGTTGGTCCTCTCGACCGGTCAGGGAGTCAACGGATTCACCTTGGACGAGTCTCTCGGAGAGTTCATCTTGACCCACCCCGAGATCACTATTCCCAAGCGAGGCAAGATCTACTCGTTCAACGAGGGAAACTCGAAATACTTCCACAAGCCCACTTTGGAGTACCGTGAGTTGGAAGACCTTAATTGTCAGTCGGGGGTGCTTGAGAGGCGGAAGCTGACCCATCGATTTTTGTACTACTCGCAGTGGAATCAATCAAATACCCCAAGGACAACAAGAGCCCCTACAGCGCACGATACATCGGATCGATGGTAGCCGACGTCCACCGAACCTTGCTGTACGGAGGAATCTTTGGTTACCCAGGCGACACCAAGTCCAAGGACGGCAAGCTGCGTATCTTGTACGAGGCCTTCCCCATGGCTTACCTGACCGAACAGGCCGGTGGAGCCGCCACGACGGGTACCGAGAGGATCCTGGACGTCCAGCCTACTGGGATCCATCAGAGGTTGCCGGTCTTCCTCGGTAGCGAGGACGACATCAAGGACCTGATGAGCTTTTACAAGAAGTAGAGCGTAGCGATTTGAACGTTTGGGGAGCTGGGGGTTTCGAACCATTTTTTTCTCCTTGCATGAGCATAAAGAGTAGTCTATCCAGTCGAGATGGTCGTTGTAGAAACAAGTCAGCAGAGCAGTACCATACATACAAAGCATCCAAGCCGTCGGGATCGGGGTGACCGGTTTGGATGGACGCTCGATCGAGCCGTATCGTGCATCATGCACCATGTCACGGATCATCCATTTAGTGTGCAGGCGGCATGTGATGATCGGAGTTACAGATCGACGATGTGATCAGATCCACCTACCTATAGAAACTCAGTCCCCGTGGCCCCGTGAGAACACGCGTCAAGAGGGGGACAGCCCTACGTCATGAATGAACCGGCGCGTTTGGATCCGCGCGGGTGGATTCGTCATTTCTCTACGTCATCACCTGACCCGTGACCCACGTTAGACGATCGTCTCCGATTCGCTGAAGGCAGGCAAAGCAGCAGCAGCAGCAGCGCTAGCAGGCAGCTAGCAGTAACCCTACCTCGCTCGACGGCGATCTCCTTCCTCTCGATCTCGCAACCGCAAGGATATATATATATAGCGTGAAGGGGGACACTCTCGCAGGAAGGTCGATCGCATCGCCCGAACTCTTTCAACTCGACTCGAAACAATTGTGATCCACTCTCAACTCAGTAAAAGCTAACCAAACACACACAATAATAATGGCCTCCCTCCCTCCCAAGCCCGATGCCGTGAGTGTTCATATTTCGAGCGGTGACAGTTCGGACCCATACTCACCTCTTCTTTCTCGCTCTGGACAGGCCGAGGCCGCTCGTCTCTCCACCGCTTCCAACGCTGGAAAGGCCGCTTCGACCGTCAACAAGTACGCCAAGCGTGACCCCGCCCTCTACCCTTTGATCATTATCGTCGGAGGAATCTTTGCTACTGCCGGATACATGCTCAGTACGTGGCCGTCTCTTGTACTGGTACGACGAGATCAATGACTTGGTGCTGATATGATCGTCGTTTCTCTCTGTCCAACAGCCTCCAAGTCTGGCAACGACCCGGCAAAAGCTTTCACGCGTGATGTAGTAAACCCTTGGGACGAGTCTGCCAAGCACGACGTCCACCCTTCGTAAGCCCCAGCCCTCAACCACTGCCTTTTCTCCGAGATCCAGTCACTCATATAAGCATTCACTCGCGATCCACAGCCAAGTTGCCGCCTTCAAGTATCGATACCGCAACCGAGACACTGGTGCTCTCGAGGACAGCATGCCCACCCTAAACTCGGAGATCAAGAACGTGAGTCGAAGCGGCAACCACGAGCTGCACCGTCGGGACTGGTTGAATGCCTGGTTCTGAGACGGTGCAGAGCGGGGTGGAGGGAAAGGGAAGGATACTAGAAGCTGACGCAGTGTATAACGACTGTTCGTCTTGCCCTTCTCCCTCTTGCGATGCATTCGATCATCATCAGCTTACCGGCTCGAACTCTGCCAAGTGGAAGACTACCTGAACGACCCGACGACAATGACGTGAACGGACAGGCGCACGTCAATCCATGGAGTTTCGCGCGACTGGAAGCAGACGATTCCGCACAAGCAAATGTATCACCATACCCAGATAGTTCGGTCGACCCTCGTTTCTGAGCGAGACTCGAAGTGTATCATAGCATCTAGTCACAATGAAATGAATTGCTGTCACGCTATTATGCCATTGTTGCACCCTCCGAACCAGATCCTTCTCGTTGATTGCAGGCGGAGGTCTTCTCTGCGTATTTCGGGAACCTTGACGGAGGCGTTGACGCTGTACCAGCCAGCCTCGGACACTTCAATCGCCAGCCCTCCCGAGCGAATGAACTGGCCCTCATATCTCCAAGTGAGATCTGTTTCCGCTTCAGCCAGACCGATGAGCCTGGTTTTAAGGACTGCTCCTTGGGCGATCTTGTCACACGAGACTTTCAGGTCGTCAATCAGGTCGACCCGGCCTAAGAGCGCTAGGTATAGCGCCTCGAGGCAGACAGGACAAAAAGCTGGAAGATAGATGTACACCTGTCAATAAAGCAACAGACAGGCTAGTCTTTGGCAGGGAAGTCGGAAGGGACTCACAGGAGTACGTCACATCCCGCATAAGGCACGTTTCATCGGTCTGCACAACACGGACCGCTTATGAGTTGGTTACAGGGCCAGCTGACCTGCCGAGTCTCACCGGTCTCAAAGTAAGGTTTCCACGTTCATCATACGTCGGGAACGCCCCTATATAGCCAGGCGTCTTGTTGAATCTGCGTTGAATGCAGGTTAGGTGGATCGTAACAGGAGCAGGGGATGAGGAAGCATTTCGCATACCGCTCGGCCGGGCCATATTCGATCAGTTCGACCGAGGAGAGCATCTTCCCTCCTTGTGTTACAGGCGCAGACCGGCCTACTTCGCTCAGCCGTACGATCAGCTCGAACTGGCGAGAACGGTCCCCGTAGGCGCCAAGTCCGGATTCTAAAGGAACTTGGATCCAGGCCCTATCATTCTCGCCCTTGGACTGCGAAGGAATGCTGTAGTTGACCCGGACGCCATTCAGAGATATATCCAGATGAGATTCGTAAGGGATTCCGGAGATGGATAGTCGTAATAACGCAGTCGAATATGATCCATTTGTCGCGCTGAATTGTGTTTTATATGGCTGCGACATCAAGTCTTGCCAACTACGAAGCCATAAGTCAGTGAGTGCAGAGACGCCACCGATAGAGGTATGGTACTGACGGATATGCCTGTAGCGGTACCTTGCTATCCTCCAAGCGCAGTTTCTGGTCAGGTTCACTCAACCAGTGTTCCCACGAGAGACCGTCTCCGACAGCGGAGAGAGGCGCAGAATTTGCCCCGAAATAAGCGTAGCCTGTGATGTGGACGCAAATTGAGCTGACTGATCGAAGCGAGGTTCGTGCATGAATAATCCTTACCTCCATCATACTCCTCTCCAGCGGGTATCAACGTATGGCCAAGCTCGTGCCTAAGGTAGACAAGTTGAACATTATCAATAGATATTCAACGCGTTGCTAGTAGTATCGGCTTGCCTCAGGACGAGGGGACCGTTTATCTTGGAAGCTGTGATCACCCTACGTCCGTGCAAGGAGGTCAGCGCCTCCTAGTTAGGAGATCAGACAGACTGGGACTCACGTTGGTGTGCCACCAAGCCCTCCGTAAAGCGGGTCATTGCCTTTCCCGTTTCACATCCGGGCTAAGCGCTCAACTCCGAGCGTTAGGACGGAGTCCCCTATCTCACCTAGTAGTATAGGCTCATCGCAGCCTTTACCCAGAGTTCTCCAGTAGTCACAAGCTTGTATAACTCGACGTTTGTGCTTGTAAAAGACGCCACGAAGTTCAGATCCTGGGCGATATAGCCCAAATACTGTACTGAGAAGAGGAATTATCGGCAAAAGACTTGGACAAGACCAACGGACATGGAGATACCAACTTTCTGGCTTGACCATGTGTACCTATTCCTGTCTGAGGCGACGGCTAAGCGACAACCCAACACAGAGACCGTCATTGATAACTCACTTCCTTCGAGGGCACAAATACTGCATGTATGTTGAGCAGAGCTGCGACTGGACCATATGAGGCGTTCGGTTTGATGATGTCTTCGGTCAACTTTTGTGCATCCTCGAAGAATTGTTCCTGCTCATCGTGCGTATCTAGCGATATCCAGATCAGTTCAGATCAGCGCTTGTTGCTAGTACTGTACTGATTAACGATTGATTTACAGCCATCGCCAAAGAAAACAAGGTTGATTCGATTTGCAATGGGTCCAGATAGCGCCAAAGACCGATGTACCATTCCTTGTAGCGGCGGTACCGTTGTATAACTAAGTTCTGGGTTCAATGGACGATCCTGCGAAATATGAAAGCTAGCTTGAGATCCGAGTCTGGCGGCGTCGAGAGGAGACGCAATCGTAAGGTTGAGGACCAGTAGCCCGAGGAATAATATCATATTCGAATGAATGCTATGTTAGAGCTTGTAAGAGCTGTGTGGGGTCAGTCAAGATTGGTGTAGAAAGCGAGCAAGCAATGCGAGCAATCCGAAGCTTAGGTCTGCGTTCATATGCTTCGCAACCAAGTCCTCGATCGGACATGACCGATGCTGAATTGCGCGGACATGGTCAATGTATTATCGATGTCCGGTATCATCGCTGTATGACGAATCTCATCCCCCCGCCCCTCGATCAGCGTTCAGCAGCAGCAAAGATGCAGGAAAAAAGTTGCCCCTCGACCCCCTGCCTTACCAACTGATATAGTGATTTCGCTTCGAATCACAGGCTATAAATCCAATCATCTCTGCTTATCAACTTCCAACGCAATATGACCGATAAATCCATCAACGTGGCCAAGTCCCCCAAAGTCGTGGTGTTCGATCTAGAGTGAGCTCGATTCGTCCTGGTGACTCCGCATTCATACTGATGAATCCCCCTTCTCAGCTGTATGTATCACCGCGAAACTGTTTTATGGGGTGGAGGTTAATACATTACGAGTTATACCTGGCAACAGATACCTTGTGGGATCTGTGGTATGTCTCAGGCTCCACGTCTGCGGGGGTAGAGTGCTACTTGATAAGCGAGCTGATCTCGTTCTCCCGATGTCCGCAGGATCGACACACATATCACTCCCAAGCTGACTCGGAAGGGAGATACGGTCAACGAGCTTGTGGACCGGTAAGTTCCCACATTGTCGATTTCTTCGATACGCTGCTTACGTATATGATCCTGCTGCACGGAATGCCGCACGCAGACATGGAACGAAATTGAGCTTTTACGACGAAGTACCCGATATCCTGCAGACACTGAAGGATACCAACATCCACGTCGCAGCGGCATCAAGAACATGTGCTCCAGATCTGTGGGTTGTATGATGATGAGTCCGGGTGAGCTCGGTGTGCTGATCGGGCATGTGCGCTCGTATGAACAGAGCAAGGGAAGCTCTGCGGTTATTGCTGATGCCAAACGGAGAAAAGGCGATTACATACTTCGATACAGTGAGTTGACAAGCCGCGGTCATTGATTGGCAGGGCGAAGGGCGGAGCTCATCATTCCCGTTCTTGCGCGACTCTAGATGGAGATCTACCCAGGTCAGCTGTGAAGCGTACGCGGGTCAGCGTTGGGCATTAACTTGCTAACTTTGCCTCGTGATATTGCTCACGAAAGGATCGAAAATCAAGCATTTTAAAGGTACGTCTGTAGCCTGCAGATAACGCGGGCCTTTGATGCTGACCGGTCACAAACAGAAATCCACAAGAAGACCGGGATCCCCTACTCAGAGATGGTAAGAGCTCGCTATCTCTTGGTTCCAGTTGGGATCCTGTTGACCATCATGCACAGTTGTTCTTTGATGACGAGGCACGAAACAAGGAAACGGAAAGCTTGGGGTGAGCGCGATTTCGAGGGATTGGATTTTCGGGACGCTGGCTAAGATGTGATCCGTGCTCTCGAAAGGGTGACGATGATGCTAGTCACCCACGGAGTAGATAAGGCCACATATAACAAGGGTGTTAAGAAGTGGAGGGAGAGGAACGGGCACGCTTAGACGTCGAAGTCCCGGATTTGCCTTCATTTGATCATCCAGATTGCATTGATAGATGGTGGTCCGCCGCATAGATACTGGCTGGCAAGCATCAGCACTACCGGATCTTCGTATTTCATAGACGATAACGTATCACCCCATGTACACCTCCTCCGATCTAGCCTGGTAGAGATCTACGAGAACCCTGACCTCCCTTGTCGACGGCTCGTGACCTCTTCTCGCTTCAGGAACCAGAAAGTTACGTAACGTGATCCTCGCTCTCATCCGGGGTATCCATCCATTCAAACTTGCAAGATTGCACGCTCAAGCTCATCAAGGTCAGCTGTTGTCAGGCTGCAGCTACTGGCCATCAGATAGCTATAGATCTATACAGCTGCAGACACGGGATCATCATCCCTAACCAGACGTCGGTACCATTGTCCAACTTTGGGTCATCAAAACAGGCAGTCGATCGCAGCGACCACCATGTCTCACGAAGTCGTACGGAAAGACGAAGTACTCCTCAGCTCAAAGGGTAGACCGCCATGGTACTCGCCAACGGGCAAAGCTGTACCGAGCTATGTCATCGGTATCGCAGGAGGTAGTGCCAGTGGCAAGACCCACGTCGCAACATCCATATTGAGGCAGCTCAATCATATCCCAACATGCCTAATCCTCTCGCAAGACTCGTTTTACAACAAGCTTGATGCCGAGAAGAACGCCATGGCCCATAGGAACGAGCTGGACTTTGACGCACCAGAAGCCATCGACATGAAGTTGTTCGCACAAGTGAGTCCTCGGAGGCCAGCTGAGACAAGTATAGGGGGTGTTCATAGCTAATTTCGGACTCGTAGTGTGTCCGAGATCTGAAAGAGGGGAAAGCCGTCAACTGTCCAGTCTACAGCTTCGACGAGCATCAGCGTCTAGAGGAAACAAAGTACTTATACGGGGCAAGTGTGATCATCGGTAAGTGAAGAAACAGCAATGCACATACGTTGACCGAAGTTGATCCAAGCTATCGACATAGTTGAGGGCATTTTGACGCTATGTTCACCAGAACTCCGCGACCTGTACGATCTGAAAATCTTCGTGGTAGGTGCAAGCCTAGCCCGCCAGTATAGATCGGTGAACCGACTTGGGGGCTTTTTTTCCAATCAATAGAACGCCGACTCGGATGTCATGCTATCGAGACGAATCTTGCGAGATACCAAGGAGCGAGGCCGGGACGTCGACGGAATCATCGCTCAATACCTCCGCTTCGTGAAACGCAGCTACGACACCTTTGTTCTGCCTTCATCCAAACATGCGGATATCATCGTTCCCGGACAAGACAATGACACAGCAAAGGTCCTGCTTGCCGCTCATGTCCAGCGCGAAATTGACGCTCGCTCTCTGAGGTTCCGAAGCAAGTTGATGGAACAGAACGCTCCTCGTTCAAGACAGACTACGGCGCAAGATATGGAGGTATCAGAAGAACAGGAACCGTTCTTCACTCTGCTCAAGCAAACAAACCAGCTTCAGGTGAGCTCGAATTGTCGTCGAAACATGGTCAACCCCTATCTAACGCCTGGACCGTTAGGGAATCATGACAATCCTGCGGGACGCTTCTACGCCCCGCTCCGAGTTCATCTTTTATGTCGGTGGGTGCCGTTCCTTCATCTCACCTGCAACAACGTTTTCACTCTCATTGATTACGTGCGACTCTATAGATCGCCTATCGTCATTAGTAGTCGAAGAAGCTCTGGGAATGCTCGAATACGGCTCGGTCAAGGTCACCACACCGCTTGGCGTCTCGGCTTCGGGGATGACAATGTTGCAGAAAGTGAGTCGGCTGGAACCGAAGTGGTCTGTTTACCAGCTCAGACAAACCCTATGCACTTCAGTCGGTCGTTGGCGTATGCATTCAGAGATCGTAAGCTACGCTTCTTGTCTTAGGCACGATCGCTCGCTCATCGAATACCGGATCATCAGCGGTGGACCTTTCGTTAAGGGACTGAGAAGAGTCATTCGGGATGTCCGCATCGGAGCTCTCCTGATTCAGAGCGACAATTCGACAGGGGAACCCTTGCTCTTTCACACGTCGCTTCCCGACTGCGTTAAAAGCGATGCTGCCAAGGACACGGTGGTCTTCCTGATGGACGCTCAAATCTCGACTGGTGCGGCAGCCATCATGGCTGTTCGAGTCCTGTTGGATCACGGCATACAAGGTGGGAAGCCAATCACAACCCCAGCCGTGATCGCACGTTAACAACCCGCCCGGACTCCTCATTTGCCTTCTCAGAACGTCATATCGTCTTCCTAACCTATCTGGTAGCGCCTCAAGGATTGGCTGCAGTTTACAAGGCTTTCCCAGCAGTGCGCATCGTAGCTGCAGCCAAGGGATACGATACGGAAGAATGGACCTTCTCGCTGCCGAAGCACGCAACCGGCACAAGCAGTCCGGTCGAGATGGAAGATGAGCGATCCCCCACCGATGCTGACACGGGCGGGTCTCATCACTTGCAAGAGGCTTTTAAACGGTTGCAGTTCAACCGACGCTCTTCTGACACTCCGCAGGAGACTAAGAAGAAAGCCTGGATCGTCGTGCCAGGTTCGTATTTCTGGCCTTGACGCATCTGGTCGAAGCTGACGTGAACGCAAATTGCTTGCATATAGACTGCGGAGCCTTTGGCGATAGGTATCTCGGAGCATAGATTTTGACGGTGCTGTCGCGGTACAGGTAACGAGTGACGAACGCATGTATGCTCAACCCGACCATACTATGAAAGCATTATGAATAGAAATGAAGTGAAGGCACATAACGAGGGCTATATAGTACACCTTACTATCCTTAGAAAGACACGCCGATCAGGCTACAGTAAGAGAGCAATATTGCATTAGATTATGAAATGAGAAAAAGAATTCAAGCCGATTCGATCGATCGCACTCGCTTGTGACTCTGGTCACCTTCGTCCTCCGATCTTCTTTTTGCCTTGCTTCCGCTAGGAGCTACTCCAGCCGAGATTACTGCGGCATCCTTGGCGGTGTAGTTGATGAAAGAATCGAATGATATACCAGTCTCCGCCGATGCCTTTCGTTTGGAAGCGCTCGCTTTACGAGGCTTGCTGCTCGACGCCTTTCGGCTGGCGGGTAGCTTTGCAATAGATCGAACCTCGCCGCCAGGGCAAGGTTGCACATCTGTCGTCCGTTCTGGCATTGACAACGGCTCGCACGTAAGAATGGGAGGAGGAGGCGCACGGCGGGATACAGATTCAGTGCGTTGCCGAACCGGTTCTGCTACGCTGAGAGGAGTGACCGGCCTAGGGGTGCTGAAACTCAGGGGAGGGGCAATGTGTATGCCGCCCGGTGCAGATGCAAGGACGCTGGGCTGCACGGGAGGAGCGGGGGCCGCAGCGCCGCTGTGGTGAACTGCATACGGAGTAACGGCTGGCGCGAATAACGGGGCTTCGTATGGCGAATATGGCGGATATGGTGAATATGGCGAGTATGCCGGCGACTCATTCGAAACCGCATGAGGAGGCGGTGTGACCGCGACGGGGGTATGTATCGTACTAGGCTGGCTATGAGCCCGGTTGACTGAGGGCATCCCAGGTGCCGGCGGGATTTGCACTTCCAGCCCGTTCGGATTTCGCCGACTGGAAAGCCCCGAGGATACCAACCGCAGCGGATATTGCTGGGCGGCGGCATCAATGGGGTCGAACGAGTTACCGGCATGCTGAAGGGTTTCATCGACTGGGTGAAAGGCGAACAGCGTCTTGGTCCGCGCAGCGGAATGGCGAGCGACGCTATCAGAAGACCGCGATCTAAAAAGGGCGGTTTTGGACAATCAGCGGTGTTGTGGCACCAAGGTTCCATTCGCTTGAACTAACCTTCGCAACGACATGTTTTGTGGGACCGAAAGATATGCGCTCGCCAGACCGGAAGGACCAGCCTTAGGCGCGGACCGAGGTACCGCGGGATATGCGATCGGTTCACCGAAATGCCCACGCCCGTTGGCAGCCTCCTCGTAGTCCAGCAATGAGGGATAGGTCGGTGAACTGGATTGCCATCCCTGCACATTGCCCACAATGGACGCAGCAGGCAATAGTGAAGGCTGAGAGGCCGCGATGCCGTTCTCGCATCGCATAGAACCCTCCGTCTGCACCACATCGTACGTTGACGACAAGTTCCGGCCGCTGATAGGCGGGAGCGATCCAGATTGTCGCCTTGACGAAACACTGCCTCGATACGACAGTTGCGGAGGAACATACTGGACGTTCCCGTCGTCCTCTCCTACGTAGTTGACGTAATCGGTCAAGGGGATCATGTCACCCATACTTTCCGTAGGCCAGATTGACTGGCAAGCCTGCTGCCCTCCACTTTTGACGCTAGGGGTCGTTGACCATTGTTCTGGGTATTGTGAAGGAGAACCCGAAGGCAGACTCATAGAACCCCAACATTGGGGATTTGACGCCAAGGAATGCCTAGGCGTCAAGAGGTAGTCGCTGTTCCCAGAGGCTGATGAGGCGAAGGATGCGTGTGATGCCTTGCTGTTGAGCGACAAAGACGAACATCCTCCAGAGGAGAATATGTGCTGATCGTCGGCACCGCCGTTAAAGTCGTTGTAAACTGAGGGGTCGTGAATGATGGGGTTGGAAGCGCGATGTTGAGGAGGAGGTGCGATCGAGCCAGCGTCGCATGTGAGATGGGATGGAGTAGAGTGTTCCGAGGGCGTAACGGCGAGGCAACTCTGGGGCGAATCCAATGAATAGTAATCATTGAGTTCGAAGGCCTCCGGGGCCTGCGTGGTCTGGTACACGGGTAAGTCGCCCATCTTCCAGTTTTGGGCTCCTGGCCAAGTATTATTATGAACGGCCAGTCCTTCCTGTTGCAGATCGAAGTCGGCCAGCGCTGAGAACGACAGAAAGGAGACGTTCGAATCCGGATGTTGAATCGACGGCTCGAAGAGTGAGACCATAGGGTCTTGAGCTCTCATCACGGCAGCCATGCTCCCTGCGATGTCTCTCTCTCCTCTTCTTTCTTGCCTTGCTCGGTAGGCTCAGTTCGATCGGGTCTGTCCTTGTCAGCCGATTAGGCAGCTGACTACGAAGACGATCGTGCTAGCTTCTAGCTCCACCGGATTGGCCCGATTCAGGGTCGAGTAAATTAAAGCACTAAGAGCACGTGGGCGTGACTAGTGCGCTGATTCTAGAAAAGACGATCTGCCAGAGATCCTGGTCGAAGTGATGGTGTATTGAACGAATGTGGTTTCGTATGCTCGCAGAGCTGATTTCTTGGAAGGTATCGATGGGGATAGGTCAAATTTAACAGAAAACCCCGGTGAACAGGACGCCAACTTCGAGCGTCCGTGCCGTCCTTCGCGGCTTCATATACCTCTGCTATTCGCATCGATCCAATCGATTTTCCGGAGGTTCTAGGCTTCGGTCAAACGGAATCGCCCGACCTTCAGGGCCAACGTCGGACGAAGGCAGGTGGTAACAAAACTCTCGTATCTCGTAGGCACAGATCTGTCGAGGTAAGTTTGGGCGACATGGCTTCGAACTGTGTCGACCAGGTAGACGAAGCCTTGCCCTTGGCGCGACTACTGATACCGACACTCGCGTGCCTGACCGGCGATCCGGGATTGCAGGACACGACCAGTGAGGTCGCGGGCTCCGGCAAGGCGTCCGGAAGTCGCGGAAACGTCTCACCTGCCCGATCAGGAATGGCTCGGTCCCAAATGAGATGGCAGGTCGGCTCGCCATCTTGATGGCCTTTGCACATGGGCATTTCATGCATGGCAGCATGGATCATAGCGAGACATGAGATACACGCCTCCCACGTCGTGGATCCGCAAATATCTCTTGTTGACGTCAACAGAGGAATCGATCGAACCTGCAAGACAGCACCAAGAGTGTCAAGGCCGCCGAAGGCTGCTGAGCTTATGACGCTATCAACGAGCTACTCACCACGACTTGAGGCTTTCAGCAGTCCTCTCCTTTGCCCAGCGAACTCTTTCGATATCGAGGTTGGCTCGCAAGGCAAACCCGTGTCTGACGCCCGAGTAGATATGGATCTGGTAGTCGTACCCACCGGTTCCGACAAGATTGTCGTCGTGGGCGTCCCCGTCTGGTGCTTCAGGACTAGCGAGACCTGTCAGGGCGACCTCGAGAGCGCGTCTTCTGGGCGGCGGAAAATGCGAATCTTGTTCTGCAAGCGGGTTAGTGGCCATTAGCCGGGAGTGCTCTGATCGTGGTCGCGCGCAAGACGTACCTGCCAAAGAGGCGTAGAGCGGCTGTTTGAGTTTGTGGAAAACGACATCGCTATCACACCTAGCAGGGTGGATGATGGACCCTGGCATCGTAACAAGAGGTAGGCGTCATTGCTACCGTTGTGAACATGGATTAGCCCGCTTGGCTGAACTCACCTGCAGACACCTCACTGGTTGTGCCTAGATGCCAAAAGGAACAAGGGCACTTTTAAGCTTTTGATCGCGAGTATTCAACATTGGTGGGTATCGCGAGTACGAACAGTAGTCAAGGACGTAGGGGGCACCGAAGCAGAACCCAACGATACCATACTTTGTGTCGGGATTTCCATACATTTGTTTGACCCTTGGCATCCATTCCCGGAGCAACAAGGTCGTCTTCTGAACCTGATTCCCCTGTCCGTCGTCCACCTTGATCAACCATTTCGGGATGAAATCGCTCAGGGTGAAATCGGGATTCTTGTTCAGCTCGGCCACCTGCTCGCCGTAAAAGTAGTCAGGCGAAATGACCAAGTATCCTGCGTACGTAGACGTAGATATCGTGAGGCTGTCAGTACGGCGGAGGGAAGGCGGCTTCGTGCGATGGAGCCTACTCACCCTGACTAGCGAGCCAGTCCATGAACAAGCAGTTGTTGATGAAATGAGGACCGTAAATATCCGCCATCCATAGGACGATCTTGTCAGCCTTGTCGGCTTCGACTTGTGCCTTCGTGTGACCGTCAGGAGCTGTCAGGTAAGTCTTGACCGTGCCCGAGATGGGCAGTTCGAGATCGAAATAGGTGCCTTTGCGTTCGCCAGTCTGCAGCTTGACTGCAAGGCAGTCGTCTGCGCAAGATCGAGCCATGATGTATATCGTTTGTGTATATGTCTATTTCTGTTGCGCCGCTGGCACAAGTTGACGCTACCTTTGAGGCCTCGGAGTCGGAATATCGAGGTGATCGAGATGATTTCATGATGGTTCAAGTTGTCCAAATCGTCGAACTGCTTGCTGTTCATGCTGCTCAGGTCATGTTGCGTCTCGGCGATGACGTAACGAATTCGAGAGCGAAACCCCGGCATGCTATGTACTAGTACTCGGTAGTACCCTACTCTTACTCTATTGTCATATTTTTTTCGTCTTCTACTTCGTTTCGGTTTCGTTACACGATTTTGCTACTCTGCAAACAAGTCGACTATTTGGCTACATGTTGGTTGTCAATTCATTATGAAAACAGAGTGAGAAGTCCAGGAAGTAATGAGACGCGAGCGCTCGAGGGCGCTTTCTAGATGTAAATACGTTGCCAGCATCTAAGGAGATCGTCGAGGAAATCCGGTCCTTCTGGAACCAGAGCTGGAGCCGGAGCTTGACGGCGTAGTTGTACGATAGGGACGCTGATCCTAGCGGATCCAGGTGAGGGATTCATGTTGAAATGTCCTCGTTGGCGGTGCCAGTCCTCCCATTCGTCGAGGCTAGAGCGCGCGGCGGATTCGATCGAAACGCGGGTGGTGCTCCGTTCCGCCGAGTTCATGCCAAAGAGACGCTGAATGACGGGGAACTCCCAGACATCCTGGAGTGTCCACCTGTCGATAGGATCGCTGCGCATCATGCCCTTGATAGTAACAAGCAGCTCTCGGCTTGGACCTCGAGCGGGTGCCAAGTCGATCTCGAGGGATGACAGGGAGCTTTCCGAGGAAATAGATGTACCCGATGGCGAGAGAGGTATAGAAGTGTCGGCGGCTGCCGCAAAACCGGATTGAGGAGCAAAGCCGTTCAAGTGTTCATCCAAATCGCTAAAGTCGTTGGATCGCAGCTTTTGCCAAGCTATCCCATCTAGAGCGACGAAGGACGGGGTTAGGTATGTCACAACCTTGTCTTATCGGGTCGGCTACTTACTGGATGGAAGGGTGATGTTGAAACTGGCTTCGAGCAAGGTGATGCCGAGACTGCAGATCGATATCGTCGTCAGAGTGTGTTTCAAGTTGTGCACTCTATCCGGCTTACCTGAACACATCCGCTGCTGTACCAAAGTCGCCATGGAGCACTTCCGGGCTGAGATACTCCCGATCACCTTCTCGCGGGGACTCTGCCTTAGGGCTTCGGCCGGGGCTTCCATCTTGCCCCTTCTGAAAGACCGAAAGGCCAAAGTCGCTGATTTGCAATCCGCCTTGACCGGTAACGAGGATGTTACCTGGCTTGAGATCGAGGTGGAGAATGCCAAGCGAGTGAATATGTCTCAACCCCTGTAAGCCAAACGATCTATCAGTGATACATATCGGGTCAGTCTAGCGCTAGCATAGCTTACCGAAGTGAGTTCGTATAGCAGTTTCCAACACCTTCCTTCGTCTAAACCGCCAGTCTCACCGACACTGGTCAGGTAGCAGGCCAGATCTCCGCATTCAGCCAGTGTGGTCCGAATGTGAAGTTGCTCTTTTTCCTCCCAGGCCTCGTGAAACTGTATGACGTGCGGGTTGGGATTGCGGGCGAGAGCTTCCAGTATCTTGACCTCTTCAAGCTGCCGTTTCCTGTGAAGCATCGAGAATATTAGCCTTGCTAGGCGGGTGAACGGCATCGTCATCCGTGGCCCATTTACCTGTCTTTCAAGCCAAGATACGGCTTGCCACGCTTCACCGCCCATACTTTGCCCGTCTTCTTCTCCTTCACTTTCCATACGGTGCTGAACTCGCCGTTACCGACGGGCTCAAGCATGACGAAATCCTTTTCGAATCGCGTTGTGCCCGGAAGAGAACCACCGACCGAAGCTCGACCTTGTTTCGGGCCTTTCGAGCTATCGTTGGACAAGTTCTTCATGTGATTGCCAAACTGCGCTTGCTGCTCGCCCAGCTTGTAAGCAGCAGATAAAAGGGGGTTCGAGATGCGTCGCAGAGTCTTGTGCTTGCTGCCTTGAAGACGTTGCAGTAGTGTCCCCTTGCGACGAGGTGGTGACGGAGACGGCACGGATTGCATCTGCGTGTGGCCATTTGCAAAGGGATAAGTACGGACAGGCGCGGGAGGCGACGGGGTGTCGACTCCAGTAAAGTCCAGCCGCGTAACTGCCATATTCGTGAATCTAGCGTGTCAGCAGGGTCCCATCCCTCAAGACTAGAACAGCTCTTCTCACCTGCATGCTCGAACGGCCTCGTTGGAGTGATCGGCTCCTCCTCGTCGATACCGGGAGCGGTCTGCTTGGACCAGGATCCATTGCTCCAATTGCCACTGTTAGTCCTCGCCCAGAGAGCACTTCCTTTCCTTCTCAGTCCCCTCGACTGTGCCAAGTTGGTCTTGATGGTCCCATCATTCGGTACGATTGTAGCGATACTATCTGAAGTTTCCGTTCGCCCCCAGCCCCTCTGGCTGAATTTCCCGCGTCGATGCTCGTCACTGACAGAAGGTGCCGCTTTGGACATTTGGTTCTGCGCATCGTCTGGTCCGTGTTGTTCTTGACTGGTATGCGGGAGGACAAGAGGGCGAAGCTTGGGCTTTTCCATGGACATGAAGCTTGTCGTGATCGCGTGGGTTGATTGTTTGATAGGAGTATCGGGCATTTTGCATTGTGTATCGATGAAGAGGCTGATTGGACGCCTTTTGACGGCCGAAGGTAGAGGAGGCCCGTTGGTGGTCGACCGCTCCCTTCGACCGAATCTGAAAGAGCCGCTACCCTTCTTGACCAGGCCAGTACTCATAAAAGCAGCCGGACTCGGCTTTTCACCTTCAAAGGCATGAGTAGGCGTTGCTGCTGGCAAGTGAGATGGAGAAGCACGGGGACTAGCTGAGGAAGCGTTCGATAACAAGCTCTTGCGCTTGTCTGCCGATAGCTTCATCGCGATGGGAGGAAAGACCATTTCCTCGTCCCGACCCGCGGCTGCTGGCGCGGTAGTACGTCTAGGAAGGCCGGGACGGTTGAACGAGTTTTGTCGTGCCTTGGGGAATAGTTGATCCATAAGTGAGCCTTCTTGCAGGCTAGTCCTTTCCCGCAGTGCGAGATCCAGCGAACCTCGACGACAAGACTGCATATCGAGATCACTGAGCATGTTCGATCGGCGCGGAGGGGATGTAAGTCCAGATGGTGTAGGGGATTCAGGACTCGATCTCTGGAAAAGCGGCGAGCCTTTCAACGAAGCGCCGAGGGATCGGCCGTCCCTACGGTCGGATCCAAAAAAGTCGGGCGACTCTGCATCACGATGATTGCCCTCGAGGAGCTGCGAGGTGGCCTGATGTTGAGAAGATGGCCTTTTCGAGACCGTCCCTGCAAGGTCAGGCGACGATACGTTCTTCTTGAGACCGTTCGCGCCCTTCCTGCGCGAAGACGGCGAGTCTTGCAACCACATGCTGACCAATGACGGATCGTGTGCATCGAGAGCGAGACCCGAATCTTCCTGATCTTCCAGTGCGAGCGCTCGATAGAAGAAAGAGTCGCCACGATACCCGGCCTCCATGTCGACCTCGGCGCTTTCGAGCTCAAAGTTCAGCTCGTCCAGGTCGAATCCGTCTTTCCCCGCGTGGTCCATGTCAAACGACTTGTCCTGCTCCACATCCGACCAGGAATGAGTCTTGACCAGCGGGCTTGTGACTGCCCTCGTGTGGGCAGGTCGATTCGGCTGGAGGAATCGTGACTGCTGCTGCAAGTTGGTCATGGTCGCCAAGGGCGATCTGGGAGCTCTGAAAGCTGGGGTCTTGACAGGTCTCAGCTCGCGAAGTCCTCCGTGATGCCCTGGACTAGGTGTAGGCGAAGGGAGATCGTCACTCCCGTTGGAATTCATTGTATTGGTAGTCCTAGCCGATGCGGTCGAATCGACATGGAACAGTAGAGGTCGTCCGTTGCCGAAGATGTTTTTCTTGACGATCGTTGGCCGGGAGGGTCGGACGCTGATGCTGACGCTACCGCTGCTATCGGTAGAGGACGAAAGCTCCTCTAAAGGTGTCGTCGTGTTCTGCATTCTCGTATTGATGACCTCGCCGCAACCACTCGCCATCGAGTCGGTATCGCAGTGCATGTCCACGTCCTCGTCGTCTACCACCACCAACCCGTCGACCCCCGTACTCTGTGCGGCCACCCTTTCGGCCCTCGAACTCGAAGCCTCGACCCATTGTTGTACCCTCGTCCTATGGTTTGATGACGGAGGTGAACGCCGATGGATCACCTTGGACGGCGTATCAATCTCCTCATCCTCGTTCTCATCCGACCCTTCGAGGATGGCCATCGAGATCTGCCGAGACCTGTTCGAAAGCGGATCTGAAACGCCTCGAGGACCCAACATGGGTCTTGGTAGCGGAAAGACTGAATCCACTGGAGAGATTGAGACGGGTCGTTTCCGCCTCGGAGCAGGGCATGTATCGCTGACCTGACCTGGGGTCTGTGAGGTCGGGAGGAAAGGAGAGGCGAGAAACGTCGAGGTATATCGAGGAGGCGTGGTCTGGCATCGCGTTCGATTGCGGTCCGGCGTCCTCGAGTCGAGAGAACCTCGACGATCCGAGAGGTCAAAGTTGAAAGAGACGGGTGGTCGGGCACGAGTGGGGCGGGCTACTGGAGATGGAGAGTAGGTCGTGGGCATGGCTGGGGAACAGGCGGACGATGTAAGTTGAGCGAGGGTGAGGGTAGGAGCGGTCGCTCGGGATCTTCGTTGAAAAATGGCGGTATCGGAGAGTTTCCTTGTCAGCTGAGAGGATGTGAGCCGGCATATCGTCAGTATAAGAATGTTTGGGTCATTGACTAGACCTGACTGCGGAGCTGACTCACCTCTGGCACAGACTTGTCGCCGTCGAACGGTTTCTCCTTCTTCCAACCGGGACTCCGCCATGGACTCTTCAACAATCCTACGTCAGATTTCTGTCTTCGAAGCCAAGTGTTATCCTGCTCCGATTCATCTTTGAGCCTTTCCAGCTCGGGAATGAGATTTCGCGCCATCGTGAAAGATGGGTTTTGGCAAGAGGAGTCAGTGTGTCGTAGGAAGTGTGCGATGGTTTCGCGTCAGAGTTGATAAGAGTTGTGGAGTCGAGCGATGCTTTGATGAAAATAAAAACGTGGCGGAGAAATCTATATGTCTATGTGTCGTGGAAAGAGAGAGTCGGTTCCGTGCGTATCTATCGTCAAGAAAATGTTTGTTGTCGATGTCCAGTCTTGAGGTTGTTGAAGGTGTCGAGCTACGGTCAGAACACTCAAATAGTCGAGCGGGAGCCAGGAAGTTGTTGATCAGGACCTGACCTGGGCTAGAGGTAGGTGGCAAGAGGGGTAGCCAAGCAGGGACGACTGTACACTCGCACTCGACGTTCGCCATGACATCGAGAATTGTGGTCAAGAGTCTGATGATTGTTGTTTACACTTTGGCTGATCGGAATCAAATTCGGTTCTTGGTGAGTGGCCAGTGGCTTATGGCTTATTATGGCATCCGGGCGGGCAGAGACCCATCCAGTCCGAGCCACGTGGCTCTCGCGTGTGACCTTCGGTCGATGATGACGCCCCGAGCGTCCTGGCGCTATCCCGGGTCATCAACAACAGATCAACAGACATCTTCTCACATCTCACTAGCCCATTAGGCCTCGCCAACAGCGCAACAGCAGGACATAGGTAATCGTACATGCGTGACAATGATGGCGAAAATTCCAGTCCACAGCCGCTAGGAGCGTTGCCGTTGTCAGACGTATACCGCAAACCTGCACCGAGCTCGGCTGAAACACTAGCTTCCGAAACCTTTATTATGCTGGAACACACCGGTCGACCATTTCTCTCCCTGTCGTGCTCGTGCTGTCGTCCAACCAGAGTTCCCGGTAGCAAAACACCCTTCGCTCTCGCCTAACGCTAAATCTTGCAAGCGGTCGGGCTGATGTCATGCTCGTAAAACGCTTGATCCGGACCACAAGAGAACGTATTCATGGAAACCCTCCCAGTACATTATGCAGGTACAAATACAAAATCCCTCTATCAGCACGATCAATCGAAGACGATCTTCTTCGGCTTGGCGGCCTGTCCACCTCCCGACAACGCCGCACTGGCCATCTGCGTTTCTTTCTGTTTACGCAACCTTGCAGCCTCCCAAGAAGGATGTTCAGCTTTAAGCGGCTTGTCGGCGACCTTTTCCACAGGTCTGGTAGCGGGTACGGCCGGTCGAACGGGCGCAGAGGACGTAGGTTCTGCCCGGGCCCGTGTAGAGTCAGACCCGGGTTGTCGACCTCCCCAGCCCTTATCGCCCACGGCGCCCTTGCTCCATTTGCCTCCGGCTTGGGTACCCTGGCCTCCCTGGTTTTGTAAGAACTGTCTAGCCTGATTAGACTTGGCCGCACCTTCTGCAGATTGGGCGGCCTTCTTGACGTGATTTGCACCGGAACCGTATTTCTTCTCGGCGATCCTATGGATATTTGATGACATCAGCCAAGGCATCAAGACTAGGTGATTGGTGATGGCGGTACTCACAATCGTCGCTCTCGCTGACCTCTTCGGTTCTTTCGCTCGCCATTCGGGTTCAAACCTTGTCGCTTGTTGTCCCGCCTATCGTCCTCGTCCGGATCGCTATCATATTCGCCCAAGGTAAACCCGGTCTTCAACGACGGCAAGAACATGGAAGACGTGATCGTTGCCGTGGACGCTCGGACGGGCTTGGCCTTGTCCGCCGGGGTGTCGTTGGCTTTTTCCTTCTTTTTAGTAGGAAGGGCCGGCTGTTTAGCAGGAGCGTCGACGGGTTTCTTGCCGGTCGATGCTGTCGTTGCAGCAACTTTGGGCTCGACTTCATCTGAAGATCCTTCGCTTTCTTCGTCCTCGCCCGCAGGTAGTCCATCCCATTCCGGAGCATCCCAATCGATGGCGCCAGAATCGTCACTATCATCACCATCCTCTGAAGCGCTGTCGTCGTCCCCGTCGTCCTCTTCGTCATCGCCCGCCAACGACCCAGATTCCCACCCTGCAGCTTCGGCTGCCATCTCTTCAGCGGCAACTTGCTCTTGCATCTTCTTGACGGCCACCTGTTCCTCTTCCGCCTGATCGTCTGGCACCGCTACACTGGTATTCCCAATCTCGTCTTCGTCTTCGCTCGCGTCCATATCGACATCCACCGTCGTCATACCAGCAGCGGTCGATTCCGACTTGCTCGCATTTGCGCTTTTGGCCTTGTTTGCAGCGTTCGCGCCCTTGTTATGGGCATATTTGAGACTAGCTCCATCCTCTCCCACGACCCAGTTGACAACAGCGACGATGGCATCGCTCGTAGGTTTGGACGAGTACAAGCGGTTCTCGACTTTGATCTGGAGGGTTGACGACGCGGCAGGAGGCTTGGTGGGCTCGGGGAAAAAGTCGGGTGGGAGAGGTAGGGATTGTTTGAGACGAGGGTGTTTGCGCAGTTTGAGGGAGAGGAGGGGTTGGACCAGTGCGCTGAGCTCGAGGCGCTATTCCAACGGGGGGAGTATGGATTAAACGATCGATATCAGAAACAACAAAACCGCTCGAGACTCACCTTGATGATATCCAGCTGCTGTTCCAAATCGAGCACCTCTTGTTTGACTGCCTGCTCTGCGTCCCCGCCATCTACAGCCTTCTTCCTCAGAAACTTGATCTTCTTGATCAAGCGTTGGGTCTCGGAGGTCTTGGCTCGCTTCAACACGGGTAGCATCGACTTGAGACCTTGTTGCTACGGGTTTGACAGCTAATCAGCATCGTAATCTATGGGCAGGTCGCTCGGATGCAGCTAGACTCACGATCCTCCCCTGAACCTTGTCCAAATCTAGAACGTCCCCAGCGGGCTCCGTATCTTTCTCTACCGTTTCCGCTTCTACTTCTATCGGTCCTTCGGCCTCGATATTTTCGTCCTGACCCTCCTCTACTGCATGCTCGATCGACTTCGCTTCTGACGCAGCGACATCTTCTCCCTGGGCAGGCCCGGCTGCTTCGCCTTCAGCTTCAGCTGCAGCTGCAGCGGCCGCGATGAGCTCTGCCTTTCGCTGTTGACGCTCCTTGCCGGATCGCTTTCGCTTCTTCGCAGGTTGATCGAGACTTGGGTCGGGTACTACGTCGGACATGTCTTTGAAGCGGTGATGGTGAGGTTGCTAGGCTGAAAGAGCTCACAGACAACAGAGGTAGACGGATCATTGAAGTCTCGAGATAATTCACGCTCGTCCCCTTTCCCTCCGGAAGCACTCCCTCACCTTTACTCGAGCACGTGACTTTGGTTTCTCGACCCTCCGGCTCCCGTCATGGGGGTCCTGATCTTGATGATCGACGATGCTGATCGACTTTGCCTCGATTCCCGAGTGAACTTCCCTTTCACACGATATCATCTAGCCATTCAACATGTCGACGCCTATCACAATCGGTCTGGGAATACTCGGCGCTGGACTCGGAGGTCGAGTACTCTGGCAGGCTTTCCGAGGCGGTGCCGCGGCCGGGGCGAGCAAGTTTGCAAAAGGAGGGTTCCAAGGAAAGATGGACAAGAGCGAAGCTATGCAGGTCTTGGGACTCAAGTGAGTATAAGGGCCTGATATTCATGCTAGCCTTGACGCTGACATGAAACCCCGGCTGGTGCCGATAGGGATCCGTTGACGACAAACAAGCTCAAAGACGCTCATCGACGGTTGATGTTGGCAAATCACCCCGATCGAGGTGGTTCCCCGTACTTGGCAGGGAAGATCAACGAGGCCAAGGCTCTATTAGAGTGAGCTCTTGTTCGTTCGTGAGCAGTCATCGGTTGTGCCGCTGATCTTGCTCGAACACTCGATCGCTTAGCAAACACGCTCCTCGGTAAACGCACGACGGGACAGAAGGAAATGGAGATAGCGCAGGATCACATTTTTTGGTTTAGACCGATTGGTCGGCCACAATGTACGAGTTTTACGACATGCAAGAACATCCCTCAGGTCATGGGTTATTGTCATGAAGATCTGACAGAGACAGTTTCTCTCCTCCCGCGAACGCTTGCGACATCGGACGTCCACTATGATGGTGCTGTGACCAAGATGATCAGGTCGATGTGCTCAGTGGGGCCAGCGTTCCGCGAGACAACCCGATAGAACGTTTCACAAGTCAGAGCGGGGATGTATGGATTTGACGAATAAGCTTTAGCTTCAAGACAGTCGAGAAGGCTCACAACCAATTGCTGCATTGTGATCCGACAAGCGAACTTCGATGCTCTGTCTAAGAATCGATATTAGACAAGAAGAACCCGTCATTATCCATTGATAGGTTTGGGAGAGCGGCGGCGGCCTCCCTTGCCTAGCAACCCTGCTTGGGAAACACCAATGGGAGATGCGACAATACGTCTCTTCGACGTTGAGGCCGTGTCTGGTCCTGTAAATTGGTCTGAGGTGGCGGTCCATCGCCGTCTAGCGATACAGGACAGGTCGTGAGTGGAATTTCAGCGCGAAGAAGCGGAAGGTTAGGAACATGGATGAGAAGTCTGATCAAGGCAATAACGATAGTTGGGCGTCGAGGTAAGGGTAATCGCACGTGAAGGGGAAAGAGGAAACTTATGTCTCAGATCGACACCTACCGCCCCTCCATGGTCGTGCCGACAGGACGCCGTGTTCCTGCTGCAGGTCGGTCTGAAAAGGATCAGATTGACCTGGAGAAGCCGGTCAATATGGATCAAGGTCGCTCATTATCCATTGATTGTCGCTCTTAGTGATACTGCCGTTCCTGACCCTCAGGGAGCTGTAATACGAATTGACGATGAAGCTTAGGGCAGCGCTCTTGTGAATCTACGTCATATCTGACAAGATTGGATGTGCTTTGTGTACCTGTGCGACATGCAAGACGATCTGAGCCAGCTGCAATCGGCCTCGAAATGCCACATATGCGTTGGGTCTGCGCCAACCTTTTCATCGGAACAGGCGCCATCAGAAGCGAGATGCGCAATATGTGCAAAGGGGCCGTATTTACATCTGCATAAATTAAATGCCGGAAGTATCGCTAGGATGACAACCCGCAACATGAAGATCACTAGTTAGTAAGAGCTGGCATGACCACCGCCAGCTGATTCAGTGGCCTGCTTAAATCGCTCGATTTAAGCTCTCGTTAGAGCTCACTTGACTAGATCCTTGGCAAATTGCCCTACAAAACCGGAATCCTCCTTACTTGCGATCATATCTGAACCTTCGTGCACTTTGATAGATGACTATTTAGTTCGGGATCTCACCAGGATCCTGGGTTTCACGGGAAGAACCGGCTGACTTGGCTACCATCCATCTCAATCGACTGGGTTTCAGAAGTGTAGCTTTACACGCTGGACAACGTCTCGCGTCCGAGTGGGATTGTTAATCGAGACGTGGTACAGTCGGACTACAAATGTGAAGACGGACTCGGCTCACTGATCGCGCCCTTGCTTGAAACGAAACCAGCACAAAGCTTGCCGGATATCTGTTTACTCTAAATATCGACCCATCGAAACGGCATGGCGTTACGGGCATCTAGAAAAGCCTCGACCTGGACTGCGTGACATCACACAGCACAAGCATTTGACTTGAGGACCTTTTAAATGCCCTGTTTTGATCAGCGCCGATATCCTGTACAATATCGCCCCCTTACATTTGCCGTTGGTATAAAATCCGAATACTCCAGTTATTCCACGAGTATATTCGTTTCCGTCAGATCATGCATCACACAACCGTGATGTAAATCGTCTGTTCAACCACGTGCGCCGAAAGACTACGTAGCAGGTCCTTGTCGGGGTATAACAACTACCGCTGAAATAATCGGTATAGTATATTGGACGATCAATTCTGATGGAAAATGAGATACACCGAAGAGAGGTCTTTGATTGCCGCATGCAGTGGAATGAAACCCGTTAACATGTTGATGATTTGCGCGCCAAATTACAAGTCGATTCCGGTCCGCTCTTGGTGAATGCGCTTCTCAGGCTTTCGAAGGCGGAATGCTGCAACAACGGTGCAAGAATTGTGCGGTGCGATCGAAAACCTGAATGATCGAGCTACGTGTATCGATGCAGCATCGCTGACTCGCAAGTAATGATTGTATCCTCTTGCGCGAGGTTATCGATGTATGTGAGCGCTCGAGCACCTACAATCACGCGTCCTGAGCCAGAGCGAAAGTCTCTGAGATATCATGTTGGCGTGTATGCGAACGCAGCTGATTGGCGGCTCCCCTCGAACATTACTACATACATTGGTCAATAGCAGGTCGACGTTTGCGAGGAAAAGATGATACGCAAGTGTTTGTCTGCCTGTCGATCGTGTGTGCGACTGGACGGGACACAGGACCACAGAGAGGGGAACGCATGAAGGCCCAGGAGAAGAACCAGTGACAGGAGAGAGGATAGTAACAATGCCAAATCGCTTGAAGGACGACAAGGGCGATGACGAGAACACCAAGGGGGCCAAGGTAAGGCGAGATCGCGGACACAGCACTGGTTGGGGAGTGAGCGCGCGCGAAGCGCGCGCGAACTATGGCAAAAATAAATATGTAGGTCCGAAGACCCATTTCCGTTGCTGAGCGTGTCATCCTTATGCAGGGCCATGCGTCCGAGGCCCACGAGCGGAGTGAGTGGGGGTCGTTCAGATTGCCTCGACTGCAATGTCGAGGATGATGGGGCGGAAGCAAGCCGAAGGCGCGCGCGCGCCACGTCATCACGCGCGAAACTCGATTTCGAACAATGTGTGGCTACATGGCTTGTGTCCAAGTGATCTGGGCATATGTAGTATAGTTTGCCACTTCGGTGTGCACTACGATAAAATTGGAACGATACAGAGAAGATTAGCATGGCCCCTGCATAAGGATGACACGCGCAAAGTGAACAGAAATGAGTTCGAAAGAACTCAAATATTTATTTTTTTTCCGTCTATGTCACCTCTAATTCATCGACAATACGACTTGTCTTTTTTTACTAGTGACTCGGATGCATATCCGGATGTATTCATGGACAGTCACGAAGTACCACGACATGGTAAGGTAGAGCTATAACAAACATCATGTCAAGCCAACAAATAAAAGAAAGGAAGACAAGGAGGCAGCTGCGTTCTTCTGAGGCACCAGAGGGTTGTTGTTGAAGAAGGAAACCAAAGAACTTGTCCCCATGACACCATCGTTAAGAGAAGATGTCACTCCCGCGCGGGTCAGCCTGTGCTGTGATTCAGTACCGCGCGTGATCGAGCGTCTCATACAATCGCCCGCCGTGCGTGATCGGCCTTGTGATTGAGGCTCGTCTGCTTGTTGTTGCACGTGATCGAGTCGGCGAGTCACCCGGCATGTACCAAACGAGTCCTCCTGCCATGCATGATCGGTTCGCGTATCATGTTCGTCTTTCGATGTGCCGCTTCCATCGCTTTTGGGTTCGCTTTCATAGGCCAAACCTCTTTTTTGCCTGGCTTCATATGCCTTTCTAGCCCTCTGCGCAATCGTTCCCACTCGGGTCAGTCCAGAATTGCAATCGGGTGCAAAGACTACAGATACCAAGATACTGTTGAGGGTTCGTGCTTTAATAATGTCTGCTTAGGGCCACGCTCCGTTATCTGTCCACCATGACAATCTAGATCTCGAGGTGAAGTCGAATCAAGTGCGTTGACACGGGAGAATGAGGTTCTCTTGTCACCATGTCACTTAGGTGGGCACGACTGTCTCGACTGGTGGTCAAGACCAGCCAGAAGACCTGGCTTCGGTGATCCAGATGATCCTGCCAAGCGCCGGATCAACATCAACATCCACGACCAAGAAGCATTGCAGCTCAATGCTTGCCATAGTCGCCACCATAGCCTTTCGCGACTACCTCGAGCTTGACACCAATGGCTTATTCATTCCACCTCCACCAACAACCTTTCCGTTGCCTCGCCTGTTGCCTTGGTTCGATCCGTTTCTGCCACTCTACAATTCACTCCCTCAACGACAGCCGCAATCGCGCTGAAAGCCACCCCATTAGTCTCACAGACCGGCGCCCCGACGTCACTGGCCGTTGTCCTTCCTTCGGAACCCCTCGCTCAGATCCCCTGATTGCAAGGGCAGTATTGTTTCAGATGATCATCCAGTATCCCTTACGCTCAGACCCATCCGTCCTGGACACTGTCAAGATCAGTTCTTCTTTCTCACCATGACCGCAGACGCCAGCAATGTCGATGAGGACTCCGCTTAGTAGGGTTGGACCATCCCACCTTTGACAATCATACTTTCAGCAACACGGAGCTCATGGACAACACTACCACCACCGTGATCAGCTGGAATAACAGCATAAGCCAGTAACACTTGATATCAACCTCGGTTAATTTGGTCTGGCTGACGGAGTTACCCAAGCCCAAGTGGGGTCTAACCCTGACGCCTCTGTACTGAAACAAGCGCAGCGCCACTGCCTGTGCCTCTGGCTCTGGACCGGACGGTCAGTACACATCTGCCAGGATCGAGGTCAACCCGCTCGGCAGAGTACGTTGAATATGTTTTGTTGGAGCTGGCTGTGATAATGGTCCAGGCAAACAGTGTCGATAAACACGAAAAGTTCAGAGCTGCAGTTGACTGCTATCAATCTCTCGTGCATGAAATGGGGCATCAACCACTTGCCATCTGTGTTGTGAGGATTTTCAGAGGCCAGGGGCTGACGGTTCCATTGCTGACGCGGCACTTCTGAATAACATCGGCAGGGGTTCTCAAACGGTGAAACAATCAAAGCCCCTCCCTTATCTCCTTCCAGTCCCAACTCCGACTCCGTCGCGTATGCCAGTGGAATCATCAGATCATGACCTCGTTGCGGGCCGCATCCAGATGTCTCTTTCTCGCCTATCGTCGGATCGTCGATACTTGTGTCTTTTTACTCATTGTAGCTTTGCGTCAGGTTGCTTGTGATATTGGATGTCGGGGTCGCTCCATTCGCTAATCGTATGCATCACGGTTACGTATCATTTACAGAAGTCTCCATAGCCTCATAAACCCCCTTCAACGATGGTCCTTCCGTTCCCTCAATTTGTACTCTCCGGTTGGATCGTCCTGTTTCCGCTTCTTCGATGGCGAGGGAGGTTCATATGCGCCAGCCTCCCAGGCCAGCTCCGCTCGAGACAGGTAAGGGTTACGTTTTCGAGGCGACCTTTTGACCTCGTGTTTGACCTCCTGTTTGATCTCCTGCTTAGGGGCTGCCCCTGTCGTACAGTGAGGTTCGCGCATAGACGGAACACTTTGTTAGCGATTTGCTAGGCGCGCGTTCCGTTCGAGTGTGGCCGTACCTGTAGCCCGCTTCGCAGCTGAGGGCGTCGCGGTTTGAGCACTGCGGGTAACACTTGCCGGGGTACTGGTTGAAGCAGAGGAATTGGCTTTACCAGAGGACCGGGTGACGGGGGGGGTCCTTCCTATAAACACACCTCGGAGGCGGTTAGGGATGAACGCTTCTCGCAAACAAGGACATACGAGTACTTACTCGTACCCGAGCTCTCTTTGGTAGTCTTGCACTTCGGCATCTTGAAATATTCTAACGTAGAAAGGTCGTGCTGAATTAGGAAAAGGTCAGGAGTTGGAGTGCTCGACGTTCAGGGTTATTCTCCTAAGGTCCCGATATATATATGACATCGCGACTTTGTGCTTCTCGGTCCAGGTCTTGACAAAACGTGCCTCTCTATTGTCTTGTTCGTCTCTCCGATCTGCAGATAGGATCTTGCCAAGACGATGCGCTGACATGTCAGCAGATCAGCTGTTCAGCGCCCGCACAATAAGCTCAAGGGCACAGGCAGGGGTCAAAAATCCTAATATAGCCGGCAAGAGGGCGATCATCGGATCGTCGGATCGGCAAATCTGTTGTCCTTGTGCGATCCACCACAAAGGTTACCCCCCCAAATTCCCTCACCCTTGCTTATCGGTCAATCGAGAAAACGCAACAATTCTTCGGTGGAACGACGAGGTCAGCGTGATCCGAGCGACTGAAAATGTCAACGCAACAAGCAACCCGTATGTAGCGCTTCATCAATGATATCAATGATCAACGTCCTGTTAGAACCCGTCGCCCCTTTGTAGGGGTGTCCATTCCATCCGCGTGACGGCTCGGTCGCATGAAGTAGAAAGCGGACAGGCACCTTTTCACCTGTCCGCGCGGAAGATGCCTACCGCACCCCAAAGCTCGGGCCGATTCAATCGGAAACTCGGGCAGACATCAGAACACAAACTCGGGTCGATTGAAAACTCTGGCAGATATCACATAACTTAGCATCGCCGAAAGGAAATCCCACCCATCGCGCCCGAGGTACGAGCAGCTTCCATGTCCAGACAATCGGTGCCAGAAATCCCTCTCCATTGTTACTGGGATTGGGCTCTACCACAAAACAGCTGGGATGGACTCCAAGATACCGTGTTCACTTCCGAGACGCTGCAATTGATGATCGGAGGCAAGATGATGCCAACGTCGTTGTGAGTTCAGGTCGATGATTCCTCATCGATCTTATTCGACCGACATCCCTTACCCCTTGATACATCTTGATGCTAGCGTCAATGCGGCCATCAAGCTCCTCATACTCACAACACTGGACTCGAGCGAGACAGCTGCCGTTCGATCCATGGACTCTCAAATCTACCGACTCAGTTCAGTCGATCGACATGTCGTCCTAGATGGCGTCGACCTCCTACTTGTCCCGTGGATTCACAAACAACATTTCACCCTCATGCTGGCTCAATTCGACACTAAACCACAACTCGACGATAACACGCTTCTCGCCTGCCGATGTTATCATATCGACTCTCTCCCGCGGGCCCGTAAATCACGTATCGATCGCCCTCTCGACCAGTTTGTGGAACTCTTACAAGCAAGCAGACCTACATGTAGGACCGTCTCTCGTGAAACCATACACACGGGCCTTCAACGGGGGGGACTCGATTGTTCATTCTGGGTATTAGGTGCATGTGCTTTCGCCTTGAAACGGCACGCTCTCGGTAAGCGTTCGGCCTTGTCCGCTCTCGCCGGCTTGCCAGTCTGAACCTCTCGTCATCCGGCTGACCTTGCGACCTTGTTGACTTCCCTTGTCCGTAGGTCTGATGTTCGACAGTCAAGGCGGTCGGGAAGAAACGATAGCTGGAATCGCCGCGGCCACCCGCACCCGAGATATATGGAAGGAGTCCATCATGAGTATATCAGCCCGTCCTCAAACCCGTCAATTGCTCGAGCTCAACAGCTCGTCTACGGCCTACAAGTCGTCATCTCGGCCTGTTCATGTAGATCGGGGTACGAATCGCATGCCAATAGACGTGCCCGACGACGGAAACGAGATGGACCCTCACTGGGTACGTGGGGTCGAGCAGGACGGAGACCAGGCGAATACGTTCGAAACAGATGAGGCCGGAAACGATCGGGCTGCCAGAGAGGCTGAGACCGGACTTGGGGACGGAGACGAGCAGGATCGTGACAGCACCAAGGAGCGCCGGCCGAGTACATGGCCAGACAACGAAGATGGACACGAGATAGGTCAAGGCGAGCAACCAGCGAGGAGAGAGGTCAATCGATCGAGTGAGCGGGATCAGCGCATGCACGAGGGCATGCTCGACCGCCGGCCTAGTAAACGTAACAGGACTGGCAGCCACCGCCGGCCTAGTAAACGTAACAGGACTGGCAGCCACCACACCGGCAGCGATAACGTGGTGTCTGGAAAGCATGACATGGATGAAAGGTGGCCTGGGGAGATCGATGACGGCCCTCCTTTGGCGCCCCCCGGATCGTATTCCATCGTGCCTTTCGAGCGCTGCTTTCAGTGCCCGGAAGTCACGGGACTTACTCGACTTGTCGCCGCCCAAACGAATCGTCAAAGGCTATGGATGAACCACCTCATCCGGGCAGGTGATGCGTATTGGCTCTGTACAGACCATATCTGCCATCATCGAATAAACACCCCTCGCGCTTGTCGGGACAGGGGCTCCCGAATACCTCCCGGACAACTGAAGCGACCTCGAGGCACCCTGATCCCGACGAAGCATGGCAGACCCAAATGCTGGAAGCACCATCAACAGGACGAAACGGACAGAGAGAAACATCAGCACCGTGGCGGATCACTTTCAAGAGAGCCGGTGATCGACCCATCGACCAACGCAGGGAGCGATGATAAGCCGGAACCCGAGCCAGACATCAGTCATCAGGCGACAACTGACCTGACAAACCACCACATCAAGGCGGATGTCGTCACTACGTCAACTGATAGCCTGCCGGATGAGTGGGAAGTGACCGACGTCGAGACGATCACCATCATTACTCGCACCAATCGTCGGACGGGTGAGAAGAGGCAAATACAAGTCAAACACACGCACAGCTTCCCCCCAGAGGCAGTCGGGCATGGTTAACCCACAAAATCACAAGCCACGCTCGACCGCAAGTCGAGACGGGATGTGATTGCAATCTATCAGCCATACGCACATCGTTGGGGAGACTCCTATGCTGAATACGTTATACAAACGCCCCATCAACATGTCTATATTGGTTCATTCCATATTGACCAGCGTATTGTACAACAGGGAAAACACCCTTATGACCGCTGACTCCAGCGCACATTGTCCATTCCGGTGGTCCCGCTACTTCCACCATCCAGCACTACGGGCGGAGCCGGCCTTTCCCGGCTATGTATTGCATCTGACCTGCCAGGTGTCTCGAGGGAGACCGTTCCCGAGGGAGTGAGACGCAAGCTCATTTGATGTGATTTCCAGCCGAATGGGTTTGCTATGGATCACCGATCAATATGTTGCGACCCGATTGTAGAGAGAGAATATGACATACGCTCAGCAACGGGAGAGGTTTCCGCGGACCCGCCTGCAACAACGCTCCCTTCTCGTTCCGTCGCTGTGTTCCAGCCATTGGAAGATCTTCACACCGGTGTTGCGTCCTTGTGTTCCAGCCATTGGAAAATCTTCACACCGGTGTTACGTCCAACTCGAATAGATAAACTATCTGTGCCATTGCAGTGAGGCTCAACTGGCTCGACAGATGATGTATGCATTCACATGTTCATATACAGGTACGGTATCCTCTTTGACATGTCATATATGCCCGCGTACACGCCTCCTTCTGTATCGCTACAGGCCCATCGCGCACTGACTCCCAATACTAGACCAAGTTCATTAGATCTGCTGCAAGGGGCTTGCTCGTGCCACCCTGGTTCAACTCCCGTGGACGTTCGCGCTCCATCATTGGCCAATCGTGTGGCTCGAGGATGAAGGTGGTTCGCTCGGGATCTTCATCTTCATCGTCGGATCCTGTGCTACTTGGCTCGTACGTCCTGGTAACGGCAGTCGCGTGATAAAGCAGATCCCCTCGGAAAAACAGCAAAGCACCGGGGGCCGAGCTGAATTTGTATTGATGGTATCTGGTTCCTACCAAAAACTCTCCACCTGTAACGGGTCCTTGCGAGAAGGCCGTCATGACCGTCAAGTTCACCTGCAGGCGGGTTGTAATCATCAATTCTGTCCTGGCGGAGTCTGTCTATAGTCGGAGACGGGAAAAGCAGGAACTCACTTCAGTAGTTTGTTTCGATGGCGTCAATGACGGCGGCTGTTGTACGTTGTTAAGGAAGTGGAACCCCGTATGAATACCTCGAGAGGAGCCGAAGAGGGAACTAAAGTCCGCTCGCTCCCTTGCTATCTTGTCCAATCCTTCCCTCTGCCGATAATACACGTCTGGTAACAAGATGCGAATGATGTTGCTCACCCTGCACAACATCGGCTCGATGTCCCGCAGGAACGTAAATGCCGCTTCGCAGCTCAGCTTCTCTTTGACGAAATCTTCAGACAAACCCTCTGCAAAGGTGAGTTCGATCTCACCACTCTGGAATAATCCCGCCCATTTGGGGACTGTCAATTCCCTGGGATTCGGGAGACCTGCGTTGGACTCATCCCAGGTACGCAAGAACGCTTTGATGGTCCGATGTGCCAAACCTGTGCAGGGTCATGTCAGGCGCGGTTTCTGCTGTACAAACGTATTGTCATTACACGCTTACCGGTCTCCTCTGAATTCATTCCCGCTTTGAAGTACAGCGCCAAGCATTCGTCATCCTTGCTTCGCACTATGGTATTCTCGGTGATGGTCTTGAGAGCGTCGATCGACTCCTCCCAAACCTGTAGACGATTTCTCCATTCGCCCTGTTCGAGGTTGAAGGGACCAGGTAAAGGGTCCTGCCGGTTGGTCACACGCAGTTCATCGATCGTGTGGGGGAGTTTATGAAAGTGCCAATCCAGTCCAGGCAGACCAGCCTGGATCACTCCAAAAGCCTCTTTCAGGCCGGACGGATCACCTCGACACGCTTCGTCCAGCCTCGTTCGACGATCCGGCGCAGGGAATCGAATATAGTCCTGAAGAGCCTGCTGGACTTCCTGCTGCCACCGGCTACTTGCCTCTGCGCAGGTTTTATCCGCATCACCAGTCCAACTGGTAAGAGTCGGGCTGCCGAAAGGCCCGTGTTCTTCCCTGTGTTCCCATAAGGACTGCGGGCGGGAAGACGGCCCTGTAAAACCAACTTTCGGCTGGCTGGCCTTTGATCCCTTGGCCTTATTCTGTTCGGTCTTCTTCTTGGGGACCTGCTTTCGGTATATGTTCAGTAGTAGACTGACAGGACACCAACGGCAAGGGAGCTACTTACGGTAGGGTTAGATTTGGATGCTCCTCCTGCCTTCTTCGCAGCGGCCTTCTCTGCAGCGGCCTTCTCTGCAGCGGCCTTCTCTGCAGCGACCTTCTCTGTGTTCAGTCGCTGCCGCTCTTCCTCTTCCTCCTCCCACCGTCGCTGCTCCCCCTGTTCCAACCGTTGCCGTTCGGCCTGTCTATGAGCCTCGCTTTGGATCTGTGCAATTCGTTCCTCTTCGGCCGCTGCGACGCGTTTTGCCTCTTTGATATAGTCGGTGGCGCTTTGAATCTCATTCCGGGATACGAGTGGTGCCTTTTGTTGGTCCGGCGGGGCCGGAGGTCGCTTAGCCAATTCGGAGTCGATAAGGCGCCGAACTTCCTTAAAGTCTACACACTCGTTGGCCAAGGCGACCAAAGCTCTAAGCTTGCTGATTCCTATGGCAGTCCTCGGCAACGGTAGGGCTTGTTGCCATTCCAGCCCTCCTATATCGACCATGTCCTGAAGGAGAGCCAGTCTTCGATTGTTCTCGTACTGCTTCGTGATAGGCACGACCTCCTTCGGGACATCGTCGGCGCCCAGGATCGGGTTCGTGCCAACTGTGAGCCTGAAGTATAGGTCAAGCAGTGTGTCGGTGTGGTGTTGAATGTCGCTCATCCCTTTTTGAAACACTTTCGCTGCGAACTCTTTGACTGCTGTTATCCAAGAAGTATACAGCGTCGTGTAACCCTAAGTTCGAAAGACCCAAATGTATGAGACAGAGGAGAGGGTGCGCCAACTCACAATTTGCAGAACGAATTGTTTCTGCTGCTTTGTCGATAGACTCTTTCGCGGCCATGATCCATATTTGGCTAGGAGTCTCTTTGGGAGGGAAGGATTTCCATGACGGGCCAACTTCCATCTTGCCAGAGTCCTAAGAGGTGACTATAATCGTTGGTCTTGAGGGAGGGATACGACCGGCGAATGTTCCGTGTAACCACCAATGACTTGTTGATCGCGTGAATTGGTCGACGTGATTCCTATCAGGTCACTAGATCACTGACCAATAACATAGTGATATAGTGATATAATGATAGTAGCAATCCTCCGAAACGATTGGAATGCGGGTTTGAGAAGGAGGGGGAGTCCGAGGGGGTGAACCAAGAATCTTTTGGTTCACCCCCTCGGACCCATATTTTCCCTTCCCCTTGACCCGTCCGCCCATTGTCAGAGGCCAGAGGATCGCCATGTATTGTCCTTTCGATCTTTTGTTTGACTTGTCTTGTTCGCATATCCTCGTCGACCAAGACGACGATCATCACGTCATAACTGATCCTCCCGGAAGCAAGTGGCTCAACCGAGCTAGCTGAGAAGCCCGAACGAGAGGTAAGTTATAAGCACCAACATGACCTGGCTACCATAGCTACCATGAAGGCATCATCTGCACCTGTTTCGCAACATTTCACTCACCATATCATCATCCAATTACATTTTATCACATAACGATAGAAACAGTAATCACCGCCGACATACTATGCCCAAATCTCCCCGCGCCCGGACGGTGCCCTCGAAAAGGTCTACAAGAGTTACCACCCGGGCTACGGCCACCTCAGCCAAGACCCCTTCGCATTCAGCTGCGCAAAGTCTAGCTGTATCCAAATTCTCAACCCCTCAAAGAGCCTTAAGCTTCGACTCCGACCTCTCTTCGGCCCCCCCGTCCGATCTTGAATCCGATAACATCTACAACGATGATATCGCTCATCCCGCAAAGCTTGAGACGATCCAGGATAAAGTCGGCGAAGCTGCCTGCGAGAGTTCCGGCAGGTTAGAGGATATGGAGAACGAAATGGAAACCGAGGAGGTACAGAAGGGGGCATCCGAGTCTGCCGCCTTGCAGCAGGTGGAAGCGGACGAGTCGATGGAGTCGGACAAGGCCGATGAAGACAACTCGACGCAGTTGGTGGGACCGGGCGCAGACAACTCGATGGAGTTGGACAAAGTGGAAATGGTCGAACCGATGGAGTTGGAGCCGGTGGGGGCAGACAACTTGGTAGAGTCGGAGATCATGGAGGCCGACAAAGCCGCTGCAGAATCGGACATTGTAGACCACCGAGATCCTCGATCCTCGTGCACCACCGATAACGAGAGGTCGTCCGAACCGGCCCTGACATCGGAAGCGAAACGTCAAGAGATCAGGATGGGCAAACGAAGGGTAGGTGTCGCCTGTGCCTGGATACATGTAAACACAACCTGACCATATATGGATGTATACTCTATAGGAAATCTTGCCGAAGACGGAGACGGAGGTCCAGGTTCGAGATTCCTTGACAAAACCTGCCGGTCTTGGGGACCCGGGGCGGTCTACATCAGAAGTGAGTGTGTCTGTGCGTGTGTGTCCATCTCTCTCTCTCTCTTCGTATGCAATTGGCTCCGATCCTGACCCTACATGTTCTTCGGCGGTCTAGCTTTTCGCCATTACCCACACGATGAGGCAATTCCTGCAAGACATCCAGGCGGCCACGACACCAATGACCTCGGAGATCGAGAAGATACAGCTTCTCAGCTCGTTGTGTCGGTTCGGTTTAGGAGATCTCCACGGAGATGCAGAACTGGGCAAGCAGAGACGAACGTGGCTGAGCAGCAACGGCGTGAGCTTGAGGAACTTTGACCCTGAAGCACTGTTGAAGATGGGGCTCATCACGGAGATGGAAAAAGATCAAATCGTCAGCCACAAACAAGCCATCAAACGCTTTGGTGACTTGAAAGAGAATGTCGATCGTCTATCACAGCTATGGACAGACACGGGATCCAGCCAGCCCCTGGACGTCGACACCATGTCGTTCTTGGAAGGACTCGTGCCGGAGGTCGGGAATCTGTTGGAATTGCTGGCTCCAGGCATCTCTTCAAAGATCGAGACAGGGGGCAATACTCGCAAGGAGGGTGTACCTGAGGGGGAGAATTAAGCACGGCGGACCGGGGACCATGCTCTCGTATATGCGCAGTCTGTCAGCAGCTTGGTAGCGATCGTAGTGATATGTCAGCTTGGTAGCGATCGTAGTGATATGTAGCGTTATAGTCAAGGATTGTTGTAACAATTATATCGCCCATAGGCCCATATACATCTCTCGAGCGTCGCCGAATCTTCCCCCAGCTGATCAACACGATCTGTAGGCTGTCGGTCGAGTTGTCACTGATAGAGACAGGATGGTGGACGAGAAGGGGAACAGTCTCACAAAGAGGTACCTCAAGTTGGGTATCGATACGGTTCAAGAATGGCATGAGTATCTTGATGATGTGTTTGCTATTTGCACGTGCTGACTGTTGACCTCATATAGCCACAAAACATGATCTGAATGATCCGCAAGGGGTCATGGCGTACTTTGGGTTGTTTATACTGGTCGTAAGGCAACGCGAGGTGTGGGTGGAGGGCCTGCCTCGCAAGGGGACATAGAGGGGTTATTTCGAGGTTCTTTTACGTTTGTGTTTAGCCGGTTTGTATGAACGATCTTGATCCGCACAATGCGAACGAGTTGCAGCTCCTTGGGTTATCGCCGCTCAGAGTCATCGATTGCATCATCACCATGTTGTACAACATCGATCCCGCGGATTGGCTGAGGGGATGAGCGCGAGGCAAGGCAGCCCGCAGGCCAGGCCGCCAACCGCGTAGTGATTCAGTGCGCATAGGACTTGACTTTCATATGATACAATATGCCCCAGGACGGAGTACCCCTCGTGCTATCGCTATCGGTCACTTGACATCCCAGTAAAGACCCAGTTGTCAGTTGCGTTATCTGCCATTGAGCCGTACACCTCCACACTGACCCCGGACATCGACCCGGCACGTCGACGTCATTGAGGGTTCCGAATCGCCCTGCGCAGCCGAGCTGCACCACGCCAGTCCTTCAGGGTACTCAGTCGTTGAATCAGTAGCCGGATCTGGTCGTAGACTATTTGCATGTGCTGGGAAGGGGAAACCAGCATGAGTGGAGCCGTGCAAGTATGCAGCGCCTCATCGACGACCTGTTGGAATTCGGTCGGTACTGTCGCAATAGCGCAAGTCAGCTTCAAAAGCTCTGACTGTGGCGAGGGACATTCGCTTACTAGAACCATCCTTTGACGTCCATTGCTGGAAACAGGCTTCCAAGGCGAGCCACCGAAGACGCAGAATTACGGTCTCTTTCGGTTCCGCAGGCGTGATATCTCGACCAGGCAATTCTGGATACTCTTGTTGCGGCGTCGTTGAGAAAGATCCCTCTTGGAGTAGGAGGTGTGTCCGATACAGACGCAACAAAGAACAAGCCCATACGCAATCCTCCACTATCATTGTATTCGTTGCGGTGACCAATGTGAACGAGAAGCAGGGTGGTATATGAACCGACCTTCCGGCAGGGACCGGTATAAAGTCAAAGGTCGGTCCCGCGAGGGAATTCTCCGACAAAACGAGAAGGAATGCCCAGCCGCACAAGTTGGTCCACACCGAAGAACAGCTGCGTTTGTCCGATCCAAAATGCAAGAGTGAATGGGCGGAAAGAAAGTGCACCCTTGTGGGAGGCCGGCAGATCGATTCGAGATGGTCTAGCAAGGCCCGTACCTCCCGTACAGGATGGGGAATGGATGGGTTATCGGGATCGTTCTGTTCCGCCACCTCCCTCGGCCAGACGGCTTGCCAGAAGTGAGAGCGGCTTCCGTCGACGAAATCCTTGCCATAACGCGACCCGATTTTGTTCTTTTGAAGAATCAGATCGTGTTGTGTCAATGCCGGAGCGTGGACATGTGCTAGCATTGTTCGAAGCACCGTAATCGATGCCACCTCGTAAACCAAGTGGGCGGCGGCATATGATGAACCCGCCAAATCTACGAATTCTCGTAGCGGAAGACCGGCGATTGGATCGCGAGCTGTCCAAACTCCTTGATCTTTTGCCGCAACGTAGAATTGCCAAGTCCCATCGGGAAAGGCCTTTGATGTGAAAGGAAGAATGTATGATTGAAAGGAGGTCGGCTGATTTGGCTTGGACGAGTCCATAAACGCGACATGCCCGCCCGGGCAGCTGGTCTTTGGAGTCAAGAGTGGGTGGTCGTTCCAACTATAAACGAGATTCGGCTCATTCAATATACATCCCAGGTGAGTTATTTCGGGGCGCTCGCGACGATTACATACTCGGCGGGAAGTTTCGATGATAACGACGGACGAACAATCCAGGGGTGGGTGACCTTAGGAAGCGCCAAATCCAGAAACTTAATGACGGCTTCACATGTAGTTGGAATTGACAAGGAGAGAGTATGACGGTCGCCAGAGTTAAGAACGTTATCGGCGAATGTGTAAACCCGGTGGAAGGAATCGCTCGGCAGAGCGGGAGGGGGCGTGGTTGAGGCAAGTCCTGCGAAAGACTCAGCGATCAACAGAGAGAAAGAAGAATGGCCTGAAGCAAGAACTCACCTGTCAGGACTGCTGAAGGGACAACCACGGTCTTGCTGGGCTCCATAGGCTGAGCGGCCAAAGTCTCCCGGCTCGAATTCGGCTCTTGCTCCGATACCATGTGAGCCATTCCGGATGAATCTCTGGTCGCTTGGGCATAGCTAGTCCCATCCACAGACCGGTACTGCGTTTTCCACCATTGCCACATGTCGACCTTGTCCTGTGCATGGCGTTCTGGAGAATTCCATAACGCCATGGCTTTGACGTCGTCCAGTTTGAACATGTTCGAGCATGCTCGGATGGTCTTCCACAGACGCCCGCGGCCTCCCCCTTCGGTGCGGGTGGTCAACTTGGCCGGGTCTACGTTCAATATAGTAGACCAATTCTCGCCCCAACGAAATGCGACGATGGCTTTGGCTTCGGCCAGTTCCTCTTCATCATGTTTGCGCTCACATTGGTGACGTTGAACCTGGCATTCCAGCATGGAAAGAAGCGTAGAGTGTGGCTGCAAGTGCACCTGCGAAGCTAGATTCGCTGTTTCGAACCGGCTCTCCAGACTTTGAGTGATATCGGCCCATAAATGTGCTGCCAACCACCGTTCCCAAGGCCGAAAACCTTCCTGTAGACGTTGGATGGAGAGTTGCTTCCTGACGGCTGGGTCTTTTCTTTTTTTTAGTTCGGTATAAAATCGAGCGGCTGCTGTGAGGTCTGCGTCTGACTTGGGCTTGCCCTTCGTCGAACGAAGCCCGTCTTTCAACGGGGGATCCTTCAACTGATCAGGATCAAGCAGATCGTCCAGATTCACTGGCGGAGGCATGGTGGAAGTGTCGTATGTTATATGTGGGAATATTGCCAAGGGTGTACCGTTCGACAGTCCGATTCATCGATCACTGCATCATTTTGTTCCCCTAACCCTATCGACTAGGTCTCGCGGGGCTGACCGTAGACCAAGGCATTCATAATGCATAAACGATAAAAAGACTTATCGGACCAAGCCGATGGTTATTGCATCGGTGCAGGCGGCAAAATACCTGTGCAGTCGGCAAAGTAAAGGTGCAACACTGCTCAAGTGGGCTTGCTTAGTCAGCCGAGATCAGCGGTTCGCGATCTCTGAGGACAATAGAGGTCGGTGATCATCGTGATTGCGAGATCAAGAAGCAAGAAGCAAGAAGCAAGAACGAAGGTTGGTAGTTCATAGCTCATAGTATTACGACTGTTCTCCACGACCTCTCTGTTCAAAACCCTCGTCTCAACTGAGCAGCAACTAGACGTCTACAGTCCTGGCTACATTTCACAACGATTTGCGTCCCAAACATGGCGTTGTCGACACCGGCCAGCGTAACGGCGTTGTGGCAGCGATGCGAAGAGATGGGATGGGACACCAATTTCACAATCAAGGAGTCTGCAAGCGGTTCTTATATTATCCGCTGCCTTGAAAACGAAGGCCAATGTTTGAATTGGCAAGGGTGTGAACTCAAACCGCAGTTCTCGCCGGACTTCGCCAAGGTCATGTCTGGGTGGGCAGAACACTGCATCGGGAACGAGAAGCATTGCAAGGCCAGAGATGAGCGCCTGAGGGACCGTCGCTGCGTGCTCATCGAAACCGCCAACTTCACCAAAATACCGCAGCTTGCCGGTCTCTGGGAGAGGGATCTCGTTAAGGTGGTACCCGCCGCCTGGCAATCAGTCCGTCCGGTCGAATCGACTCCTGCCGCTGGTCCGATTCCTACCACTGGTCCGAATCCTCCCAACGGATCGCCCTCTCCTGCCGCTGGTCCGACTCATACCACTGGTCCGAATCCTCCCAACGAATCGCTCACTCCTGTCGAACCTCCCAACGGATCGCCCTCTCCTGCCGCTGGTCTGACTCCTGCCACTGGTCCGACTCCTCCCAACGAATTGCCCACCCCTGTCGAACCTCTCATCACTCCGCAACCCATGCCTCTTGGCAAAGCTCAAGCCGAACCTGCCACCTCAAAGGAATCCCCGAGTTCTGAGGGTCCAGATGAGGATTCAGATGAGGACGATCATGAGTCCAAATGGGGCTCAGATTCAGAGGTCGAGTCGGTAGCCAGTGACGATGAAAGTGAATGGGAAATGGATCCTCACGACCGAGAGGATGCAGAGTTGGAACCTGACGAGGATTATAGGGTGGTTCGGAGGAGGGTGAAAAAGTCGTTGCGAGGCGAAAAGAAGGAGATCGAATACAACACCCATGCTCGCGCAGACGTCATCGCGGGCAAGGACGATACGATCCCCCCCACTTACTTCCATGTATTCCAATCGGAGGAGGAGATCAACGCTACCCTGATCCAAGGTGGTTGGGACGAGACCCTCTTCAAGCTGCAGCCTTTGTGGTGGCAGCGCGTGGGCATTGCATGGATGCTGGGAGTAGAGATGGCGGCGGAGAAGGAGAAGGAGACGTCTCAGTTCGCTGCAGGGCGAGCCATCCTAGCCGACGCGACCGGCCTCGGCAAGACTTACGAGACGATTGCTACCATAATGTGCCAGGACCGACAGCAAAAAGACCGGTACACTCTTGTGATCGTCCCCAAGGCGGCCCGACAGCAATGGAGGAAAGACGTGCGCAACATGGGTGGGGACCCTGACGAATGGGTCATCGTGGACAATCCTGAAGACTTGGAATCAGCGATCAAAAGCAACAAAAAACGCTTCATCATCAGCGACAGCAGGGTTGGACTGTGGGGCGGCCCACTATACACGAGGACTCTCGACCAGGACGTTCAGCGCCTCATGCGTCGACATCGTCCCGACCTTTGCACCTGCACCAGCGATTTCTATGAGCGTGTCCGTCGCCCTCCACCCAAAAAGGCCAAGAAAAAGAAGGCGGTGTACGACCTCGCCGATGAAGAATATAACAGACATCCGTTCATTCAGTTCCAAAAGAGCCAGCGACCCCACTTCGTGTTCCACCGCATCGTGATCGACGAGGCGCACAAAATGCGAACTCAAACGGGAGTCCGATCGAGAGTGGTGCAGCGACTGAGTACCATCAGCCGAAAGTGCTGGCTCTTGTCCGCGACTCTTCTACCCAAGGATGACAAGGACTTGCTTGTCCCCATGATCATGATGGGTCTTGTTGATCCGACACCGGCAGGCAACAAGCTGTTCAAGAGGATGGCTGTAAGCAGATCACTTCAGAGACGCTGTGCATGTGTAGCCCGCTAATCTCAATTCCTGTTCAGGCGACAAGGCAAGACCTAGCAGCCCAAACTGAAGCGCAACAGTTAGGGCTTGCTCCTAAGCGTTTCCTCCGACGGCCGATCACCTTGTTGCTGGAACAATCTGGATACAGCTTGCAGTTCCCGATATGTACGTGACTGGGATTCGAAGGAAACAATACGCTCAGCGCTGAACCTGACTTGACATCATTGTGGCCGGGTCGTAGATCAGCAGATGGCTCACGTTGTCGGCCAGTCTGCTCTCGAACGCGAGATCTTTACGCAGCTGCGAGCGTTAGCACATGGCGGCTTTACCCGCTTGGATGGCATTTCGCAACAACAGGACGATGCCAACGTTACTCCAAGCAGTCCGGCCCTGACCTTCTTGGGGACTTTCAGGCGAGCGCTGTATGATCCTAGCATATTGCTGCAGGCAGAGCATGCCATTGGGCCCAAGTTGGCTGCCGGGGAAATGCAATTCAACAAGGCAACCAAGACCCAAAAAGGTACAATTCGATTCCTAAAAACTACCCCGAGGGGGTGGACGGGTAATGAGAAACAAGCCGCGATTCTTCGGGCGACCGAAGTCAGACGATGGCGCTGGAACATTGAGCCGGACACATATCGAGCATTCAAGGAGAAGATCGAGGAGTGGAAACGACAGGGAAATCCTTCGGCCAAATTTGCAGAGTTCCAGAACATCGTAAGGTCCGTCCATCCGATGGCTTATGTGTGTTTCTCGCCGTTTGCAGACGTGACTTACATCATCATGCTTGCTATTTCGTTCCTCCAGGGGACTCAGGAAGACCCCCTTGCCTGAGCGCCCAATTTACCTGTTCGTGGCTCACGGCAGTATCTTTCTGGATATGGCTTGCGCTTGGTTGCAGACGCTAGGATTTACGAAGGGCAATGATTCTTCGAACTCTCCGGGAAAGCAGCAGCCTTTCTATCTCACCTACAAACGTGAGGACACGGATGAGCAGCGTCAATGGGCTCTGGACCGATTGCAATTGGCTACCGAAGACCAGCCCTACCAACCGTTGTGCCTGTTGGCGTCGATCAAGATGGTGTCAGAATCGTTGAATTTGCAAGCCTGCAGCAAGACTCTCGTCATAGATGAGCCATGGCTCTGGACCGAGGTCGATCAGTTGGTCGGCAGGACGCATCGTATCGGACAGAAACGAGTCACAGCTTTCGGCGTGTTGCTTGTGCAAGATACACACGAAGTGAGTCCGAGTTCGCAACGTGTAGGGTCATTGTTCTAACAATTCGCTCTATATGTCAGCCTAAGATTTTCGAGAGACTCGGCATGAGGAAGGAATATCAGGACAAGGTATTCAACGGCGGCAAAGTCGGACTCACCAATAAAGACGTCAGAATGGTCATGCTGCCTGGGTCTGACCCCAGTAATGCGCTTGCTATCGATGACGAATCTGGCGATGATCCCGACAACGCCATCACCGTGCATAGCGATGAAGAATAGCTTTATCAGCCTGGATAGCGATAGATTTGAAGGATAGTCGTCGACAGAATATGAAAAAAAGGTTTATCTGGTCTGTATGTGTTCGGATTTGTTCATCCACGAGATGAAATGGTTATGGGCAAGATGCAAATAAGATGGTCGCATGAACCGATCACCGATGGTAATATCCTGGTTTGATTCGAGAATGCGCACGATGCTAAGCTTGGCCGTTGGCCGGTTTTCTACGTAAAGATTCTAAGCTCCGCAACCCCTCCTTTTCTTGCGCGCTCTTCCCTCTTGACCATCCCTTCGTCGCGCGTCTCGATCTTCTGCCGCTAGGAGCTCAGCACGCTCAGCCTCCTCGTCCGTGTCTAAAGTATCGGCCAGAGGAATCACAGGGTTAACCGGACGCTCGTGGGTGCGCTCCACAAAAGCCAACGCGTTGCTCTTGGAGAACAGGACTACCGCCGAACGCTCCCCCTGGAACGGCATGATCTCATGCATGACGATGGCGGATCGGAAGGTGATCATATCTCCCGCCCGGTATCGTAAACGGTAAGGCCTTCCCATGATGTGAAGGATGAGATCGCCTCCATCGTAGTTACCCCAGTTGGTCATAGCCACCAAACCGAGCTTGTCGTCGCCAGGATCTAAATGTCGTTGCACCCGGACGTTATGAAGGACCGCCATGCCGAGAAAGAGGGTAGGACCAAAGATCTGGAAAGCTTTGCACCACTGTCGTACTTTGTCGATGACCCGCTGACTCCGCTGAGCTAATTCAGGGTCGATGGAACGAATGGCGTCGGTAGCTTGTTGCTGAAATCCCCAACAATCTTCCAGAAATCGCCAAACGGCATCGGCTTTATAGCAACCGGAGGTCATGTCGGAAGATAGGCAGATGGCTGGATAAAATTGTGAAAGAGGTCGGCACACGACGGAACATCTAGCTTCGGGCCTTCTCTACTCACTCTCAGGTTTTTGTCCTAGGGGGATCCGATAGCAAAAGTGAAAGACGCCGCATCGAGAGGGAAGGTAGAGCCGTCGCATTTCATCGAGGGCATGGTGTCGATAATCGTGTTCCTCGGGAACCGGAAGGGCGGTAGTCATGACTCTGGCCTGGAGCGCAGCCTCAACGTTAGGAGAGTCTGAAACCCTGCGGAGAATTTAACTTACCCGTTGCCTCTTGTTCGCGAAAACCCTCCTCATGTCTTCGAAACCCGAGGCGATTTTGGTCGTGTCAACCTTCGCCGATCTTTTGTCCCCAAGGGTCTTCCCGTCGGAAGTAAGGAACAAGACATCGCCGTCGATGGGTTCCAACTCGGAATAGTCGGGTTGCTCTGTGGTTTCATCTTCGAATCCATTCGCGTCTTGCTCAATTTCCGCCAGGGTATAAGGCAGGTGAATCACCGTGGTGGTCGTGACTCCGTCAGAGGCGATCCGGACCTCTCGGCGAGGTTCAACGGTCTCTCGGCCGGATTTGGAAGGTGCGGCCGTTGGGCCTCCGGTCGTCTCGACATGAGTTGACTCGACATGTTCGGATTCGTCAGAGTCGAACTCGAAGTCGGAGTCGTCGGTATTGAGACCATCAGTGTCGGGCTCGTCGATATCGAAAGCGTCGACGTCAGAGGGACAGACACGACTTTGGGTGGAGCGTGCGGTTTGACGTGTGGTCTGACGTGTGGTGCGGCGTGCGATAACGTCGTGCATCGATGGCGAAGTAGTCGAGTTCGTCGAGTTCCTGCTACGCAACCGCAACGGCAATGTCAATCTTTCGCTACAAGGCCGTTTGAATGAACGGCGAGGAATTGACCCACGAGATCCCCCTAAGATCACCAACAAGCGCTTCCTCCGAAGCGATTGGATCCTTTGGGTACGTCACACCCGCAGCAGGACTCGACTTCGGGATCCCAGACCGCCGATTCAAGGCCTCCGGCTGTGAAGTCGTCGGTTTCAACGGTATCGAGGCTTCGAGATAGGCCTCATCCCGAATTCGCTCCAAGTGCTTGAAGGTGGGTCGCGACTCTACTTCTTTTTGGGAGCGCCCGCGTACAGGTGGGGGGTCTTTCGCCCGGATCACCGCCGCTCGGTGCAACACATCTTCCATCTTGAGCGATAGGGGCGGGGTTGAGAGTGTCACGCACAAACCAAGGATGTCCTTTCCTGCGAATTGGGATGCGGGGTCAGCCCGAGCCCCGGTGGGAAGACGTTGAACGAGAGCGCTCACCTGGCACGTTCTTGTATCCCAAAGTCCGGTACCACTCAACACCCCACACGCTTGCGACCGAGTCCTCCTTGATAGTGTGCGCCACCTCTTCTCGCCGTTTCTTGAGCCTTTCCAGTGCATCAAACAACTGGCGATCGTGGATTTGCACGTGCTGGGAAGTAAGGATATTCTGGCTGATGGTCCAGGCGTACAATCGATTGATGATGTCCCCGTAGACGCTGTGCTCTACGTTGAGTCGACGGAGAATCGACAAACAGGCCGCCCGGGGATCCTTCGAAGAGTTGATCTCGTGCTGGAGGCCGGCCAACATGGTTGCGGTGGCCTGCGAGAGACGATGGAAAGGTCAGACGATGGAAAGGTCAATGGACCGACCACGATCTAAGCTCGTGATCTTGTGAGGATGAAGGTGGTGGCCACGGGCCCTGGGCGACGTGCACGCGTGCACCGGATGCTGATTTTCCGCGCGCTAAAGTCGATTTAGCGCGCGGAAAATCAGCATCAGTTTCTCAGCTGAGCGGCAGGAAGACACTTCTCCCTTTGCTTCATAGTCACCCGCCAATACTCCCGATCCATCAACGAGGAGTTTACGCTTCTCAGTACCACATTGGTTCAAGATCGCTCCACTTGGCCGTCCCATGGTCGTCATGTTATGGCCATCCAAGGTATACCCATGGCACCCTATGCTATGGGCCCGATATTGATGGACGATCAACGACGTTATGTGAGCTTGTGGCTCACACCGGCTGATCAAGCCAGAGAGATACGTAGGGTGAGTCGAAGGCCATTTCACATGCCATAACATGGCTTGCTCACTAGAGTCTTGATGGTAGAGCCGGACTCGCATGGATATCGATCTCAGCCTATTGTCCGACGCACTCTATCATCAGAACGTCGCCGTCCAGGCCTTACAACAAGCCGTTGCAGCCTACAGCAGCGATCCACATCGTGGTTACGAGTTGGTATTTGAAGACGGCCGAGTGTCACTCCGGCCTCGAAGACAACCTCCCTTGCCGGTGCCTAACTGGTCTGTACCTGCAAGCCCACGGCGGCCAGCTCCTTATACCTTGGAGAACCGAGATAGACCTCCAGTCCCGCCGTTTCCCTTTCCTTTCGGACAACCGCCGCCAACACCGGACCCTACCGCAATGGCAGGCCCCAGCCGGACGGTTGCGAATACGTCACCTGTGCGCCCCCAAATAATTCGCCAATCACTTCTCTCCCCGACCGACTCGATTGAGTCATTTCAAGACGATTCGATGGATGTCGACGGCGAGGAAGAGGATGACATCGAAGGTTTCGACTCTGATCGTGGATCGAACTATGGAAGTACTCGGAAGAGACGATTGCCCATAATTCCCCAGCCAACCCCTCTACCCCCGGCGACACTGGTTTTTCCAGCGATGGGCCTGCAAGATATCAGTGGTTCCTTTCCTTTTGCGTGGTCGCTGCGCTACCCCTTGTTGTTCCCCATCTCACAACAGAATTGGGTGCCTACGATGTCGGGCCAGATAAGTCTTCACCGGTACATCCGGTATCAGATACAATATCGTGAGGACCTCCTCGCGGACCCGGCAAGCGCAGCCGGCGCCCCGCCACCGCGCAACTTTTCAACGCTAGGTGTACCATCTCGGCTGCGCCAAGAATTCCTCGTAGATATGGCGGCCCAAATCCTGCGGAATCAATATCGTTATTATGCGTACAGCCCAGTCATCAACCCGTCCCAAGAGGCCAGCCAGGTAAGTTCTGATCTATGCGCTATGCGTCATCAGCCCGTGCTGATCACTGTGGTGATCTGCGGAATTCGAAGGTATGTTTACCTCGTACGCATCGGGGCGGGACACCATGGGCACTACAGGTGAGCTGGCTTTGGCCGAGCTTGAACGATACATGTCGCGGTTAGAAACAAGACTCACCTATCTGCCTGTTTGCATGGCATGTTGCTGATTCGCATCCTTCGACCATTGAAAAAACTCTGATCTCAGAGGAGGAGAGAGGCGAGGCGGCTATTTGAAAAGGTCGGAGGGCCACATCTTTTCCTGACCTTTACGGCCAACCCAGACTGGAAGGAACTCGGGCCTCAACCTGATAAGGAGGACCGTGCTGACATGGTCGTGCGATTGTTCTACCTCAAACTTAAAAGGCTCCTGGATGAAGTAAAGGGGGGACAGGTGTTCGGTCCTATCAAAGGGTACTGCGCCTCGGTTGAATTTCAGGACCTGGGACTGCCTCACGCGCACATCCTCATCACCCTCGAGTCCGAAGAGGGCGTGCTTCGATTTTGTAGAAAACCTTCTACCGTCCCGACATCAGGAGAGTCCCAACGGTTCCATCAGGCGGACGATTCTTATTTCAACCCGTACCTTGTAAAAAGGTGAGGACATACCTAATCCGTATAGATCTTTTTGCTGACTTGCTGGAGTTAGATTCAATGCACACGTCTACTGTCAGGCCGTCAGGGAACCTGATGCTAGCATAGATTACATTTTCAAGCAGCGGGGAGGCTACAAGGTATCAGAATCTGCCAGGGATCAACGTCTGGCGGTATACGAGGCCGCTTGGATAATCTATTCGTACCCTCGACACTTTACCTCGATCCCGATCGTCAGTCTCGAGGTCTACGCCAAGGGAACCTCGGTCAATCGCAGCAACCGTCTCTCGCTCCTCTCTCCCATGTTGACCTCATTCTTCGAGTTCTGCACGAGGAATCGATCGGCCCAACTGACGTACCTGGATGCTCCTGAAACCCTACGTTATCGGAAATCGGAATCCACCGATAGGTTAGAGTGGGGACGACGCCAGCCTCGTCAAGATCGCTCTCTCAGGCAAGTTCACTGTTGTCTCGTGCAGAATGTCTCGTCCGACTCACTTCGTGTATGTTCAAATTCACAGAGCAATCGGAAGGTTCGAGGAGGCCTCGGTAGACATGCTGTTTGGCTCAGAGTACAACGCGCTGCTGCAATTGTTGGCTTTGGTTGTCAGTCCAACAAGGGAGTCTGACCTGAGAAAGTACAATCGGCGAGAATATGGCACATACCAGCAAGCTTTGCAGGCGCATCAAAGGGGAAATGACGGGCACAGCTGATCAGAGAGTGGGGCGAAGGATATCGCGCGTGTCTTTTGCAGTTGTATACGATCGTAACGACTTGTCGGCAGCGCCATTTTGCCAAAAGAATCTTGACTCAAAAGACCGTGGTTTGCTGGAACCACATGGGTTCATCGCCCTGATGAACAGTAGAAACGAAGCAAGATACGGAAAGAAGGGTATACGCTTGGATGCCTTTACAAGCATCAACGAACTACGGGTACAACAAGTTCAATGTGTGTGCCGACCAGGAATCAGGGCTGTCGGACCGGTCCAGCCGCGGCGGGGTGGAAACGGCATCGCCGCGACTGGACAGATCTGACAGCCCTGATCCCTGGTCGATGATGTAATGCTGGGGGTCGCAAGTGATCGGCAGCAGAAAGGCTTTAAGTGGATGGAGAGGCGAGATGTGATGTGATCCCTTGGGATAGTACAGTAGAGGCGATGCGGACTCGGGCGCTGTTTCATGACAAGGGTGTACATGCGGTTAGCAAGAATCCAGGGAAACGAGGCTGGGCAAGGACTCACTGATCACTGAAGGTATGACGAGTCGATATCGGCCAGATTTTTGTCGCTGGAGATATCTTCGGTGTCCAGACACTCTGCCAAATCGTCGAGTCTAAAAGCCCGTGTTAGTTCAGAAGTATCATCTCTGCTCGATCAGGACTTACTCGGGTCGCAACACGAGCCCATGGAAGTGTGGTACCCTGGGGGCCTGGAGGGCATTTCAGCCCTTTTACAGAACTCCTCATCCCCTTTCTTGAGATCAGGCAAGGGTTTCTCGTTCACATCTTCTACAAACTCGGTCCAGAGTCTATAGCCTCCCTGTTCCTCTCCCTTGGTAAATCGAAATACTGTGCGACTACTGCAAGCGAGGGTCAGCTGATGCGTACCGAGATAGGCATCCGGTAAGGCCCATGACTTACCGGGTAGTGGCCTTGATGGAACTCTCAACCTGGACTCCTATGAGCATGGAGACGAGAGCGCTCTTCCCAGCAGAATGGCTTCCGATGATAACAATCCTTTTGACAGGACTCGTCGTTCCTATGTGACTGCGTTGTCGTTTATCATCAGTCAGGGGGATCGGGGTAAACATCGGGCGAGATACGTGCGCAAGATGGACTTGAGCTATTATAGTGTAACTCACCGGGTAGTGGCTTTGATCGAACTCTCCAACTTGATCCCTGTCAGCATCGAAACTAAAGCACTCTTCCCTGCCGACTGCGAGCCAGTTGTCCGAGAACGTTATTAGCATAGATTCCTTCACCAGCTTCGAGTTGTATCTCACGTCGGTGCATACTTGGCTAATCGTGAAGGATCAGCTTGGCGACTCCATTGTAAATCGCTTGAAGAGGAAGATCGCCTGCGGCGTCGCCGTAGTTGTTTCGCAGCGCGTTTCTGAATCTGGCCGCGGTCATATCCTTCGACTTGACGCTGGCTCTGTCCATCTGATCGGACGTGATCAGATCGATCGAGTCGATTATGGTGTTGGCGTTGAATTTAAGAGCAATCTGCTCATTGGGATCGATAGTCATTGCTGATGGATCGGTAGGGAGTTGTAGATTCTATGATCCTCTTCAAGTATCTCGGGCTTGTAGGTTGAAGATGACTGAGATGCGACCAAGTACGAGTTAGAAAGACCACCGCGCGAGCATGTACGATGATGGAGGCGGGGGACAGAGAAGCGTTGAACCAGGGGCGCATTGGAGTGAGGACTTACCCTGCTGCCACCAGCCTCTTGCGGAATACCTGCATACTCTTGAACTGAGGGGTTCGCTCCGGTCGAAGCCGAGCAGTCAGCGAATTGTGCATGATCCATGATCTGGCAGTTGACTAGGGACCGCACGATGTTGAAGCGAGCGTGTGTCGAGTTAGAGCAAGAGTTTATTGTCGATGAGAGAGATAGTGGTGAACACAAAAAGAATATATATTAGAGATCAGATCGAAAGTCAAGCGTCAACAGTGAGACCTGATTGCCATCTCGCGTCGTCCATAAACTCACTCGACTCGGAATATTCCACGCGTGAGTGTGGAGTACATAATACTCTCGCCCTTCCTGTCGAAGATCCAGCGTCGCCGGTGCGGGATACTGATGGGAGAGGTCATGGAAGTCCCCAGTTAGATCCGGATGTAGGGACTGGCGATGCGTCACAGGCTGGTGGATACCCACAAGAGCGGCGATGGCAAGATAATGGTCGGGCTTCTCTTGATAGCCGTTTCTGGCATGGTATGAGAGGCACAATGCTGGGATAAGGAACAGCAGCGGGACCATTTGGGTATGCCGGTCAACAAGGCTCTACTCGTATACATAGGGACCGCCTCGACTTACACTGGTGTATATATCTCTTGACGTATCGCTGTCCAAGAAGGACCGGGCACCCAACGTCAGGCCCGGGAACGGGGTGGATCCCTCTGCATTCGATCAAAACTTACAATCAAGGCATTCATTGTATGGGGTTCAGACGAATTTGAAGATTTTGGTGTGTTCATGAAACTTGAAACGAGACTGACGAGGGATCGGGAGAGGTATCTATTGGGTTGAATGGTTCAAGCGGACAGAGCAGTAGGTCGTGTCGATGAGGAACGGCCACCGCTCTGCCAATCGTATTGATTACTTGCTTTGCTTGATATATATAATTATATCCAGCAGGGAGGCTCACCTGCTCATGCAGCTCCCCGGCTCCCCAGCTCCGTACTTACCATCGTACCACCTTTTGTTCCACGACCCTGGAATCGGGCTTGCCCTCGCTAGAGGGGGGCCTTGACCCCAAAGGAGGGTCAAAGGAGGGCCGGGCGAGGTCAGGACCCCTCCTTTGGAATCGATGTCGTGATCAAGCGGATCGAAAGCATGATTCGTTAAGCTTTATGCGATCAAGATCCGTCCCTGACTTGGCGTGAGGGATTGGAAGGCCATGACCACGCAAGAGGGGAACGCCGGCATGCCTACATGCATCTTCGTTTGCAATCACATGCGTGCAAGTCGGGTTGTACCACCGAAGGCGTCGCCGGACTTTGGGCTTTCCGCACTCGAATTGCGATAGGAGAATTTGTATTTATCCACAGCGATGTGTTCCCAGAAGAACAGTTCATGGTGGAGTTGCAATGTTGTGGGCGTATCGGTGACATTTGCGTGGTATGCGGGGATATGCAGTGAAGTTTGTCGAGTAGCACCGAGTGATTGGTGACGTGAGACGACATACAGTTGTGTGAACGATGAGGGAGTTGGAAAAATCCAAATTCAAGAGTGGTTCTTCCCATGGCCACCGGCCACCGGTGAGAAGGTTGGACTGAAAGAGTTGGACTGTCATTATGTCGCATTACCGTCGGGGCGACCGTGGGCCCCGGCAGCTCGAACCCCCTCGAAACGAGGCGCTGGCGCGCCAAGCTCGGCGATGACTGCTGTGAAGTCGATCCCGCAGACACCACGTTCTTTGGTACCATGCATTGCCCATTGCAATAGCTCGCCTTTCCACACTGTCTTTCACCTCGGCTCCGGGGCCGCCAATCTCGACCCACCTCGTCCCACCTCGGTACCGGGTTGGACGTTTGGGAGCGAGGGGGCGCCTTTGGCGCGCGCACGATGAAGTCGATCCCGCAAACTCCAGCTTGGCTGCTCAGCCTTTCATCCATAGCCACAGCCTTCAACATATTGTCATGAATGATGGGGAAGTGGATGAGGAATGGAACAATTCTTTGTATGAAGGTTTCCGGCTTGATTCAGAAGTCGGTAAGTCTGTGCTTTCCTTTAGGCATAAGCCCCAGACTCACCTGTAGAAAGACTTGGCTCGCAGACGGCTGCTTTTCGATCACAGACGATGCTGCTAAACAGATCTTGTCGCAAAGACCTTGATACCTATGCATAAATTCCTGGATTCCCGTATGGTTCCGGATACTCGTGTGCCCACAGACTTGACCTTAGAACCTGAGCGTACTCTCAATATCTATTCTAGGCTCGGTTCACTCCTTGAACCTAGCTTGTTCTCCAACCTCAATCAATCGCTTCGAGTCCGCCATCACATTTTCTCTGCTCGCCGCCTCCTCGGGTCTTTGTGCCATAATCGACGCGGCCGCCTCGAGCGCAAGAATTCGGTTGGTTCCGATCTACAGGAGGTTTCTTGTCAACAGCAAGAAGAGCAGCGGACATAAGAAACTTGCGCTTACCTTGTCCCGCAGCAGATGAGCTACACCGACGTTAGCCAGGCTCGCCAAAGAATGACTGAGGTGATCCTGAGTGAAACGCAGGAGCCTCTCCCCAGCGATTTCAACGTGAATCTTGATCTTTCGGGCGAGATCTCGGGCGAGATCCAGAGCGATGTCCTCTTTCAAGAGAATACGTGGATCATCGCTTGACCTTTTACGCTTCAGAGACGATGGAGGTGCCAGAGGGGATGTCGGTCTCGGCTGTGTCATCATAGGCCAGGAAGATGACTGGAAGGGAGCGGCGGTAAGAATGTAGGCTTGGCGATAGCGTGCATCGGCGTCTGCGTCGCAAGTCAATAAGTCAATATGTCAAGCGGACCAGTATACTGCATAGTCATGTGATCCATGAGTGTCTTGCTGGCGGCTCGCTTCTCTTCGATCACAGATAATGGCAAGTTGAATCTTGCGCAACAGGCCGTGCCGAGTGATGGCTATATGGAACGCATCCGTCAGTGGGTTCACAGCCATGATTGTCCGTTCGAGCAACTGTACCTGGTAGGGAAGCTTCGACGTGTTGAATTAGGCCATTCCAGACTTTGGCTTGATGTGATTCGACCTCCTTGGCCCAATCCTTCTGGATTCGGGTGATTGTTTCGTCCATTTCAGACACTGCATATTGTCCGACCGTTACTTCTGGCCTGATGATATCGGCTTCGTCTGGCTGATCTTTGCTGAGTGCTGAAGCTAACTGGTTGCAGAGACGATCACGGACAGCCCCAGGGAAGCGCTCGAATTCGGTGATGGCTTTGCAGATGCGATCTGCTGCGAGATCAATACTAGAATTGATTTTACCAATCACATCCAGCTGTCGAAATTCGTCCTGTCTTGCTGTGAGCGCTGAGACCTCGCTTCGTAAGCCTTCTAGGACGTCTAACAGCCTATATATGATACAGATTCCGTCGGTATTCTGTGCCATGATCGAGGCCGCAGCTTCCAGATTAAGGACTCGGTTTGTCCCAACCTACGAAATCCGAATGATATCGTTAATCTTGAAGCAGGTGGCAGACCCTATTTGCGCTCACCTTCTCTCGCAGCGAATGAGCTACACCGTCGTGTGCAAGACTGGCAATAGCATGGCTGAGGTGATCCTGGACGCCATACAGAAGCCTTTCACAAGTTAGGTCGATGTGAATCTTCACCTGGCCAGTCTGTTCGAGTTCTGTACAGTCGGATCCGTGCGTGACTACGCACGGGAGGCTTTGTTAGCGATCAGCTGGGGCCCGCGTTCCCGTCAGGCGCGAACGTACCTGTATCCCGTTTCAGGTTGACCCGGGGGTCATCGTGATCCGACCTCTTACGCTTGAGTGAAGCTGGCGATGTCTGTGGCGGAGTTGGCCCTAGCGGGATCATTGGTAGGACCCTCAGTATTCTCGTGCGGCGATGTCGATGTGAGCGTTGATCTCCCCCATGACTGCTGGTCGTCTCCAGGGAAAGTCTCGGCAATTTGCTGACTGTCTGGCAATCCTTTGGGTCGGATCTCTTTGACAATGACCGCGCCCTTGAAAGACAAGGCAAACCGCGCCCTTGAGAGACAAGGCAAGTTCCTCGTTACCATGGGAGCCATCTGATACGACCGATGCAGCAGAAATCAAACGGGGACCAAGTCGGTGAGGCCGGTCTGTCCCATCTGTGAGGTTGCCCAATGGGTCTGGTTCAGACAATACGCCTCCCTGATGAGGGCGATGAATTGCCAGGATATGACCGGTATCATTTGTGGAAGGTTCTAGGAATGATCCGACTGGTGGATGGATTCTGATCGGATTCGGTCAGAGTGATTCGCACCAGAGTCATCCTATCAAATACTTCGTATAGAGATCGACACGAAAGACACTTTTGTGAGATTCGAGACGGACAACTGAAATCGAGTCGATCGGATAGGCGGTGATCGACCTTGGCGAGTAGCACCAGCCTGGATGTTGTGGAGCTCAACCTGTCGGCACTCCATCAACGGATGTTCGTATCGAGACTTGTAGACAGACGTAAGCGGACGAGTACTCTTGGCCAGGCCGTACGCAGTACCGGCGATTTCGTAGTGCTCCAAGCGATGAAGTGAAGATTAATACAGATTACCTGAATTCTATATGTCTGTTCCGGTCGTTAGGCCATGCAGATCGATGACGGACTGCTCAAGGTAGAACGAAGATACGAAGTGAGATCGTGCTGCTTAGGGGTGAATCTCAGAGAGGTGATCGACCATGGATCGAGGGCAAAGTGAACAAGTTGTTGAAGTCCAAGTTGATGATGATCGTGTTCTCGTTGTCGTTTTTTTCAGGTACAACACAGAGCCTTATACTACTATGCGTGGACATTATATCACCGTCTCGCAGTACTGGTCGGACTATAAGGTGTTTTGCAAGAAGATGATCCCTGTCATCAAGACCTGCGGTGTTGAGATCAAGAACATCCTCGGTAAGCAGAACAGTGCTATCAGATTATCTCTGAACTGATTCGGGTTTTGAGTCTCATGCAGCCGCAGCCCTGAAAGCAAAGAATGGTGATGGAGAAGCGGCACTGCAAGTCATGGGAACGCTCGGTCTGGACTGGGACCAAACGGGCAAGATGGAAGAGATGAAGAGTGAGAATTCAATTGAGAGAAGTTGCCCGTCATCATCATCGTCCTCGCCCTCGCCGCCCTCGTCGTTATCGCCATTCTGTTTTTCGCCATTAACAACCTCTTCGCCGACCTTCTCGCTAGCAGCGTCGCGGTTCGACTCGAGCTCGTCGACCTCCATCTATTACGAGAGCGAAATGCGATGAAAGTCAGCTCCGAAATTTCGGAACCGGGATGGAGAGCGAAGCAGAATTACCTTGTCGCCGTCAATGCCGGTCTCGCTCTTCTCCTCTTCCGGAGAGTACTCAGCCTTGATCCAACCAATAAAGTCCTTTATCATTGGTGGTCCCTCTTCATACTCCTTGGTCTTGGTGTCAAGCTGGGCTGGAGGGGATACCTCCTCGTTGTCGATTAGCCGGATCTGATTTTCGGCCAATCCGACAACGTCCCAAGCGGTAGACAGCTTGTCGAGGATGGCCTTGACGCCAGGAGCTTTCTTCTCGAGGATCTAAAGTTACCGTGAAAGCAGCATTCGGGAACAGTGACTTAGTCAATGACGTTTGCGAACAGCAACGGGGAGAAGCGGAGAAGAAGCGAAGAACCGGGACATAGGTATGCAGACGATACGTACCTTTTCAGATTTCACCCTCTGCGTAGCTCTCCACTTCTTAGCCTTCTCCATCTCCTTAGCAACCTCTTTAGCCTTCTTGGCCTCCTCCTTCTTCGCCGCAGCGGCCGTTTGTTTTTTTGGAAGGAGAGGAAGGCGGGGTAGATTTCGCGGGAGAGGTAGGCGGGGTGGAGGGTTCCGGGGAGGGGGTACCGGCGATGGAGGCGGGGAGCTCATCTCGGAGGCTACAGGATATCGAGATGAAAGAAGGTTGAGATACGAAGGCGTCAGTAGGGAAGTCGACGTCGGAAGATCGAAAGCGAACCGTCGGAAGCTTGTACTTACAAGACATGTTTTGATGTCGATGTTGCTGTTCGAGACGAGAGAAGGTGAAGTCGAAGGTGAAATCGAATTCGAATTGGTATGAGAAGGTAGAAGTTGAAAGATTGAATTCCCTCTGCCCCCTCGTTCTTGCTCGACACCGTCGAACCTATATACCTTCTCACGTACTCTTGATCGCGTGACAACAGCGTGACCTGGTGTGCGGGAGGCTGTGTGCAGAATGTCTTTGAATGAGTGACCAGTTGGCAGTGTGGGCTGTACAGGGCGGACTGAGAAGCTCAATCTGAACAGTTGACAATATCTTCCTGGCAAGTGACATCAAGAGGGAGCGGGGGCAGGTCTTTCATCTCTGAATCATATGTCCTTGATGATTTCCTGCTCGACGTGGAGGACATGGTCGGGCATGAAAGCGAGGTGTTTCTCCAACTGCCTGCACCCTTTTGAGTGAATGTCGGTACTGGAGTCTCATCGTATTTGGCTCTCATAGTAGATGCACGTCGACGAACTGCAGTCGAGCGGCAGATCTCCGACAAAGAACGGCGATGCCGATAGCGAGAATCGCGGGGAGAAGGTCGATGATGTGACAAGGACCAGGAGGGCGAGGATGACGACCGCGAGTGGTTTGACTTTACGATATAATGACTTTATGAGGATGGATGACCGAATATATGGAGTATACGGCGAGAATGTGGTCATGATCGTGCAACTTTCCCTCAATACCGAGGTGCAAGGTAGACAATCGCGTAATCGCCTCCCAATCCGACCTCGGGGGGAAACTCGACCAGAGAGAAATTAAGATATGAATCGATGATCACGGATAACGTATGGTGTTTCGTGCTTGTCTGTGGCGGGTTCCCGCGCGTGTCTACCGGCGCCTACTGGCTCTGACGCGCGGGACATCTACTCGTACACGCACGTCCTTTTCCCAAGAATACAACCTGGACATGGCAAACCTTCACCCCTTCCACCCCACTTGACTTGGAATGGCACTCTCTTCTTCTCTCCTGGATATTTCCTATCCTCGCCTTGCCGCTGCCTGGACTGGTTGACCCTTGACTGGGCTTGGACCAGTTCGCCACGAATTACATCCGCGCTTACTTCCGCCTGGTGGGGTTCTCGTGCGTCCAGTGCCCCCCCCCCCCCTTGTGGTCGCTGCCAGGTATTAACACGTGTGCCAACGATCTTCACTTTTGTTGTGGACCTCTGACACGCTGGATAACAGAAATGGGTCTTCGGACCTACCTATTTATTTTTGCCATAGTTTCAGCGTTCTAGCTATCTTTTTGCGAGTTGTAGATCGTTTCGTAGATCGAATTCAAGGTGGTAGATTCAGCGGATATGCTTCCGATTGATCATCGGAAGCAAAATACGCGCGGGCGGCGGATGCAAGTACTCCCGCTCGGAAGCAGATCTCGCAGCTCGGAAGCAAATATCTCCACCCTGCCTCGACTGCAAGTCTCAGCTCTCGTCATCGACCATCCACATCACTCGGCTCGACCTTGATCATGAGTTGCACGCAAGTCGAGACCCCTCTGTCGAACAATCAGATCCATTTACCAAGCCTTACAAATCATTTCTGCATTCACCACAGCCCGAGACTCATAAGCTACACAATGGATGAAGAATACGACGTGCGTTGACTCGGTGTCAGGCTCGCTACGCTCGCTGACACCTCGCCTTCCTGATCATTCCAGGTCATCGTTTTGGTATGTCCGCACGTCTCCGACCATCGCGATGCAAACCGACTCTAGCTTACAATGCTTCTCTCGAATCCATCTCCCTCCACCTACTCGTACCCATGCTCTGCGGTTCCTGGCATGGATATGTCTATCGCCTAAACGGACGTCTTTTGTCTGTGCTCCACGGCGTGATGCGTGATCACGGCCACATCCGCCTTGGGGGAATGGCACTCATGGCGGATCTGGCTGCCTCTTTCTTTCAACTGTCGTGTGACTGGAACCATCCGGATCGACGAAAATCGTACCACCTCAACGGACTCGCCGACTACCATGACACACGAACACTGGTCGCCGTCCTCGACCTGGACCAATGTGAATGCCTGCGTGGTGGATTGTCCTCGCTCGCTTCGCTCGCTGCGGTGCGGATATTTCTGCGAAACCCCATCGGACCGCCTACATACGTGACCTTGCGACGATCACCTACTCCCCGCTCGAACACGGCCCTCTCTGCTCCCAACTGATGGCCGACAATTTCATCCAATCCATGTCTCCTCGCTGTGATGCGAATTGGGCACGGAATTTGACACTGCTGGATGTACGGCCGTACCACGATCGCACATGCATGCCGCATCCAACTGGTACTGGCTTTCCTACTCGGATGCTCCTCGCTCGCTTCGCTCGCTGCGGTGCGAACTTTTTCGGCGACCCTTGGGACCGCTCGCGAAATCAACGATCCCGGCCTCAACAACCTCTTTTACCGGCCGTCAATATCGTCCTCTTCATCTAACAGGGCACCGGGCTCACCGAATGTGTCCTCAGTGGACTGCTCAGCAAGAGCGGAAAGAAGGTCTTGCACATGGACCGGGAGGACTACTATGGAGGAGCTTCTGCCAGTCTCAACTTGACTCAGGTGAGCTTAGGCCGTCATCATCTGCAGTCAAATCTAGGCGCATAGCTAAAACACTCACTCCAACCCACAGCTCTTCAAGAAATTCCGCGACTCGGCCGCTCCCGATAACCTCGGTCGTGACCGTGACTACGCCGTCGACCTGATCCCCAAGTTCATCTTGGCCAGCGGAACGTTCACCCGAATGCTCGTTCACACCGACGTCGTCCGATACCTCGAGTTCAAGCAGATCGCGGGTTCCTACGTCTACCGCGATGGACGAATCAACAAGGTCCCTTCGAACGAGAGCGAGGCGCTGAGGAGCAGCTTGATGGGCTTGTTCGAGAAGCGAAGGGCGAGGTCGTTCTTCATGTTCTTGCAAAACTGGAAGGACAATGACCCCGCCACTCATCAGGGTCAGTGCGAGGTCGTCTCTTCTAGCTGATCCACGACTGACGCCTGTGCTATATCCACGCCCTTGCCACATCGACGCCCTTGCTACAGGTCTCAACCTCGACAAGAACACGATGAAGGACGTCTACACCAAATTCGGACTCGAGGCCGGTACCCAAGACTTTGTCGGTCACGCCATGGCCCTCTACTTGGACGACAGGTGCGGAGTGCTTTTCGAGTAATCAGTCTTTTGCACCCAGCTCAACCGACCACCTTTGCAGCTACCTCCAACGACCCGCTCGCGAGGCCTACGAGCGAATCCTCCTCTACACCTCGTCAATGGCCAGGTACGGCAAGTCGCCCTACATCTACTGCAGCTATGGTCTCGGCGAACTTCCCCAAGCCTTTGCGCGGCTGTCGGCCATCTACGGAGGTACCTACATGCTCGCCAAACCGATCGAAAAGATTGTCACTGGCGACGATGGCAAATTCGTCGGCGTGACCAGCGAGGGCGAGACGGTCAAGGCCAAGATGGTCATCGGCGACCCATCCTACTTTGGAGCCGGTAACCCTGATGGCCAGGACGGCAAGATGCGTGTCGTCGAGGAGAAAAAGGTCGTCCGAGCGATCTGTATCCTCAAGCACCCCGTGCCCGGTACGGACGATGCCGACTCGACCCAGATCATCATCCCCCAGAACCAGGTTGGACGCAAGAACGGTGGGTGGACGAGGTCAAGGTTGTCGGGCCATGCGATTGCTGACACCAATCTCCCTCCACATAGACATCTACATCGCTTGCATCTCGTCGGCGCAAAACGTCTGCCCGGCCAACCTCTACATCGCCATCGTGTCGACCATCGTCGAGACTTCGGTACCCGAGCGTGAACTCTTGCCCGGTCTCCAGCTCCTCGGCACCATTCAGGAAAAGTGAGTCGCACCGTTGCCACTCAACTTCGCCCCGGCCAGTAGCTGACAACCGATCCGCCCTCGCTCCTGCAGGTTCGTCTCGATCGACCCGTTGTACACCCCTACGGCCGATGGCAAGCAGGACAACATCTTCATCACCAAGAGTTACGATGCTACGACCCATTTCGAGACCGTGGCCGAGGACGTTGCTGACGTTTGGGAACGTATCACCGTGAGTTTTCCGCCCGCGCGGGTCCTTCGCGCTTTGGGGCATATCAAAAGCTGACATCCTCGACGTGCGGCGCGCGACGAATCGACAGGGCGAGAAGCTTTCCCTGGAGAAGAGCGACGTCGAGATTCAAGGATAGGGAAGGCGATCTAGTCGCTAGTCGAGACTCCGTGCTCTGTGTATATACCGTTGTCTGCCCTTCCCTCTCTTTCTTCACTGTCTTATCCGATCTGTGATTTTACGTTCTTTCCGCGGCTTCCGGCGTTTCCTAGGCGTGAATGGGTGGTGTTGCGTGCGTCATCGCCGATGCGGAATGGTCTCCGAAGGGGGCAAGGGGCCATTGCTGACGAGGGCGACAAGCTGCCAACCACCAGCTAAAAAGGCCATCAACACCTTCGTCACAAGCATCCTCTCACTCATCCTAATCATACTAGACATCTACACCAAACACCTCAGCTGAAACTCTCAACTACACCATGTCCTCCTTGATGAAATTCCTCGTCGGTGGTAACGGCAAGACCGTCACCCTCTTCACCTTTGACGCCGCTTCCAAGTCGATCAACCTCGTCAAGACCAACTCTGGATTCACCACGCCGTCTTGGATCGAGTCTAGCGTGTCGTCCAGTCTCCGAGGCAAGGTCTTTTACGCCGTCAGCGAGGAGAACGGCAAGGTTCAGAGCCTCGAACTCAAGGATGACGGTACGGTCGTCGAGACTGGGTCGGCGCCCACGGGCGGAAACCCTGCTCATGGTATGTGTCATCTTGTAGTCGTTGTGAAGGAGCTCGGTAGGCTAAATGCATCGACTATGTTCTCTCAGTCCACGCTTTGAAGGATGGATCCGGGTTGATCGCTACCAACGTCGGTTTCATCCCTGCGTACGACCGACACCCTTTGCTGATGTATGACCTCTCCAACTAATAGTACATGGGCGGCTCTGCCGTCTTCATCCCTGTCGACCGTTCTACCGGAGTCATCACCGCCGCCGCTTCGACCACCCAATCCTTGTTGTCCAACGTGACTACCAACGTCGGTTCGGTCTCGCCCGTCTTCGAATTCCAGTCTCATAGCCCTTACGCCAAGTCGAGGGGACCCAACAGCGAGAGGCAGGAGGCTAGTCATCCCCATCAGTGTACTGAGGGTCAGGTCAGTCGCCGTGAACCTGAAGACGATTTTGGTCGAGATCGTGCTGAACATGCGTTGGGTCATGATGAATAGAACGGAGAGTTGTATGTCTGTGATCTCGGCTCGGACCGTATCTGGCAGCTCGAGCGCAAGGGGGAGAACGAGCTCCAGCTCGTTGCCCAAGCCGATGCCATATCTGGTGCCGGTCCTCGTCACGCCGCCTTGCATTCCAACGGTGAGAATGCGAGCGGTCTTGATGTGAGACGAAAAGACCATCTCGCTTATCGCGACTACTCCAGGCAAATACCTCTACTTGATCACCGAGCTCATCCACAAGGCCTTCATCTACCCCGTTCCCTTTGGCAAGGCCGCTACCAGTCCCCTTCACTCTGGAGGAACCTTGACCGCCCCGGCCGACATCCCGAACGAGCTCTACAAGGAGATGACCTCGGGCGAGATCGTCCTCCACCCGACCAACGACCGGGTGCTCTACATCTCCAACCGTGGCCAAGTCGACCTCAACTCCAAGACCGGCAAGAACGTCAAGGGAGACGCCATCGCCGTCTTGACCCTGAACGAACAGGGTGACGAGTTTACCAACGTCGAGATCGTGCCTACCGAGATCAACTTTATCCGAGGGATGCAGATCTCGGCGGATGGCAAGTACCTCGGTGTCGTCGGACAAAAGGACGGCAAAGTCGCCGTCTACCAGACCGGGGGACAGTATGGAGAAAAGATCGAGCTCGTCGCTAGCGTCGATGCTGGCCTGGACATGCCTACCGACGTCACCTGGTTCTAGGCCGATGTAACAAGTCGGGCGTCTCGTCAAAACAAGGTGTTTCGCGACGTGAATCGTGTATCCGAGTAGAAAATATAGAAATTTGATTGATCACGGTTCCGTTACAGCGAACGAAACAGACGCTCAAACAAGAGAGAATTACTCGCCTGACGCTCATTCCTATGCTGATGTACAAGTTGGATATCACAACTCGCGATCCTGCATAGTCACATCCTTCTCCCTGAATCTCATCGCTTCCCCTACTTGTCGTCCTCGGCGTAGGAGTCTGCCCAACTGGCCGCCGCCGCCTTTTCCACATCGTCGAGCGTGCCTACCGGCTCGACCGGGTTTGACATGACCTCAACTTCCGGGTTGACGGCAGGCGCATCGTTCTTCCTGTTCGACGTCGACTGACGGCCCGATGCCTGTTCTGGACGTCCGCCTCGTCGACCTCGACCCCCTCTCGAGCTGGCACCTGCACCTTCCCGGTCCTCACCACCTCGACCACCTCGATCCCGTCGATCGCTCCAGCTGGACCGTTCCTCGTCCCGTCGACCGTACCCCCCACGCCCCCCGTTCCAACCACCTCCCCTCTGACCCTGTTGTCCACCCCAGCCCGATTCTCGCGAAGGGAGCTCCTGCTCGACCCTCTCTCCATCTTCTTCTCCACCACCTCCCATCGCCTTCAGCCTGGCCAGCTTGACCTTCCTCGCCCTCTCCCTCTCCTCGTCCACCCTGGTCTGCTCATTCAGCCTCCTCTCCTTCTCCTCCTTGGCTTTCCGACGACGTTCCTCTTCCCTCTCAATGGCCGCCTGATCGGCTTTGGCAGCTTCGGCAGCGTAGACCTCGGCATCCCTAGCTTGAGCTTGGGATCGTGCGAGGGCTTCGGCATTGACGAGACGCATACGGGCCATCTTTTCTTCGAGCTCGGCCTCGGAAAGTTTTTCCTACAGGTCGAACGGAATGACATTAGGCGAATCAGCTCAAGAATGGTAGGTTTCGCACGATCAAGCTGAACTCACTCGTTTGGTAGGCGGAGGCGGCACGTAACCTCGAGGTTCCCGGTTTACAGGTGCAGCAGTAACACCCTTTGCCTGCCTGACACCCCCCTCGTTACCGTTGCTCACAACAGAACCATCTCCGATTGTCGCAGCCGTACTCTCAGAGACCGGAGTTGAAGGCGAACTGATCGGGGTCTGACCTCGAGGTCGAGCGGACGAAGGGGTCCGCCCGGAAGGACCTCCTCCACGACCACTCTGAGAGGAAGGGGTCCGGGGGACAAACCCATCCCCACCAGGACGTTGAGAGCCTCGTGGGGAAGAACTGCTCAAGGACGAGCGAGGAGAACGGTTCGGCCTCGACCCATCTTTGCTCTGGAAGATAAAGGTGGCTGCGGTCGGGTTGAGTTTTTTCGGGTAGTTCGTGGTATCTTTCGATTCGGTCACATCGTCTCGTTCCTTCTTGTCGAATCCATACGCATCCTTCTTGTCATCGAGACTGTCTTCACAGTACGAGTTCCCAGAGGCATCATTGCCCGTGGCCGGAAGGACGTGATCGGTTACCAAGATCTGTTGGGCCGTTTCGTTCTCGTTGTCCTGTTTGAACGGTTTCGAGGGAGAGGAGGTATCTGCCATTTTGGGCTATTTCGAAGGGCGTTGCAGAGGTAGCTTCCGGTATGGACCCTGTGGGTTTATATAGATGGGCGACCTACAACGATAAACGTACAATAATGTTGTAGAATTTGCGAGTAGATGGATGGATGGATGGATGGATGGATGGATGATTGTTCAGCTCGCCCGAGCTCGAGGTTGCTGCTGCGTCATGACGCGCAGGAACTACTTCTGTCAACCTACGAGTACATACCATATACTACCCATGTATTACACAACTCATTACCTTCACACTACGATTCTCAGAGCTTCAACCGGTTCTGATCTACATCTGTCTTACGTTTTTGCAAGATGGAAGCCCTCGACACGTTATCCATGGCGCCTCCGGGCTCCATGTCGCTGGCAACCCAGGTCGGAGGTCACGGCGGCGTGATGAGCGATGCCAGTGGTAGTATCGTCATGAAGGTATGTTGTCCTCGCAAATCCCTCTAGTACTACGCTGTTCATGTCTCTGACGGTACCCTGTTCTGCGCTGTATCGTAGCCCGCTACCACTCGGGAAATTGCCTTCTACCAACTCCTATCATCCGCACCGAACCCAGCTCGACCTACCGCTTCTTCTACGATCAATCCTTCAGATGTTCAACAAGGACCTACTACGAAATACGACCGTCTGTTGCAACGTCAACTTCTGGGAGAGCTAAAACGGTTCCTGCCTCGATTCTATGGCACTCTTCGGTTGGAAGGTCAGGTGGGAAAGGAAGGCGGGGTTACACCCGTAGGAGAGACGCCCGAGGTCGGTTCATGTCCTTTATGAAACTGTACCCTTTCACATTACCATTACTCATTCTTTTCTTCCATTCATTACTCGTCATCATATAGTCCATCGTCCTGCAAAACTTATCCGCTCCTTACGTCCGTCCTTGTATCCTGGACATCAAACTCGGGACGGTCCTCTACGACCGAGACGCTAGCGAAGAAAAAAAGGCGAGGATGGAGAAACGGGCCAAGGAGGGAACGAGCTTTGAGACTGGCGTCAGGATGACCGGTTTCCAGGTGAGTCAGTGCAAGTCGCACAAAGTCCAATCATGAAGCTGATGAGCTAGGTTATGCTCTGATGGCGGGCATAGAACTGGGATCCCGTTAGCAAAGAAATGATCGTTACGGACAAGGCATACGGATACGCATTGACTGTCGACCGTCTTCCTGAGGGGTTCGCCAAATTCTTCCCTCTACCCGGACAGAATCAGACCGACGATAGAGCCGAGCCTGCTCGTGCGGTACAAAGTGAGGAAGCCGAACCGGTCGTACAAGAGGGACAAGTTCCTGTCGAAGCTGGATCGTCCTCTGCCGACTCTACCAACATCACACATGCTACTACTTCGTCGAGCTCGACCGAAGCCTACAAGCACTCGCTCGTGCGAGTCCTCCGAGCGTTACATCGAAGCATCTCGGACCTGTACGCCCTGCTCGACCGACTCGAAATCAGATTCATCGGCGCCTCCCTCTTGATCGTCTACGAAGGCGACCCTGAGGCTCTGGAGACCGCTTGGAAAATCGTCGACGAGGAAGGTCAGGGCAGGGGGGACGGGCTGGACGAGTTCGGACCGGATTTGAGTGGGGATGATGAGAGCGATAGCGCGTCCGAAGAGGAGGGCGATATGGGCGGACAAGGGATCACGGCAGGCGATGCCACTCCTGTGGGCAAAGTTTCGAAGCCTGGATTCTTTAGCGGGTTGATCGGCGGGTTTGGGGCAGAGAAGAAGGACGGGTCGACCGGGTTCGGCCTTTTGGACAAGGTTCCTCCTCGACGACGCCGGGCCAACGACGGTGCTCCGGATCACGACCACGAACGAGACGACACGGATGATGACGAGGACAACGACGCAGACGAGGAAGAGGACGAGACCCGACCGAGGCCGTTCACCGCGAGGATCATCGATTTCGCGCATACTCGGTTGGTCCACGGGGAGGGCAAGGACGTCGGATTTTTGAAAGGGTTGGAGACGGTGTTGAGACTGATTGAGGGAAGGTTGAACGAGCTGGAAAGCTCGCGATAGATGAGCGGACGAAGCGGGACTCGGTGTCTGGTTCGCATCTTGATGGATTCTAACGATCTTTTTAACGTAAACGGCTTTGTGTGTTTCTTCTTGATTCTTATTCTGTCTTACGCCATGTAACGATCTCATATCGACATACCTTGTGTTCTCTGGAGATCCGTCTTGACTTGGACCATCACGATTGGCTCCCGCTCTTTTCGTGTTTCATGTCGAGGATCACGGGGGTAGACCGCGCGGATGCAAAAAAGAGAATCAACAAAGACCAAGTGATCGAGACGATCCTCTTCCTCTTTCCTCGAAAAGTTGCATATACTTCAGCTCGTCTCGAGTCAGAACATATATAGACTCGGACACAAACACGCACACACACACGTCATGGGTCAGAAGTTCTCAGCTTGGAAACAATCTCACAAGGAGAAAAAGGCCGCAAAGGAGCGGGAAGAGGCGGCCAAGAGGAAGAACGCTCCGCATCAACAGTAAGCAGCGTTCGAATGATTCAGGGTCCTTTGGCGAGTCTCTACCTTCGAACATATCTGATCCTTATGTCACTCGCTATTCCTGGACAGTGGGGATTATACCATCGGGGATCCGACTGTACCTGACGTTCCCAACCCCGCTCCTGCCCCTCCAGCTCCAGCTCCGGCCCCCGTAGCGGGAGCGGCTACGGCCGTCTCGATCGGGATGCTCAGGGACCTCGCTCCTGACCCAAACTCTCGTCCCGAAAACCATGAGGCTCAGATCTTGGCTTCTCAGCGAGAAAACGTTGCGCCCGGATCGACCACTACAGGCGCTGGTACCGGAGCTGCCGGAGGTGGCTACCCTTACGCTGGAACCGCGGCGGGAGGTTACGGTCTCATGGGTGGAGATTTCGGCGGAGATCCGGATAGGGATGGTGTGGACGATGACGCTGGGACGGGTGGAGTTGGAGGTATGGGGAGTGGTGGGATGAGTGGTGGCGGCGGGATGGGAGGCAGCACTGGAGGTGGTGGTGGTGGTGGGCCGACCGCTTGATAACGGGGCTTGCGACAATGTGAGCCTGCTCCGACATCATATCGACCCGTATGTTCATCAACGGCTCTGATCACCTTGTTGCAGACTTACAGAGATTTCATACACGCTGCTTTGGTGATGAAGATGCTGTGGCAACAAGAACAACGAACACGCAGGGGTGTCTTTCCGTAGCGCGCCACATACGAGATTGTCCAACCATGCCGAACGAATACATATATACCATTTCAGCTCACTCCCCACGTGAGGAGGAAATTACAAGACTGACACGCTTGAGCAGATAGTGATCCGTCTTCTCCTTGGGCTTCCTCGAGATATACTGGCCCTCCTTTGTGCGACCCCGTGTAAGGGAGAAACCTGACGATGGCAGATGTGGGCGAGCACTAGTACAAAGCTGTGTCGCGGTCCACCATAATCGATTGGATAGATGCAAATTTGAACAGAGTATATTTCAAATCAACCCAAAAACTTTCGGCGTCAAGACTTACATCGAGCGTGACATGGCCGAAAAGTATCCTCATCGCAGGACAGGAACGAAAGCAGATTGGATACGCGATGAAACTGGGTGGAACGAGGCTTATAATCATATTGCCGGAAAGGAAGCCTTCTTGAAAAGAAACGACATCACCGATCCACAAGGCACTCCGCTTGCCAAGATATCTCTCGAGATCACCCTCACCAAATTATGGAGCGACGAATTGAAGGATTTGGGGTGTTCCGTCAAAGTGACGATCCGCAATCGAGGAAAAGATGAACCACAACTCAAAGTGTTGGGCCTCACGATCGAACCAAACGGTTGGAAATGTCCACAAGGCGTCTTCGCATGGTATTACAAGCTACCATCGCAGCGATCTGTCGACCGAGACAACGACTCCGCATCAGAGCACGCTTCCGTTCACAGCAGCGCGAGTGACACGCAGCCGAGCAGTGAGGAACCGTCCCTTGCCGACAGCTCGAAGATTGGGTCCTCCGACATCAATTCCTTGCGTTCCAGTGTGAAGACAGCGAGGAAAAGCTTACTTAGTGATTAGCTATGAAGAGATTGTTCTGGGAGGCATCGTCTTAGCGCTGTAACCATACATATTGCTTTAGCAATCACGAGGACGCAGTGTTTACGAGGACGACTTGGTACCAAATTGAGAGCCTAGCGATTCTTACACATAATCACGCGCATTCGCTAGCTTCGCTCCAGCCCCGACTTGGCGATGGATTGAATACCCGGTCTTCGTGACACTACAGGCAGGGTCGCGCTTGGATGGAACACGTTTGTTGGTGATTTGCTAAGGCGAATGTCCCATCCTGGCGCGACCCTGGGGACGCTCCTCTGCCTCAGCTGGGCTGCTTAAAATGGGTGAACTGCTTCACTGAACAGGATGGCTGCGCGACCGGGCACCGAGGGCAAAAGGTAAAACTTTCCCTCGATAATCCCTGTTAGAACCCCGAGTCTCCACCTATCAGACTGAAAGGATACACGCTCAGGAACGTTTCAAACACGTTCTTGGCGCTTGGGATCTAAACTCATGTTTCACGTCTCCTTTGTTACCTAGGAGAGTGAAATTCGAAGAGCAAGTATAAAGGCACAAACCGAGTCGGTGACCAGGTACACTGGGCCCATCGATGTCAGAATGGAGCTCGACAACATTCTCCGAAAACTTCACCAAAACACCATGTATACCGGGTCGCAACACAACTGGGCGGACCCGGAATACAAAAAAGCTCTAGACTTCATGGCCGAACAAGGGAGCGCAATCCAACGACTTCGTCAAAGGCACATCTCTTTACATCGGCGCAGCCGCGAATTCAAATTCGACATGCATCAATCCGAAGAGAGCAAGCTTATAAAGTCATGGATGGAGAAATGTGGCGATGAGAACGTGGACAGGCTGGTTTATACCGTCCGGAAGCGCCGTTACGGAAAGCCGCCGCTCAAGGCCATCGGGTTCGTCAGGGACACGAAGGTATTCGTGTGTTACCTTCCTTTACCTGGAGGCGGAAGCCTTCCCTCACCCGAAGTTACAGGACGGCAAGTCCGAGTGCATGATCCATATGATCCACAGCCGGGATATCGAAGCTCCATGCACCACTACGACTCCGACTCCGACTCCTACTCGAGCTTTAGTAGGAGGGGAAGCTCATCCTATCCCGCGAACATGAGCTACAATGTTTTAACGGGCGGGAGCGGACGTCGTTCTCCCTCGACCTGGACTGGGCCATCCATGTCATGGAAGGCTTCAGCAACTAGGCCATCCATTCTCTCCCGCTTCCCTAGGTATTAGACACTGGACAGGGTGTAGATTGCTTGGAACTTACGGTGCCAGGAAGCTGTCACACGATTCAACCCAATGCAGGGGGGAGAGGCATCGGCATGTCACGTTTCAATTCGAGGTACATTAGATCATTACATTGGATCATTATTGTTATACTGTACCAGATTACGGGACGTAATCCATCCAATCAGTGATCTGTCTGACGTGCGGTGTGCTGTGTAAACTCAGGACTCGATGTTGTGCTTGTCCATCGTGGCCGAGCCTGAGTAAAGCGACAATATCGTGCACTGGGTACACGTGCATCCATTCGTCAATGTCATAAAGAAAACTCTCAGAGAATGCTGATCCAGCAAGAACAACATCGATAAGAACAACATCGATCCAGCATTGAAGGCAAATCGCTCGAGATCGAATTTCTGTCATACACAGATACCATCCCGTGCGCGTATTCATAATGTGAGACGTTACAGATTTCGTTAGGTTGATGTCTTGGCATCGATGTTACCAACCCAAGTGGTTTTCCGACTACGCATCACCCGACGCGGTTCTCTGCCTTGACCTGGCACTGGTCGTACTCCCGCTCGAAGAGATGACCCTCGTCCTGGATCCTAGGCTACCAACTCCCGGCTCGCTCAAACTTCCCACGCTCTCCTTCCTCATAGAGCCTTCCGCCTTGCCCTTTCCACCGACAGGACTAGGCGAGGCAGTGACTTTCTGCTTGGTCTTGGCGAGACTGCTCGCAGTAGGCGCGTACAACGGGGACCGCTCGATCGCCCTAGTCCCGGTAGGTTGCGGACGAAGCGGAGTGATCGCACCAGTATGATGCGGCTTCAATGACTGGATGTGAGCAGGAGAAGGGGAAGCGGTGGATCCGGTATGTGACGGTCTCAACGGCGTTACCCCTTGGCTGGATGGTGTAAGGGATTTGCGTACTGTTCGCGGAACGGCCGCGGGGGTTGTCGGTTTTGATTGAGCGTGAGGCGAAGTCCGGGTAGAGGTAGTAGGAGGAGCGCTGCTCTTTGTGGGCCTACCGCTCGGGGTAGAAGATTTCTGAGCGGGCAGACCCCCGGTCTTTTGCGCTTTGATAGGGGTTTGAGAGGCGGTCGAAGGTGTCTTGCTGGGGGTTGTCGCAGCTCGAGTCTGTCGAGGTGTAGTCTTCGCAGGGATAGGCTTCTGCGGAACAGGCGACTTCGACGTAGATGGAGCCGGGACAGGACCAGGAGATTTGACCTTTGTTTCCTGCTGCTTTGCAATCTCCGGTTGCGCAGACGGCTCCGCTACAGCCTCGAGCGGAACTTGGATCTCCTTGTTCTCGTCGACGGGTTCCGGTGCTTTCCCGGTATGCTCTGCTTGTTGCGATTCAACAGCGTCCTGATGCGGGACTCTTCTCTCGACCGGAGCGTCACTTCGATCCGCGATATCGCTTGTGACCGGAACATCCTCCTGTTCTCGGATCTCCAGCTGAGCCATAGCGTTGACGGCAGCAGTAGTATCGAATGTTTTCTCGTCCCCGACCTCGACGTCTTTCCCCTGCTCCCCGATAATGTCCTTGTCCTCCCCGACGGCCTGCTCCGATGTATTCCCGCTCATGATCGAAGCTTCAGGTTCGGCAGCAAGACCAGTCTCGACTTCCGGTGTGACCGGAATCGCATCGGAATTGCCATCTCTTTCCTGCTCCTCTTCATCCTTTGCCTCCTCCTTCTCCCTCATATCCTCCTGCTGTTCGCTCGTGGCTGAGATATCGGTTTTGACAGTTTTTGCCGTCGAATCTTCCGGACGAGAATCTTGAGCTGGAGGTGAGGTTGGGACCGGACTCGACGCCGGAGCAGGAGCAGGAGTGGGACCAGAGGCGTGTTCATCGTCTGAATCAGGGTTGGCGACGTCGACTGCCTGATTCTGGACGACAGGTTCATTCATCCCCTGAGCAGATGTCAACTGTTCCTCGACCTTGACATCAGTCTTTTCTTGAGCACTCCCGGTAGCTCCCTGCTTCCCATCTTCCGTGATCTCGAGTTTCCCAGGTGTATGCTGTCTCATCTCCTCCGGTTCATCCATCAAGACCTCCTCCTTCTCCTCTTGAGCCGCCTCTTTCTTCCCATCCGTCTGCCCCTCTCTCAACTTCCCTCTCTCCACCCTGACTTCGAAATCAGAGCCCACGCTCCCACTCTCCGACACCCCTGAAGCTCTTCTCCACCCGGACCCGCTCTTCTCAAAGATGGCCGACCCCGACGGCAGTCCCGATCCCACACCTGAGCCCGAACTCGAGCCAGAGACGGACCTCCCGGGAGGTCGGGTACGTTCTTGTCGTTCTTTCTGACGGGACGCGGCGTCCGAGGCTTGTTGGAACCGTTTGATGAGATTGTTTACCTGTGGGGAGTGGTACACGAATCGGGTTACACGCTCAGATCAGCATCGATACTGCAAAAGCAGTTTGGTCGTGGTACAGTCGGAGGAGCTTACCGAGCCTTGTGATTTCTCGATAGGAAGAGGCCTATGAAAGCAACAGATTGTTTCGTATCAGCGGCATGATGAAACCCTTGCTCATGTGATCGCCGTGTTACTCACATTTCGTTCGTGTCTGTTCTTCGTTACGTTCTACGTCTCACTGATTTCGTTAGGTATTTGAGGTAGCGCTTTATTGACTATCCAGGTGTTGAAATTCTGGTGTTCGAGTGGACTCGAAGAGAGGTGTACTGGCCGTGATCCTCAAGATATCCTCGTTTGCTAGAGAAAGGAAGGGCGAGTCCGGAACAGGGGGTCGATCCGAAACGAAGTGAAGAGCGGTCCGACTTCTTTCAGATCTACCGAGAAGAGGCTCTTATTGCGGATGTGCAAGACGTCACCGACTTTCGATCGTAGAGAGTGTCAGGAGGATACCATGAGCATTCGAGGCGAATGGGTGAACCATCAGCTGGTTTCTCTTTTGTCCTTGAGCTTTGAGGGAACGTCTTCGGTCAAATCCGAAATGGGGGGAATGTCTACCCTCAAGTTGCACTTTGGGACAGGGTCGACCATCAAGTGAATAGCACTCTGTAAATCTTGGATGCAGTCTGACAGAATCTGCCTGAATCACATGCCCACGATGACTCGTCTGCGGGTGTGAAGTGATCATATCACGGCTGGTTGTTACCAAGGCAAGGCGTGTAGCCACCCCACCCCTCGTCCATGACGAATGGCTACTCGCAGGTTGCGCGGGGAGTCGACCTCGTTGACCAGATCACCGTCGATACAACTTGCTACTCTCGATCGTGTACTACTCCAAACCGCCATCTGAGCGTCTCATCGACCTTAACTCCCCGCAGAGTAGCTTCCTTCGCCTACCGTACCAGAACACCTCTTTCAACTTCGTACCTCGACCTCAACCCCGCATCGATCCCCTCATGTCGTCCTTCAAGCCTTTTCCCAAGAAACCCGTCGTCCTCGTAACGGCAAGTTTCTCTTCCTCCCCGCCCTCTGTCTTGTTCTGTCTCAAGGTGAAACTTGATAGGCTGATTGTGACATCCCTCTTCCTCCCGACAGAACGACGACGGTCCTCCCTCCGCCTCGTCCCCAAACATCTACTCGTTTGTCAAGCTCCTTCAGGAACAACTCGGATGGGACGTGAGAGTCGTCATTCCCGACTGTCAGAAAAGCTGGTCAGAAAATCGCTTCCTGGTGGATCATACGAACCGGAAGGGATGTCCGAGCTGATCAGCGTGACTCCGGGATGTACAGGGTCGGAAAGGCGTATGCGATCAGCGATATCATCGATGGCAAATACTTTTACCCTCGAGGTGAGTACCAACCTCGTCCCTCAATGACGAGGCCCGATATTCCTCCTGGCCGTCAGCAAGACTTACCATCTGCTGTGCTTCTTCTTATACTTCAGGCCCTGATGGTCTTGAAGGAGAGATCACCAGCGAGAAGAGACCGTTGAAAGAAGGGGAGACGATGGAGTGGATCTTGTTGACCGGGGTGAGTAGTCGATCTGTATCATCGACCTCCCTGACATAGCAGTACTGAACCAGAAAATCCCATCTTGTTGTGGTGCTAGACACCAGCTACTTGTGCTAACATCGCTTTGCACAACATCTATCCGGGAGAGATCGATCTGGTCATCTCGGGTCCGAACCGTCAGTCCTCCGTTCATCTACCCTCCGAGTGACCGTTGACCACGGCTGACATGCCTCATTTCCGGTTCTCATCGATGTCCAAATCTATGCCCCCCACAGACGGCCGAAACTCCTCGTCTGCATTCTGTCTATCCTCCGGGACGATCGGCGCTACCCTCTCGTCCACCCTGTCCTCCTACCCTTCCATCGCCATCTCGTACGGTGTCGTCACCAGGCCCGTCCTCCCGCGTTGTCTAGAGCTGGCGAATGAGACCGCGGTCGAGGTCGTCCAGAAGTTATGGGAAGATTGGGGGAACGATGGGACGCCGAATGCTCCTTGGCAGTACGCCTTGGGTTCGGGCGAGGGTGGCCATCGGATGAAGGGCAAGGTGCAGCTGTATAATGTCAATCTGGCGTTGATCGAGAAGAGCCTGGAGAAAGAGAACCGAAAGGTCGTATGGACCCGAATAGCGAGGAATGGGTACGGCTCGTTGTTCAAGACGAAACCGCTGTGAGTGACTTGGCCTCCATTTGACGCTGTCTTTCGAGGTTCAGGACCTCATACGCCAGAGTCGATTTTGCAGAGACCCGAATGAGAACCGTTGGGACAGCGCTGCGCCGAAAGACAAGAAGGAGACGCTACCTTTCAATAATGGGGAAAACTCTGCCGGTATCGTCACCATAGATGACGAGGAGAAACCTGCACCTACAAAGTCGGCAGCAGGAAAGGAAAACGCCCCGCAAACACAGACACCCTCTTCGCAGACCGCTCGACCCGCCGGACCTGGAGCATTACCGGTGGCGGCGAAGCAAGAAGATACGGCAAGCAAGGGCTCGATGGGAGAAAAGTCTGCCGAGGAGGCAAGGTTGAGGTTCTTCTTTTCACCCGAGTTGAAACGGTTGATTTTCCCTGAAGAGGACTCGTTGGAGGAAGGGACCGATTCGTAAGTCCCTCCCTCCCCCTCGCACATCTTCTTTATATTCTATCCGTCGTGCCCAACCCCTCGAACTAACAATGACCTGCCGTACTCCTGTGCAGATGGGCATTGTTCCACGGTGCAGTCTCGGTAACGCCGCTTCAGGCCAGTTTCGCCGAAGCGCCGCCCGAATCATTCAGGTTCGGGTCAGAGAGCGAGACTCCAGCGACGGGCTCGGGCGAGATGGTCGGTCAGTGGAAAAAGTAGGTAGAAGGTGGACAGTCATGGAGGTGAGGCACGGAAGTTGGGTTCTAGGTGAATCTTGTGCGATGTCCTTCGCTGTATCTAGGCTAGATAGGGGTAGGAGATGTCTTGCTCTTGTGAGGTCATCGAACCCTCCGTGTCGATGCAAACGGGACGAGCCTATTCCTAACGAGTACTTGCGTCCCGACAAACTTGAAGGGTAAACGAAAGCTCATAGCATTGGTGACCATCGATCCTTCGACTTCGAAAACACGTTTACGACGACACCCAACTTCCGCATCGTCCCGGTTTCATTATTGAAAGCTTTTGTACGGTTTTGCGGCAAGATGGATCCTGGTAGGACATGGTGATGTTCGCTACCGGAAGACGTTGTTCTTCTTTACCCGATGATGTAGGAACTCGACCTAGGTCAATTGAACGTCGCCCTTCCGATTGCGTTCAAGTGTGATGGGAAGCGATCTGGTCATCTCCTCAAGGTAAGCTTTGGTGCCGAATCTCCAGCTCCTGCTGTACAGTGAAGATTCTTAAGGTGATGGGTTTTCAAGCTCGTTAAGCGCGGACCAGTCTATGCTGTTGCATGAGCTAGGCTTCCAGGCAGTCGTCACTCGCAGCTAATAGCACACGACCTAGTACCCCGAGTCTGTCAATCTATGAAGTGAGAGGCGCCAATAACCCGCGTGAGACTTTCCCCCCTACCAGATCACGCTCGATAACGATCGAATCCTGACGGGAAACGTGAGTCGAGCATGCGACCTGGAACCATTCCTGATCGAAGTAGCTCCCCGTAACCGTGATCGGACACAACGCGGTTCGATGAGTCGAGTTCATAAGGTGTTGCGAAGGGGAATTCAACACTCTGAATTCAGGCCACTTCACATGTCCCGATCTTGCTCTGCAGGTTCGTCAAGTGCCACTTTCGAGTCTGAAACGCCCTCGAACGCGTTCCGGAGCCAGAGAGGGAGATTAGCGCGGTGCCGAGGATTATGCTTTTCGGATGCTAATTATTTAGCGCGTATCGCGATCACAACAAACGGGGGGGAGCTGGGGTTCTCCGTGTTTCCATCAAATTAAACCCTCACTCTCACATCGACATACAGTATCGACCTGTGATCCTCTCCATGTCCATCCATCATCCTCTTCTCCTCCAAGCGACACCAATATACCAATCATACACACACTCGTTAGAATACACTCTCAGGTAGAGCCTCACTTCGACATACAACCCCCCTTTACGACACTCGATCGAAACGCGTTCTCAAACGACCCCCTCGCAACCTTTGATCACCTGCCCCCTTTCTACACGGTTCAGAGCTCCTTTTTCGACGACCTCGCCAACTCCCTTTTGCTTACGACCTATCCACAAACGTTTCGAGGCAAGAGGATCCGTGGCTTGTACACCACACGACCTACGACCTGGATCGACTGGATCTACATTAAACGCCGCACGCCACACACGACGACCCCGACGGAGATCTTCACAAGACACGACGTATTAGTCGCCAACGCATCATCGCTAGATTGGTTATCGCACAGCATAAACTCCCCTCGCCTCTCTTTGGGACTGAATAACGATCTGGGGAACAACAGTACCATTACCAACTCTGCTTTCTAGACAGAACTCTACACACCCCGGCCTTCTTCTACATCGGACCTTCTACGCTCGTTCTACTTCTTACAACCCTGTTCACTTCCTATCCGGTTCCAAACCTCTATCTCTACGAAGTCTACCCGAGTCCCAGCTAGCCTAGGACAAAAGGAACATCACCTCATCCACTTTCACTCTAAACATCAAACGGACCTAAAAACAACGCACCATAGACCACGATCATGGCCGACCGCATCGAATCACTCCTCTCCCTCGCAGGTCTCGGTTCGGACCGGGATGCGACGACCACCTCTACCTCCATGGCGAGGTCGACCTCTGCGGCCTTGGCTAGCGTCAGTAGTCGGACGTCGATTTCCCCGGTGACGAGTCTGCCAGCTATTAGTACAAGTACTACTTTGGGGAGAAGCACTATCGGGCCTGTTCAGGCGACGACTGTGAGGAGTACCAGTGAGTCTCGGGCTCGTGTATGATGTTCTTGCGTCATGAGACTGATTGTATTGAGCATGACTTTTTCCATTTTGTCGTTACAGGCTCGGTGATCACGACGACCGTTGCACGATCCACCTCTTCTGTCATCTCTACTACCTCTGCCAGATCGACGACCTCTGTGCGATCTACCAGTGCCTCGAGCAGCAGCAGTGCGCGAAGCGTCTCCGTGACGACACTCACATCGACTTCCTCGGTCATGCCTTCGTCGACCTCGTCTTCGTCTTCTTCGATCATCAGGACGAGCTCGGATAGCGTAGGAGTTCCGCCGGCGAGCGCTACCGCCAGTGCCGGTGCGGAGGACGGATTCAAGATGAGCGGTGGAATCGTAAGTTCAACTCGGATTAGCATGAGCCATGATGGATTTCGTATCGACGCTAATGCTGACTGAACCTCATCAACAACAGGTCGCTGCGATCGTTATCGCCTCCCTCTTGGCACTCCTTGCACTCCTCCTGGTCGGATACAGGTACTATCGCCGCCGATCGAGAGCCAACTCGCGACGTATCTCCGGACTCAGCGCCTGGGCCGGACAGAGGCAGAGTCAAGCTGGAGGTGGAGGTTGGGATTCAGGAGAGGATCGATGGGGGAAACAGGAAGAGGGGGTTGGTAAATGGGAGGGTGGAGAGAAGGAGAGGGTCTCGCCAGTAAGTCACGCTAGTCCCGAACGATTTGTCCGTGTGATCGATTGACGCTAATGGGTGAATTTCGGCATGGATAGTTCCCGATCAACGCCGGTGGACAGCCGTCATTGGGATACGAACAGAGCTTCGAGCAGCCAGCAAACGGATACCCTCATGCCGGATATCCTCCTGCCCAACCTCAATACGCGCCTCAACAAGCTTACGACAACTACAACGCACCTCAAGCGTATCACCAGGCCCCCAGCGCTGTGCCCTACCACGAGATCAACAAGAACCTCCCTCTCCCGCCTCAGCCGGTCGGGATGGGTCAGCCTGAAACTCAGCTGGGGTGGATGCCGGGGACGCCTCACACCTTTGGCTCATTTGCCAGTAACGACGGCGTGAAACCCAGCTCCGTGTCTCATCGTGACGACCCCCTCGCTGCGGCGCGTGCGACCGGGTTACATGACGGCGCCGAAGTCGTCGTGAAACAAGGCTTCATTCGGAGCTTGGACGACGAGCTGGTCATCACCGTCGGCGAAAAGCTCGTCCTCGTACAGGCTTACGATGACGGATGGTCTCTTTGCGAAAAGGTCAATGCCGGACACGAAGGGATGGTCGAACGCGGTGTCGTCCCCTTGAACTGCCTGGAGGCGTTCTCGGGCGCTTCGGTCGCAGAGGAAAGCGTGAGCATGCCCCAGCCGGCCATGGTCGGGCATATCGGAAAGCCCGAGATGGAGCAGCTCGACGGCAGGTCGAGCCCCATCAAATCCCCTGCGGGGCAAGAGTTTTTGGCCATGCCCAGTCCTTCCAAGGCGGGCAAGATGACGAGGTGGGTGATCACCGAGTAGATGTGACCTTTGAAACATACTTACTGGTTCTCGACGGTTTTGATCTTGCAGATCATCGACTGCTCAATCGTTGGCCGTGTCTGAACGTTCTGAGCGACGATCAAGCTTGTTCATCAACGCCGCGGCTGCCGGACTTTGGCTCCAAACCCAGCCCGCTGGAGCAGCTCGACCTTGATCAGCCTCTGGCCTCGCCTTTTGATTTCGTTGACGCTAGTCGTCCTCCCGTTCCCGCCTCGCCTCGCCTACCTATTCCATATTACGATACGAGAACCAGTATGTAGGCCCATTCGAGGGCGTTTCTATTGAGACGAACGGACAAACGACATTGTACATGACGGATAAGAAATAGACTCGATTGATCTTTTCGCCTGGTGCGAGCGTGATCGCGTCGATATACAAACGAATTCAGCACATTTTAATGAAAGGTGTTTGATGTTTTGAGGTCGCCCAACTGTCGGGGGTCAAGGGGAGACAGCGCTTTCAGTTCCTGTCGATGTCAATCCTTGCTTGATGCTGACTCTACAGTATTACATGTGTGATCCGTTTGATCCGACGTAATCTGACGAGCTTGGCTGTGACTGGCTACTGTATACCCTATTGTATACCTTGTGACTGGCTACTGTATACCTTTGAAACGCGAAAGGATGGATCGGCCACGTGTAAGAAGGAAGAATTTTCGCGTTTCCGATCGAAAAAAAGAACAAGAGCCGTCACGCGCGACCGCTGGCTTGATCCGATCAAAAGGGCGAAACTTTGCTGTTTCGTCAAAAACCCCTATCTCCTGCGCAAACCTTAATTCCTCCCTTTTGAGAGACCTGATCGACTGGCAGATGGCCGAACTCGAGAGATTGCCGAGATGGTTGAGAGAAGATCTACCTTCGACGTGTCAACAATTGTCCAGCCATCCATCGATCATATATAAAGGACATCCCTTTCGTACCGACCGAGCCGTCTACTATTTCTCCTACACACAGGTCAAACACGAATATATTTACGATTTCAACGGACCGGCTCCACAGTTTCATAATCCAAAGGCAGATTCGCACAGATAGACTTGCGGCAGAGTCGTGGATTCGAAACCACCGAGAACCGTCAAGATGCCTTTGGAATTGGTCAGCTCGACCAGCGAGACGTCATCCATGCATTCAGGTGCGTCGTTCCTCCCTCGTTCCGTTTCATCCTTTTTGTCCGCCTTATAAGGCCTGACATCGTTCACTCGCTGGGATCCACTTACAGAGCTGGCGACTCCGCGTTCAACGCCCAGTCCTACCTTTCGAGCAGCTATCAACATGCCTTATCATTTCTCTGGTTACCACCGTATGTCATCAGCTGGTGTGCAAACCCAACATCCGGCAACCTCTGGTTGGAACAGGCAAGTTCGCTGCTAAACCGATAAGGGAAACATGAACTGATCTAATCAATAGTTCGCACAGCAGCAACGGCTCTTCTCCTTGGAACTCGTCCTACGCATTCCCCCATGCGACACCTGGACCCGCTTACAAGCATCATCTCAAGGCCCTCTCCGAGAAACTTCGCAAACCTGCCCGTAGTTCCGGGTTGATCCCCTATGACCCCGGAATGCATCAAGGGGAATACTTCCGGGCGTCCAAGGTCGGAGGGAGGATCATGGCGAGGAGCGCGAGTCCGTATGGATTACCTTGTGACCGGATCGAGCAGGAGGTGAGAAGTCAGGTTCGACATCGACCCGGTCGTCTGGGAGCTGAAGCAAACGATTTTCGCGTTTCGTAGCGACTCGGCGCGCAGGTGAGATCAAAATTGAAGTTTGCGCTTGCTACCCATCTGGACTATCAGCTGACATCTACCACCTCCGAATAGCACAATCTGGTCAGACTAGGTGACTAGACTAAATCTCGACATGCTTATCGATCGAGACTAAGAATTTGCTCTTTTTGACTGTAGCCCTTGGCGGCGCCTATTTTGGCCCGTTACTCCAAGTTCTAGGGAATCACGCAGCGCGCAGCTCTTCACCCAAACGGGTGCTAGACATCGGCACCGCAAGTGTATAATCTATCGATTCGACCACGACGTGCGCTTACAGATATCCTCCTCGGTGTTTCCACGATAGGGAACAGGCATGTAAGTCAACACGCTAATGCTTGACATCGTATGCGTTGCCTTACCTATTCGTCTTCATGCTAGATGGGCGATTCAAATCGCGGACGAATTCCCAAAGTAAGTGCTGATCTTTTAAAGGGTCATGCGAAGCGATAAGAGTTTTGCTGACCACTTTTTCCACCTGCAGCACCGAAGTTGTCGGTCTCGACCTCGTCCCGATACAACCCCGCTCGGTCCCACCCAACTGCCGGTTCGAAATCTACGATATCAATGATGGTCTACCCTTTCCCGCCGGGTCGTTTGATGTAGTACATATGCGGTTCGCTCATACTGGAGTCAGTCGCCTGGATTGACTATATCACTTGGGCTCTATCGGTGATGACAGCTGACAAGAAGACTTCCGAGATAGGTCGTCTCGATGACACACCTCGTTTCTGAGGTTCACCGGATCCTCCGGCCGTCTGGTCATTTTTTCTCCCTTTCCTCTCCCTCGTTCCTGTATAACCTGAATCCTCCTCCTTCCGGCACCAGCCCCGAGTTCTCCCATCCCCTCGCCGAGCTCCCCTCACTTAGACACCTGAGAGAAACGTACGCGCGCGCGCTCCGAATGAAACGCGCTCAAGTCGGCGCCGAAGAACTGGATCCATCCGCCTGTTCAGTCCTTGGAGGATGTGAAGCTGGAGAAGCAGTAGCAAGAGTCCTGAAGACAAGAGGGAGAGGAATGAGAATCGGTGGAGAGGGAAAGGTCGGGCTGGGTGTTGGAGGGGGTCCGAACGGTACGTACAATCTTCCTGTTGCCTCGATTTTCGCTTTCATTCCATCATACGCGATTGACTAACCCTTGACCGCCGCTGACTTTCTCCTAATCACCGTCTCTATCAATCCTAATAGATCCGTACTATCACCCGCACATTCATCCCTTGATTCAACGCAACGTTCAAGCCCAGATTCAAGCGGGCAAGGTCATTATGCTCGAATTGACCGATCTCACCGCGAGGGCATTCGACGAGCTTGGTGAGTCCGGTTCCTATGTTTGAGCAACACCTCGTTTCGACAGGTCGGCAGAGGGAAGGGAGAATTGAGACTGACCTCTGTGTGTTACCTGTCGTTTCATCCTCGTTCTATTTCTCGTTTCGCTTCGTGGCTCATGTTCCGCATTTCCACGAATCTCGCCTCCCATCGTTGCCAAACGTAATGTACCGGCTACGTCAGAACGCAACGTGTTGCTCGAACTACAACAGTATAAAGTTTACCAGACGTAAGCGTCTTTCCAAGCGACTTGTGTTTGGAAGTATCGAGTTGAAGGCTGATGCCGCCCTTTTGTGATTCACCACCTTTTGGCGCTGTGTGGACCGCGTACAGGTTGGAGTACGTCTGGGCCGTCAAAGAATACTAGCTTGAATCGGTGTAGTAGGGTCTATTCCCCCCGTTGTACTCTCGCCTCGAGACGCTGTGCCGTGTGCGTAATGATAAGATGATACGATTGAGCCGCTTCAAATCCATAGAGGTTAACACATGTCATAACGTGAATATACTGCAGCACTCATATAGACCTCGGAAGCTCCGAACTCTTGCCTGGCCTTCAAGCTAGTCGAAGCCAAAGGTTCGTAGTCTGTTGCAATAGTAATATATTAATGCTGTGAGCAAAATATTTATCCACGGCCATAGGACCCTGAAAGCACCGCATCCCGTCCGATCTGCGCAGTCAACCAGGGTGCCGCCTAGTTAGTACCACGGTGGGGGACCACGCGGGAATCCTAGGTGCTGTGGTTTTTGCGTGTTCCCTTCTTTTTGTAACTGTCTTACCACGTCTTGCCTAGTCACCTGCCATTGGGGCAACAAGCGTCCCAGCTTATACCATGCAGGCAATCGTCACACATGTATCCTCTGGACATCATCGTATGCGGTTCGGGTGATCACGATTACGTCCTGTGTCTAGTATTTCCCTAGAACCATACAACACCGAACGGTGTGGAAACTTCTGAGCATTTTCCGAAGCATCAAGCCAGCAGGGAACACATCGACAGAAGAGGAACCCACACGACCAATTCTCGGAAACGTGCAACATCGACTCGACCACGAAAATGCACATGTGATCATCTCATTTTCAGATATTTTTTTTCCGAAAACAGCTCTTCATTTTCATTCATCTACTCTAGAAGACTCGAACTCGTCCGTCCGGCCCTCTAGGCGGCCATCTGTCGCTGCAACTCCTGGGCCTTAGCCTTGACGTCATCGATACCTCCAACCACTGTGTGCGAGAGAGCGACATGAACCGGTTAGTGAAAATGTATGAAGTGAGAGAAACACAAGCATTACTGACTGTAGAAAGCGGACTCGGGGAGAGCATCGTGGTCTCCGTCCAAGATCTCCTTGAAAGCGGCGATGGTGTCCTTCAACGAGACGAGTCGTCCCTCGATACCAGTGAAGACCTGGGCGACGGCGAAGGGCTGCGACATGAACCTGTATGGGGGGCGTACAACAAAGGTCAGTCAGCTAGACTGAGAGAGCCATGACGTTTCGCGCAATCACTCACCTCTGGATCTTTCGGGCACGCTCGACGGTAAGCTTGTCCTCCTCAGACAACTCGTCCATACCCAAAATGGCGATAATGTCCTGCAACGACTTGTAGTTTTGCAAGATCTGCTGGACCTTGGTGGCAATATCGTAGTGCTCCTGACCGACGACTCGGGGGTCCAACATACGGGACTTGGAGTCGAGGGGGTCGACGGCGGGGTAGATACCCAACTCGGCGATACCTCGCGACAAGACGGTGGTGGCGTCCAAATGGGCGAAAGTGGTGGCCGGGGCAGGGTCGGTCAAATCGTCAGCGGGCACGTAAACGGCCTGGACGGAAGTGATGGAACCCTTCTTGGTGGTGGTAATTCGCTCCTGCATGGTACCCATGTCGGTGGACAAGGTGGGCTGGTAACCGACGGCCGAAGGGATACGTCCCAAAAGGGCGGACACCTCGGAACCGGCCTGGGTGAATCGGAAAATGTTGTCGATGAACAACAAGACGTCCTGACCCTCCTCGTCTCGGAAGTACTCGGCAATGGTCAAACCGGTCAAGGCGACACGGGCTCGGGCACCGGGGGGCTCGTTCATCTGACCGAAAACGAGAGCGACCTTGGAGTCACCCTCGAGGTTGATGACACCGGTCTCCCTCATCTGTACGCGAGGTAGGTGTAAGACAGGTCTCGATTTGTGCTGTGCATCTCGTAACAACTCACTTCGTGGTACAAATCGTTACCCTCTCGGGTTCGCTCACCGACACCGGTGAAGACGGAGTAACCTCCGTGAGCCTTGGCGATGTTGTTAATGAGCTCTGCAGGTCAAGACGTACCTCAGCTATTGCATTCTTCTTGCGTCGAAAGATCGATATGCCCCCAGTCCCTGAACTGACCTTGAATCAAGACGGTCTTTCCGACACCGGCACCACCGAACAAACCAATCTTTCCTCCTCGGGCGTAAGGAGCCAACAGGTCGACGACCTTGATACCGGTCTCCAAGATCTCGGGGACGATCGACTGGTCAACGAACGAAGGAGCGTCGGCGTGAATGGGGGCCTGCTTGACTCCCTCGATAGGGCCTCGGTTGTCGATGGGCTGACCGATGACGTTCATGATTCGACTGCAGGGCGGAGGAAGTGAATATCAGTAATCTTGTTTTGAGGGACAAGCTTGCATATCAAGCAACACCGCCACTCACCCAAGGGTCTTGGGTCCGACCGGGATGGTGATGGGAGCACCGGTGTCGACGACCTTCTGTCCTCGGACGAGACCGTCGGTACCCTCCATGGCGATACACCTACAGGTGTTCTCTCCCAAGTGCTGAGCGACCTCGAGCACCAATCGTCCACCCTCAGGGGCAACCTGGCTACCCTCGAATTGAACGTCCAAGGCGTTGAGGATAGGAGGAAGGTCGGCAGTGTCGAACTGGACGTCGACGACGGCTCCGATGACCGACTTGATGGCTCCGATCTGGGTGGCGGCAGAGGTGGCGTAGGTTCGGGCAGAGACTGTCGAGTCGAGGAAAGCAAGTTAGCTGGGTCGTTCGAAAGGTAAGGGGGACAGGAAGAAGGAGGCAAGGCGAGTTAGGTGAAGCCGAAGCGAAGTCGAGGTTGAGATCGCGATCGGGAGTCTAGTACGACCACGGGGAAGAGAGAAAGAGCAAGGAGGAAACAACCAGGTCTCTGCTGGTACTGTTTGTCTTTCCTCCTGACCTTCTGCTAATCCACCGTGCCTTTGACCTCGATCCCGATCCATAGCCTCGCCATCGCCTCAAATTCCCGTCATTCCCCCAAACTTTGCTCGCCCTCCTATCCCGCGTCTCGCCTCGCCTCGTTTCCGTTCGATGAGGACGATCGGTGCACTCACCCTCCTTGGCCTTGGGCAGAGTCCTGGAGACCCTGTTGTCAGCCCTCAACATGGCAGGGACCTGCTGAGCGACCTTGGCGGCGGTGCTCAACCCGGCGACACGTTGAGCCTGCTTGGCCTGTTGGCCGGCTCGTCGAGAGAGACGGTAGGCGGATCGGGAGATGAGGGTCATGATGGGGAGAGGTATCAGGGTTTTTTGGTAGAAGATTCCAAGGGAAGTCTATGGGGGAGGGAGGGTAACGATGTCGATGTACGGAACGAGAGGGTCGATGATGTTTCTGAATATTGTTCGAACGTCGACGACGACGACGAGGGAGAGGAAGCGGGAGGAGGTTGTCGTGCCGTGAGCTGGCGGCGTGGTTGGTTCTACGTTTTCGCGCGGGGAGCCTGCCCCCTTCCTTCCTTCTCTCTCCCGAAAAATCCGCTTTCTCACGCGTCACAGCCTAGCAAAACATTCACCCACCCACCAACATCTCGCGCGATCGGAATGGTTCGGGCGCCCTTTCTGCCATTTACAATAATGCTCATTTCCCCATCCGCGGATCACCGACGCGCGTTTTCACCGATCTATCGGTGCGTTTCACATCGAGATCGAGCTTGATGATGGGGAAACTGCCAGGTGAAGGCCGTACGTCGGTGTTGAATGCTCGCATCAGAGACCCATCCTTGTTCGTTCCTGAAAAAGGTTCAAGCAGGCTCCCACAGTTCAAAAATAACAAAGCTATGCATAGCTCTTCAAGATAATCATAAGACCGCGATCGACCTAAGCTATTCGTACTGACAATCAGCCACCTCGGGCGGTGTAATCCCAATGCACACCTAGTCGCGCTCAGAGCGGTATGTGTGCTTATACCAATGTTTCTCAAAATCCTGTATTGCCAAGAGTTATGACAACAAGACCGTTTACAATGCTAGGAACCGCGGTGCAAAGATCTAGCTATTCCAGACGGTCAGGCTCGACGCGCCCGACTGTATCGCTGCGATTCAAGGGTCAGCGAAATCTGTTTGCGTTTACGTCCGTGTCAGTCTGTAAAGTTCACTCTCGATAGATGGGAATTACCTGTTCTCTCAGGCGTGTGAGGTGGATGGATGCACGAGATTCGCAGCCAATCATCAAGAGTGCAGTCAAGCGCTGTCTTTCGCAACCATGCTCGAATTTCAGCTGCATTCGACCGACCGTAAGCGTGGTATGATGATGTTCGTCATTCGTACAATAGCTGAGAAGAAGCCGACCGCTAGAAAGTGACCACCTTGGGCTTCTTGGGCGGGACTCTAGCTGCCACTGGTCGTCTAGGTGCAGCCTGCTTGACTGGCGTCTGATCCGTAGCTGCCAGAGCGGGCTTTGAGATTTCCACTGGTGGGGCGACCTTGGCTCTAGCCGGCAGATCCTTGTTCGCCTCCATCTCCGAATTGCCCGTCATCCCGCCCGTCTCTCCCGCAATCTCCCTGGTCTGCCGTTCGAAATTCCTCTTCTCCTTGATCTTCTTGGCCAACTTTTGCGCCTTTTCGACGACACGCTGTTCGGCCACCTTCTTCTCTAGCTCGACACGTTTCCGCTTGACGACCATGAAATCGTCTTCGTCCGCCCCAGCTCCGCTCCCGATCCCGAAAACGACGCCGTTCTCATCACCCAAGGCTTTGAGCTCTTGGTGATAATCGCCGCCTTCGTCTCCCTCGGCGGGCTTCTTGCCCCGCTTGTCGTCAGGGCAGTCGCTGGCGCGATGATCCACCTTGCCACAGACTTTACAGCTCCCGCCGTTTGGATAGACGCCTCGGTCGTTCTGCGGGCATTTGGAAGCGAGGTGACCCTTTTGCAGGCAGATGAAGCATGAGGCGAAGGGTAGGCCAACTGATGCGGGTTTAGGACACTTCGACAAGGGGTGTTGTGTCGAGTCGCACCTGGAACAAGTCAATCAAGGTATTATATGAGCGATCTTGAACTACACCGTTGTCATGGAAACCCGACAATGAGCTCACCGATAGCATCTCCCCCCGGCACCCGTCACATCGCTCCCCATCTGTCCCTTGCCCCTCTTCATCCCCTTCTTCGGTCCCGCTCCCGACCCTTCCATCCCTGCACCCTCAGCATCGGGTGTCTGTGCGGCCAACAGGACGTTCGGACATTCCCTGGCCGCATGACCCTTTTGACGACATGCGAAACAGATTGTCGACGAGTTCTTGTTCTCGATCCGGCCTACTCGACGTTGTTCGGTTCGTTCAGCCTTGCCTAAAGAAGAGAAGACAAGACGTTGCCGTATACTGTCAGCTTCGAAATTAGAGGAACGGCGTTCGTGTGTGAGACTCACGTTTGATATCGTCGTTCTTCCCCCATCCACCCGTCCTCCCACTCCCTTCCTCCACCTTGTCCTCCCTCCTCTTCCTCTTTTTATCCCCAGACCCTGCCCCAGCTTCACGTTGAACAGCCATCTCTGAGGATTCCGCCTTGGCAGCCTCGTTTCCTGTCGAGGAAGAGGCGTTCCCGGTAAGTTCTTCCCAGGTCGAGGCGGTATTGCCCTTCTTGGGGAACCCAAAGGCTGTCACTCGGGTCATGGCGTCTATCTATCTGTTAATATCGAGCTGGATTCCCAACAAGAGGGTTTGTGCGTTTATAGCGATGTCTAGTAGGAAAGTAAGTAGCTTACACCTCGGCTTGTATAGAGATCTAGAGTTGGTGCGCTGATCGACCTCCACCTCTTTGACTTTGAACTTTTGCCTCGGAAGCAAATAGCAGGAAGTGATGGGACGTGCCGGGGGCGACGCGCTTCTTGTCCTGATCCCGATGAAACTGCAAAAGTGCGCAACACGGGCGGTAGTACGAGAGTACGAGTAGGCAGCGAATGCACATGAGCATTGAGCGCAGAGAAACGAACGATCGCTGGGGAGAAATACGAATGCTAGTATGGGGGCGTGAGTTGAATGGATGTTGAATCGCTCGTCGTGTGCTGCGGAGATCCATCAGTCCATCTGGCCATCCGATCCCTCTTCGTGGACAAGGAGCGATATGAGCGATGCATATTATCGCTTTCTCTCCTGATCATCCGTTGCTCTCTCTTGTTCTCCTTCGATTGAGGTAAGGTTTGGGATGACATCAATGTCGAAGTGATATGATCCGGGCTGAAGCTCTGAAGTGACCGAGTTGCCGACCGGTAGTGATAAACTTCACTTTGACCGGTCTTGGAACCCAAATCGCAAGCGGGTACAGTCATCAAATAATACTCAAAGCACCTGAAGCCTTCGTAAACGGGCCGTACGGGTTGTTGTTGGTAACCGGTCGAGCGATCGAAATGAACCGCAAACCTCCTCGGCTCAACACAAGGTTGTCTCTGACCTCGGATGTTCCGGAGGCCAGGCCGGAGGTTATCGTTCACAGCTCACAGACGAGGTGTCTTGCATGTCTTGGGCCGCTACCGAGGGTTTGCTTAATATGGTTCCGAGGGTTCGGCGTCTGAGAGGGGACGATGCCGTCATTTGTTGTCAAAGTCTGTCTCGGATGTAATTTGATTCCGCTCAACCGTCTGTCACCGAAAGAGGGAAACACATGAACGCAACGACCTTGCAAACCTCGCTCGACCTTGACCCGGGCAGCGGGCAGCCGGGGTAGTTGCAACGACTCGGGGGATACCTCACCGTCTCAATCCATCGACGATCACGTCACCAGTCTGGCCAGTCTTCGGTCAACGTTCTACCTCGGACATTGTCAAAAGTGTTCAAGGCTCAGTCTCCATCACTCGCACTTCGACTTGTTCTACTTGGAAGCTACATTCCGCAGCGGGTCGACCGATAGGCACAGTGCTGTGTAGCCCAACGACCTAGCTTGTGATACAGGCAGGATGTCTCAACCCGATACCTACCTAGGCCTCGGAGCGCCTATCGTCTCAAGCTCTACCGGCCAAGATCACGAACTAGATCGCAATCGACTGCGAGAGCTCAAGCAACACCAACAGCTTCAAGACCAACCTCTTATGACCCAATCCGTCCAACCCCAACCTCAGACCCTTCACGAATCTGGTTATACATTGACGGATGTCAATCACAACATTCATGGACCTACCGAGATGTCCAACGCTCTGCTTCAAGGAGCTTCGGAGGAGAGGATCAAGGTGGAACAACAGATCGAGGTTGGAAAGGCTCTGGCGGGGGACTTGCAAAAGGGAGCTACAGTGCATGTGAGCCACCGATTCTTGTTCCGACTGTGCCATACCAGCCGGCCGTGCTCATTACGTTCATCTGCTGCAATCACAGACCTTTGATCCAGATGCGAGTACCGCGCAGAAAGCTAGAGAGGCCGCTGGGATCGATCCATCGTCCGCTTTGGCTGCGGGACCCAGCTCTGCTCGCGCGCTGGTCATCGATTCTACACCCGCCTCGAACCTCCCTGCTCCTACCATCTCGGTCGACGATATCAATCGAGCCTCGAGGGAGGAAGGAGAAGGATTCGGCGGGGAAAAGGTCGAGCCGGTGGTATCATCTACCCAGAAGGTCGAGACCTTGCAGAAGAGCACGATCGGATGGCTAGACTCCATCGGCGGCGTCAAGTCTCCAAACTCTATCACCGAATCCTCCGAATCTATCCAACGCACTCCCTCTCGAAACTGGTTTACCGAGAATATCCCTCTTGAATTCTATGGGACCGCCTACCACAATGCCGGTTTGATCCTCTTTGCCGTCCTCTCCACTCGCGCCATCACGCTCCTTCGGCTGAGTTGGGGTTGGCTCGTCGTCCTCCTAGCGTTCTGTATGACGATGTACTCCATTTCTATCGAACGAACGAGGGCGAGAGCGAGGGACGATATTCAGAGGGAGTTGATGAAGAGCAGGTTGGTTAGCGAGAGCGAGTCGGCGGACTGGATCAACAGTCTACTGGATCGGGCTTGGTTGATCGCCGAGCCATTGTTGAGCGGTGAGTCGCTGCTGTTTGTTTTGCAGAGTACGCACGGGCTTATAAATCTCTTCGTTTGCGGTCCTGGGTCACAGCTACGGTCGTAGCCTCGGTCGATGAGGCTTTGAAATCCGCTGCCTTTGGTCCTGTCGAATCCATCCGACTCACTACATTCACCCTCGGCAACAAGGCTCCTCGGATCGATTCCATCCGGACGTATCCTATGACCCCGGACGACGAGGTCATCATGGAATGGGCCCTCTCGTTCACCCCAAATGACCTGGAAGACTTGACGCCCAAGCAGGCCAAGTCGAAGGTGAACCCAAAGGTCGTGCTCAGTATCAAGTTGGGCAAGGGGTTTGTAGGCGGGTCGATCCCGGTCTTGTTGGAAGATATCAGGTGAGGCGCAGCAGCGAACTTGTCATTTGGAGCATCGAATGCTGAGATGGAAACGATACTATGCTTGGACAGCTTCAAGGGATCTATGCGAATCAAGCAAGTACCTTCAAGGTGACTGCAAAAGCGGCCACAGCTGATCATACATGCCCTCTTCTCCTGATCAGGCTCAAGTTGATGTCCAACTTTCCTCACGTCCAGATGGTCCACATGTCGTTCATGGAAAAGCCCGAATTCGACTATGTGCTCAAACCGCTCGGTGGAGAAAAGTTTGGCATGGACGTCAATAATATTCCTGGGCTTTCCGGATTCATCAAGGATCAGGTTCATGCCAAGTGAGTCACTTATCCAGAGAGAGAATTTAGGCTCAGCTGATGATCATTGGACTATAGTTTGGGACCGATGATGTAAGGGCGGAGGGGTAGGGTTCTGTATGCTGTGTACGTTGTTGACACCTCTTACCCTGCCTTGCTATAGGTACGACCCCAATGTCTTTACGATCAACCTGGAGCAGCTACTCTCTGGTACCCCTCTCGACTCGGCCATCGGTATCTTGAAAGTCACAATCGAATCTGCCAACGGACTCAAGGCTGTCAAACTTGGAGGTGGTGCGCCCGACCCTTATGTCGTGATGGGCGTGGGTCTCAAACCCGCTGTCAACAAAACCAAAGTCAAGCACAGCACGAGCCACCCTGTCTGGAATGAAACGCAATACATCCTTGTTAACACACTCAATGAATCGCTCAATCTATCCGTCTTTGACTACAATGAGCACCGGTCCGATAACGCGCTCGGCACCTCCGTGTTCGATCTCGCCAGCCTTATCACCGATGCAGAGCAGTCAGGTCTCAGCTCCAAGATCGTGCAAGACGGCAAGGACCGAGGATCTATCAAGTACAACCTATCGTTCTATCCCGTACTCACGCCAAAGGCTCTTCCAGACGGGACGCTCGAGCCTCCTCCTGAGAGCTCGACCGGTATCGTCCGTCTTACTATACACCAGGCCAAAGACCTCGACTTGTCACGGTCGAGCGGCACCTTGAGCCCATATGCGGCGGTATACCTCGGTGGCAATCGGGAGATCCATCGGACGGCCACTATGAAGGCGTCCAATTCCCCCACTTGGGAATCTGCGACCGAGTTCTTGGTCCCCGACAAGACCAACTCTACAATTACGATCAAGCTGTTCGACGACCGCGCATTGCGAGATCCGTCGTTGGGTACGGCGGTGATCCGCCTGGAAGACCTCCTTCAAGCCAAGGATCGTCAGCAAGACTGGTTTCCTTTGTCAGGGGTTCGATCGGGCAAAGTCAGGATCACGACCGACTGGAAACCGTTGTTGCTCCCCGGGAGTGTAGGAGGCTCGGCGGCTTACACCGCTCCCATCGGTGTCATGCGTATCTGGCTCAAGAAAGCTGTCGACTTGAAGAATCTGGAGTTCGGTCTGGGCGGCAAGAGCGATCCCTACGTTCGAGTCTTGCTCAATCATCAAATCCTCGCCAAGACAGAGGTAGTCGATAACAACCTGAACCCGGAATGGGACGAGATTGTGTACATCCCTGTTCACCACGCGAACGATCACGTCATTCTCGAAATCATGGATCATCAGAATCTCACAAAGGATCGCCACCTCGGTACGGTCGAGGTCAAGGTATCGGATTACATCCTGGTGGACAAAGCCAACAATGAAACCCCTTACCTGTCCAATGGAGGCAAAGATCGCGCGGATGCTGTGCTACTGGGTAATGGTCAGGCCGACAAGGGCCGCTTGCATTATCACGTCTCATTTGTACCCAGTGTCGCTCTGAAGGGTGGAGTTCACTTCGAACCGGTCGCGGATCCGTCCAAGGTATTGGCGGGTAGACCACTCAACATGCCCAACGGAGACAGCGATAATGCATCACTTCGATCGGCGATAGGCGACGGAGGAAGCGTCAAAGAACCCGAAGAGGAGCAATCGGGTGTTACGTTGGGGATTAACGAGCTCTTGCGAGAACGCAAGTCAATGAGCGTTTCTCCTTGGCCACTTATGCACGCGCTGACCTTGATGTTTTCGGTACAGAATCGGGAGTCCTTGTTCTCCAGGTAATCGCCGGGATGATGCCGAAAAAGGGTCGTTTCGAAGTCTTGGTCGATGAGAACGCTACACCGAGTTTCCAAACGGAAAAGGCAAGGGGTCACAAAAACACCTGGGACCAGATCGGCGAATTGGTCATTCGGGAGCTCGATTTTAGTCAACTCACGCTCAGAATGAATGAAAACGATCCGGACGACAAGCCAGATGTCTATGCAGAGCTGCGAGTGCTCACGCGCAACTTGCTGGAAGCCGCTTGGGTGGGTGAACTAAGCCGAGCTGCAACTAAACCAAACAATGGGCTGATCACCGCTTTGCTTTTGGTGCAGGACGCGCCAACGACTTATACTCTCAACGTTGTAGGGGGAGCAGCATCCGAGAAAACGACCGTACTCTTGCAAGCACGCTATGTTCCGCTGCGAATGGCACTCGAGATGCGCGAGAGTGTGATCAGTAAGTTCAACAGGATGTGATACGCGATGCCGAACTGATTCAACGAGGCTTGCAGATATGGGCATACTTGGAGTGGAACTGATTGATGCCAAAGGGCTCCAGGGGTCTGACCGAAGTGGAAAAAGCGATGTACGTGACGTCGGGGAGGCCTACCGCTTACAGGTCGTTGATCTTTCATCTGGGTCTTCAGCCCTACGTGGTCTTTACTCTCGGTGGAGAAAAGGTCTTTAAATCGCAAGTCAAGAAAAAGACGCTGGCACCGACATGGAACGAGCGTTTCGAGGCGGTGGTCCCGTCGAGATTCAACTCGAGATTTACTTTCGAGATCTTCGACTGGAATCAGGTGGGATTGAGTCTCGTCCCATCCTTGCGAATGCTCACCGCTGACACGGTGGTCCTCGCTTCCTCCTCAGATCGAGAGTGCAAAATCGCTAGGCACGGGATCCATCGATCTTGTCAGCATCGAGCCATTTGAGGCGTCCGAGGTTACTCTGCCCGTAATGACCGTCAAGGATGGTGTGCGAGGCACCTTGCGTCTGAGAACGGTCTTCACCCCGCAATTGATCGCTCGAGTGCGTCGACATACTGGCACCTTGTCAGCCGCTGGCCGGACCTTGTCGACGGTCGGTTCGACAGTAGGTGCTGCTCCAATCATGGTCGGTAAAGGGGTCGGGCACGGTCTTGTCGCTGGAGGTTCCGGTGTGGTCCATGGGGTTGGGGCTGTTGGCACCGGAGTCGCTCATGGAGTAGGCGCTGTCGGAGGATTCGCCGGACGTAAAGTCGGAGGCTTGATCAAGAGAAAGGACAAGCACGGAAACGAGGTATTGGTCGAGGAACCCTTGATGGGAGAAGAAGGTTCATACGAGGTGATCAACGAGAGGGGTCACGCACGCATGCCATCGCACAAGGGGTCGCTGGCGCCGTCGACGACACAGGCGGGACGCATCTCGATCACGTGCCTGAGGGCAAAAGGTATCTCTGGGACTGCTTCGGGCGATGTCAAGCCTTATATCGTCCTGCAGACGGACAAGCAGAAGTATCACACGCATCATGCGAAACGGAGCGAGGAACCCGAATGGTAAGGCGTGGAAGGTCGAAAGACCTCGAGCAGATTCACTTGTGGCTGACGCAAGTCTGCGCCGTATGGTCCAGGAACGAGACTTTCAACTTTGATGCATCAGCCAGCGCGCTCACGGTCAAGATGTACGATCGAAAGACGATTGGCAAAGACAAGGAGGTGGGAGAGGCCTTGATCGAGGTGAGTTACGAGCGGGAAGATGCGGGAAGAGTGGATCTACCGTGCGCCTTGCCCTGGAAGAAGATGCTGACGCCTACCGATTGTCACCACAGCTGAACGACCTCGAGGGGGCAAGCGCGGAGCGATGGGTCGAGCTGAGCAATGGCCGGGGCCAGATTTACCTTCGAATTGATGCGGGCGATGCGGGTGCCGCTTCACTACGTCGATTGAAGACGCCTAGCATGCGGTCGCTGGTGAGCGGAGGAGGAGCAGGCAATACATCCAGCCCGGGAAGGTTTTCCTTCAGGAAGACCGGAAGTTGAGCTTGTGTGCGCAGCGATCGTAAGCCGAGCGCGGGTCAGGAGCCCGGTCGCTGCGAGAGAGAATGTGCTTGTCGGTTTGGAGAGAGAACTGGGAGAAGGAGGGGAAGCGAGCGAGCGAGAGACGCGATTGTGTCAGTCGCGTGCTGTAATCATGGACGGGGGTTGTCACGAACCCGGCCCGAGCTACATGATATAATTTACTCCGAAGCCCGAGGAAATGATTTTGGGCGGGAACTAGAGGAGAGCCGGGTCGATCGAGCTTTCGGTCCCGTTGCTACAAGACTTCTGTCTTTCCCTTCGTGCCGACCGGGCGGCCTTCCGGTCAAATCCTTTCCAAGTTTACCGGTTCACATTAAACATTATTGCGCGGGTGACGAGATTTGTCTTTTACCCGAGAGCACGCGGCCTTTGCCCACCAGACTCGCGACTCGCTGGCTCTCTTGCCTGGCTGATCGACTCGCGCGTTACGTAAACAACCACCGAGCCGTGTGCGGGAGTGTCTCGGATCATTCAGAATAGCCCAGCGGGATCTTTTTCGATCACTTCCCGTTGTCTCATTTCTCTCGGAACATCACTCCCGTGGACGATCAATCCTCGTCACTCCCGGGGGAAGGGATCACCTAGTAGTAGGTCGCGCTCAAGGTCGTGTCACCTCAGAGCCCGCGAGCATAGGAAAGAGGAAAAAACCTCTGCCAGCAAGACGGGCAGGAAATGAGTATATAGGACTCGCCGTGACCATGTCGTCTTCTGCATTTTCGTTCATTCCTCGTCTCTCTTCTTCACCAAACAAGTCTTCCTCGTCCTAGTCCTCATACTTCTTCAACCCTCCCCTCTCTCTCTCTCTCTCTTCACCTCGGCTCTCCCCCTCACCCGCTCCACCTCTCCTCCCTCCACCTTACTCCATCGCCAACTCTCAGAATGCGATTCTCCTTCACCGCCACCCTCATCGCCCTTATGGCACCTTTGGCATTCGCCTTGCCCTCGGCCGCTCCCTCCATCGAGCACCCCGACGTCGACCTCGTGTCTTCCGCTCATAACCTTACGGAGCGAACTTACTACACCACCACCTGGACCTCGCTCCGGTGCGATCGAATTTCGGGCTACTACGGGTTCGGCCTGTTCGCCGTCAAATACGACTTCGGGTGTCTCTGTTACAAGTAAAAAATACACGCTCGGCTGAAGCACGATCCCAGCAACTCGCTAACGTTCTGTGCTCACGCGAATTTTATGATACAGCGATGTCGACACCTTCTGTCGGGTGAACGGTCTCAGTTACACTATGAACAGCTGGATCAAAGGTCAATTCAACTACCAATCCTACAACAAGTACCCTACCGGTAAGTCGAGTCGACTGAAACACTCACCTCGAAAGTCGATCCTGATCTATCGGATTTCTCTTGCCCAGGATCTCAACCTATTTGCGATGACAAGGGAGGCTACACCTGTCCTTTCGGCAAGAACTCTGACGGTTCTTGCGCTCAACACGCCGCGTCTTGTGGGGACGGTCAGTGTCTTCAGTCCGACGGGACGTGCTGCCCGAGAGGAACGACCAAGATCAACGGATTGGTGAGTAGGCGCGCACCCACCTCCCGATCACGTGATCGAACTTTGCTGACGACACATACGCCAATCTCTCTCCTACTGAACGATAGTGCTGTGCGACGACTTGCCGTGGAACCTCGAACGGCCAATGCTACGGCTCGGGTTCTTGTACCAACGGCAAGGTCTTGTCAAACGAACTCTGCTGTCAGTCGGGATGGACCGGATACGATACCGTCTGCTGTCCTTCCGGTCAAGTCGAGGACTCGAACAAACCCGGGACTTGCAAGTGTTCCAACGCCGCTCAATCCATCGTCAACGGAGTGTGCACCAACCGTTGTGCTTCCGGTCAAACTTGGTTCGACTCTGCCGCCAAGTGTTGTCCTAGCTTTCAAACGATCGTGAACGGACAGTGTTCCTGCCCGGCCGGACAGGTCTTGAACAGCGCAAAGACTGGCTGCACCGCTCAGTGTACCACCCAGCAGAAATTCGTTCCCGAATCCGGTACCTGTCAACCCAAGTGCGGTTCCGGATTCACCTGGTCTTCGTCTTCGACCAATCCCGACGGCCTTTGTTGCACCGGTGGCCGGGTCTGTAACACCAAGGTGTGCTGCTTGACCACTGAAATCGAAAGCGAAGGTCACTGCTGTCCTAAAGGCTACACTTGGAGGAACAACGCCTGTCAAGCACCTTCCGGTGTCCCTACCGCCCCCAAATCGCGTCGACGAGCCCTCAACAACAACAAGCGACACTTGTCACTGGCCGAGAAGTCTCGACTCCGAATCGACGAGAAGCTCTGCCCCAAGACCATGTCGGCCTGTCCCATCGGCAAGGAGTCGTCTAGCTACGAATGCCTCGACACCTTTACCGACATCTCTTCTTGCGGAGGGTGTGCTTCGGTCGGCGAGGGACAGGACTGTACCGCCATCAAGGGGGCCAAGTGGATGGGTTGCGAACAAGGGTCGTGCGTCGTCTATTCGTGCCGACCGGGCTTCAAATTGGTCGGGGGCAAGGAATGTGTAAAAGCATAGGCTGCACCGCCACAAACAAAAAGGACCTCTTCTTTTCTCTCTCTTATCTTGGGTTTATCGGGGCTATCACTCAAGGACGACATCATCACGCACGCATACGGCCACACACCACATCATAATTACTCGAGCGATCCTTGTCGACGCATCGAATTGTCATTCATTACGACTAGTAGAGGCGCGAAGCGCTTTCTCCACCTTGTACCCACCACCACGTTGCGATAGACACCTGTATGCACCAGGCACTTTAGATGCTTTATCTTATCGATGAGCGATACCATCCATATCTATCGATTCATTCCTTTTGCATACACGGCCTCGCTGCTAGCTCCAAATGCCTAACGGTCTGCCCTATCGGTCGAGATAGCATTCTTTGGGGACCCCCACGATTAGACCGTCTTCCGCGATTGATGATCCCGCCGGCCGGACCAGGTTGGTCGAGAAAACCCTGCGTCATCAACCTCCCTGCCAGCGCCCAGAGGCCAGCAGAAGGTGTTGTCCTCTCATCTTGCTCGGTGCGCCCTCCGTGGATCGTGCGACACCACCTTCCCCGAGGCTAGTTCACGATCCCCCACATCGGGTGAGGCGGTTCCCCAGATGAGACTCGCTTATCACCGCTCTACGACCGATTGTTTGGAGCTCTTCCTTGGCCAGCTGACCTGGTTCGGTCGCGATTGAGCGGCTACGGTGCGTGTCAACGATAGTGGGATCCGCAAACCAGGCAGGATGACGAGCGCGGGTGTTTAATTCTTTTCAGGTCCGCCACTCGCGTAGGATCCCGACTTCGGCTGGTTTCGTGTAATCGCTTCTGCCGCTTGTGAGCGAGGAGGACGGGGGCCCTCGTAATTTTCAAGCGATCTCCTGCGATGTGATGCCAGGATCGCTTAGCTACCCAATACCATCCCTGCACTCTCCCCCGAAAGATACTGGGGCCTTGGCTGATCAGCATATAGGCTCGACGTTGTTGATCCCCCCCCCAGGGTTGATTCGGATCGTCCCCCCCTCTTTCCCATCCAAAACACCAAACTCCACTCCAGCCCACCTCACCTTTGGGATCCCTTCTCTATTGGATCAGTAACCTCCCCTCCTCCTGTCCTCATCGCCCTCTGGTCTCCATCATGTCTCAGCCAGCCGACTTTGCTGCGCCCGTCACTATGGCTCCCCTGAAGAGCCGTCACGGCGACGCCAAGCACCCGGACTCTGACGACAACAGCGTTCGAGCTTACGAAGCTGCCCCTGATCTCTCGAACCATGAAGATGCAGTCTTTGGTGGTACGAATGCGGACGGTCCTAATTACCGAAATGTGAGCTCAGCCTGGATGCCCCTTGGGTATGCTCTGAGCGTGGAACTAAAATGGTACCCCTATCTTCTCCTATAGGTCGGTTGGATGGCTGCTGCCGTCTTGATGATGAAGGCGCAAGTCGGTTTGGGAGTATTGTCTCTCCCGGCCACATTCCACACTCTGGGTCTCATTCCCGGTCTAATCGTCTTGGTCGTGATTGCCGTTCTCTGGACCTGTGAGTGGCCTATCCTCTTCCTCTCGCGCGCGCTCTCAACTCGAGCTCACCGTCGCAATCCCTCCATGTACAGACGGAGCGTATGAGATGGGCAAATTCAAGCACAGACACCCTGAAGTCTACTCAATTGCTGACGTCGGCCAGGTCGTTCTCGGAAAGCCCGGTCGTTACATTTGCGCCGGAGTCTACTGGCTTTGTGAGTTTCCTCCTTTGCATTCTTTTTTGCAAGTCGCGCTTGGGCAGATCAGCCGCTGAATCGATTCGATCCTTGTGGCTTCTTTTCAGGGATGACCACCGTCGCCGGTTCCGCTCTCTTGTCCATTTCTATCGCTTTCAACGCCATGTCCCTGCACGGTACCTGCACCGCCGTTTTCGTCGCTGTCGCTACCATCATCGTCTTCCTCTTGGCCTCCATCCAGACCCTGGACAAGGTCGCCTGGATCACCTGGGCCGGAGCGCTCAGTCTGGTCGTCTCGCTCTTCCTCGTCACTATCGCCGTCGGTGTCACCGACAGGCCTGCTGCGGCACCTGCTACCGGGCCTTTTGACAAGGACTTCCGGATTACCTCTGCCCCCACTTTCGCTGCCGCCATGAGCGCTGTCAGTCAGCTCAGTTTCGCCTACGCCGGAACCCCTGCCTAGTGAGTCTCGAGGCGAGTTAGCGTGCTTCAATTTACAAAGGTTGATCATCGTTCCATCTACAGCTTGTCCATCATGTCCGAGATGAAGGATTCCAGGCTTTACACTCGTTCGCTCTTGCTTTGCAACGGATTCACGACTGTTCTTTACATTGTCGTGGGCACTGTCGTGAGTCGAAGATGCCACGCAGTCGTTGGCATATCCCGTCAAAGCTAATCCATCTCCGCCCTCCAGGTCTACTACTACTGTGGTCAATACGTCGCCTCGCCCGCACTCGGTAGCGCTGGACCCCTCATCAAGAGGATCGCGTACGGACTCGGTCTTCCCGCCCTGATCGTCTCTGGAATCCTCTACACTCACGTACCCGCCAAGTGGATCTTCCTGTCGGCGCTCAAGGGAACCAAGGATCTCAACAACAATACTCCCAAGCACTGGATCGTTTGGTTCAGCTGTGTCGCGGGATGTGTCCTCTTTTCTTACGTGATCGCTTCGGTAAGCACGATGTTTCACTCGCGTTCGTCGTCGGACCAGTAAACTAATAAGAATCTTTCCCATTGCTAGGCTATCCCAGTGTTTTCGGGACTTGTGGGGCTGGTTGGGGCCTTGTTCGGGACGTTCCTGTGTACAATCGTCACTGTAAGTCGAGTTTCCGCTCGGAAATTAGTCAGAAGAGGTATTAAACGCGTTTTTTTCCACAGTCCTCCTTGTGGTTCTACGATAACTGGGGAAAGAGCGACGGTTCATTGTCCCGCAAGCTGATCTTCGGATTGAACTGCGCAATCTTCGTTCTCGGTTGGTTCGTCACCGTCGCTGGAGTAAGTACAATCGGGAATAACAGGCTAGAGCGGTCTTGTTGACGTCCTCTTGCTTTGTTCGCAGACCTATGGTAGTATCGAGGATATCGTCATCGGATACGCTGCCAACGGAGGCACCAGGCCTTGGGCTTGTGACGACAACTCCAACTCGACATAAACCGTCGAGCCTTGAGATTGTTTGCTCCAGTCATAGGAAGGACCAAAAAGACACGTTACCGTTGTCTGTGAGGGGATTCGAGTTTCGTGTGAATCGGTTCGACGACAGACATCATTTTGTAACCACAGAGATACCTTGCATATCGAACGTCTATGAAGCATTTGCGACCTGACACTCGGGCGGGATCTGACTGTCGCGTCAAATGGGCAAAATGATTTACACGTCATCAGCGGTTCCACAATTGTGTAGCTTATCAAAAAATGGTAGTCTAGTCATACCGAACAGCATATTCGAAGGGCAGCAGGTCGGTCGTCCGAAATATCGAAAGGCAGCCAGAAATCGAGAATTAGATATTGCAGATTGTCTGATCAGTCCAGATAGCCCAGCATATCGTGCGAATAGAATTCAAGATACAAGCTTTCTGGACATCATCAACTGTTGGCAACCGCTTGCAACCCCACCCTTACAATATCCAATCATCATGTCTAGCAGCCAGAAAGTTAGGCAAGCCGACGGGCTGCTCATGCATGTCCATGATGCCGCTTCAGGTCCGGTGTAAGCAGCGTCATTCATATGGCATGGACGGTTTACTGACAGGAAGAATACGCTATAGTCTTCCCAAGAAGGGAGAAAGGAACGTCTTGATCACCTCGGCTTTGCCTTGTGAGTGATGAACTACAGTCGAGCATTCATAATAGTTGGCTGAATCCGTGCGCTCGTTGCTAGACGTCAACAACGTGCCGCATCTCGGGAACATTATCGGTTCTACCTTGTCTGCGGATGTCTACGCTCGATACTGCCGGACCATGAACCTGCCAACTCTTTACGTTCGTGCACGCTGGATCAAAGGGACCCCATAGTTTGAGGCTGTCAACTGATACGAGGGACTCTGCTGGCATATCAGATCTGCGGAACTGACGAGTACGGTACCGCTACAGAGACCAAGGTAAGTATCCGTACAGACACGCGTTACTGTGTCGCTTGAGCTAAATCATTCGTCGTGCTTGACTTAGGCTCTGGAAGAGGGCATCACCCCTCGTGAGCTCTGTGACAAATTCCATGCTCTTCACAAGGAGACCTACGAGTCAGTCAAATGGACCTTCGTTCATCATATCGTCTTTATTGAATGTTCCTCCGAATCTTCCTCTTTTCAGCTGGTTCGAGATCGGCTTTGACCACTTTGGCCGAACATCCACCGAGAAACAAACCGAGTATGTCCTATAGGAACACGTTCTCCGCCTGGAACGTTATTAAGGCTCTCATTGTACAGGCTGGTGCAAGCCATCTACTTGAACATCCACAAGAACGGATTGTTCGTGCAGGAGACGGCCGAACAGACGTATTGTGAGGATGAGGGAAGGTGAGCCAGGTCGGGCCAGTTCCGGTGGTCAAAAGAATCTCAATCTTGATCGCTTTCCAGGTTCTTGGCTGATCGATTCGTCGAGGGAGTGTGTCCTCGATGTGGATACGATGTGAGTGCAGCTAGCCTAGCTTCCGTACTTTGAAGGCTGAATGGGAATCTCGGTTTCATGTAGGACGCCCGAGGTGACCAGTGTGATCAGTGTGCTGGGACCTTCTCATCGCCCACCGAACTCTTGCAACCTCGATGCAAACGCAACAAGAACCACAAGGTCACAACCAAACCATCTACCCACTCCTGCTTGCGTCTAGATGCTTTGCAACCGCGGCTGGAAAAGTTCTTGCAAGAGACCCGAGAGAAGGGTAAATGGGCTAACAACGCCGTCATCCTGGCCAACGGGGAAATCGTCGAGCCGAGGATGAAGGGAGGCTTGCGACCTACTGCCGTAACGAGAGATTTGACCTGGGGTGTTCCTGTACCTCCTGTCGGGGACGAGAAGGAGGACGAAGCTATGAAGGGCAAGGTCATGTGTGAGTAGTCGGAGACGGACCGACGTGTCACTCGTGCCCACTCGCTGATATTCACACACCACAGATGTATGGGTATGTACAGGGGCGATGCAAAGAGTAATATAAAGGCCTTAGAAACTAAAGGTCTGGCATATTTTTAGCTGGACGCTCCCATCGGATATCCTTCGATCACCGCAAACTACACTGAAGACTGGGAAAAGTGGTGGAAGGCACCAGATGACGTCGAGCTGTTCCAGTTCATGTGAGTGATAACGATTTTCAACTCATCAGGAACCGGTTCCCTGACGTTTACTTTTACCTTCACCGTTCAGGGGCAAAGATAGTGAGCAGCTTTCCGAAACCAAGTTCGCCGATAAACGCTGACAGCCAAATACCTTAGACGTTTACTTCCACACCGTCTTGTTCCCTGCTGTTCAGATGGCCGATGGGGGAGACTGGACCATGCTAACAAATATCTCAGGAACTCGTAAGTAATCGCTTGTGTGAGAGAGTTTGCATCACCAGCACGTCAACTCCATTGTCATGCACAGAGTACCTGAACTATGAGAATGGCAAATTCAGCAAGAGCAGAAATGTCGGGTGAGTTTGGACGGGTCTTTCAGACCTGCTGATCTGACTGACGAAATTTCAAAACGTTCTGCAGAGTCTTCGGCAACAGCGCTAAGGAAACTAGCGCTCCTCCATCGGTCTGGCGATATTACCTCTTGATGAACCGACCAGAGACCTCGGATTCTCAATTCATGTGGGGAGAGTTTATCGCAAGGAACAACACCGAATTATTGAACAACCTCGGCAACTTCGTGAACCGAGTGAGCAGATACGGCCATTGCGTTGCCTCATCGACCTCCTACTGATTCTGGACGTCTTCACTGCAGTGCCTGAAATTCACCGCTGCCAAATTCGATTCGCTCGTGCCAGGGCCTGGTGAACACCAGGGTGGCCCTGTCTCGTTCACCGAACCCACGACTGACGAGGAGAAGTTGGATGCTGCCTTTGTCAAAGACATCAATGAGCTTCTCGACTCGTATCGATCAGCAATGGACTCGCTCAAGTTCAGGAACGGTCTCATCGCCGCCATGGCATTGTCGGCCCGAGGTAATCAGTACCTCCAGGACAACACGCTCGACAACGCTCTTCTCGCCAACCACCCGGAACGATGCGCCCAGGTCATCTTGAACGCCATCAACCTGATCTACACCCTTTCCGCCGTCTTCCACCCCTTCATGCCATCGACAACTGACGGCATCTTGCAGCAGCTGAACGCACCTGCCCGCAGTCTGCCCGACGTCTTTTCGATTGACATTCTGCCCGGCCACAAGATCGGCAAGCCTGACCACCTGTTCAAGCGTATCGATCCTTCGATGGAGGTCGAGTGGCGAAACCGATTCGGTGGAGAGTCGACCAAGAATCCCGGCCCCGCCGGCGTTGAGGGCGGTGTCACTGGAGCTGGCACTGCAGTGGGGGCTGACGTCAAGGCAACCCAAGGCGGTCTGTCAAAATCCGCTCTGGCAAAGCAGAAGAAGGCGGAGCAAAAGGCTCAATCCGCTGCCCTGGCTGCGCTGAAAGAAGCCAACAAGACGCCCGAAGTCAAGGCGCTCGAGGAAAAGATGGACAAGCAGAAGGAAGTCGTCAAGGACCTCAAGACGGGCAAGACCCAGGGTGATGTCGACGCCGAAGTTGCAGAATTACTGAAGATGAAGACCGAGCTTACAGAGCTCTTGAAGGCCCTGGAGGCCAGCAAGATCTCGGCTTGATTGTAAACAGATGGCAACTCGCTATAGCATAATCGTCATTCGATTTGAGATTCAATGTGGTGCAAGTTGATTATAGCGGTACAAGAGGGCATGCCTGGTGTTGAGACTCGTAAAGTTGGATCCAAGGATCGGCAGAATAGCCAATCGCGGAGATCGATGTCATGTCTGATAGAGAAAAGGTCGAAAAGCCAGTTGATCGCAGAAAGCTGTTTTGGGTGTTTCTAGATGGCGCGCATCTAGAAAAGGCCGGTAATATCTCCGGTCTCGGGGTCCAAGTCGATGTCGTAGAATCCAGGTCGAGTGGTCAAACCGGGCATGGTCGACATGTCTCCGACCAAGGGGTAGACGAAGTTGGCACCGGCCGAGAGCCTGACCCGGTTGATGGGGAGGGTGAACCCGGTAGGCACACCCTTCTTGCTGGGGTCGTCGGACAAAGACAAGGCGGTCTTGGCCATGCAGATGGGCAAGTTGCCGAATCCTGCGAGAAGTGAGCAAGATGGCAGAGTCAGACACCATCGACGCAAACGTTGGCCGTTCAATCCAGAACTGACCTTGTCGAGTGTAAGTCTCGATCTGCTTCCTGGCCTCCTCGCTGAGCTCGATACCGTCGGCACCGTACATCTCGGTGGCGATGATCCTAATCTTCTCCTCCAGCGACTTGTCCAAGTCGTACAAGAACTTGAACTGGGATTCGCCTTCGCAAGCCTTGATGACAGCCTCGGCGAGGGAGACGGCTCCCTTTCCACCCTTGGCCCAGTGGTTCGAGGGCACGGCGAAGTCGGCACCGTTGGCCAACGAGTAGTCCTGAACCAACTGCAGTTCGGCGGGGGAATCGGCGCTGCAACAAGGCGAACACATTCGAGACTCAGTAAGTATATTTGCGGAGTGACGCAAGCAGAGAGAACACGTACGAGAATTGGTTGACAGCGACAACGACCTTGAGACCGTACTTCTTGGCGTTCTCAATGTGCTTGCCCAAGTTGGCACAACCCTTTTCGAGGAGCTCGAGGTTCTCCTGCTGGTAGACGTCAGCCAAGGGCTTTCCGGGGGTGACGGGGGGTCCACCTCCGTGCATCTTGAGGGCTCGAACGGTAGCGACGATAACGACCGCGTTCGGCTTGAGTCCAGATACTCGGCACTTGATGTTGCAGAACTCTGTGTGGAAGGTGGGGGCCAGGCTTAGTCAGCGCGAGCTCGATCCGCTGCACGCCCTAATTGACAATTGACTTACTCTCCATTCCAATATCGGCACCGAAACCAGCCTCGGTGATGACGTATCCGGCACGATCGGCGTCGTCACCCTCCTCGGTACCGGCGAGCTTGAGAGCGATCCTGTCGGCAATGATAGACGAGTTTCCGTGGGCAATGTTGGCGAAAGGACCGGCGTGGACGAAGACGGGGGTACCCTCCAAGGTCTGCATGAGGGTAGGCTTGATGGCGTCCTTCATCAGGACGGCCATGGCACCGGCACAGCCGACGTCGTCGGCAGTGACGGGGTCACCTGACCTGCTGGTCCCGACAACCATCTTTCCGAGCCTGTAAGGAGTTAGGCATATTCGTCAGCGTACATAGATCACAATGTCATATCGCCATCGCCACTCACCTCTCCCTGAGGTCGGCAAGATCGGTAGCGAGGGCAAGGACAGCCATGACCTCGGATCCGACAGCGATATCGAAGGCGGTCTCCCTGGTAACTCCGGCCTCGGTAGGCGCCTGACCGACGGTGATCTTTCGAAGGTATCGATCATTGGTGTCGATGACACGGTTCCAAGTGACAGTAGCCGGGTCGACGTCGAGCCTGGCAAACTTGGTGATCTCCTCCGGGGTCAATTCCTCGGGCTTGGTCTTGTTGATTCCGAGCCTCTGGAGTCGCCTGAGCATGGGAGGCGCAAAGGTCTTGACTCCCTTCTTGGGGGGACAGAGTCGGCTGAAGAGACCCTTGTCGGATTGTTGGCTCTCGTGGAACATCCTCGCGTCGAGAGCGGCGGCCAACAAGTTGTTGGCAGCGGTAACGGCGTGGATATCACCGGTCAAGTGGAGGTTGAACTCGGTCATGGGGATGACCTGCGAGTATCCACCACCAGCGGCTCCTCCCTTGACACCGAAAGTAGGTCCTTGAGAAGGTTGACGAACACAGGCGATGGCAGTCTTGTTCAACTCGGCTCCGAGCGCCTGGGCGAGCCCGATCGTGGTGGTCGATTTACCCTCTCCCAATGGGGTAGGGTTGATACCAGCGACGACAATGTACTTGGCATCCTTTCGCTCCTTGAGCCTGTCGAGGACGGAGAGCTCGACCTTGGCCTTGTACTTGCCGTACGACTCGACCTCGTCCGGGATCAGACCCATCTCAGAGGCAACATCGACGACGGGCTTGGGAGTCTGAGCGACGGCAATCTCGATGTCGCTCGGGACGTTGTCGAGAAGCTTCAACTTCAAGGGCTTGACCTTGCGCTCCCGACCCTGTTCCCACTGACGCTTGGCGGCCTCGAACGTGTTGTTCATAAGCATGGCCACGGTCATGGGACCGACACCACCAGGGACGGGGGTGATGTGCGAAGCGACCTGCGAGGCCGACTCGAAGTGAACGTCACCGACGAGACGTTGACCGGACTTCTTGCTCGAGTCTACGGATCAGTCAGTCGTATGGTCAAGTCAGGTTCAATCAGCTACAGTTCCGTTTCTGTCTGTGCGCTCTGCCAGGCTGCGAACTCACCAGGAATGTAGTTGGTACCGACATCAATGACGACGCAACCCGGCTTCAACCACTCTCCCTTGACAAACTCGGCCTTTCCGATGGCAGCGACGACGATGTCGGCGTCCTTCAACTACACGCCCGAAAGAGCGTTGGAATCACCAGACCTCGCATCAGCTTCGTCCTTGCCCAGACCACCCGAATGAGGATCTGAAGAGAATAACCGAACGTACGATGGCCTCCAACCCTTGGGTCCTCGAGTGACACTGGGTGACGGTCGCATCACGTCGCCTGAGCAAGGCACAAACGGGAGTTCCGACAATGTCCGATCGGCCGAGGACGACGGCGTTGGATCCAGCGATCTTGACACCGGCTGAGGAAGAAAGCGTAGTTTGACGTAAAGGAGAATGGTGACGCATCAGTCCATTGCTGCTAGCGAGCTGGAGCGATCGACCTTGCAAGCCGGTAGACTTACTGCTATCGATGAGCTTGATCACTCCGGCCGGGGTACAAGGGGTGAACAACGGGGTAGAGAGACGGGACGAGAGGTGTCCAATGTTTTCCGGGTGGAATCTGCGTCAACAGCGAGGACATTCGATGTCAGGTGTAGTCGAAGGGGAGAGAGCGACAACCCATGACTCACCCATCGACATCCTTGTCAACTCCGACGGTCTCTACAATGACCCTCTCCTGCTCCGGCGTAGCTCCTTCGAGGGGCAGCTGCACCAACAACCCGCTGACCTTGGGATCCCCGTTCGCCCGCTTGACCAACCTCTCGATCTCTTCCACGCCCTTGCCCTCGGACTCTCCAGACTCGGCATCGGAGGGGACCTGGATGTGTTCGACGGTCATTCCCGATTCCTGAGCGGCCTTGAGTTTCATACGAATGTAAGTCGAGGAAGCAGCGGAAGAGCCGAGTTGGAGGATCTGGAGGTGAGGAGGTTTGAAAGAAGGGTAGGTGTTGCGGAGGGAGGAGATTTGGGAGGCCAGATCTGAGCGGATTTGTCTGCAGTGCAACGTCGAGTCAGGTCAGCTCGAGACTGAAGAGCTAGCATGACGAGAATTAATCGAGGGACTTGGTACTTACTGAGCGACGGCGGTTCCATCGATGGTCTGGGCCTTGCCGGTCGACTGAACGCCCTCCATAGGAGCCTGTCCACCCTGAGGGTTCTGAGCTTCAGTCAAGGGAGACATCTTGTTGTTCGTAGAGTAGGCTCGGAATCGGTTGTTGCTGCTGCTCGAGGTCGAAAACGACTTTTGGCTGGAAAAGGTGCTGGAGGTGCTGGTGGTGGTGGTGAGATTTCGGGTGAAACTGCAAGAAGTGCCGGCGATGGACGTGACACGGAATGATCTCGACGAAAGGTTGTTCGTACAGGTCGATCGTAATCTGATCGCTGCTCTGTGCATTCGGGCGGGAGATGGAGGTGGGAAAGAGGATTTGGGAGAGGAAGGTAGGTTGTGTAACGACGACGACGAGGATAATCCGGATCAGAGTCTATCGCTATCTTGGAAACAGGCAGGCCCGCAGGCCCCCAACGTGGTACCCGATTTCGATCGAGAGGTTGTCCTCTCCTCTCTCGTCTCTTTTTCCAACAATTCGAGGTCGCGGCTTGATTTCTTGGAAATAAACCTTACGTGACGACTCACCCATCCTAACGTAAAAAACTTGATCATTCGCACCGCGGATCTCATAACTACTAAGCAAAGAAGAGATACACTCGACGTTTCATGATCGATCTCTCTCACACCCGCCCACGTCTAAGACTCGGAGGGACGACGACGGGCGATCAGATCCTCACATCACCTACTCCTTGCGAGGTCTTTGCAAGGGCAAACGATCCACCTTTCTCGCTTACCGCCCAAGTGAGCAAAGTGACCTGAGCGTTCGTGGAGCATTCCGGATCATGTCTAAGGGGCACCCAACTCACCCCGTTCTCTGATCAGGATGGGATCGTCACGTGATCAAGGCGGCCATGAGCTGGGAGCTGTCACGTACGAAGTAGCACGCCCGAGTAGCGAGTAGTGTATGTCGACCCTCTTTTGACCAACCACGCATAACAGCGGTGATTCGAGTAGAGCTACTATCAGATCTAACAACTCGTCGTCAAGATGAACAACTCGGGCTTGCGTGGCACCACCGCCGCTCAGGATACCGTCAGTCTCCGATGTCCCCGGAGTCTAAACTTGACCTTCTCTCAACTGACTCGTGTCTGCTCATGCGTTCGATGGATACTGCAGCGTTTCAAGGATAAAGAATCCAAAGCTTTGAAGGGGACCAAGTTTCCACCCGAATTCGAGAAGAAGGTTCGTGGCTTCCTGAAGCCAAGGAATTTCGTCAGGAGGAGCTGACTCGAGACCGTTCCATATTCTCGTTGGTCTCGTAGGTGGATGTCAGGAAAGTCAACTTGGCCAGTGAGTACCCGCTCCCAATCAGCTTTCAGGTTAGATCGTGTCTCCGGACGTCGAACGGACGCTCATTAGACCTCTTCCTTCTCGTCATGTATCTCGCATCATGCTCACCATTGCCGACCTCAACCTCGATCCTCCTTGCTTACTGCGCTCGACCTCGTAGTCATGAGGCCCTGGATCACACAAACCGTCACGGAACTCTCGGGCGTGGAAGACGATATCGTCATCGAGTATACCATGGAGATGTTGGAGAACCCCGAGAACCCTGTAAGTCTCGTGACTTGACCCTCCTCCGACTCGACTGTATTGCTAGGCTGGAGGTGAGAGAAGCTGATCCAGGTTTTATGGTATGACAGTTGCCGGATCCGAAGAAGATGCAGATCTCCTTGGTAGGCTTTCTCGGCGATAACGTGAGTCAAGATCTCAGTTCACATACGGATCGAAGTGCAGGACAGAAAGCTTATACACATGGTCCCGTTTATGATTGCTGACACGTAGGCTCCAGAGTTGATGATCAGACTATGGAAGCTTCTACTCTCCGCTCAAGAATCCCCTGGAGGTGTACCCGCCGAGGTCAGTGCTTCGTCCATTCCGTTGTCAACACTAAAGCTTATCGTGGAATCAATTGACGTCGACATCACAGTTTATCGAAGCGAAAAAGGCAGAATTGTTGGCTCAGAGAGAAGCGGAGCGGGTCATGCAGGAAAAGATGATGGGTCGAGGTCCTTCAGTGGGAGCTTCTGGAGGTGGACAACACGTGAGTCGAGTGCCTACTCGCTTTCTCGATGGGGTTGGACTAACGGCTTGTCGTCAACTTTGTTGTTCAACGCTACAGGGCACCCGGATTCACGCTGGATTCTCGGGAGATCGATTACCGGATCGACCGCCAGGAAGTGGGGGCAGATACGGGGATCGGGGTCCCGTGCCGAGGGACAGGGATGGCAGGGCTTTCCCCAGAGGACAGGGAGCCGAGGGGTATGGTGGACGGGGAGGCAGGGATCGATATGATTACGGAGGTGGTGGTGGGGGTGGGGGTGGAAGTCGAGGCGACTACGGCGCTGGAAGGGGACGAAATAGATCCCCACCCCCTCGCAGGTATTTCGAGGATCGTGAACGGGACAATGGGTACGGGGCGAGGTCGAACAGGGATCGAATGGATCGAGGTTCAGAGAGGGATACCAAGGCGATGGGAATGAGGAGGGATATGCCTCCTGCCCGACGGGGGCGGCAGGCGGATTCTAGGTCACGTTCCAGGTCTAGGTCGAGATCGAGATCAAGGTCCAGATCGCGCTCGCGGTCGAGGTCAAGGACTCCGCCTAGACGAAGAGCACAAGACCAACCCGTCCGACGTCGGCCCAGATCGCCTTCCCGAAGCTTATCCCGCACGCCACCTAGACAAGTCCGACCTCGCCGCCGGTCCCCTTCTCGAAGCCCGCCTCCAACTGCCGCTCGCCGACAAGAACGAGGTCGTGGCCGTTCGCCCTCGAGGTCCAGGTCTAGATCGAGGCCTAGATCCCGCTCGCCGGTTGCACCGGGTCGCAGGGCACCGTTGCCTCAGGGAAGGGATATGGCTCCGGACGTCGATGCGCCGACGAGGGGTAAGAGGCGACGGTCGCCGAGCGTTGTCAGATCGGACAGGTCTCGATCGAGGTCAAGGTCTAGGTCTAGGTCTAGGTCCAGAACGCCGGTCAGGAGAAGGAGGGAGGATAAGGTTAGGTCAGTCGACGCAACGCCCAGCTCGGGCAGGTCTGAAAACGAGGCTGATCTTGTCGCACGGCATAACTCCTTCAGGAGCACTACTCCGCCTAGACGAGCAAGGAGCCCGGTTGAACGATCGAGGTCCAGATCGAGGACGCCTATCAGAACTTCGCCATAGAGTGTTACGCTTAGTGCACATTCTTCGGGCCTGTCCGCGCGCACTTACTCGATCTAGAGCTTCGAGCGAGACTCGCCGGTAACAATATCGATAGCTGAGATGTGCAGAGTCGTTTAGAAACGCTCGAAATTACGGCCACGGGCATGCATGTAGCTCAATCTTATGCCATATATGACCCTTTCGAAGTGGCCGAATCATGTGCGCGCTATGCTGCGATCCGCGTTTCATCACTTCGCGAGTCCTGGTTGTGCTTTACTCGTCACTTCTACTATCGTTGTGACCTCCTCGTCAGCGTTGGCATCGTAAAGCCTCTCTCGGCTCGTGCATCTCATACTTCTTGAGCAACTTGATCTGGTCCCATGCCCCTCTGCATCGACCGGTCGAGGTATTGGAGATGAAATTGGTGAAGACATGCAAGCATTGAACGATGGACGTATCGGAGAAAGGAAGAGGAAGAGAAACAAGGAGATGGAAGACAAGGACAAGATCAATGCGCACGACAAAAGGGCTCCTCTCCTCTACATCATTCCCCAGAGGAGATAGGCCCGCAACAGTCGATAACCAGTAACCACATCCTTTACATCATCTCGGATACTCAGATACTCAGTATCTTGCAAGCACGAGGCCGAGTGACTCGACGGCCTTCAAAGGTTTCCGGCCATACCCTAGGAATGGCAGGGCCCTCTTCATCTCTCTTACGGATACGACTAGGATGCGGGCTGAACCCAGCCGTTATAGCTGTCAATCACACTCTTGAGATTGTCAATGTCGAATCTACGAACGTCGGACCTGCCGATGCCAGACCTGTCACCCCTGTAGGTCCACATGACCCAGGTGCAGGAAGAATGAACCCCTCACCCGTGAGACGAATATGCTCAGCCAGTATCCCGGTGAAAGACGCTTTATCGAGATAGCAGGCTCACGAATCTGACGTCGTGTTCTGCGATAGTTGTCTTAGCCCGATGACTATGACGTCAACCGTAAGGAAAGCGACAGACAGCGCTAGAAATCTATGTACGTTGGCAACACAGAAGTATGATAGGCCTGGTCGTTTTCATCACGCGCTTTCGTCAGGAGAGCTGGTCTACTTTCGATAGTCTTCATCTGGCTTAGCTATGACACAATACGGAGATTCCCTCGATGGAGCATCCTGACGGCTCGGTGTGTCTTTCAGGTTTCGATAATGCTATCTCATCAAGGGCCGCCAGGACGAGCTGAAGATTGGATGTGCGAATTGTCAAGGATCAGCAGTAGCGCTGTAGCGACATACAACCTAACAAATAAACCGGCCGATCGATGATGGCTGATCTGCTGATCAATGCGCTGTGCCTGTAATTGCGAGTTTCTCGATCGGCTGTGTCATCCGTGATCATCCACCTGGCGCATCACGGGGTCCGATTGGACCCGCTGGCGAGTAGCGCGCGATCTGATGTGTTTCATGTAGGGTACAGGACGACCGAGTGAGACAAGGAAAAACGCCCGGTCGTCCGCAACGATTGAAACCCCGGGCATACCGATCTCCGAACGATCAGCACGGCTTTCCCACCCGGAGTGAAATTGAACGGAAATGCTGTGCTACCCCGTCTCAGATGGCTCGCTTAGAAAAGCAAAAGCATGGAAGCATGGAAAGAGATTGGCAATGTCGACTCGACAGACTGGAACGATGGTACGATGGTAGGGTCATGCTGATTGGACTGTCTCGATTGACGTAGAGCTGATGAATGCAGAACAACAAGTACAGCAACATCCTTTACCACGTTACCACATCCGAATACTGTACGTATCCTTGGGGTTACCTAGCTACCGCCACAATACTGATTGACATTGGCAGTTGCTCTCGAACGCCCTTCAAGATCATAATCCCACCTCCTCGCTTCAAAAGTTGAACAATTGATCGGCGAAGTACTTCAGAATCATCTGGAATGTCCCACATCGAAGAAGTGAAAAGCCTCGGGATTGAAGCACTGATTGACAGACATTGGTAAGTTAGGGCTAGGAGCGATGCTCTGGACGACTTTCGATGTTTGTATAAGCTGTGAGATTTACGAGGCTTAACCGCATCATTTCTCAGGGATGATGTCGTCAGTTCGGAAGAGATGGCCGATACCGTAGTTTTCACCCAACAAAGTCGCGTTCTGCATAAGGACAATGATGTAAGTCGTCTTGGCCAGCGCAAATAGGAATCCCGTCTGAGCGTCATGCGGACAGTTCTGGACCGATTACAAAGTCTTTTGCAAGCGGATGATCCCGATCATCAAGGAGTATGTAAAGGTCCTCAACACCCATCTCGGTGAGCCGGAGCCAGCGATGTCAAAACCATGATGAAGCTCATCCTACTCTTTAGCTACACAAAAGAATCTGAATGGAGGAGACCGAGAGGCTGCTCTCAGAGTTAAAGGTGTGATTGGACTCGAATGGAACAGGATGGCAAAGATTGTTGGGCTGTCAACTGCTTGTGAAAGGATACTCAGTAAGTTACTAGCCGATGTGTAAACGAGTTAACAAATAGCTGAAGCAACGAATGTAACCCCCCAGCTACGAAGACTGGGCACATGGTTCCCAACCAGCTTGGAGAGCGCAAGTTTTCTAAACTTCTCCGGGATTATTACAGCTCCGACAAGAATCCTGAAAACCCGCTCCAGTCGATCTACTACTCTCTTCTGTTCTGGGTTCAGCAAATCAAGGATAACGTCGTCGACTACACCGAGGATAACGACGACGAGGACGGTGCCGATGTCGCTGTTGATGATGACGACATCTTTAATCCTTGATTGAACGTGCTTCCATTATGAGCCACGGTACGACTGCTTTCATGACTGTTGGATAGATTTTGCTCTCGACCCGCAATACAAAACATGGCCATGGTAACCGCAACACCTACAGTAACTACAAGGTTGTGATTTAGACACGTGTCATGAACTATAGGTCGTCTTACGTTCGAGCGACGTTTCGTCGAGCGGCCGAGTATATTTGATCTACTCGTCCAAGCATTGCTGCACCTCATCGGCCGTATGTCGATTTATAGCCTATGAGCCAAGTTGACGCGAGTGACATCGAACTCCGAAAATGTAGAATATCACCAAGGGCTGTACGGCCGTGACGATGCCTTTAGTCAGCGGGTACCAGTGCCACGATGAGGCCATGCATGTAATCGAGCGGAATCGAGCACTATTCGTACAACCAATGCATCTACATCCTGCACAGAATCCAAGTCTCTTCGTCTTTATCTTCAGTCCGTAATTCTCATCCATGCACCGCAACCCTGTCCGAGAACGTTATTAGCATAGATTCCTTCACCAGCTTCGAGTTGTATCTCACGTCGGTGCATACTTGGCTAATCGTGAAGGATCAGCTTTGCGACTCCATTGTAGATCGCTTGAAGAGGAAGATCGCCTGCGGCGTCGCCGTAGTTGTTTCGCAGCGCGTTTCTGAATCTGGCCGCGGTCATATCCTTCGACTTGACGCTGGCTCTGTCCATCTGATCGGACGTGATCAGAGGTCCTGAGGAATGAAGAAGGAATGTTAGACAGGTGCTTCGCATGTGACTTGTGAGCAGGATTCACATACCGAGCTCGGTGATAGCGGTCTCAAAGTCGACCCCGTAGGCACCGGCGTAGGTATTCAGGCGGTGATCGGCCTGAACGGCTAGCTTCATCGAATGCTCGATCTTGGGAAATCGAATGATCATCACGGCCATCTTTTGGATAAAGACGGCGGGATCGGTCCAGAAAGCGGCTTTGGAATGATTTTTTTTTGGCATCATCATCAGAAGCAGAGTTTTTGAAAGGGCGAGATCCGGGGGAAGAAGATCTCGGTCGATCGAGTCGATTATGGTGTTGGCGTTGAAATTAAGAGCAATCTGCTCATTGGGATCGATAGTCATTGCTGATGGATCGGTAGGGAGTTGTGGATTGTGAGCGAGAACCGGGATTGTAAATGGCGAGTGTTTTGGATGAGAGGAAGGATAGATTGCTGCTGAAGTAGATTAACCAATTGATAGTGGGTCGTTGAAGAGTTGAAGTTATATATACCATCAGACCGCGGGCTGTCCTGATGTAGAGCGAAGGTAATCGTCGTCAGCACGATCAGCGCACCACACCAGGGAACGCTTCGATGACCCCAAATTTGCTGTGTTTTTGTTCAGAGACATCCTTTGACGACGACAGGTACGCTTTGCTCGCTCGGGCGACGACCGCGCTCAACAACAACATGAAACAGTGACTTTAGCGCCCCTCCGGCTATTCGACAGCCTCCGCGGGTCCGTGCGTGAGATTGATGGTGGATCTCATGAACACATTTATTCTCGGTTGGGTAGCGAGATACAAGCCAGGGTCGACGATGTCGACGATCGATCGGATTGTCGTAGGTGTTAGGTAATCTAGGTGCTAGGTGATCAAGTCCCATAGGCATCAGGCCTCAGGATCTTCGGCCGAAAAAAAGTGAACTCCGACTAGCGAGTACGATGAGCAACAGCTTCGGAGGCGTTCCTATTCAGTCAGTGGACGACCAAGCGGACGGTGACCGTACAGCTCTGTACTCCTTCCATCGAACAATCTTCCTTGGAGGACCAGATCTCCTCGTCCTGGCCTTGCCTCTCAATGCATCGCCCGATCAGGCCGGTCATTGGCTGCTGACGGAGGACCAAGCACATTCGGGTGAAACGGTACCGCTACTATGACATGCCGGTGTTCAGCAACTGGACCACAGCTCCGCAGCTCCAAATGATCTCAGGCCACAACTATCCTTGGCCACGAGAAGCCGAAGCACGAAGCATATCTAGTCCTGATCACAGCGACAACATCCAGATATGTACCAGCTGAACCGAGAAACCGATGAAGTTTAGTTTGCATCCGGTCTGTCGGACGCTGATCTGCCTGAACACTTCGTCATATCTGATTTGGTCGAACTACGCTACGGTCGTACTCTAAGTATCAGATCTGCACAAATACAACCACCAGAGCAACGTATACTACTAGCTGCGGGGTGCCACAACTTGAGAGAGCCGATACATTTAGGAGGACAACACAGAAATGAGCTCCGCACCATATCAACCGAAGCATGATCAACCCTTCAACTTGGCCGATGCCGTCGACCTCGACGTAGGAATTCTGAGCAATGGCAAGTATCTTGAGCTTCTATACACCCGCCAACTGGTAGCTGATTCGATGTCAACAGAAATCACACGACTAAGAAACTCCTTAGATCATCTACGGGCATCCAATCGGGAGCTTGAAGCTTTCATCAAGGATCCTGAGAACGCCGACGATACAGACGGGCTAGAGGAGGTGATCAAGGAGAATGAACAGGTGATGTATGTCATTACCAAGCCTATATTTCGAAGAGATTGATACTGATCGGTCGTACGGGTATATAGCGAGGTCCAGGAGGACCGGATAGACCTGCTGAAGCACGCTTTGGAGCAGAAAATTGGATCGGATCCGGCCAACAAGCATTACGATTCGGTAGTATCAGCACCAGCGATTACAGCGCCGCCCGACACCGAGCGGACGGTCATCACCTCACAAAATGATACAGAACCAGTAACAGGCGCGAATCAGGGGCACGATCCAGTACAGGATACGACTCCAGCCGTAGGGGAGGAGGGCATGTTCCTGTAGCTCGACCGGGGTCGACCTGCTCGACTGCTTTGTAACGTAACTTAATGACCATAACGAACCAGAATGCTGACATGTGAAGTCTGTGGGGACCCGAAAGTGGTCGAACTTTCAAGAATTTATAGAGCGTTATCGTCGCAAGAGTTGGGCCTCCGAAGACCGCTATGTGCAAGCTCATATCAAACGAGGACAAACTCAATCAGGATTGTCATACTGCCCAGATTCTCTCCTGCTCCGCCGTATCAACCGACGCAGAGCTTTAGATATATTAGACCTCATTGCTGAAACGCTGAATCATACTGATTGTTCGCATCAGTCCCGGGCGCGACCTCACGATACCAGTTGCTCTGAACGACCACGCTCAGCTTGCGCCCTCGTAGCAACGTGCGATGAGTGGTATAGTGGAGACTAAAGGATACGCCTATATCGGCCAAAACACAACAGTGATACAAAGAGAATGCTCGCATACAACGCTATTTGATCATGCTATCGTGACACTTCCAAGAGAGACGTCCTCTCTGTTGGCTCCTCTTCGATGCGATGAGCTAGCTCTCGACCGTCCTCGCCTTCGTTGCCTGTAACCACTCCCTCTTCCAACCAGCCGAACATGCGACCAAAGGGAAGATATCCCCGTAGACGTGCATAACGTCCGCGCAGCCCTGCTCGAGCTGCGATCTCAGGGGCAGCATTGGCGGATCCAAGCGGCGTTGTCATGGTCGAAGCGGAGGCAGAGAGGGCGGCCTCGGTCAGAGGTTGTGTTACGTCCCTGTGGAGACTCGGAGTCAGCTCCGAAGTGGTTTCTGCCCAGCGCAATGCACTCACATTCTACAAACGGGGCACTATTATAGAAGAGGCAACAAGTGGTAAGCACGGTCATACCGAGGCTGTCGAGCTACAAGCACGTCGCTGTAACTCACCAGCTTCTTCCACTCCAAGAGCCAACTGTCCACCTCGATCTTGTGGAAAAGATGTCCACAAGGCAAAATCCGAACGTGATCTCCGCGCTCGAACCTGTTCAGGCAGATCGAGCATTCGTCGCCGTGGAAGAACTTCTTCCTGTACTTCCTGAGGGGAGCCGGGACGACCTGAGCAGGTTCAGGAGAAGCGGATGTCGAAGCGCGAGGAGGCGAGGAGGCTGGTCCGAGGAATTCTAGATTACTACCCTGCTCATCATTATCGCCGTGGGATTTCCCTGCGCCGCCGGGAATGGGAACTGGCTGAACGAGGTTTGATTGAGCTTCCAACGTATTGAGAGACGTGTCCTGATCTATTTCGCCTGCGGGTTGCAATTTCGCCTTGGCGGTTGGTGGGGGTGTATCCTCCTTCTCCCACTCTTCAGGTGTCCAAATGGTCTCGGGCAGAGACAAGACCACTGTAGGCGGCGCTCGTTCCGCTTCAGCGAGCCTGGAGGGTGAACATTCAGCAGAGGTCCGGCTAGTACAACATTCGAGAATTCGATCGCTCACCTCATATCTCGGTATCTGCCTACGAGCAGGGACATGATTGTCACAAATGCCGGTAGTAGCATCACGAACATGAGCATATCTGTAAGCGGCCTATGATAATAGAGTTCAAATGACAGGTACGTCGTGAGCTATGCGACGACCTCTAGTAATGATGTTTTAGCGCATACCAGTCGTACCCTTCGTCCGGTTTGATTTCGACTTCTAATCCATGCAGCCTTCCGCTGGACTCGAGGTCTTTGTGTAGGTCCCGGATGAGCAGGAACGAGGCCCGCGAAATGAAGGACGACGGGATGGTAATATCACTCGTATCGTCTGTGAACAAGCGATCAACATCAGATCTTGCCTCATGCGAACCGCTACTTAAGCGAACTCACCTGGCGAGTACATCGTCAATAACCCGTCCCGCTCCCGCCCTTCTTCATCCATCTCTCCTTCTCGCTTGACGTCGTCAGCCACCAATACAGCATGGGCACCTCTCGCCTCGGCAACCCGAACCTTATGGGAAAAGGAACAATGACCGCGAATGACCAAGGCGATCCTCTTCGGTCTCGACACCTTGGGATCCTGGGGTGCGATCAAGGTCGGCTGGTCGCGTGACGATATCAAAGTATCGCAAGCGTACATTGGATCGACCGAAGAATTACCTCCAGAGGTGGCGAGCTGCGGAAAGGCGGTGATATTCTGCAAGATGCCGGTCAGAGGGTACGACTTTTCGGGGGCGAGTTCAGTAGGGAAAGCGGAGAGGCGATGCGAGATGCTGATGTTCCTATCCTCTTCGATCTATCTCAAGACGTATGATTATGAGGACGATCCCCAGCTATTTCGCAGCATACCATGTGCTTACCATAATGTTGACGATACCTTCTTGCCACGGATTTAGCCATCCAGCCAAACCTCCCGTTTTGCCCCTCATCCATTGCCAGACTGCAGGACCATCCCCGTCCCAAGAAATAATGTTGGCGTGATGCGCAAAGCCTGCCGAGTCTTCCGAATGCCATAGCGATCCAAGACGATATTCATGATCCGGATCAGAGAATGGGTCGTTAACAGGATGAGCCTGAGCGAGACACAGAGTGCCGAGAACAAGGGCGATGATGACGGTCTTCATGGCGAATATCTGGCAGCGATGGTCGCGCACTCCGGTTCGGTGATGTCAGTGTCGGATTCGATTGGCGAGACTTGTTCACATTCCCTGATCTGCTTCGAGTTCAAGAGGCGGCCTGTGCATATAGACCCTTCAGAAGATGTTCAAGTAGTCGGGCAGATGAACAGCACTTCCTGAGAGAGAGCAGCGAGGTACGAGTAGCAACTTCCTTTGAGAGAAGAGAGAAGAGATCAGAGATCGCTCGACATCGGCCGCCTCCGTTCAGCGGAAGCAAACGCCACAGCGACTCGTCATACTTCCAATTTCGTATGACATAGTTCGTCTTCGTCTAATCGTTACAACCGATATTACATGTTCGCGCACGTTTGCCATGCTCTTGAAATTCATTATATGACGCTTCCGAGGGGAAGAGGATAGTAGCTGTAATGACTCCGAGGCCCGCAACCTCGCTGAGCACATCGTTGACGCAAACCAGTCTGAGGGTACAAGCGATATCCGAGCCGTGGTCTTGTCCACGCTGCGTCTAGGTGTCTTTGCTGGGAATACTCCAGGCTGAGACCATATGAGGAACATCATCGATCCCATCTTCATGGTTTGCTGTACGACGATGACGGTGGAAGTTGCGGTTTCGAAGGTACCACTGCCGTCTTGGCATGGCCATTGGAGAGAGGCGGATAGGTGCCATGCGCTGACGGCAGTTTGTAGCGCGCTTCTTGTCCAGCATCATCGGGCCTGGCATAGCTGCCATAGCCATTGGAGCCAGTAGCGACATTTGAAGGACGGCTATGATGAGCTGGTCGGTAAGGCTTGACGTGGATCGTATCATTGTCGGGTTGCGTCGGTCTAGATGACGAAGCCATGGATGGGAGAGGCACGGATCGCAAGCCGCCAGACGATTGAGGATCGGATGACGGACCAGCACTACGGGGTGGTACAGATTCGTTCAATGGGCTCCAGTCGAATCTCGCGATCGGACTATGTGATTCCCAAGGTGATAGGAATGGTGGCAGCTCAGGCAGGGCTTGGTGTGTGTCGGTCCTGGTTCGTTTGTAGATACCCTGGTCTCTGCTAGGGGACGTCTCCCTGGCACGTTTGCCGTTCTGGTCGTCGCGGTTATCACGGGTCGTGCCGTTAGTACCAGAGTCGTTTTCAGACGTCGGTCTCTTTGCGTTCGTGCTCATGGGTACGACCTCGTCATCGTCATCAGAGTCGTCGATTTCGATAGCGTGTTCCTCGTCCTTTCCACTGATCGGATCAGGCGTGGCCGAAGGAGGTGGGACCGATGATGTCAAAGCGTCGAGCGCCGACTCGGAGCGGCGATGCACCGATGCGGCACGTTTCAACGGCACATGCACATCATCGTCATCCGAATCCGACAACTCGAAGATCTCGATCGGTCCCGCCGCAGGAGCGGGAGCTGGAGTGGACGAGCCCCCGTTTGCAGGTGCCGACGGACCGCCCACAGCGGGCGAGTCGACCTTGACCCTGACCTCTGGAGTAGCTGTTCGTGAGGGCTGGTTCGACCCAGCAAGCAGTCTCGCGCTCGGCGGTGGTACATTCGGGTTGGCCGCCTTCCATGATGCCGAGCCATATTTGCCGTCCTCCGTGTGCCAATCTCCGTTCGATTCGAGCAAGACTTCGTCCACGCTATCCGGACACGTTGAGAGGATAGAAGCAAAGAACCTGGAGTCACACGAATCAGTATCAAACAGGCTGAGCGCCGGAATCACTATGCTGGGTACTCACTCGTCGACAAATATCTGCTCTAGTGTCAATTCGCGGTCACAAGTTGGGCAGGTCCAGCATGGCGTCGTTTCGTTCATCATCATCCACGAGTCCAGGTCACAACATTGGACGTGCGTACACAGGTCTGATCGCATAGGGTTGGTTATTCGAGTATACGATAGCTGAGACGTGCAGATGAGAGTGAGACCTGGCCAGGCAATATCGAGAGTTCAGCAAGGCTTACCGGACACTTTAGCGACATCCTAGCGGATCCAACCTCGATATCATCCTCGTCGACCTTGGCTTGCACTGCGGATTGAGCAGCGTACCATGAGCAATGAGCAGGGTTCGAATGCCACGGAACATTGAGCATGTATGCAAAACTCACTCTGTTGCACCACTTCTTGCGCCGTCTTTTTTCGAGTCATAACCTGCTCTTTCATAGCTGCCGAGCTCATCATCTCGGTCAAACAGACCTGAAACCGGAAGCTCTGCAAAGATCACCATGTACCGAACGTCAGCTCTTTCGCCACGTTCTATATACTGTCAGAATCTGATTAGCGACCCACCTTGGCAATCTTGGTCTTCTTGTTCAGCGTAGGTCCCGTATGTGTAAAGTTGATGAGATTGTATACTCCGGTAGTCAGGTTCATCGCCGTACCCTGCATGAGGTCAACGGGCGCAGTCGAGTTGGCCTTTCCCTTGAGTCCCTTGCTGAGCTTGAGATGCGTCGAGTTGAGGGTGATTTCATAGTTGTTGGGAAAATCCATAAAGACAACGCCATTTGGGTCGGCAGAAGGGAAGTGTTCCGAGGATGTGCAAAAGAGTCTTAGAGCCTTCCTCCTGCCGTTCACGGGACTATGATGCAACCGGCCAGCATCAGATCAAGATGGACGTGCCGTGATTGGGAACCGACGCCTGGACTCACTCAGCCTTGACCTCTTCGCCCATACCGGCCGGCAGCTGAAAGCTGATCGTCTTGGTCATCTTCTTCTGCGAATCATCCTCGACCGCTAATTTATATAGAATTCATGTGAGCCTTTTAAAGATCGTCGTTCGAGGAAATCTGACAGGAACTGACCGTTCACCACCATCGAATCTGATACCGCCCTGATCGCCTTCCATGCCGGGGTCGTCTTCCATTTCAACATGAACGGTCCCGGAGCTGAAAAGCGATCCGTAATCATATCAGTGAACCGCGTGAAAGAGGATCTGAGCGGGCCATCAGACTCTCACTCCTCGCGTTGGGAGAAGCAGCACTCGACCCCGAAGCATAAGATCCGCCATCTGAACAGTCGATGTCAATCAATCAGCCCTTGTCCTCTGTCTTTCTCTCTTCATCCTGATCACAGGCTGTCGTGGACTTCCTGTATTGAAACTCACATCCAGTCCCCGCAACTCTCGCAGGGTAACTCGTCCCAGGATACCCCACGTTTCCGTTATAACTCGCTCCCATAGTAGGTCTAGGAGGATAAGCAATCTTGTTGAACTCTGCCTTGGAAGCCTTGTAACGTTCCAGCTCTCCTTTCAATCGAAAATCCCGAAAAGCGGCAGAAATGCTAGAACGAGAGAGAAAGAGAGAAAAGGGGTGGCCATCGGAATTAGATGACGATCGGACGGTATCTGCTTGTAAAGGATCTGGGATGTACCTGTCGACTAGTTCTTGCTTCCTGAGGTTCTTCTTGATGTACATGCCATATGTGTTGTTGAGGTAGGAGATCAACTGATGTAGCCGGCACTCAAGTCGGATCAGCTCTATCGATCGGCGAGAGGTCGATGTCCCGAAGAGTACTGACTGATTGGAGCTGTGGTATTTTGAGAATGTGAATCTCCCCCGAGAGGAATTGCTGTTGAAAGGGCAAGACGGGCAAAGCAGGAACCAAGACCGGATTGTCAGGTCATCCATTCCACTTGGCACTCGAAGACATCCACGAGGTCTTTGCTGGACGTACTTCAAGGCTGGCGAACGATTCTGGAATCTGCCGCGTAGCATCGATTCCTCCTCGGCTCGAATATGAAGCCATATCGCGCAAGAGATTCGGGATCCGGACCTTGAGACTACCGGATGTCGGTAGACCCAATGCTCGTGCTCGTGCGTCTTCCAGTGCTGGTATCGGGTCGGTGAGCTATGTATAATTCCGGGACACAGAGGCTGCTGGTTGCTGGATAGATGGCGGATGCTTGAGAGGTGGTCGATGGTGTTCACAGGTGATTCGATCTCTATATATGTGCGGCGATAAATTCCGAAGTCGCGAAGAAGCAAAAGTTGCTACTAGGTCGACGTTCCGGTTGGTATCGGCCCTCCCGAGCTGGTTGACGGTGGCTCTTTTTTCCCGACGAATGAGGCGATATACCTCCCCACACGACTAGCTAGTAGGTTGGATTGACTTGATGTATACGGGTGCAAACGATGTCGTCTCGAGTCCCATCCCGACATTGCGAGCCAGGACGACGATGCGATGATTATGATCCAAAAGCCAGAGCCTGCCATGGCTGCATGCCGTGCCATGCCGTACGAAATTGCCGTAAGTCGTCTACTCTTTGCTTCCGCTCGACGCCTCTGACCGATGGGTGGCCTGGGTGGAGGTCTCCGATCATCATTGACATCGGTTCATCGGATCATCGGTTCATCACTCTCAAGTTCGCCACACCATCCGGTCGAAAGCCAACAATAACTCGAACCGTCGCCAGCCTGACGGAAACATCACAGGAGCAGTTCTTAGATCCCTCAAGATGTCCGTCAAAAGAAGAACGCCGGTACCCCTCTGCCTATCCTGCTCGTCGACCCTCTTGCCTCGCTCGAAATCCGGCATCGACATCAAAGACTCGACCTATACCACGCCGTGTTGCTCTTCACCCATCTGCGTGCGATGCATCGATAACAATCCCAGGTTGAAAGACTATAATCCGTGCCTATGGTGTGCGAGCGGAGTCGGCGCAATGGCTTCCGGATCCAAGATGATCTCGCCAAAGTCTAGCAAGCAGGTCGAGGCGGAGCAGGAGGTCGCCGATGGTCGGTTCGAGATCGGAGACGATTCCGACCTCGAAGACGATGAGGAGCTGTCTCCGGATAGTCTGAGGGAGCCACCTCCACCTTACGAAATCAGCGGGGACGACTCGAACTCTCATGGTCCACCAGCTCAAGAACCTCGTCATGGCGAAAGTGGTGTTCTCAGGGAGGAGATATCGTTCCCCGAAGAGCCGCAGGCTGAAGAATCTAGAACGGCCAGGGAGCATGTTGTACGCAAGGGAGATACCGTCCGCTCTCTCGCTCTCAAATATAACCTGGATGTAAGTCTGCTCCGGTTCGTATGCTCAATCAGTTCCCGCTCCCTCTCGCTGACCTGTATATGTCGCAACCTCGATAGCCATACGACCTCATCACCCTGAACAAGCTTCCCCACTCGGCCATGCATATATCTCCCAACTTGTTACAGACGAGGAAGAGTGTGCTACTGTCCCAGCCGAGAGCCGATCGTAGTCAGCAGTGCGGGAATGAGCAGGACGATGAACAAAGGACAAGGGAGAGGCAGGTCAAGAGGTTAGTCGATGAGCGGTTCTACTAGCTTAGACTCTTATTCTAACATTTCGTCGCATCCTAGATTCCAGATCTTGACCAAGACTCCTGATCCGGGCATTGCCAAGGCCTATCTAGCCGTACAAAACCTGGACGATAGCATCTCCCTCTCCGAGCCCAGCTCTGTCCTCTTTGAAGCCTTCGACGGCGACTACGAGAACTATGTACAGGCGGATGATAAGCCTGCAGATACTCAAGAGAAATTGAAGCAGAAGGGCAAGGTGACGATCGAAGGGAGGGCGGTTGACCGGTATTACTCTGACGAGGAGTGGGTTGCGAGGGTCGCCCAAGAGGACCGAGATGAGGCGGAGAGGAAGAAACGAGGAGGAGCGCTTAGTGGTTTGAAAGGGATCTTGGGGGGAAAGGCGGACAAGGGGAAAGCCTCGGTCGTGAGGAAGGGCAATTACATACAGGGTGCTCCTTGGATCGAAAGCCGATAAATTTTCGTGTCGAGTATGTAAAAGTTGCGACGTGTAGCCGAACCGGGTCTTATTTTCACTTTGTCTCAACTACTTTACGATTTGTATCTTTTGGGCATGCCCGTCTGCTGTATCTATACATCATCGATACCTTGAGTGCCAAGATAAAAACAGTTACAAGACCATCCTGGTGAGCTGAGCGTTATGTACAGTTCGAATTTTGCCTCAATTTCGCGAGTTCAAGAAGGCGTCCAGTTCTGCAAGGACGATCAAAGTAGACCGTTACTCCAACCGTCCACACATCTGGAAAGAAGGTCAACTCACCGGCATCCAGATCCTCCTGCCTCGCTCTTCCCTTTCTCCTCGTCCCATGTTGACTGTCCCTGTTATCCCGGCCTTCATCACGGCGAGACTCTGCAGGTTCGCCCGACCTAAACGTCTCTAACTCCTTGTCCAGATCCTCGGCTGTCGGTCTGCCTCTCCGCCTGTTATCTCGTCGACCAGGACTGGCTGAACGTCGCCGACGAGCCTGACCATTTCCATCTCCCCGACGTCGATCCCGCTCTTCGTCCTGTGGATCAGGGGCGTCGGCATATCGACCGTATTTGCGCTTGTCTGTTAAGAGCGGTACTCGTTCTTTTCCAGCTCCTCGCCCATGTTTGGCGTACCACTGGCTCTCGCTAGCCTTTGTTCGGGCCTTGACGTCAGCCTCCGTGGCATACCGAATATCCAACCTCGCTCCCGGTCGAAGCCCCTCGGGTAGGTCGGCCTCGTCCCGGCCATCCAAGCCCTTTGCGATAACCAGCCCATCCTGCATTTTCAACCTTCCATCATCCCCGTTCCTATCCAGTCGAGCTCGCTCTTTCTCATCTAGGGCAGCGATGATGCTTTCACGAAGTTCGGTCGGTAGTGGCTGAGCACTTCTGAGCTCTAGCGGGTCGTCCATCTGAGGAGGGTAGGGATCGAATCCGGTCTTGGCGAGCAGCTCCAAGGCCGTCTTCGTAGACGTCGGAGAGCTGTATACGATGCACAGACGGGTATCTGAGATCCATTCGATACCTGTCAAAGCAATTCGGATGATTAGTATATGAAAGTCCTGGCTAGCGCCATTCTATCCACGATCCACTTACCGACGGGCTTAGGTGCGAACATGGTCACGTAACTGAAAACTTGCGATGTGCTCAGGTTTTGTAGGGGGAATCCAGAAAGGTGCAATGCGCAATCCCGGACTGGGGACTCGCTTTCGAGATTTTCTGATGATAAGATGCACGATCGTCAGCGGTGTTTTTCGCTGTTTCTCAAGTTAGCCAGGTAGCTATACCTAGGTAGGAAAAGTCCGGTTCTTCCTCCTACGAGATGAAGCTTTCAGCCAGACACGCCTCGAATTCAATGATGATAGAGCTACGTACTTCACGATCCTCGATATCTGGGTGATGTATGATAGTCCCAGACTCTTCCAGGAGATACAATCTCGACTTGCTTAGCCTGTCCTTCAACCCTTTGTCCAAAGCCGAATCCAGCTTCTCTTCGGTATCGACACCCATAGCTTCTCCATCTTGACCAGGATTGTACTCGTCAGGATCAACACCCAGGGGTGTATCTAACAGTCTGTTCAGACGGTCCTTGTCTGTCCCTATTGTAGCAGGAGCGGACGGTTCCGAAGGTCCCAACCGATCCAGCAGCGATGGTCGACCTGATCTCCCCTCCCGATCGATATCCATATCGGTATCCATTCTAGTCGATCTCTGGTTTGATACCGGTCGCTCGGGAGTCTGAATGCAGCGACGAATGCTTCTTTGTCGAGGTTTAGGTTGTCATTTTATCATAGTGGTAACTGAATACGAGATCCGAAATCCCGCAGGTCGAGGTCGGCTTCGTCATCTCTGCCCCCGCAAGCGCACACAAGTCCGCTTTGACCAATTCTGATCTCTAACATTCAACACTCTACAGCTCGATATCCGCCCTTTCAAATGGCTACAATCAAATCTCCTAGCCGTTAGTAGCAGCAAGTCAGGCAAACAGTCAGGATATACTGCTCGAGATTGCGGTGCTTGGAGATCAGGCCATTAGAGCGATGAACGGGGGATAGCGAACGGGTTGCTCGAGCCATGCCTCTCTCTACCCAGACCGTTCCAGATCCCATGCCAGGATGGCGAGCTACGAAGGATACAAGCAGGCAGACGGTCTTATCAAAGTATACTATCTTGGGTTTCATCTCATCGGGTGAGTCGGAACGATCGTGTTTCATGCCGGTGCGTCGTTGATTGTAGGCTCGTTGCAGGCACTTATGGTCGGGTCTACAAGGCGCAGATCAAGCAGGCGCCGTCTCCCTCTCGAAACCCATCAGATCCTCCGAAACCACTTCTCTATGCCATCAAAAAGTTCAAACCGGACAAGGAAGGCGAGAGGACGACGTATACGGGGATATCTCAGTCGGCTATCCGCGAAATATCGCTCAACCGAGAGCTCAGTGTCGTTGTCGACGAGGCGAGGGATGGCAAAGCCGAGAACAGGTGTGAAAACTTTGTCACGCTGAGAGAGGTCATTCTGGAGGATAAAAGCATCTATATGGTGTTCGAATATGCCGAACATGACTTTTTGGTGAGTCGGCGGCTCCTGCTCAAAGATCGAGGTTGGCACGGACTGACGCCGCATCTCTAAGCAAATCATCCATTATCATTCGCAAACGATCCGACAGCCTATCCCTGCTCGGACGCTCAAGTCTTTGATGCATCAGCTTATCATCGGCGTCGCCCATCTCCACGCCAACTTCATCCTACACCGAGACCTAAAGCCCGCCAACATCCTCGTCACCTCCCGTGGTGTTGTCAAGATTGGAGATCTCGGTCTGGCCAGAATCAACAGGGACCCATTGTTGCCTCTATGGAATGGCGACAAAGTTGTCGTAACTATCTGGTACCGAAGTCCCGAGCTGCTCCTCGGTGCCAGGCATTACACTGCAGCGATCGGTAGGTTACGTCGTTATTGAACATATGTCAACCGAAGCTCAACCGGATTCTTCTGGCAGATCTCTGGGCAGTAGGCTGTATATATGCAGAACTACTGGCATTACGTCCCATCTTCAAGGGAGAGGAAGCCAAGATGGAAGCTCACCATGCTAAGGCGGGGTTGCAAATCGGGGCCGGTGGAATTCTCGGAGTCAAAGGAATGCCCTTTCAAAGAGATCAGATGAGCAAGATCGTGGACGTTCTAGGTACTCCTGATGGTAAGCCTCTCGAGTACGCGGTCTTTGATAGTATAATGAGCTAAAGGGCAGTACAATTTGGCACACTTGCAGAGAAAAGATGGGCCGATATAGTACACATGCCCGAATACCCAGAGTTTGCCCGACAAGAAAGGTTCGTTCTTGCTACCTCGTAAGAAGTATCCTGCCACTGAGTTCGATCCTGTTTCTCCAGACGATCGTCTTCGCTCGCCCATTGGTATCAAGTTCGCTCGAGATCTACGGCTGGTTATAATCTCCTCACCCGTCTGTTCGAGTATGATCCCAAGAAACGCGTGACCGCCAAGAAAGCACTGGAGCATGGTTATTTCGTCGACGAGGATCCACATCCCATGAGAAAGTGAGCAGCCAAGCAGCGGGACCCGAACGACTTGCTTACATTCGCAATCGCTGATTTTTGTTGTCATCTCCAGCGCATTTGCGGGGTCCGAGTATGTCTACCCATCTCGAAGAGTGACACATGAAGACAACGGGGACCCGAAGATGGGAAGGTGAGCAGGAGCCCGGGACGAGCAATCATACTGCCATGCTTGTCGCTGACGAGACCATTCACATTTCGTAGTCAGCCGGCGATATCCTCCTTGCAGGCCGCCCAGAATACGGTCGCCATGGGAAACCTCAAGAGGAACAACCCGGCCTCGGGTTCCGCGATACCCTTCCGGCCGTCGCTTCCTTCGCAACTGAGCAACAGCCTCCTGGCTGGGGCCAATAATATTAGCACAATGGGAGGACCAGCTCCACGTAAGAAAACGAGGATGGGATGAAAGCTGGCGATGATGCCAGACGTCATGTGATTGAAAGTACGGCGCGCGTTGTAAGTATCAACTATACCACGATAATACTAGCATTGGAATTCTGTCAGGCCGCCGCTCAAGTTGTGATCAGCATGCACGTTGGACGGCTTTGGTGTCCGCTGCATGGAGGCTGAGATGAATGTGCATGTGGTGCCTGGAATTCCTGGTCACTTGACCTGATCAAGCACGACCGTTTCCCAACACGGACGAAAGGAACGCTTTCATGCCCGATATCCGTTCAAGCTTCACGAGCGATTCCCTCTGGATCTTACTTGCGGTTCCCTCAGCTCCGTCTCACCTTGCCTGTTTGTAGAAGGGTCGATCCGCAGCTGCGGGGTCGAAGCGGCTGGCTTTCCTCTCCCACGGTTCCGGCCGCCACAATCTCCACCCAACTCGTCCCGCGCTACGAGGCGCGTTGTTGGTTGATCATCCATTTGTCAAACAGGTCGGCTTCCGAGGCGACGTAGGCCGGCTTACAGAGACAACCTCGGATCTTTATCGGCTGACGAGCGAGGGGTGTATATAAAGTATATAAAGACCAGTACGCAGGAAGTTCGCCAAGATGGTTCGTAAGAGACCCCTGCCCGATTAAATCGATAGCAAATGGTGCATCCATCTACTTTATCGATCCCGCGTCCTTCTAGCATGAACAATAATGCTATGATTATGAAGCTTGAATTAGTTTTCACCGATGTGTGGACTACGAGCTCACACCCAACACGGCTGCAGCGGGCAAACCTGACGGCGAGACGGACTGATACGGATCAGAAGTTTTAGACCGTTCGAAGGAATGGTAGCAATTCCACAACAACATTCTGAACATGACATGCGATCGGGTATGTTGCAGTCTTTCCGGACAAGACAAGGGATCCAGAAGGTATCTACATTCCCAGTGGTATACAAACAACAGATGGGTATATGAAAAGGTCGTGAAATTCGAGACCGTCCTACATGGCGACTGTCCGTTTTTTTTTTCGTTCTCCGCTTTGCGATTTCGCAATCCTATCGACGATTTCCGTGCCGTATCAAACCGTGCGAGACAGCCCCGTCCTACAATCCGCTCTCGCCCGTCTCGGCCATGTGGTCTTGACACTTGCTGAGCATGTGCAGTTGATGGCTGATATCCTTGAGTTTACTGAGCACACAGGCGTTTCCCTCAACGAACCCGTGAATGTTGTACCTCACCCCGGTCTCGACGCAAAACTCTTCGACGATCGGTTGGAGCGACCGGAGGTTGTGACGCGGAACCCTGGGGAACAGGTGGTGGATCGCCTGGAATTGAAGACCTCCGTGAACGAAATCCATCCAGGCCGGACAGAGGACGTCCATCGTGGTTCGGAGCTGTCGTTGGGCGAAGGACTCGTCGGTGCCGAGGTCGCTCGTAGGCATACCCCAGTGGGACAAGGTGATCTGGACGTGGAGCAGCATGGTGATCATGTGCGAGATGAGGACGAACCCGACCCGGGTGTACCAATCGGGCAAGGTCTTGAGGACGAGGAGGTAGCCGAAAACGAACCAGTAGCAGGTCATGCCGACGAGTTCGGCCGGACGGGTCCAGGCGGCGGCACCGAGAGGTTTGCTTCGTCGAGAGAGCAAGTGGCACCAACTGAGGATGTACAGGTTGAACCTGGCGACGGCCATGATCGGGTAATACGTGTACTTTTGGTACGGAACCATCAACTCGCCCGCCTTGTCCCACACATAGGTGAAATCGTAGTACGACGAATGTGAATCCCGGAACTGGGACGGGCAGGTGGCAAAGATGGGTACGTTCTGGGTGTCCGGGTCGTGTTCAGGCGAGTTGGTGACGAGGTGATGGACGTTGTGGGACGATTTCCACCAGCCGATGGAGAGTCCGCAACAAAAGTCGGCGATGAAGATTCCGATGAGGGTATCTGGGATAAACTTGCCCGTGATTCCACGGTGTCCGGCGTCATGAGCGGTGAACATGATTTGTTGCCAGAAGAACCCGAGGAACATGGCCGAGGTGAAATAGTACCCCGAACGGAGGAAGCCGATGAAGAGCGAGAAGAGCAAGGTATACCGGACCATCTCCTTGGCATAGTTGCGGTATCGACAGGTGTAGAACCCCTCGTCCTGGACACGTTTGTGCAGCGCCTTGAACTTTTCGGCGACGACGCGTTGGGTCTCGACGTCAGGCGAAGGATATTCTGCGAGACCTTTGTCGATCCCGGCTTGGACGAGCTCGTCGACCATCTCATCCCGTGTTTTGGGTCGGCTCGAGGTCGAGTTCATCGTGGCAGGAACGATCGAGGCCGAAGCCGACTCGCCAGCTACACGACGACGACGAAGTCCAGCAGCCTCGGCATCATCGGCTCCTTGGACCTCGCTCTGCGCAGAAGAAGCCTCTGCCTCGCTCTCATCGGTAGCCGACCAGTATCCAGAATCCTGAACCGAGTCGTTCTCGCTATCTCCACTCGCTCCCGTGCACGCCGTACCGCACGCTCGATCATGGCAGTCGTGTACAGCAAGCTTTCGAAAGACACCTCCCCGAATGGGAGGCAGGAAGTTTTTCCAGTGTCCGTCGACTCGGCCGATACGGTAGGCCGTCATCCGTTTCAAGGTGCTTTCCGAGTGGTAACTGCAAGATCAAGAAGAGCGTGAAGAAAGACGATCAGCAACGGCGACGACGCGAAAGGACGACGCGACGTGGCGGCAACATCACATCAATTCACGACGCAACGAGAACTCACGCATTGATCTCACTGCCAGCCTCGACCCCGATCATGTGCATCAGAGGCAGTTTCCCACCGGGATGCTTATCCATCCATCCGTCCAGGTTCAACACCTGACCTTCGTAGACGACGATGATGTGCCCTTCGGCGATCATACCCTCGACGGCTCGACGGGAGATGAGTCGGTCCCGGTCGTTCTTGGACTTGGTCGAGGTAATGACTCTGGAGGTAGGCTTGACCTTGGGGTGACGGTCCGTCATTGTCGTGGCTGTATTGTTGTTGGTTCGTTTGGCGTCAATCATGATGATGGAAAGAGTACGCTCCTGATCGTCGTTTTTGCGTTCGTCCTGTCAATGTTCGTCGATCAAAGGGATGCCCAGAAGAGAGATAGAGAGAGGAGCAGAAGCTGTGTGGTAGTGATCGTATTGAGTCTCCTGGACTCGAGTCGTGGTAGGTCTTTGTTGGTTGTTGAATTTGGACAGTGAGAGTGTGTCAAGGGGTCGATCAAAATGTTGAACGAGTGATGTGCGTTGTTAAAAGAGAGTGACGAGTCTCGTTCGAAACAAGAGAAGACGGGGGCGACGAGAAAAGGATGGAGGTAGTAGTAATAAGAGGATGAAGAGAGGGGGTTTGGCTGATGATGGTGGATTGGAGGAAAGTAGTTATCCAACCATCCGACACGATACCCCCCTCGTTTTGTGTGTCTCCTTTGGCAATTCGCTGTCGATCCCCCCTTTGCTCCTTGTCCCCTACGGCTTGCTTCACTCTCTCACTCACACACAGCTCCGTCGGACTTTTACCGCGTTGTGGGCAACAAGGGGAGGGAGGGGAAGAGATTCGGTGCTCGGCGATGGAAGCACACACAGCTCGGTCGTCTGCTGTCTGTCACATCCTACCGCATCACATCACATCAAGAACACGTCTCGCCGTGTCTCTCTCTCGCTCTCCTCCCCCAGATCTCTCAATCAATCCCGACGGCAAGGTGTGAGGAGGCTCGAGGAGGAGGGGACGGCGAGTTTCGAATGATCATCATCATCATTCGCCCCTCCCCCCTTGCCCTCCCCTTTCTTTGTCTGACGCGCGTGTGATACCGTCCGCCCGTGGGGTGGATCGGGTTACAAACCCAAAAATGTGATCGAAATGATCTCGCATCAACAAAAGTCCAGCTCATCGATAGATCCAGGGCGAGTCCCGTTTGGACGAGTAGAGACACGATACAACCGCCCAGCGAGCGACTCGAGATAGAGGGCGAGCACGATCCAGACCGACCACTTCCTCTACAGCATTCCGTTTCGACATCTGGGCTCCACACCGAACAACCGAAGTCAACCGAACAAATCATTTCGCATCGTTCGGTCTTCACCCTTGTTCTGCCCACGCGGGACGGTCCCGATGGCGGTCTCAGTTACAAACCCCCCCCCTCCCCTTTCCACGCCCCGGGCCTGGCCGGAAGCGCACCGTCGGGGGATTGGCAGACCACGCGACGCCGGGATCGCTGAAATTCGATAAACTCTATCAAATGTCTCCCTCGTCTTTCCGCCTGGTGCGGCGCCAAGGACGAATCTGATGCGCAAAGGACGATGCGGAAGAGATTCCGTTCCATACCAACCAACCGCGTTTTGCAATCCGACCGAGCAGATTCTACATGTTCCCTTGTCTGTTCCAGGACAAGGAAGCAACGCCGCTGCTTTGACTTTCGATGTTCTGCTCCATCGTACGAGCTTTCGAGAACCCGTCGATGGAAATGGCCCAGGGGGTCTCCCTGCGGAGGCTTATCTTGGACCGGGAAAGAAACCCGGTCCGAAATAAGCATCCGATCATGCTGGAAGCTCCTGCGGCACTCGACTTCCATGCTAAGCGAGGCAGTGAGGCCTATTGGTTCGCCTGATATTCACACAGGTTTACGCCCAACAGCTAACAGAGCCGTCGGGATTTGAGCAGGCGTTCCGAGCGGTCGGCAGTATGGACGGGTCGTCCCTAACGGACTTGGGCGAGACTCGCACCTTCAGCACTATTGTCCACCCGCGCCTGAATCTGTTCATATATCGAACCTATGGTCTTGCGATATCGCCTCCAATTACCATCATCATCGTCTCACCCACTTGAGCTCGTGAAAGATCCTCCTGAATCTAGACTCTCTATTAGACAAAGGTGATAACATCGCTCTCATGCGGTTCGGGAGCGCAGAAAAGCGCCATGCTATCATGCCGAGGAAGGAATCGTTGGGTATCGTGATTGCGTTCTCTCATCATAGTCCTCCATCTGACAGATTTGCTGACGCAAAAGCTCACTGAGATGAGAGGTTGTGAGATGATATCTCTGTGGTCACAGGCCACAGCGATGGATGTCACGTCCATGATCATTTTTTTAAATGACTTTTACGCTGTTTAAAAAAGTGACATTTGTTTACTTTGTGGGTGCCTACAGACTTGAGCGAAATCCCACGCGCATCCCTCGAAGGCGAAAGGACTTCCAATAAATAGTAGAAAACCTCATTCACCGTTCAAACCCAATCTTTATGTCTTTGATTTTCTATGACGGGGGGAATCGGCTCAAGAGACTGACCGCACCGGCTTCACATATTCCTAATGCAAGACCCGAAGTCCAAGCGGTTCACCCTCGTGCTCGCTGATCCGCGGTACGCGCCTCTGTCAGCGACCCCTATTTCGCCGCCAGTCATCTTTTCGCTTTCCTAAAGCGGCAAGAAGCGCTTGGAAGAAAGGCATACGTGGATCAATTCTACTATCTCTACAGATCTCTCTACTATATACTATAGATACGACAGCACTTTCAACACCGGTTCGTTTTCTGCTACCAGCATCTCAACCATCAAACATTGCCCGTTTCCTGTTGATGAAATGCTGGATCGCTTCAACTCTCTAAGCGACAACGATCGGTACCTGATCATCGACGAGGAGGCCCGTGCGGTGGATCCACCTCGGATCGGATCGCCCTGCACCAGAAAGCCCTTTGACTTGGACAAGATCATCGACAGCAGCAATAGAAAGCAACAATTACCCTAGAGCACAGAACAAGAGGAGAGTCGTGGGTTGCGTCCATCGGGCGCATCTGTTCAGTCCTAGCGGGGACAAGCATGGCCGCGCGTGAAGAAATTCGAAGTGATCGATTTGGAACCTGCGGACGTAACGGCGACGTCATGAACACGGAAGGCGATCTGCAAACGATGCACTTGAATAACTCGGACAGTCAAGACGGTGATGATGCAAGCTACCATGGTCGGATACAAGAGCAAAAGTATATAAAGAAAAGCGCACAGAAAAATCGATGGAGCCCGGGAAACCATCGACGTATGCCTCCCCTATCCTCCCGGGCCTGATGAGTTCGAATCTAGTGGAGTCGCGAGAGGATTACGGCTGGTTGGCTACTCGCCATGAAAATGGAGATCAGGACTCGACAATGCCAACATACCAAGACTCCGTGTAGAACAATGTTGGTCCAGCGGTAGTATCGCATGGGCATGAGTTGGGTGGCGGGTGGCACGCCTTGCTTTACGAAAGAGTGGGCATGCGATGCAAGCGAGTCAGTCACTGCCAACTTTCGGCATCACAACCGGCGCAAACGGTCGAGACTCACAGTCCGAACATGAGGTTGCAACAGTGACTTTTGGTCCGATAGGTAGTGTCCGGTTGCTCCATCGGTCGACGAGTCGCTACGTGAAAGAGCATGCAATAGAAGGAAGTCAGTTTTCTGCAAGACATCGGCTCCATGGCACGTTCGGATGGCCCCAACCTACAACCAGAAGGTGAACCAATTTCCAAACAAGACTCAGGGTCTTGAACGGTGTTGCGTCTGTTGGGTCGCAACTGGCGCTCTACGAAGGATTACGACACATGATCGTCAAAATCGGTTCAAGCCAAAAAAAAATCGACATTGTCGGAATGCGGTAGTAACTCACTTCATGAATGTGACTTTGGGGGGTCGTGATTCGATGGCGACCTGGCTGTCTCAAGCTATGCTTTACACGAGCACATGAAGGCAATCAGTACTCCGTGTTATCGATAGTCTCGACCGAGGCTGGGTTTCGGGACCTACCTTCGAGCTGATGCAATCTCGGTGAACCCCCGACCTGATTCGACTCCGATTCGACCTTGAACGATCCTCGATGTTGCGATACTGCAACGAAAGAGGGAAAGACCGGGATGAGCAACAGAAATAACAAGAAGACAAGACGACGAAAAACTAGACTCAACAACGGTGAACCGATTCTCAGGCGTTCTTCTTGGATTGGGGTCCTCCTGTTGTCCGCTACGGCGGGTTCCTTTGAGGTTGAGATGCGGCCGACTACGCGTCCCTTATTGTAAGATACATTGGGAATGACTCGCATCTCGCTGAAGAGGCATGCCTCGCAGGCCTGTCCGTAATCTCGACGCGAGGTCACCGTTCGCTAGGCGGGTTCGGCTTCGCGAGTAGGACGAGCTTGCTTCGTGTGAGGCGTATGCCTCGCTGTCCGCTACGATCCAGGTGACGCATTCATCGATTTCACCTCGTGCGCACCGAGGCACCTCCCCCCCGGTTGGACAACACGCTGCACTCCCTGCACGGTGATCAGGCGTACAAGGACGGGTATCAATCGCGGTCGAGGATCGGGCTGCCAACATTCGAGTCCGTCATCGAAAGCGCACAAAGGCGAACCGGCACTTTCTTGGGATCGAAGTCGGTCCCTCCTGCCTAGGTCTTCTACGCCCTTCGAAGGGTTTCGAATCCGTGCACCAGTGTATCGTTGTCGCTTGACCGGTTCGAGGTGGGGCGTGATCTCGGACCGTCATCGAAAGCTCACAAACGTCGAAACGGGTGCGATCTCGGGCAGGAAATCGCCGACATTCGTCTACGTCATCAAAGGCACACTTCACTCCTTGCGGACGGGCACCTTCTCTTGGAGAGGGCGTCAGTATCCCCGCTCTGGCCAGGTCTGTCGCTCCCGGGATGATGATCTGCGTGTCGAGCAAAAAAGGATCGAACCAGTGATCATCGGACGTCAAAAAGGGAAAAGATGCTAGGAAAGCAAGACTTAGCGTTCCATCATGTTCGTTGGTGAAATGGTGATGCCTGTAAGTCGTCCGAGAGAAGGGCACGTACGAGGGAGTTGATACCTTTGAAGGGGTCAAGTTCGTTTTGATGATGGGTATGAGAGAGAGATTGAGAGAGAGAGGGAGAGAGGGGGGAGGGGAAGGGTCGGTAGCTTAGGGACCTGATTACGTGAAAAGTCGAGTCAGTCAGTCAGTCAGTGAGCACGCAGCCGTGAGAAAGCGAATTACAAACGTCCTAACAAGCCAACCACGCACCACGCAGACACACACACACACAGGGAGAGCGAGCGAGCGGTGGAGGATGGGGACACCACGAGGAAGCGCGAGATCGAAGCGCACAAGTCGAACGAACGAGAAGGCCGTCGAGCACAACGTACGAACGTTGTTTGTGTAACAACTACTCGTGATCTCGATATGCATTCAAATCGACGTTTTGACACGGATATGAAATATACACAATAAACGAAACAGTCCACTATGGAACCTCGGGCTGTCGAGCTGTTTGAAGGAGATTCGGCGGCGCACTTGAAGATCACCTCGCCCGCGATTAGGGTGGCCTTCAATAAGGTGATGGGGTCAGTCCATAGGATGATATTGTCCGCGAATAGCTCGCTCGGAGCTGAGCCCATGCCCATGACGATGCTGACCCAATCATACAGGAAGTGGGCATTTGGGTCTCAGGAACACAAGAACATTGCTGCTCAGCTATGTCGTGACGTCCAGTATGAATACAAGTCCCGGCACAAGATTGATCTGAGGATTGAGGGGATGGAATGGAGAGGCGTAGTGCCCCACGTAGTCCTGTCCGGTAAGGATTCTCATTCCGGATCCGCTGCTCTGTTGCTCGACAGAGCCCAACTGACATGTTGAGCGACCATCGTCAGGCTCGAACCCCGACAAGAACAAGGCGTATTTCTATCGCAACATCCACGGATTCTTCGCGTATGCCCCTTATCCCTACCCCAACCCGCACATCACCTATGACGTCGAGATCGCAATGGCGGATACGGCACTAGGGCAGATTCAGGACCTGTTTGCCCGATACGCAACTCCATTGCCTATCAAGTTCGGGAAGGTGGAGAAGACGAAATACAACGTCGTGATCAGATTCCTAGGGATCTGTAGTGATAGCGGCGCGAGAGTAATTGGTCTCACGGAATTCCAGAGGAAGCGACGGGAGCAGGTCAAGTCCCTCTTAATACAGGTAGGTAGATGGAGCACGCGCCTTAGCAAATCACTAACAAACGTGTTTCATCTGGGCGCGAACCTCACTGTACAGGGCGGATACAAGAATCGGTTCGAGATCAAAGAAGAGCCTAAGCCTGTCGAAAAGGTCTTCGGCTCGCCTGAGGCCGTCGGCTCCTTCAGGTCGTATTCACGCAAGGACATCATGGCGACCGACTGCTTCAAGGCGTCTGCACCCAAGGCGTCGACTTCCTCGGCATCGCCTGCTGTGTCGAAGTCTTCGAGGGTGATGGGGACGCTCAGCGACTTGACCCACCGAATGTCAAACGTGCTTGACAAGAAGAAGGAATCGGTCAAGATGAAACGGGTCCGAGAGACGAGTTCGCAGAGCGCCCAGACGGAGAGACCTTTGGCCAAGAGCAAGAGGACCGCGTCCGACGCCCCTGTTTCAGAGACCTCCGTCGCCGCCTCGACTTCGACGACGTCTATCCCGGTTCTCAGCTCGACTTTCACTGCGCCTGTCCCCGCCGCCTCGACTTCGACGACGTCTTTCCCGGTTCTCAGCTCGACTTCGATGGCGCCTGTCCCTGTCGCCCCTGTCGCTGTCGCCGCCTCGACTTCGCCGACGACGTCTATTCCGGTTATCAGCCCGACTTCGACTGCGCCTGTCCCTGTCGCCCCTGTCGCTGTCGCTGCCTCGACTGCGATTACAGCCCTCCCGGTGCCCAGCTCGACTTCGACCGCGCAAGCCCGCATTGTTCAGATCAACTTCACCATCATGCAGTACCGAGGGAGGATTGCGGGATTGGAGGCTGAACGCGAGATGTTGGAAAACATGTTGTGAGATCAACTTGATCATCATGCAGCACCGAGGGAGGATTGCGGGATCGGAGGGTGACGGAGGCTGAACGCAAGATACTGGAAGATATGTTGTGATTGGGAAGGCTGATGTATAGATACAGTGGCAATCCATGGCTACTCGTCATCATCGAGATCGCTCATGTCTTCTAGTCCGTCCTCATCTTCATCTTCATCGTCTGACCCCCTCGCTTCGCCTTTAACGGGTACTTTCCTCAATCCAGCGAGACGTCGGTCTCGTTCTCTTTCCTCTCCGCGCAATTTTCGTTGTAGCCTAGTCATGTTGACTCTCCAGTCTGGCATTCTCTTTTCCTCTTCCTCGCTATCTTGAGCTTCGTCATCGTCCCCATTGCCATAGTATTCGCCGGCCTCGTATGTATTCCAACGCTCCTTGCCATTGACGACGCGTGCGTTTCGTGCATTCTGCGCCCGCATGCTAAAATGGGTGAACAACTCGGGCGAGGAGGACGGCGAAGGCGATTCTTCATCTGGATACTCGTTCCGATAAAAGTTTTCCTCTGTAATAGTCACCGGCATTAGCTCTCTTATCAACACAAGGCGATATCCAGACACGCACCATTTGAGTCCTCGTCCGCTTCGTCTCCTTCCTCAGTATCGCTCCCAGGGTCTTCCTCATCATCCAGCAGCTCGTCCAGACCAGCCAAAGCTCCCACCATCACCCCATCACCGAACGGTCCTAGTCCCGCATCGACCCCATTCGCGCCTTGCGGCAGCGTGCTCAGATCGGTCGGCTCTCGGTAATACAGGTCGTACACCCAGTCACCGTCCTCTTCTGCAGCAGTGTTTGTTTGGATCGAGATCTGAGAAGAGGACAAGCTGGCAGGTGGGATGTTGCGGGATGGTACCGATATGGGTTTTGCAGGCTGGCGGTCACGACTCGGACCAGCAGCCAATTCCGAGCGATCAGCGACTATCGTTCGTGTTAGCGTCGTTAGATGAATTCCCTCGACATTGCGAGAAAGATGATCATGCTTACGACCAAGGGATTCTGTCAACATAGGCAAGAACTTTTCCATCTCCTTCATCTCGTCATCCAGCTCCAATTCTTTGCTTGGTACGGCTTGCGAGCTCTTCAAAGATCTCTTGCTGAGGTACTCATCCTCCCCCTCCGTGCGGACCTTTGGTGGTCTCGGGGAGAGAGCCCTACGCCTAACAGGCTCAACTGAAGCGGGTGTTGTAGACTCGAGCTGAGCATCGATCAGTCGGAAGTCCTGTCGAGGTTTCGCAATGCTATCGTCATGTAGATGTGTGAAGTTAGAGGGTAGTCCTGACTGCAAGAAAAATAGAGAACTCACATCTGCGCAGCTTTCGCTCCGAACCTGCTTCCCGGTCCGGCTTTCCGTCCTTGAGAATGAGCAGGCTTGATCACTCGATACCGTCTCTCTTGGGGGATAGTCTCGGTCACGGGGGATTTGAGCGTATCAGTCGAGTCAAGCGCAGATAGACTTGGCTGTACGGTAGACTGCTCAAGAGGTGATTGAGACAGGAACTGAGCTTTTTGCTCGGCCATCAGTTTTTGAATGGTTTCCTGGCGAATCATGGATCGAGCAGCGTTGATATCAGCGAACGAATAGACGGAGAGTCCATGGGATAGCTCACTCTCAAGGCAGCCTCCTCTGCAGCCTTGGCAGACCACTCGTGTCCTACGGTCTGGGCCAGCCTGAAAATACCATGGCCAGAACCGTTGTTCGTAGCGGCCGGCGAGAGCGGTCCGTCGTCTCGAAGACGTTTGGCGGCTCTCTCCCCCTCTTGAACGACTGAGGTTTATGACAAGACGTCGAGTAATAAAGTCTGAGATAACAGTTTCACAAGCTTCGTAGAGCCTTAACGACTGACCGAGCGAAGTCAACGGTGCTTCGGTGGCCTTTCTCTTGATCCGGATGATGTTCAAGTTGAGAGCCGGGCTCGGGGCCGAAGCCGTCATATCCACGTCCATGACGGCGATTGTGACAGTCGCTGCTTCGACTATCAAGCGAGAGACTGCGTCAAGGATCAAGCACACTTCAAAGCTATTGCTGAATGGTCTGTGTCGGTTTCCAGACGTGAGTGGTATGTTGGTGGAGTTGATCCGAGCCAGAATGCGGTCTGGGCTGTTCAGGATCGCGAGCTTGTTTACGATATCGATATGATCGGCAGAAGAAAGTGGTCGAGACCGGTCACAACATGTCGTATCGTATATGCCTTCAACATCACTTCACCTTGGAACACTACCTTCCATACATAGCTATCGCCTCTAGCACTTCTAAGTAGAGGCGTATTATCATATTGATACAGCGAATCTGCTCGTCCCACAACTTGACCTCGAGACAGCGTTGCGCGTTTAAGAGAGTTAGGAACATGGCCAGCAGGACAACAAACGATATCGAGACAACCAACCCGTAGTAGGTTCTCCATATCCGGTTATCAAGTGTTCGAGACCTCACTGATATCTGCTTGCGATCAGCGCTGGTCATGCGGAATGCTCCGATTTAGAAGCAGAGGTGTTGTGGGAGTATGCCAAGCTGGCTAAAGCGATCCGACGGGTAGGTCTCGTTTGATTCCTCCCGCAAGGGTTCTACCCATCAGCCTGGATACTTCGAGCTCAATCCATCTCTCTCCGTTTGTTACATAGGTGGACGCTTTGGCCAGGGATACTGCAGATAACCCCAATGACAAGCTTCTGGAAGACTTGCGAGTGCTAGAAAAGAAGATGGGACTGGTCTTGACCTTGGTAAGTCCGCCGACTGGTACCCGACCATCGTCTCTCAGCTCTGACAGAATGTCTTTCCCGATAATCCCTTCGTACTACAGTTCAAAGCCTCGGTCTGGGCTCTGATTACGGATCAAGAAGCAGCAGAGGAACAACGCAAGATGGAGGAGGATCGTAAACAACGGGAACTTGACGAGCGGGATCAGAACTCGAGGAACGAGTCGAGCAGGACGAGCGGTTACACGGGGGATGAGAGCTTTTAAACTCGTCTAGATGGTGAGAATGGGTATGAGAGTTTCGGATCTCGGGTTGTATGTCTAATAGCGTATGCGTATACCACGGTCGCGGCGAGGATACGGAAATATCGATTTCGTAAATCAAGTTTCTCAATTCCCAGCCAAGGATTTTGGAAATTCACAAATCATTTCCTGCCAACACATGGAGCTGCCCTATCGTTTCTTTCCAGTAAGCGAGGCAAAGACCTGATCGACCTTGCAGTGCAAATTGGCACTGCTCCGACCGAACGGTTTCATCTGCGCGATCAAATCGACGTCTGAGCGGTGCGACCGGGATATACGGGATATGATCCGCAGCGAATCGGTGACCTACTCACCTCGGGGTTCTGCATAAGGCCAGGGATATTCTCCTTGACCAAGCCGTATATCGCCTTCCAAAGCGCCGTCATTTCCTCTGCGCCGCAATGATATCCCTTCAGCGTGGGGCGGATGTGTTTCTGTGTTTCCGGGGCTCACCTTCTTCCCAAACTTTCTTGGCCGCTTTTGGTCGACCCGAATTTGCACCAGCTGTTTTTTGCTTCTTCAAAGGCGGAGCGAGATCTACGCCTTCCGTCTTTACGCCCGGATTTTCTTCGTCCTGTCGCTTTCTAAGCTTTTAGCTGGTTGAATTTGTCGCAATGCGCTGTGCACGAATCCACCTACACTCTGTCGTTTAGGCATGTTTAGAACGAGTATTCCAGAAAAACTATGGTGAACGAAGTTTTTGCGAACTCTTGGTACAGGAAGGTTACCGGACTGCCATATCACAGGTTGCGAGTCTATATACCGCGTCGTCTTCCGGAGCCATCACGAATCGGCTTTATGCCTTTTGTCCTTGTGAGGTGCGCGACGATCCGACGATCTTTTCTTTGATCTTGAGCGATCTCCTCAGTTCGCTTGCCCGCGGCGACCGAAGTTCCCTCTCGGAATCACTGACTCTGTCTCCAGCGATGACTATTTGCTCTTGTCTCCGACGATACTGGAGACCTGGTGAACCAAGTCAATAACGGCGCAAGGCTGCGATTTGCTAATTTCGCTGACCACCTCCCCCCCCCCTCAACAGTCAACACCGATTTTCAGATCGGAGAACAAAGACTTAGTTTCGATGCCTGCGATGACGTTCTTTCGGTTGGATATCGAAGACCTGGTCGAACAGGTCTTACAGTGCGCAGTACACAGCCATCAGTATTGTTCAAGTGACCTCCTCCCCTATCTCGATTCGTGAGCAAATCGGGACGCAGTTTCAGCATTAACGCGAGATGCAGTAGCGCTCGGCCGCTGTGAGCAGAGCCCCCGTGGTTGCCTGCTTTTCCATCTTGCTCGTCTTCGACGCGAACGACGAGTTCTGCTTTCTTATACATCATGGTGAACATAGCCCATGGCATATACGGTTTCGAAAAGATCCCATATTGAGAACAAGTATTTTATCTACCAGCTACCGGACAATAAGTTCACGTCTCACTCGATTCAGTGAAACGTCAATCCGCTCCCGCGGGACTTTCTTGTGCGTGAAGTCGTCGATCCGTTCGGCTGTTCGATCTGTTCTATCGCACCGTCAGTCTACGTGTGCGAGGGCTATCTGAGAATCAGACGAGAATCACTCACGACGCTGGAATTCTCCCATTCGCAAGCGTTACTTGATGAGGTCCTTGAAAATTGCGTCAAGCTTGTTGTGCAATCTCGAAGCAGTTCTACCGGTAGCTTGTAGCTGTTTGCCATATAAATTTGTGTATCAGTATAGCCTACATCGAATATTACTTGAAAGACAGACCTCGGGAATCTTGGCGAGTTCGGGAACATGTCCCTTCTTGATGATGTCGTATACTCCTCTCCATACCGCAGTCACCTCCGCTGTGCGCAACCAGACTGCAAATCTCAGCTACGCTTGTTTTCTCTCTCGAACAAAAACGGGCTTACCATCGCTCCACGGTACGGCTGTACCCTTCTTCCCCTCCGCTCTCTTCACGTAGGCGCGCTTTTTGGCCGGCGGCGATTCCGCCTTTATGCCCGCTTCGACCTTGACGAGCTGTTCGTCTTCTTCGGCCTGGAGAAGACAATAATTGATGTAACATCAGTATCATGTAGCAGCACTGCTGAGATCGGGAGCGAGATACTTGTATGACGTACATTCTTTCTCTTTGGCATCTTGTAAAATTATCTAGATTGAACGAGTGGATTTGCTGTGGAATAATTGAGAACTTGACCGAGGGGAATCGCCAGGCTGGCGTTCTTATATATTCTTCTTTGACTTCGTAGATTCAGATTGAGAAGTCACTTGAGGCGGATGCTGGCCCGGTGGAGATTTGCAGAATCCTCGATCTGGGGGTCCTTTCGTTTTGTTCGGGCAGATCGATTTCCATGACCGATGCAGGGGATCTACAGGGTCCTTTGTTCGACTTGTTGTTGATTTCCAATCAAGAGAACACATGACAAAGAGTACCCAGAGCTTCCGATAGCCAATCGACAGGATGAGAAGCCTGAGACGTCTCTGCGAAGCATATATAGCCACCAAGAAGCGGACAATATCGACTACATCGCTATTCGACAGGCTTCATCAAGATATCGATCAAGATACTGCAACCCGTTTTTGCCTCAAGCAAACCCGAATCACACACGAAAGAAAATGCCAGCGAAGCGGGAATTGGTCAGTCGAGCAGGCACATGATCCATGATTCTACGAGGTTGTCTCCGCCAGTTGCTCACGATGATAAAGCTTGACTGTTCTGAACAGGAATCGGACGACGCCACTCCCAGCTCTCCGAAGAAGCGGGGCACTGTGAACCCTTGGACTGATGGTATGCCGAAACCCATAAAGAATGAGATACTGAACCATTCTTACTCATTGTTGTGTCATCCTTGTCTAGAGGACATGGACATATTGTGGGGCGCGATCTATGAACTTGCAAAAAGCAACGCAGCACAATTCTCCTCCCTTCCTCATGTAAGTAACGATTGGCCCTTGACAGCAGTTGTGGCCTTCAGACGTCCTGTGACTAGCCTGATTTCGTCGTCAGTTCAAGGACAAAGGCAGGACCAACTCCGCTATTCACCTGAAGCTCAAGGCTATGTTTAAGGACAAGACTAAGCAAGTCAAGTGAAGATGCGAGTGTGAACTATGTTTCGTTCGACCTGTACGAACTAGAAGTAGAAGTCCATATGCCAGAAAATGCTTGGGACTTATCAAACATACAAAGAGCGACTACGCAATGCGTGAGACGTTGTCAACCAGGCGCGGACAGCCCTGATTCGATTTCTTGCGCCTCAGTCACGACTAATCAATCGCAATCGACCCGGAAGGCCATGTGATGCATAATACGGTATAGCAGACGGGAAGTACACTAATCATACAACTTAGAGAAGAAACGCAGAGTTCCCTCGGAATGTTATCACTACAGTATGCTAGAAGAAGAAACGGCGTCGCTACCTAGCCACCTCTGCCTGGGGTGTATTCTACCATACACGAGAACCGTCAGCATGGGAATCGCTTACGAGAGTAGGAGCAGAGCTCACTGATTGTGCAGGAACCGGTGCCTCGTCGACAAAGTCTGGTAGAGCGGTGCTGTCTCGAAGATAACTCGGGATCTCCTCTTCCTCTCCGAAGTCTTCTCCCAAGGCTTCGAGTTCTGCAAACCAAACAGCAGGTCGTCAGAGAGGATACAAGCCGATCGCGACCGATAGGATAGACTCACCCGCTTCGAGATCCGCCTCGTCCACCTCGTCGGGCACGCCATACGTCCGACCCAGAGTTTCTTGGATCTCATTGGCCTGATCGATCAGGTCTTCCATATCATAGTGAATATTCTGTAGAGCGAGGAGAGCGTCATCAGGAAGATATCTTGGAATGTGTATAAAAGCAAAGACGGACTTCGATCTTGTCAATGTCGATATTCTTGTACTGCTTTTTCATCTCCTTGTTGGCGATTTCCATTGCGCTGACCGTCGCCATCTACCGGGAATCCAACCAATTGTCAGCTTCGGTATATCAGCCGCCTCCCTCATCGATTCCGAGTGCTTACAGTGTTCTTCAGATTCTCGGTCGTCATCTGGGCTTGCTCCATGTTGAACGATTGCTGGGTAAGCTGTGCGAGTTGCCCCTCGTACATCTTCTTCTGCTGCAACACCCTCATAGCCCGCTGTGTCACGGCCGTCTACCAAACCGGAACCGGAACCAGGATCAGTAGGTCCCGATAGTCTGACCGAGCGAATACTGATCTACCTTGCCTGGACCTGCTTTCATCTTGGACATCTGCGTCTTGAACACGGACAATTCGCCATCCAGCTTTTTGATCTTGACCTCGATGTTGCCTATCCTCGTATCGGTCTATGTCGGACGTCCGAGTGAGCATGAAACTGCGATATATCGAGGACTAGAGATAGCCTCTGCTTACCGAATTGATAGCGTCCGAGAGGTTCGGCTTGGGCTTGGCCTTGTTGCTACCAAAGATCTAGATATGAGGCGATGAAAGGCGATCAGTCATATATCGTGGATGAGAGCTGGATTTTAACACGACTGACTCTGTTCATTCTGAGTGTGTAGAGCAAAATTATACGACCACGAATCGAACGAGCGAGCGATCTGTGTGTGTCGGACCACCTGGTTGGATCAATTGACGGTGGACAGGTCACGGTCGACTCCATATCTCCATTGATCCATTGATATGACGAACCCGACCCTTTCGACCACCGGTGTCGGACCGGAAGCATATTATCATCCGATGGCTGTCTCGGACATCGATCAACATTGCTATGTCCGTGATGACCCATATATCTCGCTCGCAACATCCATCGAGGTTGATCATGATACCAGGCATACCAGGTTTATATACATCCAGACCTCGCCAAAGTCTTGAAATCGCATCGATCTGAACTCATTTCAGTAAAAGGTTATAGAGATAAGCTACTTTTAGACCGGAATTCACGACTTGACGCCTCTACGAAAACAAAACAAAACAAAAGGAACGAGACACGATGGCAGGACCTAGCATTAACCCAGGGGGATCGGAAAGCAACTTTACGGACAAGGTGAGTGTCGACGGTTGGTGATGCCGTATCATAGAGAGCATTGTAGTAATATGCGGTGTATGCTATTCCTGTAGGGGAAGCCCATGGAGGTCCGATTGTCCAACATGAACGCTGCCAAGGGTGAGTAGCCAAGCGTGTTCCATCTTCTTCCTCCATGTCCTGATGGTATACCTTGCATAATCACAGCCGTTGCCGATGCAGTACGGACGTCTTTGGGACCCAAGGGAATGGACAAGATGGTACGGTCACAGCGGGACGGATATTGATGGTGACAAGCTGATATCGAAACCAAATGCTATAGATCCAAACCGGAAACGGAGAGGTGGTCATCACAAACGACGGAGCTACCATCTTGAAGCACATGGCTGTATTGCACCCTGCTGCCCGAATGGTACGCACCGCAGAACGATGCAATTTCAGTTGTTCGACGGGCTCACTCCTGCGGTCTTCTCTCTATAGCTTGTCGAGCTGTCGGCTGCACAGGACATCGAGGCGGGAGACGGTACCACCTCGGTTGTAGTTCTCGCTGGCAGTTTATTGGCTGCTGCCGAAAAGGTCTTGTCGCAGGGTGAGTGTCAAGCATGTTTAGTCTGTGCACTTATCCGCTGCCCTCGTCTGATTGATATCGCTTGGCTGGGCATACACGTAGGCATCCACCCTACCATCATCGCTCAGTCCTTCCAAAAGGCCGCTGCCAAAGCTGTCGAATACCTCACTGAAATGTCCACCCCGGTCAACTTGGACGACAAGGAGAACTTGCTCCGAGCAGCGAGCACGAGTTTGAATTCGAAGATTGTCTCTCAATACTCTTCAGTCCTCGCTCCCATCGCCGTACAAGCCGTATCTCGGCTCGTCACACCCGAGGCGTCGAACGTCGACTTGCGTGATATCAGGATCGTGAAAAAGGTTGGAGGCACCATCGATGACACTGAACTGATCGACGGACTGGCGTTGAACCAGACCGTCGTTAGCAGTGCCGGTGGTCCCAACCGGATCGAAAAAGCCAAGATCGGGTTGATTCAGTTCCAGTTGAGCTCTCCCAAGCCGGACGTAGGTTGCCAGCTCGCGGCATGTAAACGATATAGCACTTCCGGCTGATATTTCTCCTGAATTGTTCCTGCAGATGGACAACCAAATCGTCGTAAACGACTACCGACAGATGGACAAGATCTTGAAGGAAGAACGTCAATACCTCTTGACCCTGTGCAAGAAGATCAAGAAGACTGGCTGCAACGTCTTGTTGATCCAGAAATCCATCCTCCGAGACGCTGTCAACGAGCTCTCCCTGCACTTCCTCGCCAAACTCAAGATCATGGTCATCAAGGACGTCGAGCGGGACGAGATCGAATTCATCTCCAAGTCGACCGGATGCAAACCTATCGCCGATATCGATGGATTCACCGAGGACAAGTTGGGTTACGCCGACCTGGTCGAAGAGGCTCAGACCAAGAACGATGGTGCAAAGGTGGTCAAGGTGACCGGAGTCAAGAATCCAGGGAAGACGATCAGTATCATCTGTACCGGTGCCAACGGATTGGTGCTTGAGGAGAGCGAGAGGAGTTTGCACGACGCTCTATGTGTCGTAAGGTGTTTGGTCAAGAAGAGGTTAGTACCGTGCGATTGCTCTTGGATATTCGATAATTACTCACGCCTAGTCTCTTTCCTATGTATGCAGAGCCTTGATCGCCGGAGGCGGGGCTCCCGAGATTCATGTTTCGCGCTTGCTCACCCAATACGGCCAGACGCTGCGAGGCAAAGAGGCGTATTGTTTCCAAGCGTTTGCTGAAGCGCTCGAAGTCATCCCGACTACGCTCGCCGAGAACGCCGGTTTGAACCCGATCGCTATCGTTACCGAGTTGCGAAACAGGCATGCTCTGGGCGAGAAGAACGCTGGAATCAACGTTAGGAAGGTGAGAAGAGATAGGAATACGCGGCTCAATGCCTATTGTGTCGTGTTGGGTTGCATCGACTGACTCGACGACTTTACTGCAGGGCTTGATCTCGAACATTCTCGAGGAAAACGTCTTGCAGCCCTTGTTGGTCTCAACGAGCGCTATCGAGCTAGCGACCGAGACGGTAGCACTCATCCTTCGTATTGACGATATCCAGGTGAGTTCGGGTCTTGCAGATATGGCTTCGGTGGATTGCTGATCCCCGCCGTTGTCGCTTCTCTACAGTTCACAAGATAGAAAGGCAGACCAGGAGTGCAGGCCGACGAGGTGGATTATCAACGTTTGGAGGTTTCACATGATTGACGACGACGATGTAAATATCCGCTAGAGATGGACGATCTTGCCATGTTAGTCCGATGTTAGCGAAGCTTGTCGGGATCGTAAGGAGAGAGGGAGGGGCATGAACGGCTCGTCGCCGAGGCGATGCCGTAAAGGGTGCGGTTCGAGGAAACGCATCCGATGTGTGATGATCATTCCATCCAGCGTCCAGCGAGAGAGCACTTTGGCCCTGCAGTACCTCTCCTCGGTCGTCGTCACCACCGACTACTATAAAAGCAACCCGACCCAGTCTCATTGGCTCGCATCCCTCCCACTCCCTCGACCTCATCTTCATCAAAAGTCTGACTCTTGGAGTCATAGCAACACAAACGACACCATACTTCAAGCAACCTACGCATCGTGTCAAGCTCGACATCACTTGCATTACGGCCCCGTCACGAAATCCCACAGATCAGTCTCCGTGTCACGCAGTTTCGGTTTTGCACAGCTCCAGGGGAGTATATATACGACGTTTCCAGCTCGAATCGACCAATCGATCGACCTCGGAACAGGTTAGGTCTGCTTGCTGCATTTCGAATACCAGGATCACCGAGACGATCAGCTAGTGGCAGTTTAAACAGCTGTAAGTCGATCGACAGCTCAATCGCAGTGCGTTGATGCTGGTGAACCACTTTGATCTCCATCGAAATCATCACTGACTCACATACATTCTTGGGACCAGGTTCGTTACAGAGCAAGGCATTCGATACTCCATCACACCCTTCCGCTCTACCATGGACGTCATGCGAGCTCGTCAGTCCGTCGACCTCACGGCTCAAAACGACCCTACCCTGTCCCACCGACGTAGCGTTAGCCACGTGAACCCCGGTCACGGTCGTCGACCCTCTCAATCCCTCGGAGGAGCCGCTACGCTCGAGCTCATCCAGGCTCAAGCGGCCAACCAAGCCCAAGGTGGTGATTCCAATCCGGTCGCGTTGGTCAACCAGATTGCGGCTGCGAACAATGTCAACGTCAACGGTAATCCTAATGGTACCAGCAATGAGATGCTGCCCAATGGACCTATTGACCCTTCCAAAGTCGGTCCGGGAGGTATGATGGGTCCCGGAGGCTACATGAGTAATGGACGGACGAACGACCTCAATCAGGTCATGCAAGGGTTTGCGGGAATGCAGTTGAACGGGAATAACATGCCGCCGCCGCAACAGCAGCAGCAACAACAGCAGGCGGGGATGAACAGCAACCTCGGTGGAGGATACGGTATGAACGGGATGGGGGCTATGAACGGGGGCGGGCCGATGAGGCGAGGGAGGATGAGTACAGGTCCGGGTCCGACGACGGGGGTCTACCCGTACAGCCACATCGGTATGAATGGCAAGGTTCCGGGTGTCAATGGCATGGTGAGTATTTGAGCTACGCATCACGATGACATGGGTGCGCTGAAATGACGACATTGTTGCAGCCCGGAAGATTGCCAGGGACCCTTGCTAACGGCCAGATGGACCCCGCTCAGGTGTGTCGCGGGTCGGCACTAGATACTTGGTAGCGCGACAATGCTGATTCGAATCGACTCGCCAGATGACGGGCAATTACGGCCCGGCTGCTGCTGCCGCTGCTGCCGCAGCCGCTGGAAACACGACTGGACGGACCGTTTACGTTGGGAACCTTCCTCCAGGTGAGTGCTCTTGCTCGATCTTTCCGTTCGCAGAATTGTCTCTGACAGAGACTTGCACAATAGACGCCTCGGTCGACGAGCTGATGAATCTCGTCCGTTTCGGACCTGTCGAATCCGTTCGGTTGTTGCCGGAAAAATCCTGCGTCTTCATCTCCTTCCTCGATGGAGCTACCGCCGCCGCTTTTCATGCCGACGCTACTGTCAAGAAGCTCACCTTGCACGGTCAAGAGCTCAAGATCGGTTGGGGCAAACCTTCCACTGTCCCATCTCAGGTGGTCCAGGCGATCGCCTTGGCTAAGGCAACGAGGAACGTCTACCTCGGTGGATTGGACGATTCGTTGACGGAGAGCGAGCTGAGGGATGACCTTTGTCGATTCGGACCGATCGACCAGGTCAAGATCGTCCGTGACAAGGGGATCGGGTTTGTTCACTTCCTCAGCATCGGGGCGGCCATGAAGGTGGATATACGAGATTTCGGAGTGATCAGCTCGAACGCGTTTTGCTGATGTTTCGAGACCCATTTGCAGGTCGTCTCTTCCCTGCCTAACGAACAGGCCTGGCAAGGAAAGAGGGTCGGATATGGCAAGGTACCTTCGGCTCACGTGGTCCCTTCTGCATGACCTAGCTGACCCGCTGCAACTCGCATCCGCCAGGACCGATGCGCCTACGTGCCCCGAGCCCAACAAGCTGCCGTCCAGCTCGCTCAGCAACAAGCCGCGGCTGCGCTGGGTCACACGCTCGGAATGCCCGGAGCGCCTTTCCAAGCCTTCAACCCGCTGTCGCCTGCCACGCTGTATAGCAGCACATTCCATAGCCCGGTACCTCGTCAAGGCGGGTTTGAGAACCAAGACCCTTACAATCAGACCATGTCAAACCGATGCATCTACATCGGTAGCATACCCGAAGAGGCCGAAGCATCGGACGTATTCGATGCCATTCGGGGTGGACTGGTCGCACAGCTGAGATACCTAAAGGAAAAGCATTACGCGGTGAGTAGCTTTTGATCAGATGCACTCAATCGATTCCGACTGACGAGATCGTCTTCAATCGTCAGTTCGTTACCTTTGCGGATCCCAACGCAGCTGCCAGCTTTTACCAACAAGCAACCGGCCATGGATTGATGATTCACAACACCAAGGTCAAGATCAGCTGGGGTCGATCCGTGAGCAATCTCAGTCCAGCCGTCATGGCCAACATCACTTCGGGAGCTACGAGGAATGTCTATATCGGATCTGTCGACGATTTCGAAAAGTTCAACGAGGCAAAGCTGAGGCAGGACTTTGGCGAGTTTGGAGGTATGTTCTCGGATCCGGTCGTCAGTCGAGCAGTCATGCTTACCACGTCTGCGACACAACACAGAGATCGAGCAGATCAACTTCCTGCCCCCTAAAAAGGCTGCATTTGTCAACTTGTAAGTTGATCTCCCGTATCTGGCGCGAAATAGTTCTCCTGAATAATCACCACTGACTCTTATCATGTTTAGCTGCACTGTGAGCAACGCTACCAAGGCGATCGAGCGAATCCGGGCGAATCCCGAGTACAACAACTTCAAGATCTCGTACGGCAAGGACAGGTGTGCCAACCCACCCAAATTACAGTATGTCTTTCGTTGTATCCAGGATCATTACAGACGTTCTGATCACTAAATCTCTATCCTTGTAGCCACTTCGGTCTCGTTCCTCGATCCGCGCGAGCTGAGGGGGCTTCTCCATCTCAAGGTGGTGAACAGGGTGACTCGCCCGGCGAAGGGAGCCCCGAGCCCTCGGCTGTCACGGAAGACTCTGAGGCCCAGCCCGCTGCTTCCTGAACGAGGACGCCGTACCTTCACGCACCCACATGTCACGACCTTGCCCTTTCCTCTTTTTCTCGGGACACTAATCGACGGTCGATCCGACCCCGTGGTCCCGCTTAGGAGTAACGATCGAAGAAAACAGGCTGTAACCCTTCCCCGTTTCCGTGGATATCCCGGCTCGCAGTTTACGACACCATGTAAATACGCTCACAGACGAGAATGACGATCGATTATCTGTTATACTCTATATACCCGTACCATGCATGCAACTGAACAGCTTTCCCTATCGTCGACAAGAGGGACCCGTCGATCATCACGCTTGTAATCACTCGCAAGTCGCCTACCTAAGCGGTCTATTTGCTTCCGATTTTGCTTCCGAATCACAACAACAACAACTGCTACTTCGGCCATCATCCGCTTCGTCCTCGTTTGATCCCAGGCCCATCTATCATCCATGATCTTTACTCGTACTCGTCATCCAGGAGAGACAAGATCGGCATGACATAGTAAAGTGAAAATGCCCAACACAATTGCCGACGTCGATGCCGCTCTCGCTAGGCTCAAGGGTCTCGCTCTGCACGACGACGAATCACGTCAAGCTGGGAACGCCGAAAACCCGATCCAGATACTTGATTTCGACGAGATCAGCTCGATACGTAGAACGCCCAAAAAGCCACAAGCTTTCTCCTTTCGTATCCTACCGAAGGATGAGAAACCTCGAGCACCACTCGAAGCGATTGCTTTGCAGTCTCCTGCTGGACCGTCATCACCCGCTGCGTTCAGCTCTCCCATCACGATCGCTTCCTCGATTAGGACCGTCTCGTCGGTAGACTCGCCTCGAAACAGGCGGATAGCACCAAAGCGAAGAGTCATCTATTCATCAGATGAAGAAGAGGAAGTACGTCCACATTTTGGATCTTCGCCGTCAACATCGTCGGACGGCGAGAACAAAGGACCCATCGGTCGGATCATCGGAAAGAAAACTCTGGGGAAAGAACGTCGGCTGTTTGTGGACGTCGAAGCCAAGAGTAGTCGCGGGGATCTACCAAGCGAGGGCGAAGATGGAGGCTACGACACACCTGGAAGTCTGCGGGACTTCGTCGTCGATGACAGCGTGGTCGAGTACGAGACAGACGCTTCACGGCGGGATATGCATTTGCACCTTCGAGACCCGGTAGAAGTCTCGTCTGACGACGAGCTGTTGGACCGGCGCCAAGTTGGATCTGCGGGACCCATCGTTCTCTCTTCAGACGATGACGATGACGACGATGAGAACCGTATTTCGGGACCGTCTACCTCGCCGATCAAGACCGTACTCTCTGCGAAAGCCAAACGAGAGTGGAACAAGATCAAGCACCAACTAGCCGACAATCTCGTCCAGGAGCTGAATGAGAACGTCTTTCTCGGCAGGCTGCCCGAGATCCCGCTCGAATGGTCATCGAGATTGTTGACAACGGCAGGGAGAGCGCATCGGCGGAGGTTGCAGCCAGGCGAGACGTTGCCGCAGGTTAGGATCGAGCTGGCCGAAAAGATCTTGGACGACGAGGGTGAGCAGATGTATCGGCCAGTCTCGTGTCGGGTATACCGCGCTGATATTTCGCGATGCTTCCTGTTCGTAGACCGCCTCAACCGGACGCTAGCTCATGAGCTCTGTCACGTCGCCACCTGGATCATCTCGGGAGATCTGAAGAACCCTCATGGTGCCAACTTCAAGGCTTGGGGCAGCAAAGTCAATCGCTATCGACCCGACATTGTGGTGACCGTGAGTCGGGATAGTCTTGCAATGCGATGCTTACGGAGGCTGATCTCGATGGCTCGGTTGCCCTTCGTCGGTCATTGCAGACGAAGCACAATTACAAGATCGCATACAAGGTTCGCTCAAGCGCGAAGAATAGAGCCAGCTCGACCGCTGATCTCTTTTCGAATGACAGTACTATTGGCGATGCGAAAAGACAACGTGCGGCAAGATCTTTGGTCGACACTCGAAATGTAAGAACAGAACAAAATGGGGGGACTGCGCTTCGCAACTGGATCCCGTCCCTCACAACTGACTCCCGTCCTTCCCTTGTCTGTAGCTCTAGACATCAATAAGAAGTGCTGTGGTAGCTGTCGATCTAGACTTGTTCCCATATGAATCTGGCGCTGGGAGGCTAGAGTCCGTTGTTCCGACTGCCTCGGATCCAATCATCGCTCGGTGACAGAATTACAACATGTCTTATACATCTTGCGTTTCATGAGTACGAGCAGCGTCCTGAACGACCTACTGCTCAACCTCTCTACGTGTTACATGGGCTTGAGATCTCTCGGTTTGTGGGAAAATGAGCATAAATCGTTATAGATCGTAACTACTTGTTACTTGACAAGTCAGCTTAGTCGTCATCTTCGTCCTCATCGGACTCTACGTAGCCCCATCCGCCAGTCGCAGGAGCGTGAGGCTGTATGGGTTGTTGGTGTGCGATGGGGGGTATGAAAGGCGCAGGTGCTCCGGGGTCGACTGAATCCTGGAGATGCTCATCATCTTCTCCTTCCGCATCATCATCGTCTTCGTCCTCTTCATCGCCCTCGTCGTCTTCTCCATCGTCCTCGTGATGTTCAGGCGAGTTGAGCGAGATGGCAGCGCGATTACCGATACTGGAACTGCCCTCCATCTCGTGATCGTTGTCCCGTGGCGTGCCCGTATTGCCTGGTGTACTCGTGGCTGCTCCTTCCTCGTTGGCAAAGATTTGATCCCATTCGTCGTCTTCATCCTCTTCGTGACCGATCTTTCGTAACGAGCATCATCCCGTTAGTAGGAGCAAAGACCCGGTCATATCGCTGAAACTCACCTCGCCCTGCCCATCCTCCTCCTCTTCTTCCTCGTCGTCGCCGAACAGCCCATCATAATCGTCTTCCTTTTCAGTCTCCTTGACCTCCCTAGCCTTGTCCTTTGCTTCCACCTTGGCATCGATCTTGCTCTGATTTTCATCTCTAGCCTTGATTTTGGCAGCGAGGTCAGCTTGGTATTTGGTAACATCCCGTTGAATACGCATCTGTTACCGATCAACGCGAATCTTTAGCAGATCAGTAATGGTGATAACATTGCCTGTGTTGATGCGGATGGAAACTGACCCTGATCATTGCAGAGACGTTCAACATTTCCTGCGTCTTCTTGGAAACCATCTCTTCGAGCGCAGAAGCTTCCTGTTCTAAAAGACGTTGCTGGGCTCGCAATTCGACAATCTCTTCGTCTTCTTCCTCTTCTTCCGCCTCGTCGTCATCATCGTCTCCCTCCTAGCGCAAGAGCAAAGATCGATTGTGAGCTGGATATCACAGCATCTTGCCATGGTCAACCTTGGCTTACCTCCTCGTCTTCGTCCTCTTCATCGGTGGCGCCCTCATCCTCCTCTCGGTTCAAAGCAGCCTCGAGGTCCATGTCCATATCCCCATCTACACTCCCTAGCTCGGTCCTATCGTCCATGTCGCCCATCATACTACTTTCTTCCAATCCTTCTCCTTGACTCCAAGGGGTTCCCGGTGTTTCTTGGCCGAGCTCGGTTTCGGCCGTTCCTTCGCGATATGGGTAGCCTTCGGGGTTCTCGTCGTCGTAGGCTTCTTCGTCGTCGAGATGCTTGTCCAGCTCGAGAAGGTCTATCGAGCGGATGATATAATCGTTTCAATGCCGAACCGGTGTCAACCCATCCTGCGGCAGCGCTTACCGAAAGACGAATGCTTGGCCTCTTTATCCTTTGCCAACAGCCTATCCACCTCCGCCTTGATCAGATCTCCCTTTCTCCGGACTCTCCACCTCCTCTCCCTCACGTGCCTCAACGGCGGGGTCAGACCATGCGGCCAGACGAAATCCCTCGGATCGAGCTGATCCTGCGTGACCTGATCTTCCGAGTCGATCGGATCCGGGTCGACGACAAGCATCTGGCAGATGTCGGCCACCTTGAAGAGACGTTTACGGTCGAGCGTCTTTTGAGCTTCGATGATGCAAGGGAGGTCGACGAGTTTGGCAGAGTAGTTGGTGCCGCCGTGATTGAAGACTGCTCGGCGGGTGTCTGGGACGTTTTGGCTAGCTTCAGTAGAGCGAAAGGCTTGGCTGTGAAGGTCGCGACTGACCTTTAAATTTGAAAAACGCATTGTTTACCTCCTTCTTCTCCTCCAACAGCGTCTTGATGCCCTTGATTCCCTTCTCCTTGTCCCCTCTGACGACCTTGTCCGGGACCCTCAGTATGAACTGTTCCTCGAACACCAGCGGTTCATCCGGATCCGAATCCGCCTCTCGCGAATAATTGCCCAGGAAACTCGTAAGCTGACCTCCTTGTACTTTCTGCACCTCTCCCTTGTCGCTGAACTTGAGCTTGAGCGTCGCGACACGAGGTCTATTGGCTGACCGGGTGGAACGTTGCCCAACCACGCTCGAGGAAGCCAACGGAGCGTCTAACCTTCCCGTCGTTGGACCTAGTCCGGCGAGAGCACCTCGACCCCGACCTCGACCCCGTCCGCCTCCTCTTCCTCTTCCGGTCCCTGCGGCCCGTTTCGCAGGGGCTTTGTGACCGACGGTAGGAGCTGCATAGGAAGTCGTAGATGGTCCTGGTCCAGCGGCTGGAGGTCCGGCAACGGCTGTCGGGAAGAAACCTGTATCGGGAGGTCCTCTCGACAGGCCAGTATAATCCATCCTCGATGTTGATGCTACACCACAGTCGGTACTGTTTCTACTAGTGATCAATAATAGTATGCTTGCTATGAGAGTGTGTCAAGATGTCACGACCATATTGTGTCGATCGTCATGTCATACTTGTTCGGGACGGGATCCTCTTGACCCGAGACTCTTCGTTGACCCACCTTTGGTGTGCAGGCATATCTCAAAATGTTGCGAATCGACTTCGACAACTTCTTCAACTATTTATGAAGAACAGAGGGATCAACGTCCCGACGTCAAGACGGCATAACAGCACATAGTACGAATCATCATGTCCCGCCTAAGGTCCCTTCAATCCCCGATCGTCCGGAACACGCCCTCTCCATCGGCAACTCCGCCTCGGTCACGTCAATCGACTTCCAATCCATACCCACAAGATACCTCGACGTATCACCGTAAACTCAGAGCCATACTCGGCGAGGTGGACAATTGCATGGACGCATGGGATGAAGCTACAAAAGATGGATTCATGGCCCTGAAGGGGATCGTAGACGAAGGTACCGAGATGGAGTGAGTGAGTCTTTCGAAGCACTCGCCTTTCAGATTAGGCTGCGGCTAGCTGAGCTTCTGTTTTCGAGATTCTTGTCAACAGTAACTTGGCTGCCATGGAGGTATCGGTATCAAGACCACCACTCATACCACATTACGTGGAGTACAATAAACACCTAGACCAAACCGTCACCATCTTTCAACGGCTCGTAAGCTCTTCTCACCTTCTCATCCGCTTCCTGGCTTTCCATCTCGACCACATTCTTATCCTTCTTCTTTTCTATGGACTTGCAGAACAAGATCCTAGCAAAGCTGAGGATCCTCCAAGAAACCGCTCGACAGCTCTTGGCAGAATGCCTCACTTTGCGGGACGTCGAGTTCAGTCTGGTCGACCCGTTATGGACGGATTGCGGCGGAACTTGGACATTGGAGAGGTTCGGTAAGCGCATCCCACTTCATATCTTCCTGGTGACGCCAGGCCGATAAAAGGTAAAAGCTAATGCCATCTCTATTGCCTAATGTGTAGTCGTCTCCCTCGACCCCTTGGCTTCCCATCACGCCTTGCACCTACTCTCCCTACAAATCCAACACGACATCATCCTCCATCCATCCACCGCGGTATCCCAATCATCAAACTCCTCGACCTCGAAATCGAATCTCTCCTCGAATTCTTCGGGCAATACAACATTTGACGTTCAAAAAGCTGCCCTGGAAAAGTATCGAGACTTGATGTACCGCAGCGATCGTCAGACATGGAGATCCGAGTGGGAAGAGTTGGTCGAAGGGGAGATGGGAGGGTGGTTGGATGGAGGTGATTCGGATTCGGGAGAAGCCGGGGCTGGGAACGGGAACGGCAATGGGGGTGGGAGGTCGGGGTATTCGAGTCCGGGTGGAGGGAAAAAGGCAAGAGGGGGACGCGGGGGCAGTGTAGAACCCCCCGATTAGGCGGCGTACGACGATGCTCGCCCGATTCGACCTTGTAGCTCGTCATGTCGAGCATGTCAAGCTTGAGCGAAGTGCCGCATCAACGTCAGATGATACGGCGGCGCCGCAGACATCGGGGTTCACTTGACGCTTTCTACGGACAAGACGTGTGGACCGCGCAATCATAGCTGCCGTATCTGGGAATAATGTCGATAATCTGGGAGATAGTAGGGTGAGGTGATACCGCATTCGGACAGGAGATGCGATCATCTTCGTTTCATTCGTGGGATCCATCATTCTTTTGCAGCGCAATTTGGCTCCTGCAATACGACTATGGAGCTCGAACATAACACTGACAATCCCTATGAAAGACGGGTGTGTCCTAATGTACATCATGTATTGCCATGGCGATACAGATTCTCGCATCGTCGCCATCAATCCCTTTCTCTCCTAAATCCGGAATCGTCGATCTGGTGATTTGGGTAGCGACTCGGCGTGTCTTATGAATACAGATCGTAACACGCCCGAACATTATTTAGCAGTTTGGTAGCAGATCATGCGCGTCTGATATGGTACGAAATACAAGCTATTTCAGAGTGACTAGTCTTGGCGACTTCTCTTGAGGGCTCGGCCAAACTCGTCTGTCTGAGCACCACCGCCGGAAGCGTCCGCTCCGGCTCTGGGTCCAGTGGGAGGGTTGAAACCTTTCGAGATGAGACCGCCTGTAAGCGAGATTGCTCAGCATAATCAAGCACTAGCGACTCACCACCCTGTCCACCAGCCGCACCGCCACCACCACCCATGCCGCCCTGCATCATCTGCATCATCTGTTGCATCATGGCCGGGTTCATCATCGGGTTCATCATGGCTACGAAAGTGACAAGCTTCAGTGAGGCTACATTGACCTTGCGATAGATCGACAAACTCACGCATCATGGGGTTCATCATGCCTCCTGCAGCAGGCATTGCGCCCATCCCGCCGGCCCCACTCGGACCGCCGCCCATCATACCACCTCCTCGACCTCCTCCCGGTATATAACCCCCTCGTCCGCCGCCCATGCCACCTCGATAACCGCCTCGACCTCTTCCACCGGGGCCTCCCATCCCACCGCCACCACCACCTCCATAACCGCCAGGCGCAGGAGGACCCGCACCTTCCCGACCCTTTATTCGGTTGGGTTCTGCGCAAAGGATGTGATGGATGTTAGCCGGACACGTTAGGGATGTATGTGGGCGATCTCGCTGCTCACCTTTAGGCGGAATCTTGTACGGGTTGCCCTGCGAGCTCGATCCAATATTCACCGCGATAGTTTTATCCTGGAACAAGCTGTTTCCGGAAAATTGCAACCGTGTCAGACGGACCCTTCGTGATGAGGCGCATGACTGGACGTCTGTCGACCCACTTGTGTTCGAACCACGTCTTGAACGCCTGTGCGTTCTGCGGGTTGTAACAATATACCCAAGCGAGACCCTTGGACTTTCCATTGACCTTGTGTTCGGAAAAAGTAACGTCGTCGATCTTGATTTGAAAACCGGCCTGAGCGGCGGCTTCACGGAGGTGTTCGTCGTTCGTCCACTAGACGAGTTGTGCGTGTAAATCTGGGGCGTGAGTTATAAAGCCAGAAGGCGATGATGTTCGCGAGTCTCACCCAGTTGAGTTCCGCAAGGTAGACTACATCATCCTCGCCCGGTCCTCCAGCTCCGGATCCCGACGGCCCAGACGGCGGTCGGCTATTGTATGAAGGTCCGTTGTTGACAAACTGACTGTTGGATTGGGCCTGGTTGTTGTCCGATGTCACCGATTGGATAGCACTCCCCACATTCGGCTTGACGTCGGCTTGGGTAGGACCACTGGATGCACCCTGACGAACGACGGACTGCAATCAGCCTGCTAGCGTATGGAAATGAATCTCCCGAAAGCAATGCGTACATAGTCCCCGCCGCCGTCTACGTCGCCAAAGTCGTACAAATCCTATGGAAGCACGATGAGATACGAGGTTGAGAATAGCAGCATATCGTCGATCAAAACACAAGGAGGTTCCCCAAGACAGGTCAAAGGAAAGACGTAGCGAAATAAGATTGGTTATCAGTACAACGATTGTCCAAGTATCGGGACAAGTACACCTTGCCGGTCGTCGCCGGGTCGACTAGTGACAGCCTCAGTACAAGATCGAGAAGGCCTGGATACATACACCGTAGTCGTCGTCTCCCGCCATGGTAACTGCTGTTGGATATCTGCGGTGCGAGTATTGGCTCGTCTAAGAGCGAAGCTACAAGGTGTACCGTCGAAATCAATTCCGTGCGTACGAACAGACACGAACGGCGAACTTTACATACGTGCGATAGCGAGGTGCGAGTTGCAATTTGATACTTGTGAGAGAGTGTCGAGGCAGACTCGAATAGCTTGAATTATGCAGGATATCGGTCAAGATCTGGTTACAAAGGGTCGAAAGCCGAGGGGGATCATCGTCTCGTTATCAAAGAAAAGATTGAGAGGATGAGGCGGCGTCGGGTGACGTGGCAAAAGTCGTATCAGATATGACGATGAATATGCAAACGACGCTTTGTACATCTTTGGCAAAGCTCTCCTGTTCACAACCGCTGCCTTACATATTGCACAGGCGTTCACATCTAGGATATGATAATAGTGCGACCATCAGCTCCGCTCTCGATGCACAAGGGGAACGCATAAAGGCTCACCATTTTGCCCTCCCTTGATCCGAACCCTTCGGCACCGTTAGCCCCAGACAGCCTCTTGCGGCTGGAAAAGATCATCGAGTCGACTAGCCCAGCAACTGTCAAGACTCCTCCAATGATGGCGCATGTGCTGAACATCAAATTCAACGTCAGCACGTGTACCTCAGATCAGGCATATCAGATGCATGCGACTCACGAGGTCAAGAAATGAGCAAAGCTCTGTCGGGTCTCGGTGTGCACAACCTTCATGGGTGATACGTCGTAGCTATAACGAGGCATATCAGCAATGCGAAGTATTACTTGCCATCGGATTGGTCTCACTTGATGTAAACGCCAGGAACAGCCGCCATACCATGACTCGTAAAGTCTGTAATGCGAGATCGGTGCTTATTCAGCTAGACGTCTCCTGTGAAACCCGCCGAGGAAAGAGGCTTACGACCGTGTCCTTCCCGGCCAGGTGCATTCCCCTCTTTGATATCCCTCTCGAACTGGGTCACGCTGTACTGCTGGGACTGGATAGATCGTCCATCGAGCAGGTTGAACGTGGTCGAAACGACTTTTAGGAAGTCTGGCGAGATGAAGCAGGGTCAGAATAGCCGACCGATCGCCTGCTATAGCTAGACTCACATTGGTACATGTAGTCCGCTGGAGTCATGACGGTACTCAGCATATTATGTCACACCCCGAATATGTCATGCCGAACCCTTAACTCACAGACTTCAGGGTGCACGACAGCGCCATCCAAGGGGTTGACGATACCCAACCGCTTCTTGACCGACCGGGTCAGATCCTCAGTTCCGACGTCCTGCACAGTCCCCGCATCGGCCTCGAACTGGAACTTGTTTATCACATGGCCGAAGTCGTGGTGGTTCTTGTCCTTGAGGTAGGGCACGAGGTCCTGGATATGCATGTTGTGCGACTGGAATGAACGTCCGTGGCTAAAGTGAATGTTACCGATGACCTTTCGTTCAACGATGATTTCAGTAAAGCACGCCAGGTTTGCTTTCAGCGACAGTCAGACTAACCTTGTTGACCCGGACACGACCTTGGATTTGGCACCCTTCCGTGTTCTGCTCGGCGATCTTCTCGGTCCAACCTTCCTTCACGCACTACGAGTTAGGGGCCAGCTATCAGTACGAAGCCAAACGCCTCTAATGCTACAATAGCGAATCTTGTGCTAACCTGCTCGATACCGTCCGGGTTGGTAAAGCTCCACCCTTTTCTGACATATGCCTCGCGAACCTCGTCACAGGTATTGCAGCATCCAGAAGGTCCCGGAGTTCCACCGTAACAGCTTCCACAATAGTTGGGGTCCTTGTTGGCTACCGCTCGTTGCACGTCTCCTTGCAGTTCTACGCGTATGATTGAAACGTATACCGAGAGGAATGATTAGCCACATGCGTGAACTGGTCAAAGGGAAGGCGAGCGATACTGACGACCGTCCTTGATGACCCCGACAATCTTGCCGTTCTTGTCCAGTCGGTTTTTGGTGGTGGCATGCGTGAGATCCAGCTGATGTTCTCCGGAAATATCCATAATATCCATCGAAAGCACTACAGCATTGCCAGCACGTTTCATCGCATCAGTGTTGCTCATTACGCGGTAACTATCGCCGAATACGCACAGTAGCAAGGCACCCTCGGGAAAGTAATATCGATATCGACAATCATCTTTTCTCCCCGGGTACGATCGACCATTATGGCAGGCTCGAGATGGATCCTCCGATAGTCGATAAACTCGAGCAGGGTAGACAGAGCGATGATAGAAAACGAGATGAACGTGACTACATCGAAAAGACATCAGCATGATGCTCGGCTTCGACCAGGTTAAAAGTCACTCACGCAGGGCTCCTGTACGAGTCTTGATCTTCACATCCTCCATCGTCTGTAGTCCGAAGAATCAGGATGAGTCGGCATGGATAGGGTCACGGAAAGCTACTCGACTGCGCACCTTGCCAAAGGCATCGATCCCCGAGATGTTGCCCAAGAACCCATTGCGACCCATCTTCTCGGAAACAGTATATCCCTGAGTTTTGTCTTGACCTAAAGTTCTTAGACCTAGAAGATATCGATCGGATTGAGAATACCGAGACGTATGGATCAGAGTGTCGAATCGCGAATCGATAAATTCCCCTTGTACGATGCAGATGTTGACCGAGCACCGCTGCTGGCCGTCACCCGGAAGCAAATCTACAGATATCGGTAGCTTTCCGGATCATCTGACGTTACACATTCATCGTTTACAAACAGGAGATCCAGGAGAACATCCTCGTAAAGTGTTATAGATACAGTCTAGGAAGTAGGATAGGTATCGAGCGACTTGGAGAAAGACCTGAATGCTACTGAAAACCCGAGTCTATCCGGTCCGTCACCCTTTATCGAGGCCTAGCTGTCGTCGCGCTCCTGTTAAGACCGTTGGACCCAGCACTCGTACTGTGCTTGGGCGATGGCCGCAGCATTCCCATCCCATTGTTCATGTTGCTAAATTCGGCCCTCCATCCCGCAGGGGAAGATGTCGACGACGGAGGGGATCCCGAAGGCGTCGACTGCTCGGCGACTGTCCTCGGCGGGGTCGAGGTCCCGGTCATGATGGCTGCGACGACCGCCGACCTGTTTTGCGCTCCTGAACTGAGACTCGTTGACGGTCGGTGTCGTCCCGTTGATCGACTGAATGTGGAATTCTCGTTTCCGGGCGCCTTCTCCGCTTTGGATCCCCCCAAGAATCCCGGTCGACGGAGGATTGAAGCCTTTCGCTTAGGCTTCGGAGGAACAGGGTCGGCTATATTGGCAGGCCAGACGGGGTTGGCGGGTTGGCTAACAGGAGATCTCGCGTTATTCGCCGAATCGAGCTCGTTTCTCGTGCCGAGAGGCTGAATCGAATCCTCGCCATAACCGGCGTAAATGTCCTCCAGTGTTCCCTCGGTGCCGACGCTCGCCTGACTGTTCGAATGCGTCATCGCGGGTGGCGAGTCGGGTGGTCTGTTTCGGGAAGGCGAACTCGAGGTCGACTCGCCACCGCTCGCGATAGTGCTCAATTCGCGGTTCGACAGGGACATCTTCCTCATGGCCTGTCCAAACATTCCGGGAATCCTCTCATTCGGAGTAGTATTGGTTCGACGATACGGAGCTCTTTCTGAAGGACCAGGTTCAGGCTCCAGCACCTCCATCAACGGTTCTGGTCCTGGACTCGACTCGAATTCCCCTGTGACTCTACCCGAGATTGGTGAAGATAATTGCGGCAACGGGGGCAACGCCGGGATCGACGCACTCATCGACCCTCGTACGTGCGTATTGCCTCGAAAGTACGAATCGGTCCTCTGCGCAGTCCCAAAGCTAGCGACGGTGGTGTACGATGGCGCGCGGGCGAGATCGGCACCTTCGTTGACCTTGCTTCTGACGATGTCGAATGCCTCGTCATACTCTCCTTCGGGGAACTGCGATTCAACACCATGTCATTAGCACATCGCACGTTTGTAGGTACCAATGGATCCGTAAACGCACTCTCCGTTCGATACTCTCCAGGACCCTCCGCATCTTGCTCTTTTCCACAGGGCCCCATACCAAAGCCGTCAACACCGTGTCTTCGCTCGACCTGCCCCCTTCGCCATCCGCCCTCCCTGCCTCTTCTTCCCGACTCATCGCACCCCTCACATCCATCGTCCTCAGGTCCTTTTCGTAATTCACCAGCTCCATCACGCAATCAACCGCCCGAGCGGTCGACAGTCGAGGGTGGACGTACAGGGCCGAGGTGATCGTCTGAACGGTGGGTGGGAGGTAAGGCTCGGTCCATTCCGGGATGGCCATCGGTTGAAAGCTTGTACCCTCCCGAGTGGACGAGACTTTGGATGCAGCGGGGTCGAGCGCGTGTATCCGACGTAAGACATCGAAGACGGGCAATAGTGAGGTGTTCTCTACCGATGCCGACCCGGAAGCCTTACCGTTACCATTTCCTGGCAAACACAGCTTGTCCTCGATCTCATCTACATCCCTTGAGAGCTGTTTCTTGCCCGACTTGGTCCACTTTTCCAGCCGCATATAGTCCCGTTTCTCCCTGACGATGTATTCTGACAGCATCTCGAACGCGTATCCCGATAATGCTGTTGACGACGATGACGCCGCTGCCTGTGATTGCGACTGCGCTTGTTCCTTGAGCAGAAGTATCACCTTGCCTTTTCCCGGCACCGGCAACGGCACCTTCCACCTCGCCGCTTCCTCTCCGACAGGCAACATGAACTTGTCCTTGACCATCCTGACCACCCCTCTCAGCGCCGGCCTCGTCCTCTCGGTCTCCTTGACCAAGCCATCGAGCGTCTCTCCTATCCTATACCGCCCATCACCTTGGATCCGCCTTGCCACCCAGATACGTAGACATTCTTCTCCTTCTCTCAGAGCGAGGAGGGTGGACAGTTGGCAAGAGAGTTCGGAGAGGGTGAGGTACCCTAATGACATCCGGACGCTAAGGAGGACGGCCGAGAGCGAGGGCGGTACGGGTGGAGGCAAGTGGGCGCTGACGAGCTGATCGAAGGAAGCGGCGATCTCTTGAAACCCTGCCGATCCTATGGCTCCCTTCCCCTTGTTATCCGACGACGATGACCCGGATCCTTCCCCTTCGCCCTCGCTGAGCTTCTGTTCGAGCCCCCACGCCCATTCGACGAGAACCTCCCTGACCTGTCCGACCCCGACGTCACCGACAGAGAACCGTTGAAGGGTCTGAGAGACGGCGAGCATGTTCTTGCTCGTTGAACGGGAACGAACGGATGTGCTCGAAGTAGATGGTGGGGTGAGGTCGGTGTGATGAGGGAGAAAGGTCCTGGTGCGGGCGGTGTCGAACGTTTCGTCCAGTGTTTGCGGGACCTGCCAAGCATTGACCAATTCAGACCAAATCCCAGCCGCAATGTCAGCCAACGCAAGTTCATCCCTGACCGCACTCTCGACTCACCTTTTGCATGATTTCAATCAACCCCAACGTGACCTCGTAGATACTCCATCCTTTCCTCCTCCTGGCCATGATGTACTCTACCAACGCGTCGATGGCCGATTCTTGCGTGGTAGATGGGTTCTGGAGGTAAGATAACAAGAAGGCGGTCTCCTTGGTCGCCGAGGCTGGAGGTTTCATGGTTGCAGATGTATTAGATCAATGACGATGATGTGGATCTTAAATATCGACTGATCCTAAACAAGGCGATTCAGACGGGTTGACTATCGAAAAGATAGTGTGGCCTTGGTCTTGTTTCCTCTTCCTTATGTACGTAGACGTCGAGCCGAGGAACCGTCAAGAGAGGTTGTGAACCGGTAGCAGATTGTCGTCAAGCGTCAAGTCGAGATCGGTATCGTAAGACTTGTGAGATTCGATTCCGACTAAGCCGACCCGCGACCCCGTTCTCGTCCCGTTTCGCCCGTTTGCGCCTTGTTACGGGACCGTGTGCGTGTCTGCTCGTGACCTGTCCTGGGTCTATGCTGTTGATGTAACAGCCACCAATGTATAACCGGTATGACGAGGTCGGGCAGGTGTGTGTGTGTGTGTGTGTGTGAGTGAGATTGTCTGAAAAGAATCCGGGCAGCTAGCTAGTTTGATAATTACTCCGACGGAGAGGAGGGGCGCGCCAAGGTCGAGAGAGACCCACGAGCGGCGAGGCGATTCGGGGACGAGAGGCAGACGACGGGGTAGACCTGGGAATGTGCTGCAGGCTCCCTCGAAAGGATCGAGGCCGTTGACAGACTGATGATCCCAAGTGATTCGATGGTGACACCCGTGTTATCAACTACTGTTTCGCCATCTTTAGAAACCTCGGCCCATGATCGTCCACGTTCTCGGATGTAAATCGATTGTGAGGGCGGACATCCCCCGATCACTATACTTCCGGTGCCTGCGCACAGAATACGTTTGTATGTCCGTTCCACTCTCCAGAATTATCGAAACCGGGGGGGGGGACACTCGACCACTTCACTCGATCACTCGACTAGTTGGTCGATCCAAACATATTTCCATCCTCTCTTTCTTCTCACGTCGGTTGGCTGGATCACGACATCTACATCAGGTCATACACTCACCATGTCACCGCCATCACCATCCGCCTCGTCGTCATCGTCGTCGAGCGCAGCAGGACCACCCACTCCCTCACCCGAACCTCCCTCGGCCTTGATCACCTCGCTCGCTCAATTCGCTCGACAGCTCTCGGAAAAGGAACACTTGCTGGCGACCACGACAGGGGACGATGAGCTCGCCAAGCAGGCTTTGGAGGTGACCAAGAGCATATTCGATACCGGTGAGTATCGGCGTGGTACTGCTGTCGTCTTTCGCTTGTGATCTCTGGCGAATGCGACCATCTGCTTGTTTCGGGAATCGCCGCTAACCCAATCTCGATCTTGGTCTTGATGCAGGACTATCCCTAGAAGCTCCCTCACAGTCACATATTCAGACCCTCATAACCCAGCTTCTCGACCCCGCCTCCCTCCCTTCGACATCGCCCTCGACCAGACCAACCACCCGTCAATCTTCTTCCCGGCGCCGCTCAGGCCCCTCGGCTGCCCAACTCTACCCACTAACACCCTTGGGGGAACTGTATACCCAAGGACTAGATGAGGAGGGAGTTTGGAGGCAGATGGAGATGAAGGGAGACAAGATCGGTGGGGTTCTCAAGGTCCTGGAGATCATACCCGCCGGTCGCCCCGGGGCTGAGGAGGACGAGGATGAAAAGGCTGTCGTCGAGAAGGATGATGAGGAAGAGGCGGAGGAAGGAGACGAAGAGGAGCTGACAGAGGAGGAGATGGCGCAATGGCAAGCGCTCTTGGCGGAGAAACCCGAGATGTTCAGCGAATGGGATAGCGACGACGAGGAGGGTCAGGAGGGTGAAGAAGAAGACGAGGATGACGATGAGGAAACGGATGACGATGATGATGAAGACGACGAGGATGAGGATGATGACATGGAGGACGACGAGATGGACGTCGACCTGGATGAAGATGACGAGGAAGACGAGTTGGAGGAGGACGAAGATGAGGACGAGTTGATGGACGGTCTGGAAGATGACGAAGAGGATGACGAGGAAGACGAGGACGACGAGACCGACCTCGGTCCATCCCGATCGAAACCCAAGTGAGTATTACCTCTCCCTTAGCCTGCGTGTGATCGCTTTTCGTGCATCTGGCTTATGACCTTCTATATCACACTGCATAGCCACCCCACGCTAGACGACCAGTTCTTCTCCATCGACGCTTTCAACAGGTTTACCGAGGAAGCCGAGGCGACCTCGACTTCGTCTGGTTCGTTGGGAGGCAAGAAGAACAAGGGCAAAAAGGCACAGGGAGGCAAGAGGAAGGGGTTGTTGGGGGAAGAGGATGACGAGGAGGACGACGATGATGACGAAGAGGAGGACGATCTGGGGCTGGACAGTGAGGTTGGGGATCTGTTCGGAGGCGATATCTTGGCAGAGGCGGGCGACGATGGTGACAGTGAGTAGAGCATCAGTTGAAGCGGATACCAGATCCTCACTGATCGGTCGATCGCTCCCGACAGACATGATGTACTCGGACTTTTTCCCACCTCCCCGAGAATGGACGAGGGAGAAGCCAGTCAAGGGCAAGGGCAAGGCGACTGGTGACAAGCCCAAGAAAAAATCGAAGCCCGCTGTCGAAGCCGAAGTCGAGCTCGAGGCGGATGGGCGGGATACCATGTCCCGGGTCCGAACCGATCTCTTTGCCGACGATGACGAAGAGGACGAGGACGTCCCTACGGCCCGACTGTCGACTCATGAGAAACGTCTTCGTGCGCTGCAAGAACAAATCTCGACTCTCGAACAGGAAAACGTCGGAAAGAAGGACTGGACACTGTTGGGAGAGGCCAAGTCGAAAGACCGACCGCAAAACAGTTTGTTGGAGGAAGATCTGGAGTTTGAGCAGATGGGCAAGGTGGTTCCGATTGTCACCGAGGACAAGGTGGTGAATATGGAAGAGATGATTAAGCGAAGGATCTTGGATGTGAGTTTCGATTTGCGGCGTAGGCACCGCCTTGCTCAGCTTGAGGGCTGACCTACCGGGGCATCATTTCAGGACAACTTTGATGACGTCGTCCGACGGAGAGAGCTCGATGATAAGGCGTTCATCCCATCCCGATATTTCGAGCTGGACAACGCGGAATCGTCGAAATCGCTCGCCCAGATTTACGAGGACGACTACAAGAACGCCGCGGGTGGGAACAAGGTCGAGGATGCTAGGGATGCCAAGTTGAACAAGGATCACGAGGAGATTGATCTGCTGTGGGGAGAGATTTGTTACAAGTTGGACGCGCTGAGCAACTTGAACTTTACCCCCAAGCAGGTGAGTGTTGCGAAGGGCGGAGGAGAAGCGTGTCAATGTTCCAGGCTGATCAGATCAACCTCTCCTGCGCTCTAGCCCAAGGCCGCCATCACGACACTATCAAACGTCGCCACGACCTCGATGGAGAACGCGCTGCCCACCACACAATCCACATCGACCATGTTGGCTCCGGAAGAGATGTTCGCGCCGGCCTCCAAGAACGACCTGGTCGCTCGGTCCGAGCTCGACCCATCGCAAAAGAAGCGAATGCGACAAAAGGACAGGAAGACGAGGATGAGGCAGAGACAGGCGTTAGACAGCGCTGTCGACAAGTTTGCCGGCAAGTCCGGTGGAGGAGGCAAGGCTCGGGGAGGCGTCAAGAGTCAGAAGGACCGCGCGCTCAAGGAGCTCGTCAAGACTGGCAAGGGAGTGAGTGCAAAATTCCGGGCGGTCCGACCCGCGCTTCGTTTGCTGACAAATTTTTCACGCTTAGGTCACCGTCGTCGGGAAGGATTCGGTCAAGAAGCCTCGAGGCAACGGTCAGCCCAGAGAATCTGTCTCTCAGAGCTCGACGCTCAAGCTGTAGCGGTGGATTCGACATCGTATATGACATATCGCGTTTCTTCGGGGTGTATGTATTCTTTCGATCGATTGTACGAACAATTTACGACCAGACCGGTATCTCTCGTACTATACATGGTATCCGATACAATCGCAGACATCGAGCACCCAGACTGATAGGCCGTGTCGATCACCTCTTGCCACCAGCTCGCCTCAAGGCCTCCGTGTTCTTGAGGATGGCCAGGTCGAGGTCACCCGTCTTGCCATTGATCCCGGTCAACCGCTGATTGTGCGTATCAATCTCTTCCCCAGCAGCCATGGCGAGCCGCTTCAAGTTCCTCGTCACCTCAAGCGTCTCGTTCAGGTTCTCATCAATTTCGTCCTCGAGCTCGTCGTCAGAGGCGGTAGCTTCGAACTGGTACCTGCTCCTCGCCTGCTTCCTCGCGGCCATGGCACCCGCCTGGGGGGTATTGTCCCGCATGGTTCCGTTGGCGGCCGTGTTGAGTCGGCGGTGCGTATCTTGGACGTCGGCACGGGCTTTTTCTCGGTCGTCTCGTTCGCGAAGATGACGTTCCATGAGCTTCTCTTGTTGAGCGTTCAGTTTGGCTTCCTGCAGAACGCGGAAAGAATGGCATCGTGGTCAGCTCGTTCCGTCTACTCGGTTTAGTTTATTCGCGATCGAGACTCACCTTGTTCCAGGTGACGGCGGGTCGGAACAGACTCCTGTTCAACACCTTGAGCTCCTTGGCCTTGTCTTCCGCACGCTGGTTGTTGGCCTTGGCGATATCAAGGTGTCGCTCAGTGTTGGCGATACGCTCTATATGAATCATTGTACAGAGCGTTAGCACGCTAGGTCATGAGAGTCGCGGGCTCACAAGTCGGACTGACCTGACTGATCCCCCAAACGACCAAGAGTACCCCTAGCCGTGTCTTCTGCTTCTCGAGCGATTCGAAGGGCATTTCTGATACCGCACGGTCTCATGTCAGCTAGAGCCCTTTGATAAGCTAACGGTCGAACAAGCTTCAGGTAGACTCACCTAGTCGACGACAAACTCTCCTGTTTGATTCCCCTCATCTCCTGCTTGATACCTTCAATCTCCTCCTCCTCGTCGAAATCGTCTTCCATCTCCCTGCCCTCATAACCGTACTTGCGATCCTTCGGAACCTGCTCCTTTGGCTGAAACCCGCCAAACAGCTCTCCGCGCTGCTGGTTGGCCTTGTTGTCGCCGTACGGATCGCCGTCACCAGCAGTTGTGCGATAAGAAGGAGCCCGATCAAGGGCGGGTGCGTAAGGGTCGGCAGCGTTCCTCTTCATGTCAAGGCTCGAGTTGTTATTGCCTCGGCTGAAGAGCTGTGTTCGGGCTGCACCCGTGTCGGCAGGAGCCATGGGCTCGGCTCCCGCCGGTGGGGCGACGGGCGGAATGACTGATGCATTAGGATTCTTGCGTTTGAAGAATGACATCCTTAGTAGTGGGTCTGATGCATCTGTCTGCTTGTTCTGTCGAGGTATCGAAATGGTCTGGATGCAGGATGTCGCTGATGACGCCGATGATGATGGTTACCGCTGATGAGTGGGGCGGTGAGGTGGAAACAACCGAGACCGATGACTATGGGGCGCCATTTGCACCATTGATCAACGCCTTTGATTGACGCGCGTCGTCTCTGTTGGTCCGATTTGGTCTCTCTTGGTCCAATTTGGTCTCTCTTGGTCTCGCGGAGTCTTTGCTGGCCGTCTTTGGTCTTTTGTTCGCGTCTTTACCTCCATTTTTGTCGTATTTACCCCTATCTCAACGATTTTCGTCCATACACGACCAATAAATTTACAGAACGACCGCCGTGCTCTCGTAGACATACAAGAAAGGACTCTAGATGTTCAAAATCATACTATGCATGACTCCAACAGTCTAGTAATGGTCTCTAGTGGTTAGGGGGGAGGTGTACATGTCTTAACGCGACTCATTGATCGATTCTAAGTACAAACAACTCATCGTGAGTGATCCTGCAACGTATTACATAGACGATGAACCACCTTCCTGTTGTTACAGCCTTAGTCGAGCAGACATTACACCCTGCTAGACTATATTTGAGTCAAGACCCGGCCACACGCAATGTGTTCTTGCTTCCCAACCTCATCACTGCTCTGGACGACCTTGCTCACCTCCTCGAACACACTGTGAGGACCAGGATTCCCCATTCGGCATACATCACCCACATCCAGTCTACTACATCCCTTCATGAACGTCTCTGCGCCTATGAAAGATCCCTGGCGTCCAACGTCATCGTTCGTCAGACTGTTACTCGTATTAGCAACCCAAACGGAGGTCGTCCGGTGATCGAATTAGCTCCAGGTCTGCTCGACTTTTACACCAATCTTGGCTATGCAGACCGTGAGATAGCTCTTCATCTAGGGATATCAAGGGGTACGGTCACTAGGAGGCGGAGAGCGTTTGGGCAAGGCAAACGAGCAGTTAAACATATGGTCGCTCCGTATCAATTGCATTGTGTGAGTCTTCTCTTGGTCTCATTTGGTCTCGTTTGGTCTTTTTTGGTCTTTTCTCGTCCAATTTGGTCTTATCTGGACTGTTCATCACCTCTCAAGTCTAATCTTGACTTGATTTCACTTGATCACCAGCTCGTAGCATCAATTTTGAACTTGGTCGACAAGCAGAACACTGGAGAACGTCTTGTAATGGGGCTACTCTCCGCTCAGCAAGTCAAAGTCACTCGAGCACAGCTGCGAGCTACCCTGCGAGCTCAAGATCCTCATGGCAACATGGTCCGAAGTGGGAGAGTACTACATCGTAGGGACTATGATGTACCCTTTGTCAACTCCGTATGGCATATGGACGGGCAACACAAGTTGATCAACTGGAAGTTCGTTATACACGGTGCTGTCGACGGCAAGAGTCGATTGATCGTGTTCATGCTTGCGTCTGACAACAACAAGTCCGAAACTGTGGAAGACTCTTTCTTACAAGCGACTCAGCAGTGGGGCTGGCCATCAAGAGTCAGGGCAGACTATGGTGGGGAGAATCTAGGTGTTCGTACGTTGATGAACGCGGTGAGAGGTATGTGATCGATCTCATCGGTCTCGCGCAAGACCGATTTGCTCCACCACAAGACTAAGTTGGACCAATTTCGTCTCTCTTGCTCCTGTCACATACCTGCGAGCTCCTCTATAGGTGAGAATCGGGGTTCCTTCATGCAAGGACCATCTACACGGAACGTACGGATCGAGAGGCAATGGCGACAAGTTGGAGAAACAGTAACACAGCAATTCACTCGTCATTTCCTGGAGATGGAACGTGTTCACCACCTCTATCGTGAAGATCCTATTGACATCTACTGTCTACACTATGTCTTCTTACCCTACATCAACTTCGTGTTGGGGTATTACGTCGACATGTGGAACTATCATGGCATGTCCAATCAAGGACTCAAAGGACTTAGCCCAGCGCAGATGTGGTATCGAGGTCAGTTTTGGTCGAAATTGGTCTTGCGTTGGTCCATCGTACACTAAAATCGACCAAATCGGACTTCCAAACTGCTACAGGAGTCGTAGATGCAGCTGCAAGCGGCTTTGATCTCAATCTCTTCCCCCTCGAAAGTCAAGATGAGGCTATCTTACGACAAAATCGTCCTGAACAGCTCAATATCATGGATATGGATGCTACCGACCCCATCGCCGATCAAATAAGAGCACCTAGGGTTCGAGATCCGCACGTCATAGTGCCTCGCTACATGGATCATGTACCACCACTGCTCTCGACATACGAATTCAGGCAAGGTCTGGAACAGCGTTTCCCTATTCAGCAATGGGTCTCCATCGTCGACGCAACACAGTACTATCTCGCTGTACGAGAGTTTGTCTATGACACCATCAACATTTCATGAGCGTCATCGCTATGATGTCATAGACAACTCGTCATACCTGGTGTCCCATCTCTATTGTGCTGCGAGTTGCGCGTGAGAAAGACTTTATTGGACTAACAAACAAGTGTTTCATCTTTTTTTCTTTGTTCGCCATCAAAAAACAACAAAACAACAAAGTCCTTTGGTCCTTTCGTATGTATATATGTAAGCAGCTAGACCTATTTCCTCTCTCTCGTACTTCTCTACACTTTCACTGACCTACTCGAATACTCTCATATCACTTTTATCACCTCTTAACCCTACTCGTACTCTAAATCTCTCCATTCAAATCAAAATGTCCGGCCTTCCTCCCAACAACGACAAGAACAAGAAGAGCGGTGGTGAGAAGAGGAAGTCGACGGCGCCCGACGACGTTGCGGGGAAGAAGAGGAAGACGAGGGCTGACGCCAGGAAGGAGAGAGACGGGTCCTCTCTCACACCGCTTCCTGTAAGTCCTTTGTGGTCTTGTTTAGTCTTTCTTGGTTTTGTTTAGTCTCGTTCGGTCTCGTTTGGTCTTATCAACTCGTACTGACATCGATTATGTTGTGTTTTTGTCTTGACCTGATAGCTATCCCCCGAGGAGATGAAGGCGGAGGTCGCGCGTTTGGTCGAGGAGGGGGTGAAGGCGAGGATGGCGGAGGAGAAGAAGAAGGAGGCGGCCGAGAAGAGGAAGAAGGAGGCGGCCGAGAAGAAGGCGAGGGCGGAGAAGGAGTCGGAGAGGATCCGGGATTTGGAGAAGGGGAGGAAGAGGAAGCAGGCCGAGGTAAGTCTTGCTTGCGTTAGAACGTCTCTACAGCTATCGTTCGGAAGTCTTAGAAGCTCTTCGTTCGCTGACTCGACAACGTTGTTGTACCTCTTACCTCGATCAGGACCAGCAGGCCGAGATCGCCCGGCAGGTGGACCTGGCGTTGGCGAGGGATGGGAAGAAGAAGGAGGTCGAGGGGAAGGAGGAGAAGAAGGAGAAGAAGGAGGAGGAGAAGGACGAGCGCGGGGTGAGTTTAGTCTTGTCTATTCGTCTTCGAGTCTACGTGTTCTATCTTTACTCGAGTACAAGTAACATCTTGCTGATTCATATTCAACGTTTGCATATACACAGCGTTCGTCGAGCAAGATGGAGAGCGGGGAGCCCCTTGAGGGGGTCTCCCAATACAAGATGGACTTGGCAAAGGTATGTCTATCGTCCGAGTTAGACCTCGTTGGACTAAAATAGTCTTGCTTACACTTGATATATATTTGATCGTGTTCTCAGTCCATCCGCCAGTGGAAGGAGAACCACGGGGAGAGCGTGGTGGAGTTGTTGGGGGACGACCGGTGCGAGCCGTGCCAGAAGGGGCACCGAACGACCTCCGGGAAGCACGGGCCGCCATCGGAGGCCTTGAAGGCGTTGAACAAGGAGTTCAACCGTTGTGTGATCGGGTCGAGCGGGAGATGCTCGGGGTGCCAGTGGAACGGTGGGGTGAAGGAGAAGTGCAAGTACCGGCGACCACCACCCGCCCCCCCCGCCGACGTCAAGCCCGACCTCCCGCTGGCAGGTCCCTACAGCCGATTCGGCTCGGGACATGGCTTTGGGGCCAACTTCGACGCTCCCCCGGCGCCCCCTGGTGGCTACTTGGCCGCCCCCCTCCTCCCCACCACCCCCCACCGCCGACCTGGTCTTACCGGCCTCGGGCTCCCCCTCTCCCCCGCCTCCCCCTCCACCACCGCCTCGACCTCGAGGATCGCCAACATCGGCGATCGACTTACCGGGTTCAACGAGGAGCTCCAGCGGGCGATGGAGAACGCCCAGTGGGCTCTCCATGAGCAAAATATTGCTCATTACTTCCCCTCGGTGCACGACCTCGTGCGGTGGTTCGTTGATGCTGCGAATCGCATCACGGAGTCCGGCCAGGACTTGGGGAGGTTGACCAACCCCCGCCCGGACTTCTCTCGACGTTGATCGTCGAGTTTTTACTTCTTGTTTTTGACTTCGTTCTCTTTTTTTTGTTGTACAATAATATTGAATATGTCTATGCATGCCGGCGCGAGAACAACTTGGACTTGATAAAGACTTAAAACCCAACAACGAACACTAATCTAAGAACGTAACCCATAGAAAGAACTTCGAAACCCCAATCACGACTCGCGTCAACACGAGTCGGTCTAAAACACATGTTCCAAATCCCAGATAAGACTAAGGAAGACTAAAGAGAAGCCAAGAAGAGCAAGAACGACGAAACAAGACCAAAAGGGACCAGCAGAGACGAAGCAAGACCAACAAAGACGAACGAAGACCAAAAGAGACCAAAAAAGTCTAACGAAGACCAAATGAGAACAGCAAAGACTATCAAAGACTAAAGAACATTGACGGCAATGATATTCAGTGTTAGAAGTTGTAAGCTTGCCATTACATCGTCCAACTCACAGAGACGACATCATTTGCGACCAGCCTTGGCGTAGTTATCAAGGTCTAAACGTTGAGTTTGGATCCTTCGCCTTTTGTTTGGGCGCTCAAGGGCCTCCGAATCATCTGCAGGGCTTGCAACTGGTGTGACTGGAGCAACGACTTCTTTGCCTTTGCCTTTTCCGTTGCTCGTCTTTCGAGGTCTTCCTCTTCCCCGCTTGACAGGTGCCGAAGTAGACGCCTCCTCTACACCTTGTACCGTTGCCTCGACTTCCCTAGGACCACCCTCTTCAACAGTAGCCGTTGACGGACCTCCCACATCTTCGACAGTCGACTCGGGCATGCCTCCCGACCAATCCATGTGGGTCTCCAAGTGGCTGTACAGTTCAGCTGCCAACGCATTGGGATCTTGGTCGAAGGGATCGTTGATCCACTGCTCCTGCTCATGATTCTCGTCCCCAAATCCTTCCTGTACCCCTCGTTCTTCCCCATCCTCGTCTTCACTGTAGAACAGTGGTTCTTCTTGGACTCCCGTTAGACCAAGACCATCGACAGCAGAGGTTCCAGCGTCAGCCAAAGCCATGAGTTGGGTTTGACGTTGCAACCACTCTTCCCCAAATCCTGGCTGCTGTGCTAGCTGAGCGAGAAGTTGTTGGGTAGAGAGAGGAGGTTGGTCGACAGAGGTGATCCTGGGCTTGACATCTTCATCGTCGGTATTATCGATGAGCTCGATGACTTCGCCTTGGATGGGATTGGGCACCTTCAGCTCCTCGGTCGGCTCGTCTTTGACGATTGTGGACTTGGAGAGTGGTGCGACAGCCTTGCCTGGTCTCTTTTTCGACGTGAGAAGGACTCTCTTGGTCTTCTTTTGACCTCCCGAGGTCTTTTTTGGTCTCCCTTGCACCGGCGGCAGGTTCCTTAATGACTCCAAGTCTGAATCAGACTCCGACTCCTCGAGCAATTGACGCCTTTGTTGGTCCAACCATGCCTGACACTTCCCCTGATGAGCGGCTAGCATCTCAGGGGGGTATCGTCTACTGCATCCTTGGCAACTCCTTAGTCCATCAACATCATCCTCATCGTCCTCGATCGTCTTCTCCCAAGGGTCGTGGTCTTCGCCCATCTCACCCGCTACCTGTAATCTCCACTCTGGATTGTCGTTCTCTGGCAAGTCCCACCCTTCCTCAAAGATGCAAATGTAGTAGGAGTTGCGAAACTTGTCCTTCAAGTCTTCAATCGGAGTGGTGAAGCCTGGCCAAGTCATCCTTCCGTCGAATTTGGTAGATCCTTGTCCACATTTGGCCCAGACGAAAGGCGTGGAGAGGAATTGAGGTCCATGAACAGATCGGAAGACTCTTAGCACCTCATTGCCCACGTCCCGAGGCGTCATGTTGCTAGTAACGACGATTGATTGCATATAACCAAGCAGCTCGACAGCTTCTAGGAATTTGGGACCTCCTCCCGACTGCCATAACTTGATCTTTGTGCGCAAGATAGAGCCACAGCCAATGAAGATGACCTAGAGATTACCAAGCACGAACGAACCCAGCGTTGGCAAGACTTCATCAGACCAATTTGGACCAAATAAGACCAAATGAGACCAAGAGTAGTCGAAATAAGACTTGCCTTGTTTTGCCCTCGACCGAGCGTAACCTTGCTAATCTTGGGAACCTTCTCAACGCCTCTACTGGTCGCTTGCTGGTATCCTCCTCCTGGCAGTCTCTTCGTAGCTGCAATAGCAGAGCTGCTTGGAGCTAGACCACTCGCGAAGGTGGTGAAAGATGGCTGAGGAGCAAGCTGCAGGGGGTGAGGGAAGGGGGTTTGACGTCCAATGAACTGAGATGGGTAGCGCGATTGATAAGAGTTGAGATCGAGTTGGGAGGACGGACGACCAGCTGTACTGGATACAGCTGAGAAGGAAGTGGTACCGGGAGTCGAAGGAGGAGGTCGATTGTTGATTGATTCATCGATTGAATCGATCGTGGCACTTGGGGAGACGAGGTTGCGGGCAGTTTGGGACGAAGGGGGGGCCTGCAGTGGAGCAGCCTGCCCATAAACTCCAGCATTGACACCGGGAGCGTTCATTCTGGACAAGATTTGGTCCAGTCCATGCTTGTCCTGTAACATCCTCTGGTTGAGGATGGCAAAAAGCTCTTCGTCGGAGGGAATTTGGCTCATCTTGATGAATTTGAGAGGTACGTAGAGCACTTGAGACTAGGTAATGTCAAGGAGGGAGATAGGTAGTATCGATACGACTTGTTCGGTCTTTGTCAGTCTCCCTTGGTCTTCGTTGGTCCAATTTGGTCTTCGTTGGTCTAATTTGGACCAATTTGGACCAATTTGGACTATTTGCCTCCGGCCGGGTGCAATCAAGACACGCGAAGCAAAGACGCGGACCAAAGACGCTGAAATGAGGCCAAGACAACACAAATCTCGACGAAAAGGCTACAAACACGTCCATAGGCGACCCCCAAAGACGATTGGTGCTTTCGGCGCGTCATAGATGACGGCATCGAGGTGGATATAAGTAACAACAGTAGCGTTTCACCTTGCTCCACTCCTTGTTTCAACAAGAAGAAAGGGCTCGAACGATATGCAATGGGAACTTAGAGCTATACATATATGTCAGAAGTCTATATGATCGAAACCGTGCTTCAAAATCGTCCCAACCGCTTTGTGGAATCCGCAGCTTACTAGCTAGACCTAAGAGGAGTACTAAAGGAATCGTTTGACTCCTCAGAATGGCTATCGATATTAACGGCGAGTCAGTACACTGCTGAAAAGCTCATACCCCCGCATAAATACTAAATGACTGTACTACCATACTATAGGTTCTGGAAGGAATGGACTCACAAGAACAACACCGACTACTGGGGGAAGGTCGACGAGAAAGACTCGTAAGCGTCCAGCTTTCTGAATGCTCTACGAAACAATACCGACACATGTTGCACTATTGCAGTGACTCGGTGAGGCAGGTTGTGTCCAAAGCCTATACTTGGATCAAGAAGGTCAAACAGGAAGATCCGGAAGAGTGAGATTGTATTTCATGGAGGTTTCGAGATGTACTGAAGGCTAACGTAACTACAATCTGACCCGGCTAGGGTTGGTAAACTGATGGCCAAGAATGAGGGAAGGTGATCCTGGAGAGCCGTTACTACCCCGATGTACGTTCGCTTTCTGCGTTGTAACGATGATAGGTTCCACAAAACGGTACATAGCTATCCTCAGATTCAGCGGTAATAGTCCCATCAGACTGGGCCTCCACACTTGTTTCGCCCGGCAAGGCGCCGCTCAAAGTGAGGCTGGTACCGCATGCAAATGCCTGAACAGAGCCAAGGCTGGCCGTCGCGAAATTACTGGTTGTTTTTAGCTGTTCCCTGAAAGTTTTGGCGGCTGCAGATAGTCGGAATCTGATCGGACTATCAGGGGTTGTCGCCAAAGGCTGACCGTTCGTTGCCGATCGCTGGCACCCGCCTACTTTCTGGAAGCCTACAATTGGGTACTGATCAAGAAATCGAGTGATTTCTTCATCATCGTGCTTCATCAAGCCAGAGTTGAGCTGTTCTATCCAGACCGATACGTCTGCTTTGCATGCAGGGTACACTTCCACGGCGACTCCCAATTGAGTGATGACCCCCGCCGTAAGGGCTTGTTCAGGAGTGAGCAGTCCAGATGACATTTTGATGTTGGAAAGTGGTGCTGTATTTAGAATGGTCGCGCATGCTCATCACACGCGAGCCACACCCCAACGAGAGCTTATATAGATACCCTGGACGCCGGCGATGGTCCGATCATGTCATTTCTCATGAAAGGAGAGTAGAAGGGGAATAGCAAAACACGCCTGCCAAGGTAGATGGCGACATTGCTAGGATGAGAGGTCCCTTGCTTGCGGATCAGCTATTCAACGGTTATGTTCAGGCCAGTCAGTATTATTATGCACATTTACGAGTATGTCCCTCTCCACAGCCACGTCGGAATTTGGTGACCAAGCAAAGTGCACATCACGTTGCTTCGCTATCTGACATCAGAATGTCGGGTTGGACAAGCGGCCAGCAAAGCAAACTTTCAGGTCTATCAAGTTCATCCTCATACACGGAGCGTGCTCACCATCTCAATCACTCATGCTCGATTTGGACCAATAATATCATAATGAAAGCGTTCCATGCGCAAACAACGAACACTGAGTTGATGTTCTTACCCACTATGAAGACTCTGAAAGACCACTTTTAGAAGGAATCGTTCCACGATGTCAATGTGCGAATTCGAGATAATCTTGCTGTGCTCGAAGCGCTTCAACGATTGTACGAGCTCAAGCTACATCCGTGTGATATTCCGATCGCTACAAGGAGAAGTTCTTGTCGATGACCCCACTAAGCGCTCCTGCAGCTTCCTCACAACATATGCCCAGAAGGTTTCAACACTTAGCCTGGACCGACCCTGAGCCCAATGGAAAGACATGTGCGTTTGGGCTAGTTGTTCGCTGCGCGACCCTCGAGTCGGGGAAGCTTCGCGTCTCTTTTCCGTTGACCGATCCTGCACGTGCAGACAAATCTCAAGTCGTCCAGTGAAAAGTGGTTCTGTCCCGGCGGAGCTATCGGTACCAGCGCTAGTCCGTCCAGCTTTCCGTCGAGCACTGCGCGACCATGACTGAACTGTTGGCCGGAGGAGCAAAGTATACTGATCCAAATCAGGGTGCTTGTGCCAGTCCTCGGTGTCGGTTACTGGGCCTTGAGATAGACCGATATCCGTCAGGATTTCGGTGAGATGCTGCTTTAACAACGATAAAGAGTTCGTCGACGGGTTGAGTTGGAAGCTGTTGGGCAGCGGTAGATATTTGACGGTCGCTGGAGAGCTAACTCTTGTCAAGCTCTGATACTCACATAATTCAGCGAGGTAGGAAGAAGACAAGGAAGAGGAAGTACGTACATCGGGCAGGCGTTGATCTGTAAAGCTCCATCCAACAATCCACCTTGCCGTACGAGACTGCCGAATGCTCGATATGAAATAGTTGCTGATCTGGGAGCAGGCGTAAATATATGCTGGATGCAATGCTCATCGGCAGCTACGCCTTGCAACTGCTCACTTTGTTCTCCAGCAGTTTGGCACGCACCGGTGCGATCGAAGACGCCTTGCCTAATAAGCTCGTGTACCAACTGATTGGGTCGGTAAGCGCTACTGTTTAATCCGCCGGGATGTAAGCACACAGACTCACAGGGATCCCTTTCTCCTGCTCAAACTCTCTTGAATCATCTTGCAGACAAACATCACTTCACCTCCCGGAGTGATCAACTCGTTTTCCGCAGCAGTGGGTGCTGCGTGCCCGCTCTCGATCTTAATGTCCGACGCTGCTGCTATTTCCTCTCGTGAAGTGTAGAAAGGTGGATTACATAGCGTAAACGTAAAATTGGGCGGGCTGGGTGCCGAGAACGGGCTGTGTTCAACGGGGTGCCGTGAAGTCAATCCGGCTCGCGCTTGCTTACCCTCTCTGAGCAGTCTGTGAGACCGGCAGCAAGATCTCGCCGGCAGGATCTACCTTGCAGAGATTGATCCGCTGTGCAAGATCGAGATTGAGATCAATCGTTTCCTGAGCATACTGTAGCGATTCACTATTGATATCTGAACAACGCGATCGGTTTAATCAGCTTATCTAAGGGCAAAGGAGGTGGCTAAACTCACCAGTCGCCCAGACTGTCGAATCAGGGTGTAACCGTGCCATCAGAAGAGCGTAGATCGGGGTCGCTCCAGTCCCACTGACGCACATCTGACAAATCAGGGATTGAATGTCCGGTAACAGAGGGAACGAAGCGGACTTACATATCGAGGACTTTCAAACGATGCTCTTTAGGCACGAGATCGCGCTTCCTTAAGTGTGCGAAGATTTGAGATAGAAGACAAACATAGTCTAGGCTGTGAAATCGTTAGCTAAGCTTCCCTCTTATTCACACAGCTCGCTGGCTTACCGATTGGATACCTGGATATGGCAGTGTGGGAGACTGCTCAGCCCAAAGACTGAATACTGACCAAACGAAACGGACGGACCGTTGGGCACAATCTATCTTCTGGCAAGATGACTTTCAAGTCAAAATCTTGCCGCAACAAGCACCTCGTTAACTCCCTCAAAGCCGCGGGATTCTTGAAGTCGATGTAAGATTGGCCATTCGGGTGATATCGGACACTAAACGTTGAGCATAGTCGTATTCAGTGTTATGAGTCGGTATCGTCAAGGGGAGAGGAATGTGCTATTACAATGGCTTGAACGTTTCAAATCGTTCTCCTAGTCGTTTGAAATCCGGAGGGCGGGTATGGTATGGATTGACGACTCCGTCTTCATTTTCGCTGGAGAATCGTCCGTTTCTTGTCCTGTCCCCCTTCGAGATCTCTTCGTTCAGGATCACCTTGACCCGATCCTGACAAAGGACAGATCGTTCAGACAAACTTGCTGCACCTCGAGCTTGAGGATTGCTCTCACCTCAAGCTCAAACAGATAATCGTCCTTGACCAACGGATACAAGGTCCGGACCGCCTCTGCCAGCTGAAAGAGATAATCCTATCCAGCCGTGCAATCCGGCTCAGTGACCTGGATCGTGGTCATGGCAATGAACCCGCGGTAAGCTTACGGGATTCGGGCCGGAAGGTCCTTCGCAAGTAGCAATCCGCTCTGCTAGCTGATCCATCGGTTCGTACCCCACTGCAAACCGGGATATATGATAAGCGGGAAAGCATGTAGAATGGTATTCATCTTCATGCTATACTGACCGAATGCTGGGTTGCTTGTTGTTCCTATCCAACAAGTAGCCTGATCGACATAGTTTTTCAGGTCAAGGAGATCGAGACTAGGGATACTCAAGCAGCTCACCTTCGGGACGACCGTCTCTTCCTGCTGTGTCTCCAGGTTGAGCGAGAAGACTTCCACATCATGCGCCGTATATCCGTTCTACTGGCGGAATAGGGACGTTGAGTTCTGAAGGCTACTTTCCCGAGGATGTGGGAGAATACTGACCTTTTCTCGGTGCTCTATGAGCAGCCGGAATTTGTATGATCAGTATCGAAGAGCGACCCAACCTGACCTAATTGCACCGACCTAGATAATCCCACACCTCCTTCTCCTTCTCTTCCGCTATCCGGTAAGCGATACCCCATACTGTATCTTCTTGTATCGAATGTGCTTGAGGAGGCTAGACGCAATCCACTCCATATCTCAGCTCTTCGAACTCTTCGGGCTCACAAGAACGATGAGACGAAGAATGCTCACAACTCCAGTGAGTTTGTGCCAATCTGCCGCTTCGAGTACCGTGACCACTCTTCCTGGCCGTTCGGGTGTTCCTCTATGATCTATCGAAGATTGAGCAAACCTCCTTAGGACTCCTTTTACATAGCCGCTGCCTGTAAGCCCGCGTGCAAAAAGGTTGAATGAGTAAAGAAACGCTTCCATTGCTCTGGGGACTGCTGCGCTACTCGCGTTGTTCGACGACGTGAGGTGGTGGTTTCCATATCAACGATCCGTATCCAAAAACCCAGAGCATAACGTTCGAGGAGAGTGCGTTCGATGCGGCTCGGATTAGGATAAAGTAGCTGGATTGAGCGAGGTGCTAAAGATTGGATGTAAGGTTGATCGAGATTGAGTTGAGGGTTGTGCGGGTGCATGAGTCATCGGGGGCGACGCGCATCAACATGTCATCCGAAGGTGCATGGCAAGGGGGGCAAGGGGCATGTTGAAACGCGTTGTTTAATCGTTCAAGGCCTTCATCGTTTGGGTCATCGTACGGCTCCTTGCAGGGACTTGTGAAGATACGAGGATGAAGCCCACAGGCCACGGGCTACAGCGTATTGTGGACTTCGACTGCGAAATGCCGCTTGCTCGAGCGACTCGGGATCCCGAACACCCCTTTCGAAAAAAAAAGCCCCCTTCGAGTCAGACAGCAAGAGCCGCGACGAGCGATATTATGACTCGTAGACATCGAAAGGCTTCATTACAATACGACGAAAGAAGATTGACGTAATACAAGTCACCTCGTTGGCCTACAGCAATAACAACCTTTATAAGAACCTCCTAAGCGCAACTTCGAAACACACACACACACGACTACACGACGCAGGTTGGCGCTTCGGCGCCCTCCGTTTTGCGGAAATAGATGCGTTGATTGATTAGTTGGAGAACAGCAATCGGAAAATACGTTTGTATAACGGTGCCGCTGTTTGACGCGAGGGACCCAAATGAGCTCGATCTCGAAAGCATCGAAGAGAGGAGTGACTAACCCTTTCGCTCGGCTCGGTAAGCACGCATCTCCTCGACGGTCAAGAACGATTTTCGGCCAGTCTGGAGACGTAACACAGGGAATCAGCTTTCAGTCCGGCGAAAAAAGGACGACAGGGGTCACTCACGTCGAGATCGATCTCCATAGCACGGTGAGGTCGGGACCTCTTCCAAGCGAAACCAATAATGTAGAAGAGGAGGACGACGGGGAGTGCAAGCCAAGACACTGCGACATGTGTTTTCGGAACGAGGTGGTCAGTGAAATCACTCCAGAGCAACATCAAAAGCGCCCAAGGACTCACGGAAGAAACCCTCAGCAATCTCGCCCGTGGTCATCTCCTTGTACCCGACCGGCCAGACCGCCACGTAGAACTTTGGGATTTTGCGACGTGAATACTGATCAGTATCATGTAGGTCACGTGGTCAAAACTGGTCATGCCGGGGCTCACCTGCGCGACGAGAACGAGACAGAGGAGGAGGAACCCGAACCAACTTCCATAGACGCCTCCAGCAGCGGTGAAAGGCAGCTCCTCGACCGAGTGACCCTGGGCCTTCCAAGCGGCTCGGAATCGGATGTGGCACATGCAAATCGACATCCAGGTGAAGATGGTGGAAAGACCCGAAAGGGCCAAGAGCCAGTCAAAGACGGCACCACCGGCAGAGGAGACGTTGACGTAGGCGATGGGTCCGAAGATCAGGATGGCAATGACCGAGGGAAGGGGTCGACCAGACTTGTCAACGTAGGTAAAGATCCTAGGGGCGTATCCAGTTTCGGCGAGAGCGGTCAAAGTTCGGGATCCTATGGGGTGGATTAGGAATTCAGAGACTGAACCACTGCGGCGACCAATTCAGACATAGACTCACCGGCGTAGACACAAGAAAGACCGATAGACAAGACCGAGATACAGATGGTAGCGTTGACCAAGTGATCAAGACCCTTGACGTTGGCGTAGGTGAATACCAAGACGAAGGGCGAAGCGCTGGCATCGTAACTCGAAGAACCTCCGAGCAGACGAGCGTCGTCCGAAGGGATCAACAATCCGATCAAGGTCAAGGACGAGATGTAGATCAAGGTGATACGCCAGAAGGTCTGCTTGACGGCGCTAGGCATGGTCTTCCTAGGGTTGGGAGTCTCGGAGGCGGCGAGCCCGACGAGCTCAGTTCCGGCAAACGAGAACGCGGCGGTGACGAACACTCGGCAGATACCCTTGAACCCGCTGGCGAAGGCACCAGGGCTCTGCCAGTATCGTCCACCGATGTAGCTGTCATATCGGGATCCAGAAGGACCGCCTCCGCAAACAAAGACGATACCGGCGAGCAGGAAGATGACGGTCACGGTCAGCTTGAGACAAGATGACCAGACTGTGTGTTCACAGGACGAGGCGTCAATTTATGATGAGCCAGTCACTTCAGACGAGACGACGGCGAGGAGCGACTTACACTCCTCTTCAGCGTAACCGAGGGTACCAAAGATGTTGACGACAATAATGGCGATCCAGAAGACGGTGATCCAAACGGCGACATTCACGCTCGTCGTCCAATATTGCAAGGTGATGGCGGCAGCAGTGATCTCAAGAGGTAGAACGGCAGCCCATTGGAAGACGTAGTTCCAACCCTATAAGAACGTATCGAATGTGTAAGATTCGATCCGATAGGGAATGTCAACACGCTCGAGAGACTCGGACTCACCATGGCGAAACCCCACGAAGGATCCAGGAAACGAACAGCGAGGGTGTAGAAACCTCCCGAAACAGGGTAGACGATGGCCATTTCACCGAGCGCTTGAGTAACGTTGATCAACATGATTCCCATCCTGAAGCGGACACACGCCGATATCGTGAGCTTGTGCACGAGGACAACTCGATCGCAATATACAAGGAGGAACGGTCGGGAAGTGTAAAAACTCACAAGATCCAGGCGATCAAGATACCAGCCGGTCCTCCTCGGTTCAAAGCCTGACCGGAACCGATGAAAAGACCGGTTCCGATAGAACCACCGACAGCGATCATCTGCAAATGACGAGGTTTCATCTTTTGCTGCAACATGGGGGAATCCTTGAGACGCCTCTCAAGCTCCTCGGGGTCCTCGGTACCTCCAGCGATCATCTGGCCGCTGTGATGCCGAACGGGAAGATTTCGGTCAGCAAGGAAAACAGGACGACCATGCGAACGGAAGACGCCATGAACCAACTAACCCAGTATGTCCGGGAGCGGGCTTGTAACTCTCAAAGTTGAGACCGGCTCGGGTCCAGAACGACTCTTTCGAGGGATCATAGATCTCGGCTCTGTCCGTTCGGTAATCTTTCTCGTTGACAGCCGCGACAACAGCGGTGTCTGGCTCGTAGCCGTATTCGGCATCCTTCTTGGGCTCGTAACTCATGGTTGCGCCAGTCCTCTGTAAGAGATGGCTAGGTAGAAGGTGAAGAGGTAGGGAGACGTTATCGGGGGGATTCAGAAGAAGGGTGGGGGGCGACCTCGATGCGGGTGAGCGAATAGTTGTCGTGGAGTGTTATATATGCTCTGGCTTACGATGTATGTTCCCTCGAGATAACGATCTGTATGGGCAGATAGGGCTATCTATCTCGTCGAGGCGAGGAGGGTGGGGGGGAGGGGGTCGTCCGAAACGATCGTCGAGATAAGTACTCTCTCAAAGGGGCAGACCCCTCGCTTGCAGGAGAGACCTGGGGCAACGCGGGGGAACGAGGAGCTAGCCGGCCGCTGACTGGTTGAGACGTTGCAAAAACACGTCGTTTAGACGAACCCCCCGCGGCTAAACAACGTCGCTGCGCTTCCCCTTCCCCCGAGCACGACCACCCTCGGTCGAGGTCATTTCGCTGGGCATGTGGTCTCGTGTGACACCGTCGTCATCGTTCATCTTGGCGCGACAACGTAACAACTGATCAGCGCAACAACGGGGAGGTGATCACGATCAGATGGGTTGGGAATTGGTGCCATGCGGTGTCTCTCACAGATCCACCTTGGCGCGCCAGAAGCTTTCCGCCATGCGCCGCCCTGCTCCGTCGTCCGTTCCTTTGGGTCGCGTGCCTGCGATTGATACCGATAGCGAAGGGAGATCGTCGGTTTCTGCGCTTTTGACCGGCAACGTCGAGAACGACTCGTTGACAGCATGACAATCCTCCTTCACACTGGCTAGACAGCGCGATGCGCCTTGCTTCGTCAACACCGCTGCAAAGGGCCAAGTCACGATGATCGTCACATCGTATGCGCAGTAACCGATCGAGCAGCCTACGGAGCCGTGAGCGCGATAAGCAGAATGCGACTTCTGCGGCCCATGTGCAACGCAGATTCAGAGGAAATACCGGGACGGCGATTGGCAACAACAAACGTCGACCTTGATCTTGTATGTCTTGGCATCGAAAGCCCTTTTCATATGGCCTGCTGGCTGTTGGCCTGTGGAATAGCCGGCCCCCTGTGGCCGCTGTATATTGCATTGTGACCGACCCGGGGGCACGGAGAACGGGATCTTCTCGGAATCACGATCACGCCTTCCCTTTGTTTTTTCGGGACCGAACCGTGGTTCGTGGCGCTGCATTGTGTTTTGCGTTTCGAAGGAAGACGGGCCGCCGCTCGTCGTCGAAACCTGAAACTCAAACACGATCAAATATCAAAGTCTCGGAACGTTCGGAGAATTGATCGATCGAGATAAGGCCATCTCTTATCTCGCCAGCCGAGATTAACATAGCCTGTGTTTCCACGTGTATGTAGTCCGACTGCCTTGCAGCGATGAAACGCATCAATCTGTGGTCCAAGAGCCATTGACTTCAATACCGCCGCTATACTCCATTTGTCGCGCAGACCGTCTTTGCAGTCGTGGGACATGTGATGGAAAGATCGGTAAAATAACGCGGGAGCAGGCTAATCCGCTCCGCCTCCATCATCGCCAACACCATCATCTGCTGCGTCCCCTACATCCCCATCACCCCCATCCACCTCACCAGCTGCGGAATAGTTCCCGCTTCGCCTCGAGCTAGTGCCCTGCTGTATCCTCTGACTCATCGCCAGCATTCCCCTGGCCTCCTGTATGTCCTCGTCTGCGTCACCATCGTCGTCCCCAGCGTTCCCGAGATCTTCAGCTAGACCACTTCTGAAACCGAATCCTTCGGGCGCTTCACTTCCACCTCGTGATGGAGCCCAACTGGCATTCTGAGCCTTTTCCTTCCACTCGTCGTCCTCTTCTTCTTCGTCATCATCGTCGCCAAAAGGAGTAGCTTCCCTGAACAACGGGGTCGATGCCCTTCCCGCTCCCGGTGTCTGGCTTTGTAGACGTGAAGGTAGAGCGGAGGCGTTACGGCTCGAAGGTCCTGGTGTGCCTCTACCGAAAGAAGCCGCGGGGGTGGCGGACCATCTACTCCCTCCATGTCCCCTTAGACCTGGTGTAGCGGTAGGTCGGTCAGTAACGCTCGTCCCGCCTCTTCGCGAATTTGGGATCAGAGGGGTCTGGCTGCGATTGTCCAGGCCAAGATTCAGGGTAGACTCTCTTCCGGACACGTCCCGCGTCATCGATCGGGAGTAGAGCGAGCGGCTTCGAGAGGAAGCCTTGGGCAGGTCTGCCATCGGCGGCCATGGTTCGATGATCAAGACGAGGTGGCGCGTAGAGATCGAAAAGCCTATAGCAGCGGTTACAGTTCGGTATAAGCTTGTCGTAAATGCGTCGTTAGACACTACTCGCTCACCTGCATAGCTTAGCCGGGTGACGGGTTTAAACTCCTTCCCATCCTCCTCTTCGACATCGCCCATGCCATCAAGCCCTGTGTCTTCCCTAGGATCAGGGGACCCAGCCCGGCGTCTCCCATCTGCATGATCGACAAAGCCATCCTCCGGGTCTTCAAGCCCAGTACCCAAGTCCGTCCGATGACCAGCCACAGCGGCGCCTTCTCTCATGGCCTGTAACTCGCTCTCATCTCGTACTGGCAGATGGAGTGCGCCATCAATCGGCTCGGCGGTGATTGCCTGTAATGGCATCTCTTCGTCTTCCATCGGCTCCTCCTTTACCCGGACCTCCTCGATTTCATAGTCCCCCTCCTCGCGGGCGAATAAAGGTGTCTTGTTGCGCAAGTCTTCCCGTTCATCCAGCTGTGCGTCCAGCCCTCCGCTCTCCTCCGTCTCTGTATACGTCACTCGACTCCTCTCCCTCGCGGATCTCCTCGGAGTACCTGGCCCTGGAATCTCACCAGATCGAGCTGGATCCTCACTACCTTCCCCAGCATCGGTAACGACCGAACTCAACCTGGATGGACCTGCTGGCCGTAACGATCCCCTTCTGGTCCGTTGGCCGGGAGGGACGGTCGAACCCTCTCGTTTTACTTTCCGCTTGTTTTGAAACTTGGGGACCAGGGTCGCAGACTTGATCTCCCGCCCAGCTTTACTGGAACGGTTGAGCTTCTGCATGTGATATTCACGTTTCTGAAGGGGGAAAGACTTGTCAGACATCGAACTTGGAAGGGTCGGCTCTCATGGAATAAGGCTCACTTTGAGAAGTACCACATGTCGTGAGTCAGTCTTGCGGAAGAAGAAGGCGAATTGATAGTCAACTGTCGAACCCAGATCAGCCATGAATCGGTGACCTATCCGTCATTGACCGTACTCACGACCTCGATGCACATCGACGGTAGATTTTTTCGCCGGATCTTCGGAGTGGAACTTGCTCGCAAGTCTGGAGAAGACGGCTTTCAGTGATCTGGTTCACTTGCCCTGTGGGGTAATATGGCCTTACTTTGGTCTCAAGTCGGCCAGGACCGCTTGTAGCGTCTGGTCGGTCATCCAGTCGACCTGTCGTACCAAGCACGGAGTACCCGTTCATGAGCTTCAGATCACAGGCAAGATCAAGGCAAGCATCTTACATGTCGTTCGTCAAGATAAAGGTACAGTGGGACTATGTCGGTATAGATGCCGATGTCAAGGTAATGAGCTCCCTTGCAACTCGAGATCAAACGTCATCCGTGGTAGGAGCGTTACTCACGGACCGTCCACGAGCTGATCCTCAGATAGAAGGCATTTCTTGTCGAGAACGGCATCGTCCAGCCGTTCGGAACTCGAGAGGTCCGTTTTTGCCAGGTGCGTGCTCTGGAACTCGATCTCACCGGACCACCGTGTAGGGAGAAAAGGGCATGCTATGGGTCGAGTGACCTTGGATCGATGATGATGATCGCTGCCGATGCACGATGGAAGCAGATTTACATCCGGGTCACACCGCTCGACCTGGTTGTTACTCTGACTGACTCTGACTCTATAAGACCTCTCACATTATAATCTATGGCCTGTGACCTATACCTTCCCCACCTGAGGTCCTTCGAGATTCAAATTCGTTGACTCTCGCACTCGCCATGTCTGCCTCGGCCGTTCAGACTTCCATCAAGACCGCCCTCGGTGCGCTGCCGTCAAAGTTTAGCAAAGCCCGAAGCTCCGGTGCCCTATACTTTTTCGATAGCGAAGTGAAGGATGTCGAACAAGATGGCAATCGAGTGAGCCAATGAAGGACATGAGCTTCTCAGGTAAAACTCCATCTAATAATCTTGTCGGACGATATAGTTCCAGATTCGAGTCTGCCCGGCTCTGCAGGACAAGGCAAAGGCCAAGAGGGAAGCTGATGCCAAAGTAGGCAACAATGAGCAGGATCAGGCGGAACCCAACAAGTCTTCCCCCTTCGAGCCGCCTTATGTGGAGGATCTCTTCGTAGGAGACCTTCAGGGGTCGCAGGGCGAAGAAGGAATGGCCATGTTGGTCAGTGCGAACGCGAGACTACACAGCAACCATTACTGATCATCGTTGGGCATTCCCCATTGACCAGCTCAACAAGGTTCGATAACCGTTGGTCGTTCAAAGTTCTGGAATATTGAGCATATCTTTTTCACTACAGTACGCAGTATTACCCGAGCACTTGCTTCTCTGTACAAAAAGTCCGTCGCACTTTCCGAACAACCAAGCCTACTCGACCTAACCGCTCACTTCCGGCTATGCGACGACAGCCCAACAACCGCAATCAAGCCCTCCTACCCCTCACCAACTACTCCTTACCTATCTGACTATACATGCCGCATCGAAACACTCGACGAACAGGTTGTTGGCCTTTTATAATGGTGGAGAAGGCGCTGGAGCCAGTCAGACATGGAGACATCTGCAGTGTATCGAGGTACCCAGGAACGAGGGTGCACCGATCGAGGAATGGGTAGAAGACCTGGAAGTGGAGAGGAAAGGTAGGTCCAAATCACCGGGACGGTCCTTTTCCTACATCTCACGGAGAAATCCGACAATCATGCTGTTACTCTAGACAAACCGTTTGTCAATACGAGACTACCTCACCTTCACCTAATGCATCACCTACCTCCCGCCAAGAACCTGTCTAGCACCTGGACAGACGAGTCGCTCGACAAGATGGAGATGAGCCTGGCTTCGGCCATGGTCTCCCTCTTGGACGCCATGTACGATGCTCTCAGGAGGAACAACGCCGGACGAGATGGCGGGTGGAACCTGCTGATGACCCTGTGAGTACAAAGCTGCACTATCCGCTAGGCAACAGCCTGATGACCTGGTAGCGTATTTGCGTTCCCTCCTTTAGTGACCATCTTCACTTGATTCCCCGTTCGAAACCCAACTACCAACTACCCGGGGGCTCTAAACTGGAAGTCAACTCGCTCGCTTTCGCCGGAATGTTGCTGGTCAAATCGAACGAAGAGCTCGAACTCCTCAACAAGACTACCGAGACGAACGAGAATGGGGGAACCCAAGGATTGATGAGGGTGCTGGAACATTGCGGGGTACCGCGAGCTTGGGGAGAATGGGAAGAGGCGGCGGAAGGGACCTTGGCTGAACCGGTTCAGCAGCAGCTGTAAAGGCGGTCAAGGGAAAGAAGATTGACACGCCTTCAAGCCATGCAAGAGTATAATGTAGCACGGTCAATCACTAACTAACAATGTTGCAAGAGCCACGTTAACGTAACATCTTGTTAGACCTAGTACATTAGGGCAACCGTCCGCTCTTCTCAGGGGTGGACCGCAGGGGGTTATCTACGCGTGATTTGCAAGCCCTAGGTCCTGACAGGACAACCCCGCCGACTCATTCTATATCAGGTAACTCGGCTTGCGAGCAGCAAAGTCGGATTGTGCAGCTTGTCAGGAGTGGTTCATTACTATATCATGTTTGCTTTTAAGCTCTTTACTCGATGATTTGTACTGGTATAGGCTCGTCGACCTGTGACGTCAGCTTTGGACCGAGAGCGTCCAGCCTGTCTAATTTTTCCCCACGCAGGACCCGTTTGACCTCTTCCCTATCCAGCGTCTCATACTCTACCAATGCCTCGGCGAGCTGCAACACCAGAATATAGAAGATCTCATTAGCAGATTAATATCGTTGAGGTTGGAGTACGAGCAAACCCACCTTGTGAAGATCGCCAATATTGTCCTGCATCAAACCCTTGACCCGTCCCCAACCTTCATCCACGAATCGTCGGATCTCAGACTCGATTTCGTCCTTCTTCGCTCCGCTCAGGTAAGGCAAGTCGTCATCACTATGGGCCACCAGGCCGACCTTAGGACTGAACCCGTAGTTCTGTATAATTCGTACATTGATCAAAGTCAGATAGAGCGTTTCCTGGACAAGCTGACGATCAGGAATCATTGCTCACCCGCACCATCCGCGTCGCCACATCGGTCGCTCTTTCCAGGTCGGACGAACATCCAGATGTCGTCTCGTCGATCCCGTAGATGAGTTCTTCGGCAGCCCGACCTCCCAGAGCTACGTCAATAGAGGCGTTCATCTGTTTCCGAGTCATGCTATCCACGTCGTCTTCAGGCAAGCTCATCGTCAAGCCCAAAGCTCGACCTCGCGGCATGATCGTACTAGTAGGCAAAAAAAAAAAAAGGTTTAGAATCGTAAGGTCGAGGCCTCGCAAGGGAACCTCGCGACCTACACTTTGTGAAGGGGCATTGCGCCGGCAGTCTTCAAACCCGTCAACGCATGTCCAGCCTCGTGATATGCCGTCATCTTCTTATTCTCCGGTGTTACATAATGACTCCTTCGCTCGGCACCCATCAGGATTCGGTCTGAAAATAGATGCATCGTCAGTATAAGTTACGATAGAGCCCATGTCCACTAGATGTACCTTTTGCCCATTCAAAGTGCTGTCCGGTCGAGTTGTTAGGCATGATCAATCAGGAGTCAACTTATAGGTGAAAGGCCAGAATACGCACATTGAGCTTGACATGCGTTGATCCTTCTCGAGAAGCGCGGATAGCAGCCTGGAATTGCCCTCAAGTTCAGTAATTGTAGAATCGCCGCAAAGTGCGGGCCACCTTTTCTCACCTGGTTGACTAGATTACTCAAATCCGCTCCAGACATGCTATAAAGATTGGATCCTATGAGTGGATGTTACATCACTAATGACGTCCAACGAGAACTTACCCTGGGCAACCACGGGCAATGATTGTCGGATCGACCTCGACATCGAATTCAACCTCGTTCATGTAATGTTTCAGCAAAGCCGTTCTTCCTCGCATGTCGGGAAGGGGTACAGTGACATGACGATCAAAACGTCCCGGTCGTGTGAGCGCGTTGTCCAGACTCTGCGGGAAGTTAGTAGCCCTGATAGAAACGGTACGTCAGCGCGGACCGGGAGAATGCATTGTAAGCGTGAGCGGCTTACCCTATCACGATGACACCTTCGGCGTCCTGGAACCCGTCCAACTCGACCAGCAGCTGGTTCAAAGTTTGCTTCATGTAATGCTGCGAATTCCAGGACGAATCTCAGCTGGCGTGCGTAGAAGACGTCGACGATGCGAGTTACCTGATCCTTGGCCGATCGCCTCGACCCGATGGCATCAATTTCGTCAATGAAGATGATGGCCGGTGCCTTCTTCCGAGCTGCAGCGAAAAGCTCTCGCACTCTCGCCGCACCCACTCCAACGTACATCTGATCGAAGGACGATCCCGAAGCGTAGAAGAACGGCTGCGAGGCGCAAAGCGAATCAGATGCGGAAATTGGGTGGGCCTGCTACCGGAGGGCGACTCACGACTTCGGCTTCTCCCGCTACAGCTCGTGCTAACCTGGTCTTACCGGTTCCGGGTGGACCGGTGAGCAGTACTCCCTTTGGCAACTTGCCTCCAAGGTTGGAAAATCTCTCTGGATTCCGCAGGAACTCGACCACCTCTTGCAGCTATGAACGATGTTTGTTAATGCAAGCGCAAGCAAATTGACTTATCATTCCTTCCATGCTTACTTCCTGTAGTATGTAAGGATTTGAGTCAGTACAACAGGTCAACAAGAGATCACCCTTCGGAAGCACTCACATCTTTCGCTTCGTCGCATCCCAGAACATCCTCGAACCGTACCACCCCACCCTTCTCAGGATCAAACTCGGTAGGCTGATTGCCCGCCTTTAGCAGTCCAGTGTTCTCCAGGATGAGCGAAGCCAAGGTTAAGAAACCTAGAATCCCACCATATCGTATTGGTCAGTCCTGGCGCGGTCCTGGAACAGCTGTTTGTCCCAATTTTGGCATGAAAGTTGAACTTACAGAAGATGTAAAGAGCGTTGACTCCAAGGGTCTTTGCCACCCGTGCGGCGGAGAACCCTCTCGACTCTTCCAAAACAACGTGGACAGGTTTGGCCTGTTGGCCCAGTTCCGCCAACGAGGTCGCTGCCATGGCCGAACCAGCTGATGGCGGTGTTGCTCTGCTTCGGAATCCAGGCAGAGACGCCAGCTTGGCTTGAAGCGGAGTCATTGTGGGAATACTTGTGGGAGCATCGGCTGTAGATTCGGAAGTCTCGGTTGATGAGGCGGCAAATGAAGGTTGGCCAGCGAGAACGGCATCCCGTTCACGGACGGCCTCCGGGATCTGCTTGCTGAGCCCAGTCCTTGCCAGAGCCAACAGGTAGATGTCGAAAGCTTCACTAGACTGCGCAAGGGCTTGAGGTGGAGTCTACCGAACATCATATCGGTCAGCGGCTCGTCCTCTAGCAAGAACCAGAGTTTCCGTAGACGTACAGCTCTCAGTGCACCCTCCCATCTAGCTATGACCCCCTGCTCGGCGCCACCGTCCAGCAGAGCCTTGAAAAGTTCAATCTGTTGCTCCGTGTCTTCAGGACTAGCATTGGCATTACTCTCCAGGGCAGCAAGTTTGCCCTGTGTAGGTGTATGTTCCGACGAGACCGAACGGGAGAAGAGGGAGAAGTTCCGGCTTCCAAATGAGGTGAAACCGATTGTTGAAGGTTGTGATCTATTGAGCGACTTGCAGCGAGCTGCAGATCGTATCGTGCTCAACGCTGCTCTCGAGGACGAGGCCTATGCAAGCACAAGCCATCGAAGTCGTAGACGTAAGTAAAGCTCGGCAGTGACGAATAAGCTCCTTGAACATTAGCTCACTCGGACCGCTCGCTGTAGCATATTCGCCGGAGAGAACGCTAATGTACTATCAGGTGCGGTGACTATAGGTCTGTGGGGGTTATAAAATGGCGAAGTGGACGATTGCTCAATCGGCGAGGTCGATGTCAGCCACCGTTTTGATTCTTGGGCGAGCAACTGGCAACTGGCAACTGGACGCTTCGGATCGATCCATCGATGAGCGATCGTCCGGAACTTTCGTAAGGGCGACGCACATTTTAGCTCAGAGGTGATCTACAGTACCAGCTGTGGATAGGAATTTTGTTGCCATTCGAATTTGAAGAGGTCATAAGCAGAAATCGTATCACGTATTACAAGGACCCCCGTCGTCGGTAGAGAAAGAGAGTCGTTAAGAGGATCACAACAACAGGGCATCCCAGTCTAACCCTTTTTGAATCTGTCACAGAGAATGGCTCGGCATCAGTATCAATAATATCGATTGTCATCGACCCCAGCCACTGGTCGTGCTTACCCAAGCTTCTGTCGCTCGTAATGTGCATCCGTACGGCTAGCACCGAGGTTGACGATCTTAGGGCATCCATCCCTATCGCGCTCCAAGGTAACACACTCCGTGCAGTAGTAGGCGTTCGAGATTCCGTGGGAACCGCAGACGATGCATCGACCGGCATAGGATCCGACTGAGATTAGCAGGAGAATATCAAAGCAAAGGCTGGTCAGCATCCGAGGTGGGGTCTAAGCAGGATGATGGTTGTCACTCACAACTGCAATCGTCACATATCCGCACCAGCGTCATGGGTCGCACGTAAGAATCGCAGATGGGACTAGAGAATATGCCAGCACACATCTTCAAATTAGGAAATCGAACCCATAGCAGATCTTGTATCCTCTACTTACCATTTTCCGTCACACTTGTCACACATTCGGCCAATCGCTAACTCCAACAAGATCACATGAAGCCCGTATCAGCTTGTGTTTGTTTCGTCGAAGATGCGTCCTGCTTCCTTGCTTACCGATTCCAGGCTGTCGCCGGCACATGATGAGATCTGCAACATGGAAGAAGATTGAGACGAAGGACGTCATTCGTTAGCAGAAAGGTACTGTATTCCGTCTTGCCTGGAGTCCTTTCGTACCGGGATGATGTTTAGACTGGGAAAGTGGTTCGAATGTAAAATGTCAGCAACCAAATGTACTCATGGTCGATGTAGCATCACTCACCATGTTGGCTTTCTTTCCTCGTTATAAGTACTGCGATGCTTGCTGCTCTTCTCCTTCACACTGTCCAGATACGGAAGATCGGTATATCAAGAGAAGATCAGCTAAAATCCTAACGCCTCAGCCCTGGAACGAACTTACATATCAGATATGGATTCGTCGAGATGCCTAAGCTGTATGGATACACCGCACAGCTGTTGATGGGTTGAGTGCAATCAGAACAAACTATGGAAGGAGTTCGTTCGATGATGGAGGATGCAAGGTGAAGTCTAGTCGATTGGGGTCTCGGACCGATACTCGAGAGGTGAAAGACGCGCGGATCCAGATGTGCTTAGTCAGCCGGTGCTCTCCCTAGAATACTTCAGCAGCACGGCGACGACGCTCAATGTGGCTAGACCCCTCGTAGTACCGTAGTAGCCAACAACCGCGATCTGACTCTATCTAACCGGAAAAGGGATACCAAAACGACAAAAAGCCAAGCTCCCACCGAGGCTCGAACTCGGGACCTGACGATCGCCAACAAAAGACATAAAAGTCGCCTGCTCTACCAACGGAGCTCTAGGAGCCACAAGGGATTTTTTGACAAAAATCTGAAAGATTGAACAGAATCCAATGCATTGGACAACGTCAGGATCAAGCAGGCATTCTAGTCGAGTGGAGCGATTCCAATCTTCAGCAATTCTTTTTTGGCTTCACCGATGGCTCTAGACATTTTCGGAATTGTACAACGGACAGAGGCAAAAATCCCGTAGACAAGTTGGGACACAATCAAGTCATGCGTAGTATTTGATGAGGACGGGACATTTCGTGTTGGTCTGGTGAGCAAGTCTTATCGTCGGGACGCGCTATACTGAGATAAATGCGACAGTGAGAGACAGATATGAGTCGACCCCGCGGATTTGACAGTCGCTTTTGATGAATAAGTCACTCACTCAGACTCTACGGAACAAGCATCGATGGACGCCAGCGATACTGAGGTCGTCGAGACGACAATCTTTGTGGCTCACGCCTCCGGCCGAATACAGCAAATCCATTAGTTCTGGGCTGTATTGAAGGATCTGATGTTTGATGGCGGGATGTTCGAGGATACCTTCGGCCGGGGATAGAGACCACAGATTGTCGGCGTCATTCTCGTGTAGGCCCCAGGGTTAGAAATCAACATACCGTTCCGCATCCTGTGGGCATGAATAGAGTATGCGTCTCCAGTCCTCCCATCCACATCTCCTCTATCCAATGGCTCATCGCAAGTTGGGCAAATGAAGCATTGAGCGCGTACCAAGCCAAAGCATATTTTGGCCCGACTAAGCGCTGGATCTATTGGTTTGGCAATTCGAAAAGAGCGAATGACTGCGAAACCATGCCCTCAGTCAGCCCCTCCGGAATATGGAATACACGAGTCGCTGGCGACGTTTCACCCGATAGAAGAGAGATCATCACTGTGCCATGAAAATCGGACATGAAACGGTGAAAGAAAGCATCGTAACGCTGCAATTTCAAAGCGAGTCCTGCACTCGCGCCAGGGCTGCTAGCCATCAGGAACAGCGAATGACCGTGAAGTCGAAGCGTTACTCACGTCGAAGTTTCTCGAGTACGATTTCGAACTTGATCAGACAGGCACTCGTGTCCTGATACACCAAGGGGAGGTGACCAAGAAGTGAACACCATTGTATCTGCTGCTCGAGTTCGATCGGAAAGGTGGGTTCTGAGTTTCCGTTTCCTACGCCTTGATGGTTCCGGAGGTCCACCAGCATTTTTTGAATCTGTTGGCATACATTTCATCAACCATCTTAAGCGCAGGAGTAGGCATCTCGGGAAGACGTCTTACCTTTGAGATCCCTACGGTCACCATTCCAATAGCCCACGTCTCTTCCACATGATCTCCGCAGACAGGTTCCAAAACTCCTACGAGGAGTCGACCGAATTCTCTCAAGGTGTGCGTGTTGTTTGTCAAAAACTGTTCGATCTTTGCTGTGGATCTTCTAACGGTAGCCGGCATCGACGTCGAGATGTACAAGGCTAGAAATCCTTCGTTTATCAGTCTCTGTCAGAATTCCGGCAATTATCACATCGTACTCCGGCTGCCCTGCTTGATCCGGTGTGATTGGTGCGGAGACCAATATGATCTTTCAGTCCAGACACCTTGATGCAGGCGTTGCCAAACATGAGTGGAGTCATGTTCGATTTCAGTCTGGAGCAGCTGGCCAGTTGACGGCTGACTGCGGTCGCGGTGATCCCATTTCCTTCGGCTCATCGTACGCGTCCACTGAAAAGCCTGCTTGTATGCGATCAGCCGGTGTAGATTTTGAAGTTCGGAAGGCCATCTACGTGTTCATTCACCTGTGAGCATGCTTCGAAGGCTTCCCCATTCCCACCGCTATCGCGATCAGATAGCAGCTCTTGGACATCGTGGTTCGTAATGGGTTTCGTGTCGTCCCATCGCCAGAACGCTGCTTGTGAGCATCTGCCGAAATGTGACATTTCAGCGGCAAGCATCTCAGAATAGACAACACCGACTTACAGCTCTGCTTTGTATTCCACTCGGGCTAGAGTCGAAAACAGATTCGTCACGATCACGGCCTTCCTCGTCTCAGAATACGATGGTTCCGTGATATCTTTAGAGATTTCCAGCCTGGGCTGACCGTATAGCCGCGTGTTGACTCGACAGACTTCCTCCAAGAACAACAAGTGAGACTCGGGCAGGTCTTTCGGCATGTCGTCTCCGAAGACGACGAATACGTTGCTACCGTTCGGTTTCCGTTCATCGCTGAGTTTTTCTACCGGAGCTGCGAGGCAGGCGGACGATCCTCTGCAATCGGGCGGGTTTGGAAGTGAGAGAGCGGAGCTGGTTCGTCGTCGGCGTATTCTCGAGACGTCTTTGATATCCCGTGGTAGCTCCGTTTCATCTTGTTTTCTCTTGTGTCCGGTCGTTGACGGCTTTCTGTCCGCTTCCGTTTCCTCGGTCAGGACCGCTGAATATTCCTTCCTACTGTGGCCAGGAGTATAAGCGGTGAGGAAAGGTCCTTTACTCATCGGCTGGTGGATGTCGAGTGCCGGAGACTTCTTGCTGAAATCTGCTCGGCGGAGACGCTCATCGTCTTCTCGAAAGGGGTGGGAAGATCTCGGCCTACATGCCGAAGGATACTGCCGTGAGTTGAGGCGCTATTTTTTATCTGCGGATACATCAGCACTTACCGCAACTGATTGCGAGCTTGCCATGCCAGAAAATTTCTCTCAGCGATCGATTCTCGATTATGCTCCTCGACGATACTCTCGAACATCTCTTGAGATGTAGGATGTGATAGAGACATCTTTCCGGTTCCAGGCGGGGGCTCCCCTAGCGGTATATGCGTATGATCGCAAGCGGAGTCGACCCGGATGATCGGGAGCGAAGCGGTTCGTATTGTTCGAATGGGGTCCAGGCGATCAGGCGAGTCTTCGTCCGAAGAAATCCCACATTTCATTTTCGAACGGAAAGTATAGAGACCTAGAGAAGAGAAGACTACAGAAGAGAAGAATAGATGTAGTCTTCTCGAAAGGACCCTCGGCTTGATAACTCGGAGATCAGAGATGTAAGCGGGACGCAGTGTCAAGAGAAAGCGCAGGGCGCCGGCTCCGAATTCAAGATTCCTTCTTTCCATTCCATGATGACCCTCAGCGATCAGGGATCGGCTCTGTCGACTTCACAGGCTCGTCATCGGTGATGTCATGAGAGCATAGAATTGACTCAACTTGAAACGCGAATCCCTGGCGTCATTCCGTCATCTCTCGATTTGGTTCCGGTTGCGAAGTGATGGTGTTCTGGGTTTTCGAGAAATCGAGAAATGGTTGTTGATCGTTGATCGAAATGATCCAATCATTTTTTTCGAAACCAAAGCACGTAAGGAATTGAGGTGACCACATCCTCAAACGGGAAGTATGGATCAAGAGCCTCTGTTGCGCTGTCACCTTCGTCTTCGTCAAATAATATGATACGGTACGTCGCCGACCCCTCAGAGCTAGCTTCCCGGCATAGAGACCCTTTTCAGTAAAGTACGCCATACTGTATTCCTGATCAGACATCATAAGGATCTATCGCTTATGGGTTGTTTTCCGTCTATCTTATAGAAGAGACGGAAATCGGGAATCACGGTGCTTCACGTTGTCGACAGCTCAGCAGATCATGTACAAGAACGCGAAAGTTCTTTTCGTCGCCATACAAGGCAGCGGCTTCGCAACAGGATAACCTCGAAAGTTTTATCAAAGTCTCTAATAGGAAATGACAAGTACCTGAACAGTCTCCGCAACAAACGGTGGACATGAATGTCCCTTTCGACTGCTCATGCAGGCGCGTCCTCGCCCGACCTATGCTTTCTCCTGAGGAAGTCGGTTCCACTGCGTCGACGAATGCGAAACAAGGTGAGAACTGGTTTGAGAGGTAGGATGGACATCACGGGCTGATCCAAGTCAAGGCGATGGATCGCCTTTCGATATCCAGGTTGACCACCCATCAACAATATCGCCTGGAAATAGTTGGCCAACGTACCACCTCCGTTCGTCTGCTCCACGAGCAATCATGAGCCTGGCACATAAGCCTCACAGGAGAATTCGAGCAGGCTCAATAGGCAAATGCATTCTTCCCTCCCGCCGTGGACCTTCGACTGTCGTCAACCCAATGCACGCCGATCTGTTACAAGAGTTTCCATCAGACATGCTCCTTTCGTTCGGAGGACCTGGATAAGTACCCCGATCATGAACTCTGGGTCGTGAGGTCCGTCTTCAGGTTTCGATGTTCTCAACAAGATCGGGCCAGTAGGTTGACGGGGACAAGATACATCATGGTCACGAGAAGCCTAGGCGTAGTTCGGAGATCAACAAGCAACGGAAAGGAGACGGTTCCCCTTAGGCCAAGCCTTTATACTTGCTTCGGTACGTGCTCAGCATATCGAACCGCAATCCCAGATGTATCTCATTTCCGTGCCCAATCCTAGGCTGATACCCTTGTTGCAGGCCAATCGCCACTCTCATAAATCCCGAAAGTTGAAGCGCTTATACTGCATCATCCCGCAAGGCCCTCGACCAGTCTTTCGAATGTTTGGTTCGAAATGCACCTGAGCGGCGGACGGATCGATCTCACCTGGGAAAAACTTCGAAATAAGCCAGACGACGAAGTGCGTTCTGTGGTCAACCTGCGCTTGGTACCCAAATGTCCCGGCGGAGCTAGAAATCCGTCATCAGGAGGACCGACGATGACATAATCGATAATCGGCCAAACGTTTCGGGTTGTCTTATCGCAGGCGTCCAAGCGAGATCCAAATTCGACTCCTTGGAAGCCGGCCATCGATAAGCGCGCGCATCCGTGGAACCTCGGTATCATTCCGCAGCCGAGAGCGATCTTCGCGGGCGACAACGATGTGCGACAAAGCTGCTCAGGCATCGACCACTCATCTAGGCAGCGAGTGAGACATCTCTCGACGTCCCCCGATGACGGCGAAAGAGCATCATTGCCAGCAGTGCGAATTGGTACCCCTCGAGACTTGCAAACGAGTCCGCAGGGAGGCGCGGAGATCCCTCCGAAATGCCGCAGGCATACGCGTCGCCCGTGCCCTTCCCCATGCTAAAAAAGGCTCGGTCTAAAACGGTGGCCGGATGAAGGTCGATCTGACGCATACAAAACGCAGCGAGAAGGTTTTGACACGGACAGCCTCGTACCAATGTCCCGCCGAGTAGTCCGCTTTCGCGGGGGGGGGGGGGGGGGGGGGGCTCTCGCTTCGGATCTGATATGGCGGGCGCAACGATGATCGACAAGCTGGTCATAACCTGACTCAATTTAAATCTCGGTGAATTCCCGTTTAAATTCACTTAAATCGCGCGTTATCAGTCCTACTATAGTGACGTGTCAATTGTACGGTGAAATCGTTAATTATTGCAGTGTTGATGAAGTCGACCTCCACAAGTCGATCGATGTATCGATGTACGATATCGACACGATAGCTGTAATACTACCTTTTACACATCAGACAGCTTCACAATGACTAGTAGAACCCCCCTGAACACCACTAGGACCTTTAACAACGCACCGTTGGTGACAAATCACCATCAACCACGCACCTTCGTTCCGCTCGCTCCGGACCTCCCTTTCGCACCGAACTACGAGCCTGTACCCTCCTATATTTCACCAGAGACCTCAGTATACACCTCCTACCACTCGTACAGTCATGGGAACGACTCATCTGGAGCTGGACCTAGTAATAGCCGCCCCGAAGATGAGTACGAGGCCGACCTTGCCTCTATAGTGCAATTGGCGAACCTTTCAGCCGGCAATTTGGGATACGACAACTCGGTCGAAGGCCAGCCTATAGCTCCCAATTCGCAAGATATAGCCAACAAGACCACTTCTAAAGCACCTACCAAGAGGGCATCCACTCGGAAGGAGATTACGGCTGCTAAATCAGCCCGTAAAGGTCCCCAACAACGACGTATTCGACATAACGAGGGTGTAGACCCCTCAACGGCGGCTCAGGCCTCTCAGGCCATTATAGATGGTCATCTAAGGGCCCCCCGTACCCAGCGAACATACGCAGGGTACATGAGGAGGTGTCGGGAGTGGCTAGACGAATGGAACGCGAATCGAGCAGAATCCGAACCGGATCTTACCGGAGCGCTCGATGAACTTAGCGATCGATCTGCGACCTGTGTACAACTCTACATCGCTCATGGAGTGTCAGGGAAGAATGGTACGAAGCCTCTGAGCAAAGATACGTGTGATGGTATCAAGGCTGCCCTCAAAGCACACTTCCGAACGACGTTCGGAAATCGTTGTTACGTGAGTGAAACCTCATCTATCTTCACCCGGTCGTGGCCATCGACCTGATATACTATCGTATGTCTTCATAGGGAGAAACCTGGCAACAGAGGCCAGATGGTCAGTGGGAAGGGAACCCTATCTTCGATGGTCTCGTACAGGACCTCATGAAGTCGATCAAGAACCGGGATGGTCGAAGCATGGCTAGTGATCAGGTCGGTCGCATGGTTACTGAAAGAGGTGTCCTTTTCACCTTGCGTGTGCTTATACATTTCTGGCTGTCGATCATTCCTTATAGTCTCTCCCTCTCCACCTTCCCGATCTGCTCCACCTCGTCAAGTGGGTGAACTCGCAGTTGGACATAGAAACGGATCCGAAGACTCGGACCGAATGGCTGTTCGCACTTGCGTACATGACGACAACGTGGTTCCTGTTCTGTCGAATGGATGAGATCCTCAGTCTCCAGGTCAAGGCTATCGAGGAGAATGGATACAGCCCTGCCTATCCAGGCGAGAGGATTACTATGATTCATCTGATGTGGCGAAAGACGAATCAGCACGATCCGCGCAAGGGTGAGTGAAAATGCTCCCTCTTTCACCGGGAGTCCTCCGATTGCGAAACTTATGACTATCTTTGCTTCTCTTGTTATTTGTTTGTTCTGTAAATACATCAACAGGGCAAACGTATCAGGTGCACCCTCCTCACAATCCCGACGAGCTCCCTGCGTACTGCTGGACTCACCTTCAGAACTGGGCAAATCACCTTCGAAAAATCACCCACCTCGACTTAGCGCCCGAATACTACTTGTTCCCTGTTATTACACCTCGAGGGAATGTAGATTTCACCAAGAGGATGCCAGCGAGCTCGTGGCAGGTCATTTGGGACCGTATATTAGATCAATCCGGCCTCGCGGCGGCGTATCCGAACGGTAACTTCACTGGGCACTGTTTCAGACGAGGAGCAGCACAGTGGCGTTTCAGCTTCGATCCTGCGGGTCGGTGGTCGTTTACAAGCCTTACCTGGTGGGGTGGTTGGGTCGAGGGCGAGTCTGTAAGTCTTAGCGAACGTAAACAGTAAGGACAAGTCCACAGTGAATATCCTGACATTTTCATTCGCCACCTCCTTCATCTGTGTACGCTCGATCGACTTCATCGACCAGGTCGGTACGATGGCACGGTACCTTCTAGAGAACCTTCTCAAGGTCGAGAGGACCTACGGGGACATGCACCACCCTCAAAAGAACCCAAACAAAACTGTCAATCAAGCAGCACCGGGTGATTTGTACCCAGCGAAATCGGGAGACATTCTGGCCGTCCGACAAGAGCAGAAGTCGATGCATAGGGACCTCGTACGTGAGATCGATAGCCTGAAGGAGTTGTGCAGAGATCGTATCGTTACACAGACGCAGGGACCCAATTCGATGGTGAGTTCAGATCCCGAGTGAAATCCCTATCGCCTTTCACCTGGCTGATCATCAGAACACATATCAGACGGAAGACGACAAAAACGATATTACGAAACAGATTCTAAAGGGTTTCAATGACATGCTGGAGGCTCGTGGTCTCGCACAACCGTTTGAGACCAATCCTGTGGCATCAACATCGACATCGACATCGATGATACCGGCCGCATCAAACGGGAGTTCTTCAGTGAATTCTTCGGTCTTTTCGTCATTCACTGGACGACTCGAGACGTCCGAAAGGAGGGTCGACGCCATGCTACAGTGTGCACCGTATACGAGGGTAGTCACTGCAAACACCACAACCTTCACTGGACCTGTGTTGAGGCTACGACGCAGCGGGGAGATCATCGAAAGAGACAAACCCGAAATCCCCGCACCTGCGGATGTCAAGGAGGCTGTAATGCAGTGGTTCTTAGGAGGATTCCATCCCCATCACCCGTACGCACTGCAGGATTGGCCAAACGAATGGTGTACGAAAGGGAAGACCAAGGACGAGCTCGCTACGCAGAACGTTTACGTCCAGCGATCCCGTTTGGGGTCAGCATACTCTTCGCTCAATGAAGGAGCAATGGATTTCACCGAAGCTGGTTGGCAACGATTCCAGGCTCGTTATCCTCAGAAGACGGTCACTGCGGTTCTTAAAGCGGTCAGAGACGAACTCAAGGCGTCGGGGCAGATCACTGCTCGTATTAGTCGCAAGCGAAGCGATCACAGCGAACAGAACTGAACTTGAACTCCGTTTTGTCGATTTTTCACCTTTTTTCGAATGTTATAGCCTGTTGTTCGTGTTTACTAGTTTATACCCCGAAATCCTGTTCTGTTTCACCCTGTACAGCTATTTACTGTGTGTCTAAAGCTACGTGTTTGATCTAGAGTGAATTCTAGTAGGAACGACTCGTTTTTTAGCTCGAGAAGCGAAATCGTCAAAAAACACAAAAACGGTCGATGAACAATAAGCGAATTTCACCAGATGATCGTCGTTTTTCAAGAACGTCTAGTCGACCGATTTCACCCAAGAACCTTCATCTACATCAACTACGTCGATATCGTTCTAAGTCTTATTATCAATACTAGACACTTCAAAACACCTCGTACTGTTGCTCTAGACCTCCCTTACCCCTTACACGTTTCACCTCGTTCTTTTACTCCCGTTTGAAGCCATGTCCGACGCCCAAAGTTCTCAAAACGCCGTACGTCGAAACGTGACCTTCTTTCACCCAAATAAACGACTTACAAGCCTATAAACTGCTCATAGACCGCCTCATCCTCCTCTAAGCCCAAGCCTAAGCAGTGGGGAGGTAAAGAGGCTGCTGCTGCTCGGCAAAGCAAGAGGTTGGCCGCTCGAGAAGAGGCTCGCGAGGCTCGCGAGAAGGCTGATCGCGAGAACGCGGAGGCTGAGCGCTGGGAGGAGCAGGGAAAGAAGAAGAGAGCTCGGGAGGACACAGACTCGGGCTCTGACGACTCGGTGGACGAGTATGTCGAGGAGGAAGGGAAGTCGAAGTCGAAGAAGACGAAGACGAGGTCGGAGAAGAAGAGGAAGACGTGAGTGAAAGAGGAGACAATTTCACCGAGAACATTGACTTATATATCTCTTATATATCTCTATCTCTATGTCTCACAGCTCCTCCCCTCCCCCGGACGATGACGAGGATGAGTTGGAAGACCCGGAGGAAGCTGCTGCTGCTGCCGAAGACCCCAGCTTCGAGTACGACCGTGATCGAGCTGAGTCGGCAGAGGTGATGAAGTATTTCTGGCGATATCGAAAAGCCAAGGTATACTGGAAGCCTCAGGTGGTCTTTGACTACTGGAGGCAGCAGCAGAAGCCGGTAAAGTCCGGGAAGAAGAACGAGGAGACGGGTGAGGTCGAACGGAAGGCGTCGGCGCACATGGAGGTGAGTATTCAAGTTCGCAAGTGAAATCCGAGACATTTTCACCGAAGAATACTGATCGACTTTCGCTTATGTTTCTTCTTTCGTCTTCTAGTCTGCGATGAAGATCTTCTTCAGTACTACTGGGAAGGTCTTTGAGGGTCGTCATCGTTGCAAGGGATGCCTACAGCTGCCTCTGCGAAGCAAGAGGAAGATATCGGATGATGTTCCCGGTATCATCCTGAAATGCAAGCAGATTTCACCGACCGGTCGATGCGCTCAATGTGCTCTCGTCGGTGAGAAGTGTTCGCTTGAGGTCCAAAACGGAGACCTCGTTAGGGTCAGGGCCTCCTTAGCAGAGGACGTGCCGACGGGACTTGCGGAGCAGCTAAAAGACCTGCTTCAAAAGATCCAGAAGCACGTCAAGAACGACCAGGTTCGGATCACGGGAACGACGATCAACGGTGTTGTCGAGATGGCTGGGGAGCTCGAGATCCACCTAGAGGAGCTAGAGGAGGCCCTACAAGGTCTTCCGGTGAAGTACGCCGATACCGACTTCATCACGGTATTCGAGAACGGAGAAGAGGTCGATTTCGATCGATAAACTTATAATTCACTGCTTAGGCTTGTTGTATCTGTACTAGAGGGCTCTTGAATGAAATATGATCTTATTACACCGACAGAATCAACATACTATGAGCTCAGAACGATCTTACTATCTGTCGAGAAGTTACATCATTTCGAACCCAATTTTCACTGAAAACGCACATAATTGCACCCAACACGTATGAACAACTATCGCACTTGAATAGGTTCTTGACAACTGTTTCAAACGCTTTCAACTCTGAGTATGTCATTCATCTAGGTCTAGAGATGGTGTATGCAAGATTCGAGACAGCTAGAAGCAATCTGGCTAGGGTGAAACATCAAAATCGTTTCAAATTCGAAGCAATAATCGTGTTCGAGTAAGGGCGTTCTGCGCTTAGAATTACAGGTAATTCATGACTAATTTCACCAGGGGCGGCGCCCTACGGGCGCGGGAGCTATATAAGCGAGTTAAATCAGCCTAAATTAGATTTAAATCGAGTCGACAACAAGTGCGAGCCAAGTCGCGTTCTACGCTGAAGAAACCCTTGTTTTCACTTGGCTTAAATCGGATTTTTCGCCCGCAACCGTCTCGAAGCGCTAGACGCAGCGACTCGATTTAAATCGACTTAAATCATTGGGCATAAGCATTGCCAAACGACGACGTCAGGTGCACGAATGCATCTAGTCGGGACATCGCAGCTATTCCACAAGCGTTTTTGAAGCACCTCTAAACCCCCGAACTAGCCCGGGCGTTGTTCGAGGTTGTTGATTGCTTGGGAGTTCTGACACGTTCGATTGTCTTCCTTTCGTCGTCTGCCCCGTTGATCCGCTCCCGCACGCGACCCAGTCTTGGGCCGATCGGCCCTGTGCGTTTGTGCCTCATGCCAAGACCAACTTTTGCTTATGGCCAAGGATAGAACACTTGTACACTTTGCTGCTGGCCTCGCACCTTTCATGCCTTTCACCACGTCGACCTGGTCCTCGTATATAGAGGCAAGGGGTAGAGGGGGGTGGGGCGAGTCTCGATCACTCGGGATGTCCTCGCCCCCGCAGACTTCGAACGCGCATTCTTCCCATTTCAAAGCAATCTTCAAGCTCGTTCAAGTCAGCTCGACTCCAGCATTCCACATCTACGACGTATCGACAAGCCAGCCGGGGACATTTGACCCGTATCTCCGCTCTGAATCATGTCCCTGAAGATGCACAAAGGCGGTTCCATGAGTTTTGCACAGATCCTGGACGAGGAGTTGGTAAGTCCGGGAACCGTGTCCCGACAGAAAAGTATGTGTCCTCGTATGCTGATCCAAATATATATCGTTCAGCCGGCCCCGCCTCCTTCGTTTGCCGAGATCATGAAGTCGTTCTCCAAGGACGGCAACGGTGACGCAAAGACCCTGTTAGCCATCCTCAGCGCAAAGCAAGCTGAAGAAGATGTAAGCCTCGCATCCATCCTGAACCGTTTCTGTAGCCTAGTCTGACCGACTGCTACCGTCCACAGCGACTGGCAAAGACCTTGGAGATCCGGATTCACCTGCTACAAATGCACGCCCAACGTCTCGGCATGGTTCCCACGCCGCCTTCTCCTCGAGCGCAGGGGTATCTCACCCCTCCTCACATTCCGTCTCACAAACTATACCCCGCTCCCCAATCCCCACCATACGCCATGCCCACCGCCCGTGAGGCCGCCAACATGAGGAGACACGACAGCACTTCGTCTTCCGGATCCGGGTCGAGGGTAGAGCTGTCCGCTTCCATGTCGCCGGTCTCTTTGACCCTTCCCCCGATCACCCGACACTCTGAGCAAGACCTCGCTCAACTCCGACTCGCTCCCATCTCGCCCAAGTCTTTCCCTACCCATTTCAAATCTAGCCCGACATTCACTCCCCTGAGTCTGAAACGTCGACTGTCCGAGGACGATGACGACAGGTCGGAACGAAGCAAGCGGGTCCGATCTACTACCTTGTCCGACGTGGAAGCTGCTACGGGGTACGGGTCGAGGAAATCTTCTTCCCCATCGTCAGTCGTCAGCGGGAGGAGTAGGAGTTCGTCCGGCGGTCGGATGACCAATGGATTGGAGATGTTGCTCAATGCGGCCGAGATGGAGAAGAAGTAAATGAGGCTGGATACCATGTTATGCGGTTCTCTCTTTTTGGGATTTTGGGTTCTCAACCTTAACGACCTATTTAACGATCAACCATACACGGCTTTGAAGTAGTTTAACAGTTGTACTCGCTCCACCGGGCCATGAGAGCTCTGTGGGGTGCTCATCGAACATACCCATATCGTTGTACACCATCCTATGCAAACGTCACCGCCTGTCTTCCTCTCTCGAGCTCTCTCTTCTTCCGCTTGCTGTGCATCGGCTCGGTTCGTACCGGCAGAATTCGGGTTGTTGCGGTTGATATCTCTAGGTCGTATGCTATACGCTCTCACTCTGTCCAAAGTGGTTCGGATCCCACGAAGCCTAGGGCCCCGACAGTTTAACAGGCTTCGGCGTAGTGCTGTTCCGGCGATCGACGCTCCTCGTGGTTCCCGCCGACAAAATCAACAGAGGGTCTGAGGACGCGGAGCAGATGAAAAGGAAGGAGATCGTTCAGGTCGAAGCATGTGGGAATGATCATCTAGGTTCTGTGAGCTTCCATCAGCCAGAGCTAGAACCTCTGCCACGGACCGCAAATTCTCACGTAGCACGTAGGCGATGGCAGGCTGAACTCTTTTCCCGATGGGGAAAAGAAAGACGGTCGAAAGACAGGTCGACCCCTTGCCCCTTGATCATAATCTTGCGTTTCATCTGATCGGATCGATCATCAGGCCACGGGCGACAATAGGGGAAAGGACCCCGAAGTGGGGCTGGATGAGCGAGAGGGAGGTGGATCCATCATCTGATTATCTGATCATCAGCCATCAAGTGCGCAATTGCAGGCAGGAAACAGCGAGGTCGACAACATCGCAACATCGGACATCCTCTCGAGTTTCGCCGACGACGAACCTCCTGATCTCCTGATCGATCAACAAGAATTGAAATCATCAACGAACTCGTTGATCCCTCCGAGTGACGCGAGTGGCAACTGGAAAGGTCGTCAACCTACATAGATAAGAGTCACAGCGATCACTCGCCCCGGGCCACCATGGCTCAATCAGGCCGTCGCCATTCAATGGCCCCCGTAACCACCTCACCCAGTCGGATCCCTACATCACCCAGCTCGTCATCGTCCGGTATTCCCACCAGGCTCTCACATAGAACGAGCGTCAGCATGTTGTCGAACAGAAACACACAGTCCCCAGTGATGCCCTTGGGGAGTACGGACAATGCAAGACCAGGTTCTTCCGTGGACACGGTCAAGCGACCCGCCTCGACGCCTTTACGGAGAGCTCCTTCTCGGGAAATGCTGAAGAAACCAGATGGCGAATCGGCAAACGTCCAAGTCGGTGAGTGCAACGTCCTCCTTCTGAACTCCTTGCTGTATCTGATCGTCCGCTGCCATCTCTCGTCAGTCCTGCGGATCAGACCGTCCCAGCAACCAGATCAGAACATTCCCGCTAGATTCACCCGGACCGTCCTCCAGCCATCACCTACCAACCCAACTAACGAGGTCCTCATCAACCTCTCCAACGAGCCGAACAAGCCGGCTCAACCGTCTGCACCTGCTGCGGGAAACAAGGGCAAGCAGACGAGCTTTCGGTATGATCGGGTCTTGGGAGAGGATAGCTTGCAGAGCGAGGTATTCGAGAGTGCGGGAAAGACGGCGGTGGACAAGTTCATCTCGGGATTGAACGTTACCGTACTCGCGTGAGTTGTCGTAGGGGTTTCCAGCGTCTCCTCACATCGTCACCGATCTGAAGTGTGCGGCCTCGTCGTCTCGCAGTTACGGACAGACCTCTTCTGGTGAGACCAAGGAGCCCGCGACATTGGTGCACCGCGAAACTTGAGCTGACAATACCTCGCCTCACCCTCTAGGCAAATCATATACCATGGGAACAACCGGGATCGACGACGATTATCACCCCTCAGGGGATATCGAACCCGACTCGAACGATCGCACCGGGATGATCCCCAGAGCTATGAGCGAGATCTTCAAGCGAGCCGAGGCCAAGCGCCGAGAGTCTGGCTCGGGTGCCAGCTGGGATTGCCGGTTGAGCTTTCTAGAGCTCTACAACGAGGTGCGTATACGATGCAACACAAATTCAGGTCGAGTCTTCCCACTGACCCGGAATGGAATCACATTCTCGATTGCTCAGGAACTGATCGACCTGCTATCGAACTTGCCTCAAGCGCAATCCCCGCCGATCATCATCCGAGAGGACAAAGGTCGAATCCTCTGGTCCGGACTTCACGAAATCTCAGTGAAAACGACCAGCGATGTCTTGAGATACTTGCGAGAGGGGTCTGCAAAACGAAGGACAGGAGAGACTGGGATGAACAAGGAATCCAGTCGTTCGCACGCCATCTTCAGTCTAACTCTAGTACAGACGAGAAGGACTGGAGATGGTAATGGCACTCCAGGAGGGAAAGGCCGACCAATGTCGACACCCAACGGACCCCCTAGCTCCATGCGCTCGCCTACACCTTCAGGGATCCGTACGCCCAATCGTACTTCGATGTTCGCAGGAAGAGGGATGAACGGATCCGGGCGGATCACTCCGAGTACATCGCTTCATGATGACGAAGCGTCTTGGGTCGAGACGAGCAGCAAGTTCCACTTTGTCGATCTCGCCGGGAGTGAACGGCTGAAGCGTACAGGGGCCGGGGGCGATCGAATGAAGGAAGGAATTTCTATCAATGCCGGGCTGTTGGCACTCGGAAACGTCATCTCCGCCCTTGCCGACCCGAACAAGAACAAGAGCTTGCACATCCCTTACCGGGACTCGAAGTTGACCAGGCTGTTGCAAGACTCTCTTGGAGGGAACGCGTTCACGGTGATGATCGCTTGTGTTTCCGCCATCGAGTACAACCTCAACGAGACGCTCAGCACTCTCAAGTACGGCGCACGCGCTCGGCTGATTAAGAATCGGGCCGAAGTCAACGAGCTGGAGGTTGGGTGGGACGACGTGGAGCACCTCCAAGGGACCGTGGTCAAGCTTAGGGCAGAGGTCTTGCGGTTGAAGGCTATGGCCGGGTCGGGCGAAAGGAGTGGGACGCCAACGACGGTCTCAGAAGAAGTCGAGGCTGAGCTGAGGGAGTGCCGTGCCAGGCTGCAAGAACTAGAGACGGAGCATGATGATGTGAGTATGAGCCGTTGTACCGAATTCTACCTACACTGGTTGAATACCATTCGCAACAGCTCAAGGACGATCTTCAAGCGAAGTCTCTCCAGGTCGCCAGGCTGGTTACCGATCTCGAGACGACCAAGCGATCCGGCAGCTTCAACCCGGACGATGTGAACGCCTTTTCCCAACTGGTGGAGCCGATCGTCGAGGAGTATGAGCGTCTAATACAAGCCTTGGAGGGTAAGCTCCAGGCGGCCCTGGCGTCATTGGTGAGCCCAGACTGTCGCTTCATCGCTCGGAAGGCGATTGTACTGAGGGCTGCCTGGTCAACAGGAGCTGAGCGAGGAACGGGCTGCCGAGGCGGAAGAGATCGCCGCTCAGCGTGAACACCGCATGTCGCGACAGGACACGTATGTTGCAGATCTTGTTGGTAGACTCAACCGCCTTAAGGACAAGGAAAAGACATTCGATGTGGGTTGTTCGCTCTGTCCACTTCTTACCCTAGCTGATACATTCGGTGGGTACAGGATTATATTAATGATCTCGAAGAAAAGCTCCGATCTTTCGAGGACCTGGATGTTGCTCATCAGCGGACTCTGTCAGAACTCCGCGCTGAATTGTCGATGGAGCGATCGCAATCCAAGAACGCGGCAGAGTACATCGCTACGATGGAGTCTGCGATGTCGCAATCTGAATCGGACATCAAAGACTTCAATCGCAAGCTGGAACGACTAGAGGCGGAACTCAAGCGAAAAGAAGACAGTCACCTCGAGTTACAAGAGCGCATCAAACTCGTCGATACCACCGAAGATAATCAACTACTTCTGAAAGAATTGGAAGAGAAGAATGTCAAACTAGCCAACCTTGAGCGGGATCTCGAAGATAGTCTCTTCTCTAAGCAGACTCTTGGGGAAGAACGGGACCTTCTGCGTCGGCAGACGGATGAGCAGACGCGTCAGTTGGCTGTCCTGCAATCCCGCGTCGACCAGGTACCCAAGGCCGTTGCGGATGGTTCCAGTATCATCGCATCAAAAGCGCAACGGCCGCTGTCAGTCAGCCAAGTCAATGACACTTCGGAGGAGGATTCGCCCGGGAATGTGCCCGGATCACCGACAACGCCTGTTGCCGCACAGCACAGCTTAGATAGCAACCAGGCGGGGTACACTGTCCTGAATCCAGAGGTCGTCGAATTGCAAGAAAAGCACGCCCAGACCTTGGCAAAACTGTCGGCGATCAGCGATCGATACAAGGAGGCCTTGGAGAAGATTACCGAGCTTACCAGCCAGGTGGTCGAGGCAGAAGAGGCCAACAGGGATTCTTCAGACAGCGGGAAAGATGTTTCACCGTCTTCGATGCCCATCTCTCGGACCGCTAGTGCGAGCAGCATCGCTTCTGCCGTTTCCGCCTCGCCCGAGCGTGCCCGACGGACAAGATCGGTGGGTAACGAGCTGGTCGTCAAACCTGACAAGACGGATTTTCAACGCGGGAGGGGCGATCGTATGGGGGACGCAAGGTAAGCGATAGTAGGACGGCACCTGAGGTGAAACTTCGCTCAATTCAACTCCCACCGCTACAGGCCAGTGTCATTGTCGCAGGAGCTATCATTGCCGCGATTGTCGCGATCCTCCTTCGGCAGTGGTACCAGCCTTTTGTCGCCTCTTGGCAATAGTCGCCAGAACCTGCCGTCTCGCTCGACCGTCTCTCTCGAAGCAGAAATTAAACAGCTGCAAGAGGTTTTACGACGTCGAGACGACGAGATCAGGGTTCTGGAAAATGCCATGCGATCAATGTCCGGCACCTCTCCTCGCTTTGAAAACGCCGGCCAATTCAACATGTATCATAATCCTCCTGGAAGACCAGAACTTGTGCACGGGTTGTCGTCGCCGAGTTCAACAGCATTCCAAAACAGTCTACCTCTCACACCTAATGACCAGCATCACGTCGATCCACTATTAACGCCTACAACAACACGCCACTTTACGATACTGAAAGAACAAAAAAATGGGGACTCTACCCACGACGAAGCTGGTGAAATCGACCGTATCGATCGACTCGATACCCTTATGCGGCAAGTCTCAATATGCGACCGGAGCTGATCTGACTGTCGCCTAATGACAACACTTCTGCCCTTGCTCAGATCCATGGCGAGAAAGGAGGTTGAGCACAAGCAAGAGGTGGAAGATCTAAACCGCCGATTGAAAGCGACTCTGCAAGAGATGGCGGCTGTCAAGGATAGCCGAGAGGTATGTTCGAGGCGAAACCATCACCTTGACGCACCTTGCTCAGATCCTGACTGTGTGAAACATACATCCAGCAGCACGTTCCTACACCGTCTGATCATGTTCGGCCCGATCAAGCGAAACCGGGTCCGGCGTCCGATCTGAATCCAAGCGACGGACTCAAGCCCACTATCGATGCCGGTGTGCAGACTAGGACACAGAGCGCAGAGATCGAGACCGATGACACCAAGGTCAAAGAGCTTCAACAGACGCTGACGGGCTTCCAGACGGCAATCGCGGACCTTGTCTTCGATTTCAGTCTTGTGGGCTCCGAGGTTTCTGATGGTGGCGAATTGGACTCCATCACTGGAATCAACCGGATCGCCACGGCTTTGGCGCAAGCAGACGCGACCGAGATCAGCCTTCGAGCCGAACTATCTCAACTCCGCGCACAGACCAGCGAACTGGCCGATGTCAAGCTATCACTCGAAGCTGCTGCTCAGGAAAAATCAGCGCGAGAGGGAGTCATCAAAGAGTTGGAAAGGAGGCTGCAAGAGCTCAGCAATGTCAGTCGACGTCAGAGCGAGACTAGCGATTCCGACAGAGAACCACCCGCCATGACGGGACCGCGAATGTCTTTCGGCCGAGCTGCGACACCGACATCCAAGATCCCTCCAATCCAGCCACCGCCAAATATGCCTCCTCCTCCGCTACCGCCCTTGCCGGAAGGTTTGCCGTCTCAAGGACAGAGACATGATTTCCCTAGCGGCGGTAATACAGTATCGGACGAGCAGAAGGGGCGCTCACCGAGTCCGTCTTCCCCTGTCGATGTCCCGAAGAACAGGATGGAAGAGGAAAATCAAGCGTTACGTCGTCAGATGACGGATCACGAGCAGACCATCGCTGGACTTCGTAGCACGATCAAGACGGCCGACTTTAGCTTGCAAGAGGTGAGCCGAGTGGCATTGGCAGTGTTTTATGCGTGGTCTCTCAAGTCCGATATGCTACAGAATTCGGCTACCATCAAGTCGCTAAGCGATAATCTCCAAAGCAGCGAGAAGACTCGTACGTCAGACAGATAGCCAATCGTGAGCTGGCTTTTAGCTGACGGCGTGACCACCTTCCTAGTCCGCAAGCTAAGGCTACAAGCCCAAGAGCATACCCGCGAGCGGGACTTGGCCGAAGCGGAAGTTCAGAGGTTACAGGCCGAGCTCGATCACGCTCAAAAGGAAGTAGCGAGCGTCAGGAGCTCGATCATCATCGAGAAACGGTCCCTCGAGGATAGATTGTCGGAAGAACGGAGGGCCAAGGAGAGAACTCAGAAGCAGTTTGAGCAGAGGTTGGAAGCTGTCCAAGCCAAGCAGTCAAAGTTTCGCGTAAGCAGTCGTCTCAGGCCTTATGCTTTTGACGGACTTGATGTTGATAAAGCTTGTTTTGCAGTGTTTCTAATTTCTGCCGGTCTGGGTTCTGAGCATGCAGTCGGTTTGTACAAGTGTAGAAGTTCCAGCAAGGTCATCCCAGGTTCGCGTTTCTGACAGCCCGCTGGTTCCGCCACAAAAATCTCGAGCTCACCTCCTGCCAGCACCATTGTGTGGCCGGTAGAGCTGGCTGCCACATTTGAGCTCGCTGTTCGACCAGAAAGCGTTATAAGGGGGTGTTCGCGACCGGCTGCTCGTTTTGTCGACAGTTTTTAACGGACCCAGATTTTACTAGCAATTGCGTGTGATTCTTGGTCTGCGCGAAAATTCATCGCATGCCGGCAACATGTCTGTTCGAGGTGACATTTTTGAAGGTTTTGACCATAGACTTGTCGACCTTTATTGAACATATTCAAACGCGACTTACTCGAAGTCGTCTAGACGTCGATAGTCTATTGTTCTGACGTCGTGTTCGTAATTAGCTGATATCGTGCGATCTAGATATAGATATCATGAACTTTATTGAAGATTCAGAGGCCTCTGATGACGACCTACTGCTCGATGTCAACTATACCGATATAAACCAAATACTCGTCCTCTCAACCGCTTACATCGAAGTCCTACGAGGAACGCTAGAAAGGCCCCCCCTCCGATCGATACTCGTCACTCCCTTCAAATCATCGGAAATAGTCGAACAACTGGTACAAGGACTGTTAGGCGTCGAGAAGGCTCCAGGGAAGACCGGCTCGATGTATACCTGCGAGGACATATCCGGGAGTAATGTAGAACGTAGGACTAGGGTATATAGATGTAATAACAGATGAAAGACTATATACTACAATGATGATACAAAGTGATACAATACGATATGCTCCTTGAACAACTCCGCCGGAGTTGGTACGACTCGAGTCCGGCGTACACGCGCGTCGCTATAACAGGATCCCCCCGTTAAGGGCGGACTCCGAACGCCCTAGGCATCGCCGTACTCCTCGAAAGCAGGTTTCGGCTTGTTTGGGTATCGTCGATGATAATCCAGCACCGCTTGGTCGTCATGGTGGAAGTCCTCCGGATGTACCCACTCGTTATACTCATCCTCGTAACCTTCCCACCGCACCAGATATTGGGTACGCGTCTGACGTCCCCGCTTCCTGCTCCGCGAATCTACGATCTCAGATACTACCCACTGGGTGTCACCGTTATCCACCACCTCTGGAGGAGGAGGCGGGACCTGTTCCCGCGAGGGCAGCTCGTTCCGCTTGTACGGAATCAGCATTGAGACATGGAACACAGGGTGTACTCGTCGCAGTTGCTCGGGAAGCTCCAATCTCCGCGCCATCTTCGCATCTCCCACGACCTCGGTGATCTTGAAAGGTCCGAGGGTCTTGTAGTCCAACTTCTTGTTTGGACGAACCGTCTTGATGTGGTCCGTAGACAACATCACTTGATCTCCGACCTCCATTCCCTCGTCGGGAACGGGTCGCCTCTTTCTGTTGGCGTATTTCGCCATATCCACCCTTGCTTGCTCCAACGCCCGGAGTACCGACTCGTGGATGTTCGAGAGTCGCTCCCTGAACTCATCCGCGCTTTCATTGGGTACTTCGGCCATCCGGATGGTGAACTTGTGGTCAGTCCCCTCGGAGGCCATGAAAGGCGACATCCCTATGGCGGAATGCTTGGAGTTGTTGTAGGCGAACTCCGCCAGAGGCAACAACTCCGCCCAATCATCCTGCTGGAAGTTCACGTAACTCCGCAGGTACTGTTCCAACGTCGAGTTGCTCCTCTCCGTTTGTCCGTCAGTCTCCGGGTGGTATGCCGTCGAGAATCTCCTCTCGACACCCGCAAAAGCACATACATCCCGCCAGAAGCTAGACATGAACAACGTTCCTCTGTCCGAGATGATCTGATCAGGGAACCCGTGCAACTTGACGTAGTGGGAGAAGAATAACTTCGCCAGGTACGAGGCGTTGTTATCCTTTCGACACGGGATGAAGTGTGCCCGCTTACTGAAGCGGTCGACGATTACCAGGATTGCATCCTGGCCCAATGACTCGGGGAGGTCCGTGATGTGGTCCCAAGTGATAGACGACCACGGCTTCCTCGCCGCAGGTAGGGGGGCCAATTCTCCGATTGGCTTTTGTCGGGGACGGCGGTTCTTCTGGCACGTCAAGCACGAGGCCACGTAGTTGCCTACCCAGTCTCTCATTCGGGGCCAATAAAAGTCTCTCGAGAGAAGGTCCTCCGTTTTGTCTCGCCCGTAGTGCCCCGCGAGCTTGCCGTCGTGAACGTACTTCATCAGTCGGACCCTTACCGACTCCACATCAGGGACGTACAGGAGTCCCTTGTAGATTAGGAACCCCTCGCCATCCTTCTTGTAGGGACCCTGCTCGTTGGGCTCCCTCTCCATCTTCTCCAAGATGGCCTTGACTACTTCGTCCGCCTCGTAACCTTGCAACAGGTCTCTCCGGAGGTCCTCGCCGGGAATTGGCAGGGTACCGTTGATCTGTAGATGCGGAGGGATCTCCCGCGCTGTAGCCGAGAGATTCATGGGCCGTAGCATCGTCTCGGTCTGTCTTGGTTCGCTCTCTTCCAGGAGCTCCTCCTTCCGACTCAAGGCGTCGGCCTTACCGTTCATCACCCCTGGCTTGTACTCCAGGGTGTAGCTCAGACTGTTCAACAGCTGAGACCATCTTGCTTGTCGCCTCGACAGTAACTTCTCCGTTCGGAAGTACTCGAGGTTCTTGTGATCGGTAAAGATCCGAATAGGGTGAGGTCCCTCCAGGTAGTGTCGCCATATCTTGCAGGCGTAGACGATGGCCAGCATCTCCCTGTCGTGAACGTCGTAGTTCCGCTCTGCGGGAGTCAACGACTTTGACATGAACGCTACTGGTCGGAGTTTTCCGTCCGAACCTCTCTGCGACATCACTGCTCCAATCGCTCCGGCCGAGGCATCCGTTTCCAACGTTACCTCTGCATCTTCCTGGAAATGCGCCAGTATAGGCGCCTGCGTGAACGCTTTCTTCAGCGTTACGAACGCAGTCTCTGCGGATTCGTTCCATTGAAACCGCACTCCTTTCTTCAGGAGCTTCGTCATCCCCTGTATCTTCTGGGAGTAGTTCGTGATGAACCTCCGATAGTAGTTGGCGAAACCTAGAAACGACTGTAGTCCCTTCAGGTTTCGAGGCGCCGCCCATTGTTCTATGGACGACACCTTGGAGGGGTTCATCTTCACCCCTCCCGGAGACACGTCGTATCCAAGGAACTCCGTGTCTGTTGTGTGGAACTCACACTTCTCTGCTTTGGCGTACAGCCCATTTTCTTGTAGCCTTCGCAGCACCTCCTTCACGTGTCTCTCGTGCGTAGTCTCGTCGGGAGAGAACACGAGGATGTCGTCCAGGTACACTACGACGGACTCGTCCAGAAGGTCCCTGAACACATGGTTCATCCACCTTTGGAACGTCGCCGGAGCGTTCGTCAACCCGAACGGCATCACCAGACACTCGAACAGTCCGTATCTAGTACGGAAAGCTGTCTTCCATTCGTCCCCTTCCTTTACTCGTAACAAGTTGTACGCTCCTCGGAGGTCCAACTTGGTATAGACCTTCGCTGTCGTTAACTTATCGAGCGTCTCGGAAATCAGCGGTAACGGGGTCCGATCCTTTGTGGTAATGGCGTTCAAACGCCGGTAGTCAATACAGAGCCTGAGCTCTCCTCCCTTCTTCGGGACAAA